TAGCAACAAGACGCTATAGTTGATGTTTTACTTCCACGAAGGTGGCGCTTTGGACTTTGTTCTTCCTTTCCAATTTTGTTTGTGCTAGCGCTTCAGTTGTTTAAGGGATCTGTATCTTATCTTCTCTGGTTCTTTTAGTAAAGTTGGGTCCGATATAATGGACTGGTGCCTCTGTCGTTCGCATTGTTGATCTTGACGCGGCTTCGCGTTTTTTTCCTTTCGGCTGTCGTCCCTCTTTTGAAGTTCTAGAGCTGGGTGGACTGAGCGTGAGGTTTTGCTCTTGGCGATTTCTTTGTTGTGGTTTTTTTTGTTCCGATCCCGTCCGTGAAAGAATTCGATCAATGTCACGATTTCTGATGACACAGCAGTATTAATGCGATGTGCTAGTGGCGCGCGACTGCTTTCAACTTCAAGTTCTAGTCGTGCGTTCTTCTGAGGGTAAGTTTAGACACGCTTTTTTGTGCGAGGATATCTCTTGGCCTCCGGCCTTTTCCTGCCCAAGTTATGATGAAGAATTGAAAAGCACAACGACATCGTGGTAAGTATTCAAACGCGAAACAGAAAATGTGTTCCTTTCTACTCACTTCCTGGGTTCTGCAGAACCTGCCCTGGCTGAACTATTTTATGCAGCTTCGCGGGCCCGACGCCACGACGCACACCCGGCGGCAGGGCTTCACCTTCGTGCACAACCTTCTGCATATGACGGGCGACCGGGTGCTGCAGCCGCTCAGCTACCGTGGCGGGGAGGTGCAGATACTGTTCAACGTATCCTGTGCAAAAGTATCGGATTCGTACGAGATGCAATCTTCCATGACAGATCTAAGCTCTACAGTACCTGTGACTTTGCGTTCGTTAATAGATTCTTGCGCTTTATTTCATCTAGCACTTCTTCTTCTCGAAAAAATTTGGCATGCAATTGCTACTAGCACGATGCTCTCGCAATGCATACACCGGGGAAATCTACAACTACCGAGAAGTGGAAGACCGGTATCGGTGCAGGAGATCAAGAAGCACGGCAGCTGGGGCCGCGAGACGAGGAGAGCAAACGTCCTCCTCAGCTGCAGAGAGCGACGCGCAAAGCCTCCCGAATGATCCAAATTTTCCTTTGTTCTCGGACTCCGAAACAGACTTTGCGGAACAAGGCTGGTCATCTGCAACCCCACCGACTTCCGCGGCTGCATTCCCTGCATCTTCCAGCGCCGCAACTGCGCAACATCCAAACCACCGGCTTGAGCACTTGTGCGCACTCGACGCCGACCACCTACTCCCTGAGGAGGCGGCTGCCGAAGAATTGGAAAGAACGACAGCGCGAGGAGCACCAGGGTCTTCGTCGAGGAAAACGTTTCAAAACGAGCAAGCCTTCGCTTCTACATCAAAAAGCACACCGAAGAATCTGTTCGCGTCGGACGGGCAAGCCATCTACCCGACGTACTTGGAGAGGGGCAGAAACTTTGCGCAACTTTTGGACGGGGAGTATGCGATCGCGGTCTTGGACCTGCGGAAAAACCGGCTTTTCCTCGCCACAGACGTGTTTGGAACCAAACCCCTGTGGTACAGCACGGACCGGGGGCTGCACGTGGCGACCTACGAGTCTGCGCTGGAGCGCCTCGGGGTCGCGAACCGGGTGCAGGTACCGCCCAACACGATTCTGGAAATCGACTTGACCACGAAGTTCGTGATCTCCCAGTCCACCAACTACGAGTTCGATTTGCGGCAGTACAAGACCACCACCAAAGACTGGATCAGTGCCTTCCTTCGAGCGGTCCACCGCCGAATCCAGTACCAGAGGCACGGCGTGTTTCTCGGGCTCTCATCCGGGTACGACTTATCAAATGCAAAAGTTGTGTCTGGGTCTGGAAAGTTGGAACTTGTGATGCTAACTTGGGACTCTAAAAAAAAACTGTATTGCATGACCAGCAAGAGGAGTCTAGTTTGTGCTACGCGGGGAGGGCATTTATCATGCGGAGTAGGCATGAGGAAGCCCTCTAAAAATCTGTGATGCTAGGTCGTGCGTTACAGACGAGACATCTTGGGTCATGCAAAAGATGCATGACAAACCCGGCGACATTCCAGACCCAGACATTTTTGCATTTGATACGACTCGGGCGCGATCAACTTGGCGCTGCACAAGCTGCAGAAGCTGCACTTCGCCTACACCATTTTCGCCGGCGAGAATGTTGACGTCGTGGGACAACGCTTGCAGCAGACGCAACAGACCGCCGAGGGGAACGTATCCTGAGTAAAAACGTACCCACCCCAGAGTTGTCATGCAGATTTGCCATGACAGGAACATTTGTGATGCGCAACCCCATGACAGGCCTTTTCAATCGCGTTTGGGAACTTGTAATGCTGTAAACAGGATCAGCAAATCGATTTGTGATGCGGCTTTCCTTGCTAACTTGCACTACCTTACGGACTGAAACTTGTCATGCGTGACTCCCAAAGCTCCTAGGTTTGTGTTGCAAAATCCCCAATCACTGAATGAAAAAGCGATCAAGGGCCGTAGAATGTACACAGACAATACCAAAAAGGGTTTGCGCGTCATTTTTCAAGCAGTATACCGCTCGAGTGCCAACAGGGCGAGAGCCCTGCAAGACCGGGCTACGAAAGTAAGAAATCGGGAAAAAAATGCCGTATACCTGCGCAATTCCTTATATGTGAATAACATGGCGGGTGGGAGGGGTTCTTCACATTTTTGGAAACGCCCACCGCCCCGACTAGAATAAATGAATGATGAAAAAATTGGGGGCAGGGCAAAAAAATCCCCATCTTGACTCTGGTGTGGGTACGTTTTTACTCAGGATAGAACGTCGTCGTTTTCTCGGAGCAAACTTTAGAGTCCGAATACGCATTTCTGTTGAACAACACGGAACCCTTATGAGTGTGTGCGCACCTTTTTCTACTCCCATCTCGTTTGTATAAATGCAAAACGCCAAGGAAGCCCACGTCACCAGCCCCCCCACTGGTGGTTTCCCTTGTGGCGCTGCGGCCTCGTTGACAAGTTTCATCAGTGGAACTACCTCAAAGAAGCGGCCGCGCTACTACAGCTGCAATTGACGACGTGTTGTAGAAGATTTTTTGTCATGCGGTAGGCGAAGTGTTCTTGCTGGTGCTTGTTTTAGTTTTGCTGTACATGCCAACATGCAAGGTCGTGGAGTTGTCGTTCTCGCACACCCTCTTCATAACCTTTCGAGTACAAGGCCCGTGACGGGCAGCCGGTTGCTGTCTCGGGCGACTTCGCATCCTCCGGGCTTTCGTGGATCTGCCGTGCGTGCAAAAAGCGGGGCATCCAAATCTACCTTTCCGGGTCCGGGGCGGACGAGTACATATCGGATTACGGGAATGTCGGCGAGAAAATCTACCCGCACAGCAACTTTGGGGGCAAGTTTCCCGACGCCTTGGCCGACATCTTTCCCTGGCACAGCTTTTTCCTGGGCACGCAGCGGGACTATTTGATGAAGGAGGAGCTGATTGCGGGCACGCACGGGGTCGAGGGCCGGTACCCGTTTCTGGACAAAGAGGTGGTGCAAGAGTACCTGTGGCTGCACCCCAGCGTGAAAAATTCCAAGTACAAACGGGTTCTGCAAGACTTTTTCGACCAGGAAAATTACCCCTTTGAAGGCGGGAAAACCGGGTTCAACCCGCACTGGAACATGAAGCCCGAAGGCGGCGCCGAGGTCCAGCGGGTCTTTGACAAGGAAAGCTTGCGCGAGGATGTTTTCTACAAAACAGAAAACAATAAGTTTCAAAGCCACGACGATGACCAGCATCAACTACCTGCCGAACAGGTGGGAGTAGAAGCAGGAGGAGGAGAGGGCCACGAAAGAAGGACGGCACCAGCGAGCGCCAATGGCGACGAAAATACGGAGAGGCCGGGTCATGCCGCTGGTACAAGAACGGTCGAAACGAACGATCCTGGTGCGTCTCTGACGAGGCCGCTGAAGCAGAAGCTGACGGAAAAAGAAGTGTCTTTCGTACTGAGTCCGGACTTTGACGCGAAAACCGAGAACGAAAAGGTGTCGCAGCGGGCGTGCCGCAGCAAATTCGTCGTGAATCTCAACAAGTACGCCTGTTGCAAGGGCGCCGGGGCGTTGGCGGATAGAAGTAGTAGAACAGCAACCACTTCATCTGGGGAGAAATCGCCGGGAGACCGAGATGGAGAAAAAATCAATATCCATTCGCCCGCCCACATGCTCCACGGGGTAGAGTTGCACGAACAAACGCAGGTCATTGCGGGGGAACAAGGTCCAGGTGGAAGTGCAGATGACCAAGAACAGAGACCACTGGCAGCTGCACCCCAAGAAGACCACTGGTTTCTCGAGCACGAAAACGCGTTTTGCTTTCCGGATGCGATGCATAACGAAATCCAGCGCATGGAGGAGGCCCGGGAGGAGCTCGCGTTTTTGTACGAGGAGGTGCACTATGCATTTTTGCAAAAGTACTGTACTAGTAGTAAGTTGCAATTTGCAAATCAGTGCGCGTGACAAATGGAATTTGCCATGCTGATAGATACAGCTTGGGGAGGCGATAAAAATTTGTCTTGCGTGATCGCGATTAGAAGTACGAGTGCGAAGATACCTTTGCAATGCATATGCACCGGGTGCAAGGTGAAATCGAGAAGGAAAAGGAGAAGATGGAACGCATGCGGGAGTACCTAAACGAGCAACAGATTCTGGTCCGCCAGGGCTCCATGCACTTGGTGCTGATGCGGCTCTCGCACTTGGAGGCCGTTGCGGACAAAGCGGCGTCGCGGAAATTTTTGCTCGAGAGCTTCGCAACCGCGGCTAGCAGCGGAAATGCGATAGTAGAACAGACAGGTGGAGGACAGGACCAGGACCCCGCGAGCCCTCAAACACAGAAGAGTACAACTAGCAAAGCGCTGCAGATCGTGACCTGTGTCACCGGGGAGGGCGTTGCCACCGACTTTCCGGTGTACAAAATTTTCATGGCGACCATGATGCAGCAGGGCGTTGGGGTGGTGAATGTCTGTGAGAACGTTCAGTGGACCAACATGGCCGCGCGGCTGGAAAAGTACCGCGAGTATTTACTGGAGCAGGAAGCAATCGAGAAACTGCACGAAGTATCCACTGCAAATATAATGTCTGGATGGTCTTGAAGGAGAAGATTGTACATGCAGTTTTTGCATGTATGCGGAGGTCTGGAATGCACACAGAGCATGACAAATTCTTCGAGGGCTTGTAGTTCTTATTGCCTAATCTGCATGAGAAGTGCCCTCTGTCTTTTGCAGACAAAGATCGCGCATGTTTTCTTGCTCACTATGCAACCTACACAGATCATTTTCGCCATCGTCTCTTTCAGAATCCGCATGAGAAGTTTGCATTCTTCCAGACCCAGATCGCTATAGTATTTGCAATGCATACGAAGCACAGGGAACGAAAGGCGCAAATTTTCTCTACTGGGTCTCGGACGGCATGGACGTGTTCTTCAACGACATGACCAGCGTGTTCCCGCACGAAAACGTGAAAAACGTCGCGGAATTGGTCCACAAACGGTTTTATGGATTGTAAAAATGTCTGGGTCTGGAAGAATGCAAGATTTGTGAAGATGCAGGTTTTCCATGACCCATGAGGTCTGGAATGCGAGGCCCAGCATCACAGACTCTTGGGGGTCTCTATCATGCCTTTCCTGCATGAGAGACTCCCTCTCAACTTGTTCAAAAGCAGACAGCTTTTGGTACTCACGCAACACAGATTTTTGCATCATTCAGATTTAGCCTGACAAGTTCTAATCTTCCAGACCCAGACATTTTTGCATTTGATAGGTTTGCAAAGTTCAAAAAGGAAATCGTGTTCTCCTCCGAGCTATGGATTGCAAAAGTATCGTACTCGTAGTAATTGCAAGTATGCATAGCAAATCGCCTTCCTTAGCTAAAACAGCATTACAAACTTAATTTGTCATGCTAAGCTAATTTGTATTGCAATTTATACTAGTACGATACTTTTGCACAGGATACGAGCGTCTGTGCGGCTGGGGCGGCGCGCACCTCTGCACCACGGAGGACGAGGCAAACTTCCCGAACTCGCCCACGCTCTTACCAAAATGAAAAATCCCCCCTCCCCATATCAAAACGGAAATCTGTGATGCGGGATTTCCGTACACAAATGCGCGCTGTCTTGCAGTAAGGCATCGCAGCCAGATCCTCAGCCTAGGTAGGGGCGTTGGGGTCTAGTTGTTTAGCATTACAATCGGGCGCCCCCTAGGCCCAACAGCATGCCAAATCGCTTCCATAATGGCGCGGAAGCCTCTGCGCTTCTCTCCTTGCAAGACAGACCCGATTTGTGGTCTCGAATCAGCGAACACAAATTTTCGGACTCAGACCGTTTCGATATGGGGAGGGGGGATTTTTCATTTTGATAGCTCTCCAAGTACCTGAACGCGGGGGGCTACCTGGGCAGCGCGGGACACCTGGCCGCCATGATCGGGGTGGTGATGCAGTTCGCGGCCGAGTGCCAGCAGGAGCACCTGCGCAAAACCCGGGAGTGCGGGTCCGGCGAGGGGTCCCCGGACCAGTACCTGTTCATGAAGTACTTCTGGGCCAACCAAGCCACCTCCGCCCTGGACGTGTGGCAGACCATCTTCGGGAACTTCATCGAGGTGGAGAACCTGCCCTGCCAGGACGGCTGGGTGCCCCGGTGCGCGGTGTCCCCGTGCTGCACCCGCAGCGACCGCATCGAGAACTTTTCGCCCATCGCGCACGGCCTCTACAGCACGCGCGGCTGCAGCGTGTTCCGCCAGAAGGAGGAGCGGTTGAACAGCGAGACAGCGCCGGAAGCGCCCGACCTGTTTCTCAGACGAAAACAGCTCGAGAAGTGGGTGCAGGCCGGGGGACCGATGAGCGATAGAGGTAGAAGTAGTATAGTGGGTGATAGTACAAGTACACATCAAGAAGCAGGTACAACTCGTGTAGACAAAGTGGAGGTTCCGGGTGCAGCAGGCGAAAACGTCCCAGCAGCAGCGCCTTCCGGCGGCGGCCACACAGTTGTACCTTCAACATCATCGTCGTCGTCCCTCTACCCTGATACGGACGTGCGGGTGGGGACGCCCTTCGAGGACGAAACGGACGAGTATCAGCAGCCCTGGCACCTACCGATCTCGTGGCACGGAAACGGGTGCGGAAAGTGGATCTTCATCATGTCGCTCGACGCCTTGTCGCGGCAGTGTCCCATCGTCGCGCAGCTGACCACCATTTTAGTCCGAGACCAGGCGACCAACGACCGGGAGGTGCTAGCCAGAATAGAAGCGGGACAAAAAAGACGGTGGGAAGACCCCAGGTGAAGACCACCGCTCGCGTTCGCTCGTCTCGCTGTACCTCGAAGCGATACATTTGGTGGAGCGTGAGGGAGAAGACCTAAGCGAAAGAAAGGAAGCACGTTCACCTAGTAAGTACTGTTGCGGCTGCGCCTGCTGCGACACGACCCCTACACCTAGTGACATCATGGACCATATCAAAAGTTCACACTGACTGCAAGAAGAAATTTTTGTCGAGATGCATAGTATCTATCGTACTCGCAATGCAATGAATTGTGCCCCCCGACATGCCGTGTCTGGCGGCTGCAGCAGCCTCATGCTTGATAGGTTTCGCTTCAGAGTAGACGTCGCTGCCTTCTCAAGAAAGAATTTGGTTCTTTTTCTTGAGTGAGGGATGATTGAAGTCGTTTTTCGTCGTGTGTGCAGTGCTTGCAGTTCTCCTTGTCTAGCGATTGCTTTCTTAATCTTAGACTTAGTCTTACTTGCTCGGATTTTGTGAAACAATCAACAAGAGGGAGTGGCTCTGTCGTGTGGACTTGTTCTGTGCGACTGATGACTTGACGTTCGAAGTCGTGGTCGTCCGTCGTTTTTCTCATGTAAAGCACAAGGAGCCAGTTGCCTTTAGCTAGTAAATAAAAATTTCAAGCGATATAATTTTCAGTACCATCGGCCGCAAGATTTGCGTTTTTTGAGACCAGTTTTAGCGATTTAAATCGAAGATGCCTGAGGTCGTGGTTTCCCTGCGGCACGACGATGTTGAGGAAGTTGCACCGTACTAGACATGCGTCTGGACGTGCCTGTCATGCAGTCACCAGAATGGAAGGACGACAAGATCAAGAACCAGTATCATGCCTCCGATAGGTGCAGCGGCACGGTCAGTAACGAAGCTGCTGCTACCTGCAACAGGTGACTCTGTACTAGACTCCGCTATTCGACGAGATCAAGACTGGAGTGGTTCCATCGAAGCCGGTGCCGACCTCTCTAGTTTTTGATGTCAGCCAATCGCATCGAGGACTTGCCACGTTCACGACATCCTGAGTGGAGTCGCTGGTAGAAGAAGTTGTTCGACAACTTTATCGACTACTCGTTACCGCAGGCATCTTAATCTACCGACGACGGTGGGGGTGCGGAATAAAGCTCGAATTGCCTCGGCGAGCGAAGACCACTCATCAAGGGAGCAGCTGAGTAGAACGAGCTCCATGCCGTTGCTGCTGGGTAGAGGAAGTTTCGCTGCTGAACAAACTCTTCGGCTGTACAACTACTGTGCCTGCTGAGTGTTGTAGAAGTACTAAAACCCATCTTCGGCGCGGGCACCATCGTCCTGGTCTTTCTTGGATACCATCACCTCCACCGCGACCCATCATGAACAAGCTGCGGGAGGAGGTGCTCCTCAAGATCGAGGAGATGGGCCTGCTGCTCTCCAAGGAGCTGCGGGACCGCGTTGCCGAGGAGCGGGCGCTGCGCAAGCAGACGCTGGCCGACTTTGATCTGAAGATCCGAGAATTCATCAAGTCCGTCTCGGCCAGTCAGAGCAGCCTGGTCGCGAAATTGTCGAAGAAGGTAACGCAGTTGGCAAAGGACACCGAGGAGTCGGAAAGGGGCTGGAAGCAAGGTAAGAGAACAATATGGATCTACTACACATAAATTAATACCTAGTCGGTGGACGGTTTGTATAGGTAAAGAAGAAGATGTTAATAAAAGTCAAAGCCAGTTGTATCTCTATCTGTAAATAGAACGTCGTAAAAATTTATTTCTGCAATATACATATCGAATGATTGACCCCCACAGGTGTCGGCTCTGTTGCCAACGTGATTCGTTCGCTGCAGCCCGCACTAGACAAGGAAATCGCGACCCGAACCGCGAACGAGGCCAAAATGAATCGGAAACTAGAGGAGAGCATGACGGCCATCGCGACGGAAGTGGAGATGGTCACGGGGAAGGCGTTTCAGCAAATAGAGGACCTGGGGCAGAAGGTCCAGGGCATGCAGAAGAAAGTGGAAGGTACAGAACTAGTTGGAGGTAAAAACAACGAATGTGTTTTAAAAGTACTTTTCGTCTTATAACGCGTGCTGGAGGGCTTTCATGGCTCTCGTGCTCGTGGTGTTGCTGTCCCAAGTAAATGCCAGGTACCCAAGAAGTAGAGAAAAAAATCATCAAAATTTGATGATTTTTTTTATCTATACGTTGCAGCAAACTCCACTACCACTTGTATCAGAGCTCGCGCACCGGCAATTCACACTCGAGAACACGGTGAAGACCGACATCGAGAGAGCGAAAGTCGAGATTCTGCAATCCGTGATGGCGGCCATTGAGGAGGAGAGGAAAGCGCGACAAGCGCTCGAAAATTCCATGCGGGACAAGGACATGGAATCGCAGCTGAATCAGCAGCGGTTGTCGGGACAGCTAGACAACATCCAGACGCGAGCGGAGCAGGAAGCGGAGCAGCATGCGCAACGGTTGAAAGAAGCCGACACGAAGCAGAGCGAGGCACTCAACAAGCTGAAGGACCTCACGCAGCAGGCCATGCAGAGGAGTGAGGAAGACAGGTGCTTACTGATCTGAAGGACTTCTAAAATGCGATTTTTGTCATGCGGTAGACGCCTAGGCATAGGCGTTTGATTCCGTCATGCAGAATTGAACAAGTACTTTGAGGAAATTCAAAATTTTCTCAAAATAAAACAGGGAGCGCAAGATGAAGGACCAACAGGACTACATGCAGAAATTTGTCTCTGACAACTTCACATCTTCCGACCAGATGAAGAAGCAGGTGGACTTTTTCCAGTCGGAGCTGAACGAAAAGGGCGACTGGATAGAGCGGGCGGAGCGGTCCTGGCAGAGCAGGCTCGAAGAGGAGGGGGACTTGCGCCGGCAGGACTACAAACAGCTGGAGACCTACCTTTCGACCAGGATAAAAGAAGTGGCCGGCGACGTGAAAGTTTTGCTCGACGCCATGGAGCCACAGCAAGTTGTAAACCAAAAGGCGGCGGAGACCGAACAGTCAACCAACGCGAATAAAAAACAAGTATAAATGGAATTTATTATTTCGTGATTCTTTTCTTGCATGCAGACCAAGGTCTTTTTGTTCACATGCGCCGTTGGGACCACAGGTACGCCTATGGGCGCAATTCCTGGTTGTTTTGTGCGCATGATATGTACGAAGTGCTGTTTAAGAATAACCAACAAACTAGATTCGGGACCTGTGGACCTCGCTAGAGGGTGTCCGCGGAGAGTTTGGCGAGTTTGCGCAGGAGCAGAAAATGGTGCTGGGCTTCTTGGACACACAACAGAAGATACGGCTAGAGAAAATGTCTTTTTCACATCGCTTGTGCGTCGCTCTGGCATTCATTCTGTTTTGTATGCATAACCGTAAGATCACTGACAGTGTTAGGATACCGGGGCGGATCAAGATCATGCCCCGCTGCGTATTGGGAGGGGGAAGGGTGATCTTGATAGAAGAACTTGGAAAAAGATGTTCTGTATACGAAAGCGATGTTGAAGATTTTCCCCGGCGATAGAAGACGAAATTCGGAATCTTGCAAAAGGACGTGTCGAACCTGCTCACGTTATACGGGACGACAGACCGACCACAATAGCACACGGGAAAAAGAGGTTTGCTTGGAACAGCACACTGCGAGCTTTTTTTTGTACTTGTTTATTTATACTCCTGGCCCTGCTGTGAAGTAGAGGATATGAAGAATCAATAGCATCGAAAAATTTTACACCAATTACACGTAGTGCTTCTGAAGCTGCTTGTGGACATTGGCTTCAGGACCACACTGTAACTCACAAGAGAAATAATTAAGACTCAATCAACAAATGCAAGTCGAAATGCAAATTTTGCACATCGCAAATTGAAATGAAAGAATAAAGCGTGAAGCGGTGATAATTGCCGAACTGCTACGACGGAATCGACACGGATATTTTGTATAGGAACCAGTGACGAGTAGTACCAAACTAATGAGTCACCAGAAATCGAATTTCAAATTGCTCTAGAAATGCAACCAACTACGACTCTCAACGACCTCTCTGCTCTCTGGAGTGCGTATGATTGGCCTTGATGCATACTATGGGGTGTAAAAAGGGACCAAGCCACTTGTGCAACTTGAGGGAGTTTTAGTGGCGTTCCTCTCTGGCTCCTGTTCATTGGAATGGAAAGTCGATTTATAAATATGACTATCGATGCTGAAAATAAAAACATAATAAAAACTTGTACTCCGTTGGACGAAATCAATGATCACTGCACATTTTTGGGTTCAGAGTCGTCGCAGGATCTACCGGAGAGAGAAATGATGAAAATGGAAACACAGCGGATCTTTTAGGGCCTTGATCTTTTGACACCATGCCCAGGCACGGAAAGAAAGAAAGAAGGCGCGGACGTGTCGGCGATCGCAATGAATGAAACGTCACGTCTCCACAGATTAATTTGCTACTTCGTCCAAAAAGGTACAGTAGAGAAGCTCGCTCAAAACTAATCTTCGCATCAGACAACACAAGCTCCATTTTTGAAAAAACCAAAGAGCAAAAGGAGAAGCCTTTTTACGCAAAAACGTCCAAAAGAAACAAGTATTTATATTTTTCGCGCTCTTTATCGTTGAGTTTGAGTTTTTTTCTTTTGTGTGCAATTAATAGATAAAAATGACGTCGCCGCAGTTTCGGAAAACAGCCAGCCGCAAAATGGGAGGAGCGGTCTTCGGTGGCGTTTTGTTGTGGTCGTTCCTGTATCAAATGCAAATATGTCTGGGTCTGGAAGAATGCAAGTTTGTCATGGTCGTCTGGCATGACTCGAGCATCTGTGTTGCATAGGCACGAAAAGGCCCTCTTACCTGTCATGCAAAAACGCAGTTTTCCATGCGGAATACGTAAGCCATGGAAGCCAAAAAAATTGTCATGCATAGCTGCGTATTGCAGTGCGTCTATCATTCTTTCACTTTCAGCATTACAAGTTTCCAGACCCAGACATATTTGCAATCCATATCCTGTTGGGTTCGTCGCATTTCGGGTCGGCGTTGGAGAAGTCACGACGCTTCTCTTCATCTTCTGGGCCTCGTAGTGTGGGGAGGCATTCCGTGCACATGGTTGCGGTGCGCCAGCCGTCTGACGGCCCTGGTGGTACTTCACTGCGGCCACTGGCTTCCCCCGGGGACGAATCACATGAAGTCGACCTGGAACTAGGTAACCAGAACCACAGTGCAGCAGGTAGGGCGTCTGCAAGTCCAGTTTCGGAGACGAGTGGACTTCTCTCGCGCGCTGCTGAAAGCGTTGCTAGCGCTGCTAGCAGGTTTGGTGAGGCTGTTGAACGGGTTTATCCATATGATTTTGCTCATCAGGAAAGAGAGGACGAGGACGCGTTTAACGATTTCGAGCAGAAACTCGCCGACTGTTGGGACAATAATTCCGATGGTGCAGTCTCTTTGAAGTCGTTTTGGTTCGGTCCGCATAATAGAGCCTCCCTGTTCAACAAGTTGCCGCCGCCGGAGGAGGCGATCCAGATTGGGATTGATATCGCCCCCCAGGAAGAGGCTGTAAAGTTGTGGAAGGCAGTTGGCGACTTAGTTAAATCTTTCAATTTCCGGAGATTGCAAAGCACCGTGGAGGGGAGACTCAGTTTTGCCGGCCGACGCCCCCGAGATGGGGTTCGCAGAAGCGAAGTAGAGAGGAGGTATCGTGGCGAACGTGGCCGACTGCTGCCGCTCTCGTCTGATACATGGATCAGAACTCGTGGGCCTCTGGCTGAAAAGCAGTTGCTGCCCCAGAACATTCGACAGTCGAGAGAGGGTACGAGAGTTTACTATCGTGCGCGATCATACAACGATATCAAATGGTATGCGATCCTCGAGGACAGGCCCGATACAGACAGAGAAGCCGCAGTCAAGATTGGCGTTGGACCTGGAGGGATGCTTGTGGACGATGTCAACGAAGATTCCTCGAATGGCACAAGTACGGCGAGGAAGCGAATCAGTTGGACTGTCGACTACGAGTCTCCCCCTCACAGGACGGATGATTACAATATTTCCTGCCGCTCAACATGGGAGTGGAGCTTTTTGGTGGATGTTGTCGAGTCGGCGCCTCGGCTTCTGAGAGTTGACATCAAAGAGCTGGACTTCGAACTCTTCGAAATTGAGCGTCAAAGTCCTCTCCAAGATCTGGAGGTTGAACATCACTGCGCTGGGCTTGTCCCTCTGCGTTCGCTCAGCCTTTTCTAGAGCGAACGTGCTGCATGCGGGTTCGTATTTGGATTTTTGAAACAGGGACAATTGCGAGGTTTCTTGAAACAGGGACAATTGCGATAGTATTTTGATACTGAAACCAGGAACGATTGCGAGCCCCGGCTGCCTTTACCTCTGGTAACTCACCGTGACTGTTGGTTCATAGCTAAAACGGGCAGTGTTTCTGCAGCTCACGGTGGCGACCGGTTGAGACACTGGCCGTCAACTACTTACACCCAGGAACATACATAGATAGCAAGGTAAACTGGTACTCGCTCGCCCGAAGAAGCAAGCGAGCGCACAATTGATTTTTTGAAACACAAACATTCACCGTCACCCTATGTTTTTGAGGAATTTTTTTTTCCCCCAAAAAAAAGACTTTATCGATAGACAGAGGCAGAGTTGTGGTCGATCTTTACACTAAGCGTAGTTGTTGTAGTTTGTAGAAACCGTGCACCAGTACTAGCAGAAACTTTTCCAAGTGTATGATGAATGGTAAAACTGAAAGCCGTGTATAATGAAAACCAACCGAAAGGCGTGTGTGGTGATGTTGATGTAGACTCTTCAAGGAACAGAGGAGAGACTAAACAGAATGCGAACCCACTCTATATTTTGGAACAAATTGCAGGATTAAGTGAAAAAATAAAAAAAAAAAGAATGTATGAGCGCCTAGGTGATATGTAGTGAGGTCAACACCGCAAATTGAAATGAGAGAATAAAGCGCGCAGCGGTGATAATTGCCGAACTGCTACGACGGAATCGACACGGATATTTTGTATAAGAACCAGTGACGAGTAGTACCAAACTAATGAGTCACCAGAAATCGAATTTCAAATTGCTCTAGAAATGCAACCAACTACGACTCTCAACGACCTCTCTGCTCTCTGGAGTGCCTATGATTGGCCTTGATGCATACTATGGGGTGTAAAAAGGGACCAAGCCACTTGTGCAACTTGAGGGAGTTTTAGTGGCGTTCCTCTCTGGCTCCTGTTCATTGGAATGGAAAATCGATTTAGAATACAATAAATACCGATGCTGAAAATGAAAATGAAAATAAATACTCGGTTAGACGAAATCAGTGATCGCAGCGCATTTTTGTAGGTTACAACAGATTTTCTAGGGTCAGAGTCGTCGCAGAATCAACCGGAGAGAGAAATGATGAAAATGGAAACACAGCGGATCTTTTGGGTCCTTGATCTTTTGACGCCATGCCCAGGCACGGAAAGAAAGAAAGCACGGACGTGTCGGCGATCACAATAATTGAAACGTCACGGCTCCACAGATTAATTTGCTACTTCGTCCAAAAAAGTACAGTAGAGAAGCTCGCTCAAAACTAATCTTCGCATCAGAAAACACAAGCTCCATTTATTTTGAAAAAATCAAAAAGCGCAAAAGCCTTTTTACGCAAAAACGTCCAAGGAAATATTTTCCCACTCTCTATCGTTGAGTTTGCTTTAAAGCAAAACGTCCAAAAAAAAACATTGAGTTTACGTAAAAAAGAAATAAGTATTTTGTTTTCGCGCTCTTTATCATTGAAGCGAGCACGCAATTGTCTTTTGTGTGCAATTAAAATAAAAATGACGTCGCCTCAGTTTCGGAAAACTGCCAGCCGCAAAATGGGAGGAGCGGTCTTCGGCAGAGTTTTGATGTTGTGGTCGTTCCTGTATCAAATGCAAAAATGTCTGGGTCAGGAAGAATCCAATTTTGTCATGCTTGTCTGGCATGACTCGAGCATCTGTGTTGCATAGGCACGAAAAGGCCTTATTACCTGTCATGCAAAAGCGCAGCTTACCATGCCATGCGGAATACGTAAGCCATGGAAGCCAAAAAATTTGTCAACATGCATAGCTGCGTATTGCAGTGCGTCTATCATTCACTTTTAGCATTACAAGTTTCCAGACCCAGACATATTTGCAATCCATATCCTGTTGGGTTCGTCGCTTTTCGGGTCGGCGTTGGAAAAGTCACACTATCCTGTGCAAAAGTATCGTACTCGTATTGCAATCATGCGTTACAAATCCTTTTGCTAAGGTAAATCTGCATTACAAATTTTATTTCTCATGCTGAGAAAATTTGTAATGCATTTATACGAGTACGATACTTTTGCAGTTCATACACGCGTCTCATCTGGGCCTCGTGTGGGGAGGCATTCCGCGGGACGCGCGCACGTGGTTGCGGTGCACCGCCAGCCGTCTGACGGCCATGGTGGTGATTCACTGCCGCTACCGGCTTCGTCTGGGTCTCGTGCTCGAGCTCGTGTGGGGCTGGGGGGGCCGGGGCGCGGCTCCGCTGCGGTGCGCCAGCCGTCTTCTTCCAGGGAGGACGGATTCGTCGACTTGGAACTGGGTGGTAACCTCCACAGTGCAGCAGGTAGGGCGTCTGCAAGTCGAGTTTCGGAGAGGAATGGACTTCTCTTGCGCGCTGCTGGAAGCGCTGCTAGCGCTGCTCTCACTCTTGGTGAGGCTGTTGGAAGGCGCGCTCTTAGCGCTGCTAGCAGGGTTGGTGAGGCTGTTGACCGGTTCAATTTAAGTGACGACCAGGAAATAGAGGACCTGCGCGAGTTTAACGCCTTCGAGCAGAAACTCGCCGACTGTTGGGACAATAATTCCGATGGAGCAGTCTCTTTGAAGTCGTTTTGGTTCGGTCCGCATATGAGGCAACTACAAGGTCTTAAACAACAGCCCCTGTTCAACAGGTTGCCGCCGCCGGACGAGGCGATCCAGATCGGGATTTTTGATATCGCGCCGCTGGACAGGCGATTCATTCTCCAGGAAGAGGCTCGAAAGTTATGGAAGGCAGTTGGCGACTTAGTTAAATCTTTCCATTTCCCGACACTGCAACGCATCATCGAGGAAAAACCCGATTTTGGGCACGCACAAGCCGGCCGTTGCCCCCGCAATGGGGTTCGCACAATCGAAATGCCTCCGTGGTGGTTTCGTGACGAACAGGGCTTTCTGCGGGACGACGTTCCGTTCTCGTTATGTGATATATGGTCCAGAACTCGTGGGCCTCTGTCTAGAAAGGACTTGCTGCCCCAGAACATTCGACAGTCGAGAGAGGGTAAGAGAGTCTCATTTCTTGCGCGATCATACAGCGATATCTATTGGAAGGCGATCCTCGACAGGCCCGATACCGACATAGAAGCCGCAATCAAGGTTGGCGCTGGACCTCGAGGGATGCGTGTGGACGATGTCCACGAAGGTTCCTCGAATGGCACAAGTACGGCGATGAAGAAAAAAATCAGTTGGACTGTCGACTACGAGTTCCAAAGGAAGTATACCGATGCGATTTCCGAAGCGGATCATTACAATACCTTCCCGCCTATTTCTTGCCGCTCAACATGGGAGTGGAGCTTTTTGGTGGACTTTGTCGAGTCGGCGCCTCGCCTTCTGAGAGTTGACATCAAAGAGATGGACTTCGAAGTCTTCGAAGTTCCTTTCCAACGTGTGGAAGCTGAACATCACCGGGCTGGGTCTGTCCCTTTGCGTTCGCTCAGCTTTTTCTAGAGCGAACGTGCTGCATGCGGGTTCGCATTTTGATTTTTGAAACAGTTTTGGACCTTGTTTTGTACCTTGTTTTGGACCTGGTAGAGGCGGCTTGTTTTGGGCCTTGTGGTTGTGCGGAGGTTGACGGGAGCATTACGGAAGAGGAGGTAGTTTTGCTCCAGTCTGAAGCCAGGGCTGAGGGAAAGCTTCGGCAGTCCTTCTCCCGGCAACTCCCCGAGCTTGGCCGTTCACTACTAAAACGGGCGGCGTTTCGTCAGGCTCCGGTGGCGACTTGTTGCGACACTAGTTGCCAGCTATTCACAAACAGGAACATACTTACTTAGTATGACAAACAGTTACGCGCTCGCCTGAAGAGGCGAGCACACAATTGATTTTTGAAACAGAGACAATTGCGATTTTTCTTGAAACAAGGACAATAAAATATTCTTGCAATTGTCAAGAGTATTTTGATACTGAAACCAAGGACGATTGCGAGCCCCGGCTGGCCTTCCCTCTGGTAACTCCCCGTGACTGTTGGTTCACAGCTAAAACTAGCAGTGTTTCTTCAGTTCACGATGGCGACCGGTTGAGACACTGGTCGTCAACTGCTTACACTCAAGAACATAGATAGCAAGGTAAACTGGTACTCGCTCGCCCGAAGAAGCAAGCGAGCGCACAATTGATTTTTTGAAACACAAACATTCACCGTCACCCTATGTTTTTGAGGAATTTTTTTTTCCCCAAAAAAAAAGAATTTATCGATAGACAGAGGCAGAGTTGTGGTTGATCTTTACACCAAGCGTAGTTGTTGTAGTTTGTAGAAACCGTGCACCAGTACTAGCAGAAACTTTTCCAAGTGTATGATGAATGGTAAAACTGAAAGCCGTGTATAATGAAAACCAACCGAAAGGCGTGTGTGGTGATGTTGATGTAGACTCTTCAAGGAACAGAGGAGAGACTAAACAGAATGCGAACCCACTCTATATTTTGGAACAAATTGCAGGATTAAGTGAAAAAATAAAAAAAAAAAGAATGTATGAGCGCCTAGGTGATATGTAGTGAGGTCAACACCGCAAATTGAAATGAAAGAATAAAGCGTGCAGCGGTGATAATTGCCGAACTGCTACGACGGAATCGACACGGATATTTTGTATAGGAACCAGTGACGAGTAGTACCAAACTAATGAGTCACCAGAAATCGAATTTCAAATTGCTCTAGAAATGCAACCAACTACGACTCTCAACGACCTCTCTGCTCTCTGGAGTGCCTATGATTGGCCTTGATGCATACTATGGGGTGTAAAAAGGGACCAAGCCACTTGTGCAACTTGAGGGAGTTTTAGTGGCGTTCCTCTCTGGCTCCTGTTCATTGGAATGGAAAATCGATTTAGAATACAATAAATACCGATGCTGAAAATGAAAATGAAAATAAATACTCGGTTAGACGAAATCAGTGATCGCAGCGCATTTTTGTAGGTTACAACAGATTTTCTAGGGTCAGAGTCGTCGCAGAATCAACCGGAGAGAGAAATGATGAAAATGGAAACACAGCGGATCTTTTGGGTCCTTGATCTTTTGACGCCATGCCCAGGCACGGAAAGAAAGAAAGAAAGCACGGACGTGTCGGCGATCACAATAATTGAAACGTCACGGCTCCACAGATTAATTTGCTACTTCGTCCAAAAAAGTACAGTAGAGAAGCTCGCTCAAAACTAATCTTCGCATCAGAAAACACAAGCTCCATTTATTTTGAAAAAATCAAAAAGCGCAAAAGCCTTTTTACGCAAAAACGTCCAAAGAAATATTTTCCCACTCTCTATCGTTGAGTTTGCTTTAAAGCAAAACGTCCAAAAAAAAACATTGAGTTTACGTAAAAAAGAAATAAGTATTTTGTTTTCGCGCTCTTTATCATTGAAGCGAGCACGCAATTGTCTTTTGTGTGCAATTAAAATAAAAATGACGTCGCCTCAGTTTCGGAAAACTGCCAGCCGCAAAATGGGAGGAGCGGTCTTCGGCGGAGTTTTGATGTTGTGGTCGTTCCTGTATCAAATGCAAAAATGTCTGGGTCAGGAAGAGTGCAAGTTTGTCATGCTTGTCTGGCATGAGCATGACTCGAGCATCTGTGTTGCACAGGCACGAAAAGGCCCTATTACCTGTCATGCAAAAGCGCAGCTTGCCATGCGGAATACGTAAGCCATGGAAGCCAAAAAATTTGTCATGTATAGCTGCGTATTGCAGTGCGTCTATCATTCACTTTTAGCATTACAAGAGTCCAGACCCAGACATGTTTGCAATCCATATCCTGTTGGGCTCGTCGCTTTTCGGGTCGGCGTTGGAAAAGTCACGCGTCTCATTATCGTGAGGAAAAAACTTCCCTCCCCATATTGAAAAGGACATTTGTGATGCTGGATTTGCGTACACAAGTCGACTTGTATTGCTAGAAGGCCAAGAGACGCAGTTGCGGCCTAAATTGCAGGCGATTTGTCATGCTGTTTCCCACTTACAGTGGCCTCCTGTGATGCTGAAGATGCGAGGTTTTCCCACGCCAGCCAGCACTACAGTCCGCATCTTTTGCTTTCTAGCATGACAACATGATTTGTGGTAGCAAATCATGCTACACAAATCTCCGTTTTGGTATGGGGAGGGGGGATTTTTCATTTTGATACTCATCTCCTGGGCCTCGTCGTGTGGGGGGGCGCTCCGCGGGACACGCGCGCTTGGTTGCGGTGCGCCAGCCGTCTTCCCCCGGGGACGGATTCGTCGACTTGGAACTGGGTAGTAACCACAATGCAGCAGATAGGGCGTCTGCAAGTCGAGTTTCGGAGAGGAATGGACTTCTCTCGCGCGCTGCTGGAAGCGCTGCTAGCGCTGCTCTCACTCTTGGTAAGGCTGTTGGAAGGCGCGCTGTTAGCGCTGCTAGCAGGGTTGGTGAGGCTGTTGACCGGTTCAATTTAAGTGACGACCAGGAAATAGAGGACCTGCGCGAGTTTAACGACTTCGAGCAGAAACTCGCCGACTGTTGGGACAATAATTCCGATGGTGCAGTCTCTTTGAAGTCGTTTTGGTTCGGTCCGCATAATAGAGCCTCCCTGTTCAACAAGTTGCCGCCGCCGGAGGAGGCGATCCAGATTGGGATTTATATCGCCCCCCAGGAAGAGGTTCGAAAGTTGTGGGAGGCAGTTGGCGACTTAGTCAAATCTTTCCATTTCCCGAGACTGCGAGACATCATCGAAGGGAAAGCCAGTGCTGCCGGCCTACGCCCCCGAGGTGGGGATCGCAGCCACGTAGAGTTGCCGTTTCGTGACGAGTCTCGGACATGGAGCAAGCTGCTCATGTCTCGGACATGGAGCAGAGATTCTGGGCCTCTGGCTGACAAGAGGTTGCTGCCCCAGAACATTCGACAGTCGACAGAGGGTAAGTTCGTCCCATATCTTGAGCGAAATTACAACGACACTTATTGGGATGCGATCCTAGACAAAGACAAAGACAAAGAAGAGGATCCTATTCTGTTTGCAGCAGACGTGTCGGACAGGGCTGATGCAAACAGAGAAGCCGCAATCAAGGTTGGACCTCAAGGGATGCGTGTGGACGATATCTACTACGAAGATTCCTCGAATGGCACAAGTACGGCGGTGAAGAAAATCAGTTGGACTGTCGACTACGACTTCCGGTGGGGGTATACAACCCATTGCCAGATCTCTCCGCCTATTTCCTACTTTTCGCAATGGAAGTGGAGCTTTTTTGTGGACTTTGTCGAGTCGGCGCCTCGCCTTCTGAGAGTTGACATCGAAGAGTTGGACTTCAAGGCCTACGAAATTGAACGTCCTCACCAAGGCCTCGAAGTTGAACGTCGCGACGCTGGACCTGTCCCTTTGCGTTCGCTCCGCCTTTTCTAGAGCGACCGTGCTGCAGGCGGGTTCGTATTTGGCCTTTTGAAACAGTTTTGAACTTTGTTTTGAACCTTGTTTTGGACCTTGTTTTGGACCGTGTAGAGGCGGCTTGTTTTGGACCTTGTGGTTGTGCGGAGGTTGACGGGAGCATTACGGAAGAGGAGGTAGTTTTGCTTCAGTCTGAAGCCAGGGCTGAGGGAAGGGCTTCGGCAGTCCTTCTCCCCGGCAACTCCCCGAGCTTGGCCGTTCACTACTAAAACGGGCGGTGTTTCGTCAGGCTCTGGTGGCGACTGGTTGCGACACTAGTTGCCAGCTATTCACAAACAGGAACATACTTAGTATGACAAACAGTTACGCGCTCGCCTGAAGAGGAGAGCACACAACTGATTTTTGAAACAGAGACAATTGCGATTTTTCTTGAAACAGGGACAATTGTCCCTGGTTTCAGTATCAAAATATTCTTGCAAGTGTCAAGAGTATTTTGATAGTGAAACCAGGGACGATTGCAAGCCCCGGCTTGCTTTCCCTCTGGTAACTCCCCGTGACTGTTGGTTCATAGCTAAAACTAGCAGTGTTTCTTCAGTTCACGGTGGCGACCGGTTGAGACACTGGTCGTCAACTACTTACACTCAGGAACATAGATGTAAGGTAACCTGGTTGTTCTCGCTCGCCCGAAGAAGCAAGCGAGCGCAAATTTTTTTTTTTGAAACACAAACATTCACCGTCACCCTATGTATGTTTTGGAGGAATTTTTTTTTACCCAAAAAAAGACTTTATCGGTGGAGAGAGACAAAGTTGTGGGCGATCTTCACATTAAACGTAGTTGTTGTAGTTCCGCTTTCGCGCCTCTTTTGTAGAAACTGTGCACCAGTACTAGCAGAAACTTTACCAAGTGTATGATGAATGGTAAAACTGAAAGCCGTGTATAATGAAAAACAACTGAAAGGTGTGTGTGCTGATGTTGATGTAGACTCTTCAAGAAACAGAGGAGAGACTAAACAGAATGCAAACACACTCCATATTTTGGAACAAATTGTAGGATTAATTGAAAAAATGAAAAAAAGAGAATGTATGTGCGATTAGGTGACCTGTAGTGAGGTCATGTGCGTCATGAGTGGCGTGTTTCTTGTTTGGCTCGTGTTCACTGGAACAATCGGATTTGTAGCAAACTGCAGCTTGATGGATGTGCTTGCTGATTCTTGTTCTAGCAAACTAAAGTCTCCGTAGTATGTAGTGAGGTCACGAACGTTCTAATCTAGCGATCTTTTTGACATGTCTTATCCAAAACGACCGGCAGTTTTCAAGTGGCCAGAGGTGAACAAGTACTTTGAGGAAATTCAAAATTTTCTCAAAATAAAACAGGGAGCGCAAGATGAAGGACCAACAGGACTACATGCAGAAATTTGTCTCTGACAACTTCACATCTTCCGACCAGATGAAGAAGCAGGTGGACTTTTTCCAGTCGGAGCTGAACGAAAAGGGCGACTGGATAGAGCGGGCGGAGCGGTCCTGGCAGAGCAGGCTGGAAGAGGAGGGGGACTTGCGCCGGCAGGACTACAAACAGCTGGAAACCTACCTTTCGACCAGGATAAAAGAAGTGGCCGGCGACGTGAAAGTTTTGCTCGACGCCATGGAGCCACAGCAAGTTGTAAACCAAAAGGCGGCGGAGACCGAACAGTCAACCAACGCGAATAAAAAACAAGTATAAATGGAATTTATTATTTCGTGATTCTTTTCTTGCATGCAGACCAAGGTCTTTTTGTTCACATGCGCCGTTGGGACCACAGGTACGCCTATGGGCGCAATTCCTGGTTGTTTTGTGCGCATGATATGTACGAAGTGCTGTTTAAGAATAACCAACAAACTAGATTCGGGACCTGTGGACCTCGCTAGAGGGTGTCCGCGGAGAGTTTGGCGAGTTTGCGCAGGAGCAGAAAATGGTGCTGGGCTTCTTGGACACACAACAGAAGATACGGCTAGAGAAAATGTCTTTTTCACATCGCTTGTGCGTCGCTCTGGCATTCATTCTGTTTTGTATGCATAACCGTAAGATCACTGACAGTGTTAGGATACCGGGGCGGATCAAGATCATGCCCCGCTGCGTATTGGGAGGGGGAAGGGTGATCTTGATAGAAGAACTTGGAAAAAGATGTTCTGTATACGAAAGCGATGTTGAAGATTTTCCCCGGCGATAGAAGACGAAATTCGGAATCTTGCAAAAGGACGTGTCGAACCTGCTCACGTTATACGGGACGACAGACCGACCACAATAGCACACGGGAAAAAGAGGTTTGCTTGGAACAGCACACTGCGAGCTTTTTTTTGTACTTGTTTATTTATACTCCTGGCCCTGCTGTGAAGTAGAGGATATGAAGAATCAATAGCATCGAAAAATTTTACACCAATTACACGTAGTGCTTCTGAAGCTGCTTGTGGACATTGGCTTCAGGACCACACTGTAACTCACAAGAGAAATAATTAAGACTCAATCAACAAATGCAAGTCGAAATGCAAATTTTGCACATCGCAAATTGAAATGAAAGAATAAAGCGTGGAGCGGTGATAATTGCCGAACTGCTACGACGGAATCGACACGGATATTTTGTATAGGAAACAGTGACGAGTAGTACCAAACTAATGAGTCACCAGAAATCGAATTTCAAATTGCTCTAGAAATGCAACCAACTACGACTCTCAACGACCTCTCTGCTCTCTGGAGTGCGTATGATTGGCCTTGATGCATACTATGGGGTGTAAAAAGGGACCAAGCCACTTGTGCAACTTGAGGAAGCTGTAGTGGCGTTCCTCTGTGGCTCCTGTTCATTGGAATGGAAAGTCGATTTATAAATATGACTATCGATGCTGAAAATAAAAACATAATAAAAACTTGTACTCCGTTGGACGAAATCAATGATCACTGCACATTTTTGGGTTCAGAGTCGTCGCAGGATCTACCGGAGAGAGAAATGATGAAAATGGAAACACAGCGGATCTTTTAGGGCCTTGATCTTTTGACACCATGCCCAGGCACGGAAAGAAAGAAAGAAGGCGCGGACGTGTCGGCGATCGCAATGAATGAAACGTCACGTCTCCACAGATTAATTTGCTACTTCGTCCAAAAAGGTACAGTAGAGAAGCTCGCTCAAAACTAATCTTCGCATCAGACAACACAAGCTCCATTTTTGAAAAAACCAAAGAGCAAAAGGAGAAGCCTTTTTACGCAAAAACGTCCAAAAGAAACAAGTATTTATATTTTTCGCGCTCTTTATCGTTGAGTTTGAGTTTTTTTCTTTTGTGTGCAATTAATAGATAAAAATGACGTCGCCGCAGTTTCGGAAAACAGCCAGCCGCAAAATGGGAGGAGCGGTCTTCGGTGGCGTTTTGTTGTGGTCGTTCCTGTATCAAATGCAAATATGTCTGGGTCTGGAAACTTGTAATGCTGAGTGGCGTAGCACTTGGATGCCACCAATGATGGCTCAGCATGACAAGTTTCTGAGCTTCTAAGTGTTGCCTATACTACATGACAAACTGCCTTTCTGCATCACAGAAAAATAGGGCTTTCGGGCAACGTGCATGACAGGCTTAAGAGTCTTGCTAGCCTAGCATGACAAACCTTGCAACTTTCCAGACCCAGACACATTTGCATTTGATATCCTGTTGGGTTCGTCGCTTTTCGGGTCGGCGTTGGAAAAGTCACGCTTCCCTGCTTCTGGGCCTCGTGTGGGGAGGCATTCCGCGGGACCCGCGCGCGTGGTTGCGGTGCACCACCAGCCGTCTGACGGCCATGGTGGTGATTCACTGCCGCTACCGGCTTCGTCTGGGTCTCGAGCTCGTGTGGGGCTGGGGGGGCCGGGGCGCGGCTCCGCGGGAGCCGTGCGCGTGGTTGCGGTGCGCCAGCCGTCTCCCTCCAGGGAGGACGAATTCGTCGACTTGGAAACAGGTATTAACCACCACAGTGCAGCAGGTAGGGCGTCTGCACGTCCAGTTTCGGAGACGAATGGACTTCTCTCGCGCGCTGCTGAAAGCGTTGCTAGCGCTGCTAGCAGGTTTGGTGAGGCTGTTGACCGGTGGAATGCAAATGCAGAACGGTGGAATGCAAAGGCAAAACGCGAACTTGAGGACGAGCGCGTGTTTAACGCCTTCGAGCAGAAACTCGCCGACTGTTGGGACAATAATTCCGATGGTGCAGTCTCTTTGAAGTCGTTTTGGTTCGGTCCGCAAATGAGGCAACTACAAGGTCTTAAACAACAGCCCCTGTTCAACAGGTTGCCGCCGCCGGACGAGGCGATCCAGATCGGGATTTTTGATATCGCGCCGCTGGACAGGCGATTCATTCTCCAGGAAGAGGCTCGAAAGTTATGGAAGGCAGTTGGCGACTTAGTTAAATCTTTCCATTTCCCGACACTGCAACGCATCATCGAGGAAAAACCCGATTTTGGGCACGCACAAGCCGGCCGTTGCCCCCGCAATGGGGTTCGCACAATCGAAATGCCTCCGTGGTGGTTTCGTGACGAACAGGGCTTTCTGCGGGACGACGTTCCGTTCTCGTTATGTGATATATGGTCCAGAACTCGTGGGCCTCTGTCTAGAAAGGACTTGCTGCCCCAGAACATTCGACAGTCGAGAGAGGGTAAGAGAGTCTCATTTCTTGCGCGATCATACAGCGATATCTATTGGAAGGCGATCCTCGACAGGCCCGATACCGACATAGAAGCCGCAATCAAGGTTGGCGCTGGACCTCGAGGGATGCGTGTGGACGATGTCCACGAAGGTTCCTCGAATGGCACAAGTACGGCGATGAAGAAAAAAATCAGTTGGACTGTCGACTACGAGTTCCAAAGGAAGTATACCGATGCGATTTCCGAAGCGGATCATTACAATACCTTCCCGCCTATTTCTTGCCGCTCAACATGGGAGTGGAGCTTTTTGGTGGACTTTGTCGAGTCGGCGCCTCGCCTTCTGAGAGTTGACATCAAAGAGATGGACTTCGAAGTCTTCGAAGTTCCTTTCCAACGTGTGGAAGCTGAACATCACCGGGCTGGGTCTGTCCCTTTGCGTTCGCTCAGCTTTTTCTAGAGCGAACGTGCTGCATGCGGGTTCGCATTTTGATTTTTGAAACAGTTTTGGACCTTGTTTTGTACCTTGTTTTGGACCTGGTAGAGGCGGCTTGTTTTGGGCCTTGTGGTTGTGCGGAGGTTGACGGGAGCATTACGGAAGAGGAGGTAGTTTTGCTCCAGTCTGAAGCCAGGGCTGAGGGAAAGCTTCGGCAGTCCTTCTCCCGGCAACTCCCCGAGCTTGGCCGTTCACTACTAAAACGGGCGGCGTTTCGTCAGGCTCCGGTGGCGACTTGTTGCGACACTAGTTGCCAGCTATTCACAAACAGGAACATACTTACTTAGTATGACAAACAGTTACGCGCTCGCCTGAAGAGGCGAGCACACAATTGATTTTTGAAACAGAGACAATTGCGATTTTTCTTGAAACAAGGACAATAAAATATTCTTGCAATTGTCAAGAGTATTTTGATACTGAAACCAAGGACGATTGCGAGCCCCGGCTGGCCTTCCCTCTGGTAACTCCCCGTGACTGTTGGTTCACAGCTAAAACTAGCAGTGTTTCTTCAGTTCACGATGGCGACCGGTTGAGACACTGGTCGTCAACTGCTTACACTCAAGAACATAGATAGCAAGGTAAACTGGTACTCGCTCGCCCGAAGAAGCAAGCGAGCGCACAATTGATTTTTTGAAACACAAACATTCACCGTCACCCTATGTTTTTGAGGAATTTTTTTTTCCCCAAAAAAAAAGAATTTATCGATAGACAGAGGCAGAGTTGTGGTTGATCTTTACACCAAGCGTAGTTGTTGTAGTTTGTAGAAACCGTGCACCAGTACTAGCAGAAACTTTTCCAAGTGTATGATGAATGGTAAAACTGAAAGCCGTGTATAATGAAAACCAACCGAAAGGCGTGTGTGGTGATGTTGATGTAGACTCTTCAAGGAACAGAGGAGAGACTAAACAGAATGCGAACCCACTCTATATTTTGGAACAAATTGCAGGATTAAGTGAAAAAATAAAAAAAAAAAGAATGTATGAGCGCCTAGGTGATATGTAGTGAGGTCAACACCGCAAATTGAAATGAGAGAATAAAGCGCGCAGCGGTGATAATTGCCGAACTGCTACGACGGAATCGACACGGATATTTTGTATAAGAACCAGTGACGAGTAGTACCAAACTAATGAGTCACCAGAAATCGAATTTCAAATTGCTCTAGAAATGCAACCAACTACGACTCTCAACGACCTCTCTGCTCTCTGGAGTGCCTATGATTGGCCTTGATGCATACTATGGGGTGTAAAAAGGGACCAAGCCACTTGTGCAACTTGAGGGAGTTTTAGTGGCGTTCCTCTCTGGCTCCTGTTCATTGGAATGGAAAATCGATTTAGAATACAATAAATACCGATGCTGAAAATGAAAATGAAAATAAATACTCGGTTAGACGAAATCAGTGATCGCAGCGCATTTTTGTAGGTTACAACAGATTTTCTAGGGTCAGAGTCGTCGCAGAATCAACCGGAGAGAGAAATGATGAAAATGGAAACACAGCGGATCTTTTGGGTCCTTGATCTTTTGACGCCATGCCCAGGCACGGAAAGAAAGAAAGCACGGACGTGTCGGCGATCACAATAATTGAAACGTCACGGCTCCACAGATTAATTTGCTACTTCGTCCAAAAAAGTACAGTAGAGAAGCTCGCTCAAAACTAATCTTCGCATCAGAAAACACAAGCTCCATTTATTTTGAAAAAATCAAAAAGCGCAAAAGCCTTTTTACGCAAAAACGTCCAAGGAAATATTTTCCCACTCTCTATCGTTGAGTTTGCTTTAAAGCAAAACGTCCAAAAAAAAACATTGAGTTTACGTAAAAAAGAAATAAGTATTTTGTTTTCGCGCTCTTTATCATTGAAGCGAGCACGCAATTGTCTTTTGTGTGCAATTAAAATAAAAATGACGTCGCCTCAGTTTCGGAAAACTGCCAGCCGCAAAATGGGAGGAGCGGTCTTCGGCAGAGTTTTGATGTTGTGGTCGTTCCTGTATCAAATGCAAAAATGTCTGGGTCAGGAAGAATCCAATTTTGTCATGCTTGTCTGGCATGACTCGAGCATCTGTGTTGCATAGGCACGAAAAGGCCTTATTACCTGTCATGCAAAAGCGCAGCTTACCATGCCATGCGGAATACGTAAGCCATGGAAGCCAAAAAATTTGTCAACATGCATAGCTGCGTATTGCAGTGCGTCTATCATTCACTTTTAGCATTACAAGTTTCCAGACCCAGACATATTTGCAATCCATATCCTGTTGGGTTCGTCGCTTTTCGGGTCGGCGTTGGAAAAGTCACACTATCCTGTGCAAAAGTATCGTACTCGTATTGCAATCATGCGTTACAAATCCTTTTGCTAAGGTAAATCTGCATTACAAATTTTATTTCTCATGCTGAGAAAATTTGTAATGCATTTATACGAGTACGATACTTTTGCAGTTCATACACGCGTCTCATCTGGGCCTCGTGTGGGGAGGCATTCCGCGGGACGCGCGCACGTGGTTGCGGTGCACCGCCAGCCGTCTGACGGCCATGGTGGTGATTCACTGCCGCTACCGGCTTCGTCTGGGTCTCGTGCTCGAGCTCGTGTGGGGCTGGGGGGGCCGGGGCGCGGCTCCGCTGCGGTGCGCCAGCCGTCTTCTTCCAGGGAGGACGGATTCGTCGACTTGGAACTGGGTGGTAACCTCCACAGTGCAGCAGGTAGGGCGTCTGCAAGTCGAGTTTCGGAGAGGAATGGACTTCTCTTGCGCGCTGCTGGAAGCGCTGCTAGCGCTGCTCTCACTCTTGGTGAGGCTGTTGGAAGGCGCGCTCTTAGCGCTGCTAGCAGGGTTGGTGAGGCTGTTGACCGGTTCAATTTAAGTGACGACCAGGAAATAGAGGACCTGCGCGAGTTTAACGCCTTCGAGCAGAAACTCGCCGACTGTTGGGACAATAATTCCGATGGAGCAGTCTCTTTGAAGTCGTTTTGGTTCGGTCCGCATCATAGAGCCTCCCTGTTCAATAAGTTGCCGCCGCCGGAGGAGGCGATCCAGATTGGGATTGATATCGCCCCCCAGGAAGAGGCTCGAAAGTTGTGGGAGGCAGTTGGCGACTTAGTCAAATCTTTCCATTTCCCGATACTGCGAGACATCATCGAAGGGAGAGTCAGTGCTGCCGGCCTACGCCCCCGAGGTGGGGATCGCAGCCACGTAGAGTTGCCGTTTCGTGACGAGTCTCGGACATGGAGCAAGCTGCTCATGTCTCGGACATGGAGCAGAGATTCTGGGCCTCTGGCTGACAAGAGGTTGCTGCCCCAGAACATTCGACAGTCGACAGAGGGTAAGTTCGTCCCATATCTTGTGCGAAATTACAACGACACTTATTGGGATGCGATCCTGGGCACGGACAATGTCGAGGAAGAGGATCCTATTCTGTTTGCAGCAGACGTGTCGGACAGGGCTGATGCAAACAGAGAAGCCGCAATCAAGGTTGGACCTCAAGGGATGCGTGTGGACGATATCTACTACGAAGATTCCTCGAATGGCACAAGTACGGCGGTGAAGAAAATCAGTTGGACTGTCGACTACGACTTCCGGTGGGGGTATACCCCCCTTTGCAAATTCTCTCCGCGTATTTCCTACCGTTCGCGATGGAAGTGGAGCTTTTTGGTGGACTTTGTCGAGTCGGCGCCTCGCCTTCTGAGAGTTGACATCGAAGAGTTGGACTTCAAGGCCTACGAAATTGAACGTCCTCACCAAGGCCTCGAAGTTGAACGTCGCGAGGCTGTCCCTTTGCGTTCGCTCCGCCTTTCCTAGAGCGACCGTGCTGCAGGCGGGTTCGTATTTAGCCTTTTGAAACAGTTTTGAACCTTGTTTTGGACCGTGTAGAGGCGGCTTGTTTTGGACCTTGTGGTTGTGCGGAGGTTGACGGGAGCATTACGGAAGAGGAGGTAGTTTTGCTTCAGTCTGAAGCCAGGGCTGAGGGAAGGGCTTCGGCAGTCCTTCTCCCCGGCAACTCCCCGAGCTTGGCCGTTCACTACTAAAACGGGCGGTGTTTCGTCAGGCTCTGGTGGCGACTGGTTGCGACACTAGTTGCCAGCTATTCACAAACAGGAACATACTTAGTATGACAAACAGTTACGCGCTCGCCTGAAGAGGAGAGCACACAACTGATTTTTGAAACAGAGACAATTGCGATTTTTCTTGAAACAGGGACAATTGTCCCTGGTTTCAGTATCAAAATATTCTTGCAAGTGTCAAGAGTATTTTGATAGTGAAACCAGGGACGATTGCAAGCCCCGGCTTGCTTTCCCTCTGGTAACTCCCCGTGACTGTTGGTTCATAGCTAAAACTAGCAGTGTTTCTTCAGTTCACGGTGGCGACCGGTTGAGACACTGGTCGTCAACTACTTACACTCAGGAACATAGATGTAAGGTAACCTGGTTGTTCTCGCTCGCCCGAAGAAGCAAGCGAGCGCAAATTTTTTTTTTTGAAACACAAACATTCACCGTCACCCTATGTATGTTTTGGAGGAATTTTTTTTTACCCAAAAAAAGACTTTATCGGTGGAGAGAGACAAAGTTGTGGGCGATCTTCACATTAAACGTAGTTGTTGTAGTTCCGCTTTCGCGCCTCTTTTGTAGAAACTGTGCACCAGTACTAGCAGAAACTTTCCCAAGTGTATGATGAATGGTAAAACTGAAAGCCGTGTATAATGAAAAACAACTGAAAGGTGTGTGTGCTGATGTTGATGTAGACTCTTCAAGAAACAGAGGAGAGACTAAACAGAATGCAAACACACTCCATATTTTGGAACAAATTGTAGGATTAATTGAAAAAATGAAAAAAAGAGAATATATGTGCGATTAGGTGACCTGTAGTGAGGTCAACACCGAACGGTTCTATGTGCGTCATCAGTGGCGTTTTTCCTGTTTGGCTGGTGTGCACTGGAACAATCGGATTTGTAGCAAGCAGCTTGTTGATGCGCTTGCTGATTCTTGTTCTAGCAAACTAAAGGCTCCGTAGTACCTCCTGTACGACATAATCCGGGACGAGTGAAGAGCATAAAGGAGCGATCACTACAATGCGGCGTCTTTATCTGAAATAACTACATCAAAAAAAAAAATGCCCGCGACTGGCACCTCAGTCAATCACATTCGTATCCGACTTCTCCGCGAGTTTGGGGGTGTCCAAGCTTTGTATGACAGTGCACAACTCCCCCTCCCCCTCATTTGTGGTGCATTTCTACCAACAGAAACCACGTCAAAAATGCAGTCTCTGCATTACAAGTCCACGCACGGAGCATAGTGCAGCTTGGGCTTCCAGAACTTGTCATGCAAAAACAGCGAAAAGGCTCACAGACACAGAATTTACATTTAGCATTTTTGCATTACAATAGATGAGGGGATGAAGGAGAAGGGGGAGTAGTGCTGCACTCTCATACTTTAGTCAAAACCAACAAAGAGGCCAAGGAAAAAGTCTTGCGAAAACTCCTGCCACTGGATCATGTAGCAGTTCGTGGGAGCAACGTCTCTGCTGCTGGAGTGCCGGAACATGGCGAAAAAGGTCGTACCGACATGGTATCATCTGGAGCATGTTCAGCTTCAATTGTACTTCAGCAGGATAAAGCCGCGGTGGCTCACTTGCTCGACCTAGCTGGACACCCCGAGAAAGCGCTGGCAGTCGCCGAGGAGGCGCTTTTGCAGGCGACAAGTGTTGCTGCCGACGGCGAAAAAGAACTTGTACGCTATGGAAAATTTGTTTATGTGGCATCAGGAAGCTTACCTAAACCTAATAAGGTTACGGTGTTTATTCGTGTGTTGAACATAGCTTGCAAAAAGTTTGCATGCGTGCGAATGTGCTACCACGCACCACGACTTCGGCTTTTCTATATGTATGTGCTGGATCAAACTTTTCTTTCTCAGTAGACGCTTTGGAAAAACGAAAGAGGAGTGCCAAAAATGGTGCTGAGAACAATAATTTTTCACATCGATACAAGTCTCCCGAAGCCGCAGGACTAAAGTTCGCAAAAGAGATCGCCAGGCGGCATCTTGAATTCGAGGAAAAGCGGCAGGAACGAATTTCTCTGCGATTTTCATCGAGAGGGAAGAAGCCGGAAGTGGAAGAGGAATCCGCCAACACATGCTGTCGTACTATCCAGAGACTCTCCATCCCAGTGCCGCGGGTCAGTTGCGTACACGAAGCTTTCACGACGAGAAGGACCCCGTTTGTGTACACAGGAAGTGGATCATCGGGAGCAGGGGCGAGGGCGGCAGGAAATGATGAAAAGTACTATAACAGTACTTTTGAAAAGAAGCTTATCCCTCCCTTCCTCCGGTCGTTTGAAGATCTCAGCGCTTTTCTCGGTGACTTGAAGCTGCCGACGCGAAGAAGGTGCGACACAAGAATTATCACCTCTTCAACTAGAAGTAGAAACCCCTCGGGGTCGGAGAGGGAGACTGATACGGGTGTTGAACAAGAGAAAGAAACCGAGTGCCTCTGGGCCCATTTGAAGGACAATGTCGGGGAGAAGAAAACCTTTGCGGAGATGATGGCCAGCGCTTGTTCTTGGCCTACATCAAGTACAACATCCGGACCAGAGACGAAGAACTCTGTCGTCCTCGGGAGAAATAATAGTGTAAATGACACCTCCTCGTCCCGTGGTGGCCACCAAGATCCACTTTCCTCCAAGAACCACGACCTGGTCTTCGATTTTTCACTGTGGCGCACGAAGCTCGGGCGGCGATTCGCCGAGGCGTTCCAACCCTACCCGCCCTTCCCCCACCGCGACTTTTTGTCCGTCGCGCAAAGCAACGCACTCCCGGTGTCCGGGTCCGCGTTTCCGACCCTGTTCGCGAACTTCGGGCACGAGGTATCCTGAGTAAAAGGTCCCCACACCAGAGTCAGGATGGGGATTTTGCAACACAAACCTAGGAGTTTTGTGAGTCACGCATGACAAGCTGCACTCCGCAGTGTAGGGCAGGTTAGCAAGTGCAGCCGCATCGCAGATTCATCTGCTCATCCTGTTCACAGCATCACAAATTCCAAAAGACGATTGGAAATGGCTCTCATGGGGATGCGCATTACAAGTCTTCCTGTCTTTGCAAATCTGCATTACAACTCTGGTGTGGGTACGTTTTTACTCAGGATACGAGGAGAAGGGCGCGGGGCCGCACGTTGACTTTTCCAACACGCACTTCTGGCAGTTCGTCGGGTGCGGGAGAAAAAAGTACCGGCTGTGCAGTCCGGAGAGTTTGTATGACAGTGCACGACTGCAACTGCTCCCCTCCCCCTCATTTGTCTTGCATGAACTAACAGCAATAGAAACACGACCCGCACAAGCACATCGTTGAAGCTTGTGCATGACAAGTTCATGCGCGTAAGATGCATAGCACTGTTTGGGCTTCCGGAATCTGTCATGCAAGCAGTACCACATGGCAGCGCTAGGGTTTGGTATTTTGCACGACAAATGTTGGGGAGGAGTAGTTGTGCACTCTCATAGTTTGCCATTGTTGAAGCCTTTCTATCTTGACGACTTGAGCTCCCCCTGGATCCCCGCGGACGCGTTGCAATGTGACTCTGCGGATTTTATTTCCGGGAAGGACGTGCAGTTCTTGGACAGCGAAAAGAGTACGACGACGCAGGGCGACGGCGGCACTGCAAATGCAGTGGAGAACGACCCAGCAACACATGAAGACAAAGAGAATGACTACAACAAAATCGAGATTTGGGAAACTTTCGTAAACCCTGGAGAAGCGATTTTTGTGCCAAGCGGCTGGGTACACGAGGTGTGGAACGAAGAGCCCACCATCGCAGTCTCAGGCAACTTCGTGGATGAGTCAAATGTAGTCGAAGTCTACGAGCAACTGAAATTAGAGGGGGAGTGCGGGTTTCCTGGGCCGGCGGTGTTGGCCGAGGAATTGAGGCCGTTTCTGGCGGATGCTCGGCGGGAAGGTGGTGGAGAAGTTTCTCTAGCAAACATCAAATGTGAAGAGGAACAAATCGGAACGGATCCAATAAAGGACAGGGAGGCAGCTTGTGTGCGTTCTTCAGAAGCGTTTTCATCTGAGCAGGACAACTGCAAAATAAAACAAAAAGAAAAGGCCGGCAGGAACTACGCCGGCGACCTGCAGGAGCTTACACGCGCCTGTGACGAGGGTGTTGAGACTAGAAAACCTCTGCTAGATGAAGCCAGAACAGAAGAACAACAACATGAACACCGTCGGGTCGTGTTCAAGAGTCTCCTAGATTGCAAGGCGCACGGAGGGGAGCGGCTGCCGCCTTATGAGAAGCGTCTGCTGCTGATGAACGGAGTGATGTTGCTTTGTAGTGTCGCCTTTGCCCTATGCGGAATTTTTGTTACGACGGTTTTTAGCTCCTGTGGTGTTGATCTTCAACAAGAGCACAGAAGATAGAGGTGAGCTGCTTACGGAGATATTTAAGAGATAGACGACTACGTACTTACTTTGTTTCTTCACACCAGTTCCGTGCTTGGAGCTTTGACATATCGAGGAAGAGAAATAAGATCACCTGATTTGTGTTTGTCCAAAGTAGAGAAACCCACTGCGTTTTACGATGTTGCCGGGCCAGGACCGGGAGGCGTTCCAGAAGGAGGCAAAAAAACGGCTGTACCGCGACTGGGCGCTCAACATCGCCATCATCATCGTCATGTGGTTTGTGATCGCAAGCTCTGCATTGCAAATATGTTTGGGTCTGGAAACTTTTGATGCTGGCTTGAGAATTACGAGGGCGCCGCAGCTGGTGGTCTCAACAATGACAAGTTTTTGAGTTGCTAGGTGTTGTTGATTCTGCACGACAAATTGCCTTGCTGCGTTTTGTATCTGACAGGAAAACCGAGCTTCTGGGCAAGTCACTTCTGCTTTACGGACCACTTGTGATTCATGGTAGCGGAGCACGAGAAACGCAAACCTTGCACCCTTCCAGACCAAGACATATTTGCCTTTGATACAAGCTTCTTTTTCCCCGGCTGGAGCACAGTGTGGTTCTGAGTCTAGCGTATGCGAGAGCAGCACGACAATGGCCCAGCACTTGCAGTTCCGAGTACTTCCGTTACGTACTTAAGTACCACCTAGAATGGTCTCTCTCTTTTCTGCCCTCGGGTCGCCCGTGTGGAATGATAGAGTTCTGAATTTTCGGAGAAAAAGGACGAGCTAGAAGTCATATACAACTCATTGTGCTGTTGTGCGGCAGCTGCCTTCTGAGGAGGCGCGCCAAGGAGCATGATGCGTTCGCTCGCCAAGAAATGCCAATGCGGCCGCTTTTTTCCTGTCCAGCGGCGCACAACGACGACAATAGTAATGCGAAGGCATTCGTTTTCGTGTTCTACTTCTAGCTCTACTCCATCCCACCCTGGAACCAGTATGATCTTCGTCTGCTCTGCCGCAGCATAAAAAAATCAAACTCTTACAGCCAGTGCTTTGCTGTAAACTACTGTTGAACGTGACTCTGTAACGTTCTCAATCTGGCTTGGTCAGATCGTTAAGTGTGACTCCACGCTGGTGCAAGAGGAACAGAGAGAGAGGAACTAAGTCTTTGTGCTGCTAATCTGGGGTTTGATGCGGCAAATTTAGATTTACAAGTTTTGAAAAAGCGGCACAAAAATGAAGGGTGACGCTGAAGAGTGGGTAACAATAACAACGGTGTCCTCACAAGGTAAGGAGAGTGATTCTGGCTGGTAGGAGAGCATTCTTGCACAGCTTCGAGGAGTGCAAAAACGATGTGTCTCGTAGCAAGGTCTGCTGCGAGAACAATCTGAACCACAGTGAGGGTCATCAATGGAGTGAAGTACGCATTTCTGATCCCCTTGCGTTGCTTGTCGCAATTCAACTAGGGTGCAAAAGCAAGAGCCTCGTCAAGCGCATCATGCTGTTGTCCTGCTTTGTTTTAATGGTACTGTAATATCATGCGAGACGGGTCGATCTCGATCATGAGAGAACCAGCTGCACCGATGTATTTCTAACCGCGGCGGCGGCTCCACCTCCCAGCGGGAGCAACACCAAAAACGGCGGACCTCCAGTTTGCGGCCCCGCAGCAGCCGCTGCAGCTCTAACCGGGGATAGGAATCTTGAGTGCTGCGGAAGCGCCTAGTAAGTAATTATTCTAGCCCCGGCGCAGAGGGCCCACGCCCAGGTGCGGCGGCCACGATGGACACAAGAATGCAACAAGCACAGGACGCACAACCTCCTCGGCCGCCGCCCGACCCATCCCCACACGACCAAGCGGAAGAGGTCGTGCCTCCCCCACGGGCGCCGAAGTTCCTCGGGCTCCTTCCCATGCGGATCGGGGGGCATATTTTGATGGTCCAAGCGCTCGTGCGGGGAGTCGTTTTTCTCGTCGCCGGGGCGGGCTTCAAACCGGGAAACGAGCAGTCCAAGGTGGAGCAGATTCTCTTTTTCATCGTGGGGGGCGTGGATTGTTTGTCCGCGCTGGTGGGCGAGTGGGGCGTTCTCATGGACGACGCAGACAAACTGCGGTTTTGCATGTACTGGAGAATTATGCACCACAACCAAAGAAGTAGAAGTGTCGTACTAAGTAGTAGAAATCGCAGTTTTGTTGAAAATTTTCGTAGCATGATGAAAAACGAAACTTTGAGTGCTGTGTAAGTATCCTACAAAGATAGTACAATCTGTCATGCGTGATTGCAATTACCAATACTAGTGCGAGTGCGATACTTCATTTGCACGGGATACGAATCTTCGCGCTCGGCTTCTTCCTACCGTACTTGTCCGGTTACATACTGTTCGACTCCGGGGTCATTATCAAATGCAAAAATGTCTGGGTCCGGAAACTTGTGATGCTGGGTGGCGTCTCATGATGAGATGAGGCCACAAGTGCTGGCTTAGCATGACAAGCTTCTCAGCTCCTAGGTGTTGCCTATTCTGCATGACAAACTGCGTTTCTGCATCGCAGAAAAATGGAGCTCTTGGGTAACGTGCATGACAGATTTAAGAGTCATGCCAGACAAGCATGACAAACATGTATTCTTCCAGACCCAGACATTTTTGCATTTGATAGTCATGGGCCTGTCACTACACCCCTTGGCGGTCGCCGGGCTTCTGGGTATCGGCAGGGAGAAGCGATAGGTGTGTAAGTACATCAACACTGTTATAAAGGTTTTTTCGCAGTTGCCAGTTTTGGTATTATTTTTGCACCACTCATAATTTTTCTCTGTCATGGCATCAGCGGGTGCTTCATAAGGGTTGCAGGACGCAATTTTTCATGACGCTTGCAGAAATTTCGAATTCGAAGTTGCAAATTTGCGAACGAGGATGTTCTGCATATTTCGAAGGGTCATGATTTTCCTTGGCTACACAACGATTTGCTCCCGCGATATTTCTTGGCGTGATTCTGCTCGAGGGCATCCTGTTGCGCGAGGTAAGGAAATGTTTTCAGTGTGATGAAGCAAGATGAATTTGCATGAACATCGATTATTTCACCACTAGGAACCCACTTTCGGAAGTTGTGCTTTTTATCAGGAGGCTTAGCAGCACGGATGGATATGGCCCCATCATGCTGGTTTTTCATCTGGTCTGCTAAAGATGAACTGTAACGTGTAAGACAGGAATATCGACGGCATAAATATACTTATTCAACATGAAACTTACTGAAAATTCACACCTACACACAGAACTACAAGCTTCTCCTGTACACGATGCGCATGAACAAATTCCGCGCCAACATGGGAAACCGCTTCGAACTGCCGGACTGGCTGCAAGGCGATCCCGAAGCAGCCTACGTGATGTGCAAGACAGTTCCCATCACAGCCGCGGTGTCCGGTTACGCACTCTTCACCTTTGTCGCGAGCTTCGTCGGTACTATTTATTTTGTAGTGTCTTTTTCTTTTTCATTTTTTCGTGTCGCCCTTGCGATCGTCGTCACAATCTCCTGGGTAGTAGTACACGACACCAGCATCAAGTAAACCGAAAGAAGAATCGAATCCACTTCCAGGTTTGCTCTGTGTCCTTTTCTTCCCGCAAGTCGCGATGGCGTTCGGTTTTTTTTCCCGGCTCTCCCCAGAGACCACCGTGATTCTGGCGATCGTAAACTTCCTCGGGCTCTACTACTGCGTTTACTGCATCCTGGCTATTCAGCACGGGCAGCCCGAAGAGCTGAAGTCCTATTTGATTTACCAGCTGTTCCGGTTTTGCGTCATGATCCCGATCCTCATCGTGAACGCGCTCATGCTATCCGGAGCAAAATACACGACAACAACTCGTGGTAAATGCGTACAAATGTTCGCAGAGGGTGCTGCAGCAGAAATAGCATCGCTCTGCGTTTGCAAATTTTGGTTTTTCTTGGAACTGAAACTGAAAATTGGATATGGCTTTGTTTGGAACTGTCTAAACTGAGAACGGAACTTTTTCGCGACTCTTGGATCCTTCCCCGCCTGTTCTCGTGTTTTTTCAAAAAAAAGAGGCGAGACTGAGAACGGAACTCGAAGCCGTGAAACAAGTGCGGAAACGGAAACGGAGAAAAATCCGAGAAGCCCCGGCCGGCCAGCGCACAGGCGGCCGAGCCATCTCGGCTGTCTGCTAGAAGCGTGGCGACCTTCGAAGCAAAGCAAATCCCTGAGCGGGGGAGGCCTAAGCCCCGTGGTGCCCCTCTCTTGCGCGCCCTCCTGTCGCTGCGCGGCGTTTTTCTTGATGTTGTTTCTATAGCCAAGCAGAGTCACCTTCAGCAAACGGGCCGAGCTTGCGCGCTCAGCCGGATGCTTGGGCGGGGATGCCAGAGAAGGTCGCCCGCCCGCGAAGTTAGGCGCGGCGGAGCTTGCTGCCAGAGAGGCCTGGCCATGAAATTAATAACCGGCAGCAACCCGCGAGGAGGGCCGAGCTCCCTACCAACCTAATGAGGCTAGCGGTGGCCGTCCAACAGCGGGAAGCAAGGAACACAATGAGCCCGGCCGCCGTATAATAGATACAACCACCCAAGCCTGCGCTCTAGCTGCCACTGCTGGCCCGCGCTCGTCTAGCAACCGCTGCATGGAGAGCCTGCCACGGCAATTGGGCTGTTTGCCTTTCCATCGGTTATCCCGCAGTCTTCCGCACCCAAGGAGGGGCTCGTCTCTTGGATGTGACAACCACATCCAAGGGGCCCTGGGGCACGGAAGACTGCGAAAGAACTGCCGGCGTTGGAGCTAAGGCTGGGCGGAGGGCCGTATCTATGCCCCACTGCTGTAAAGCTAATCGGCCCAAAAAAGGGCGCCCCAACTTCCGCCACTGGGGGGCCACATCGGCCTTCTTCCATCGATCATGAGAACAGCGCGCCGCGCGTCTCCCCAGCATCGGGAGCTAGGTGGCGTCTGACCTTTTAGCCCCACATAGGGGGCTAACTTTCCTGGCCTACGCCTCTAATAGGAGCAACGCCTGGAAGTTTGCCGCCGCCGCTGGCACCCGCGCATATCCGCGGGACGCCAACCATTAGCAAGAAGAACACACATAGACGGGGCGGGGGCCGTGGCAAACGAATGGCGCGGGGCGGACGCAAATCCCGCAAATTTTGTCCCCCCTAAGAGAAGAAGGAAAGAGAGAAAAACAGAAAACGAAACTTGAAGAAGAAAACGAGCTTGAAGTTGAAGCTGAAGAGAACGAAAAAAAACAACACACACGAAAGGAAACGGAATGGCGACAAGTGCGAAGCGCCACGGTGTGGTGGCTGTTGGTTCCGTTCTCAGTTTAGATAGTTCCGAAAAAATCCGATCCCCTGAAAATTTCTATGTTCATACCTGCGATGAAGATCTGTATATATTTTTCCCACGAGTTTCTTTGATTTTTGCCATGCATACATGAACAACACGTGCAAGATGTACGACGAGACCAAGAATGCCGTCGGCTACGGGTCCAGCAGCAACAACGCCGCGCACAACGCCACAACGGTGAACTTTTCGTGCTCCGCCAAGGAGCAAGTGTACTGGGTGTTCGTCGTGATCGGCTTCGTCATTCACGCATATTTCATCAACATCAGCTACCTTTTATCAGAGTGGAAACTTTTCCTTTTGCTCGGCATCGAATGTGAGTACAGTACTTAGCTATGCTGCCCCTTGATGACAAAAATGAAATGGGTACGCTCAAAATTCCTACTGGTGTTGCCATCCCGCATCTGTATTTATTCTTCCGATCGTGTTTTTCTTTTTGCATGGTCATGATTGAAGCAAGACAGTAGACAGAGTATCAGCATCAATGCTACGACTTAAGTACATTCATCTGGAGGGCCGGGAGTTTTCGATTGGATTCTTGCTCTACGTGCGTTACGCCAATGTGGCAGCGGAATACAGAAAGTCCATGGAAGCAAAACAGATCCTGTACGGGAGCATGGAGCGGTATGCAGGGGGAAAAGCAGAAGAGTGACGTGTTGATAGTGCCGTGTCAACGTGATCGTGGAGTTTTGTTGCATGTAAGGTATGATCAAACTACTTCTTGGTCCCGCGCGTGTGGTGCGAGTATGTAAGTATGGATGAGTTGTGTTGACATGTTCGACAGGCTGTTTGTAGTCGTCTCGTACTACCTGATGCATCGCGGCGACAAACTGTTGATGGTCTCACTACCACTGCTTCCTGAGTCGGCAGCGTGCAGTTCGGTGAGTCTTCGCTGGCTTTTCACGTTCCATAAACTGGAAAAGACGAGCAGGAACATCATCGATGCGGATCTGTTGTGATCGACAGAACAAGGATTGAAGTTAATAAGTTTGGAAGTAATTACTTCACTCGTCGTGCTCGTGAATACCGCATCCTCGACTTGTATTTGCATTTCAAAAATGAATTCCAGACCCGGCGTCGAGTCTACTTTTTTCCATCGCAACAGCAGGAAAGCGCCGTGCTTTCTTCTTCATGATCCCGCAGCGCGGAGTGGGGACTGGACGAAAGATTGTTCCTCTCAAGCCGTTCTTTCTTAAAGACTCGTTCTCGTTGTTGTACGTTGTTGTACTAGCCCACATCTACAGGCTTTTGTGTCGTGCGCCAATTGCTTTCGCTCGTACAAAAACTGCTTTCCGACATACGTAGTCTGAAATTCCATACCGTGCGTAAAGTAAAAAGCATGTCACCTCCCAAGAATGACAACGTACGTCTATGTGCAGTACAACGTCATGCAGGTGGTCGCATGAAAACCAAAACTCGTCCGCGAAATAAACTCGTCCGCAAAACAAAAGAAGCAGAGTCGAAGCGAATAGTCGTATAGCGGACTGTCGTAGTTGTTCTTCTCGTGCGGAGAATTCTACCACATCATTGGAGGTCTTTGTACTTGGCTTCCTTAGAAGATAGAAAGTGAAGCGCATACTTACGCATACGTGCAACTCGATCCCGTCCTGGAAATCGTCGCCAGCTACTTTTTCCGCTTTACGAATTATGTCGAAGGAAGGATTCTTCTTGGTCTTTCTTGTTCTTCTCATCGCAGTTCCCAACGCAACTTTTTATCTCTCCGGGAAGGTCTACGAGGGTACCGACAACAAGGAAAACAAATACCAAGACAGACTACAACACCAAATCGATCCCTGGGGAACTGTCGTTTGGTAAACTGTTCGAATATTGCAAACAAAATCATGAAGAAGTTTGCAAAGATCTCGGAACGGGCATCAAGCATCCGCCGCGAAGACTACGGGGAAGACCGAGTCCATATCCTGTGTGAAATGCTCCCCTCTGCGACATGAGATTGAATGATATTCATCTTGATGATAGGCTGTTGTCATGCAAATTTCTACGGGACGGGGACCACTTTGCATCAAGCATATCGAACAAGTAAGTACCCTTTTAACCGCCTCTGCTAAAACAGGAGAGCGAAGTCCGCTTTGGGTTATTTTTTTCAGCAGCTGTTTCCGCTAACGGTAATGTCGCAAACGTTGAAACTAAGTAAGAAGCTTAAGCTACCTACTATGATCGATGCGCGCCAATTTGAAGACTAACGTCCAAACCTAGGTTTGTTGGAGCAATGTCTTTGCAATAATCAAAAGGCTTCGACGACGCTCATACTTTTTATGGTCTTTCGCTGGGTGCGTTGTGTGCACACAGGATAGATCACCCACGAATGGCATGGAGATGAAGTGAACGGGTCCTTCCTCCTCGTCGTCCAGAAGAAATGGGAAGTTGTTGAAGGAGGATCTTGCCAGGAAAAGAAGAATGTCGAAGGGGACTGCAGTTTGTCAAACTGCAGTTCTTATGGCACGCAGGACTCATGCGATTCCGCTAAATTTTTTTACCATGCCGCCTCAGAAACAGCTGGGTGGAGCCCACGTCACAGAGCTGGCGAAAAACTGTATTCGTTTTGCTGCAACTGGGTGAATAATGAATCCGTGGTCTACGTGCCCCCGGCCGCATCATATCAGGAATATTAGTAGCTTTGCCGTTGCTCTCTTTTCATTGCGTTAAGTTTACTAACTACGAGGGTCAAGTTTTCGCTTTAATTATAAAAGCCGCTTTCTTTTACTCACGACCTTCAAGGGGCCTCATTTTTATCGAGCCTAATCCAAGGAAGCTTATTCACCTAGGTTTTTTCTTGAATTATTCTAAAACCTGGTGCTGTGAGAAGACAGAACATAATCAGCTGCTGTTTCATTCGAAATTCACAAATCTACACGAACAAAAAAATGCAAACAAACTACAAACAGCACAGGAAAAAATGCAAATTGGAAAAACAAAAAATAATATCCCGAGGCATCGCGCATCTTATTTTCCTAGCGACAAATAAATCCGAAGGGATACGAAGCAAAGCTGCGCGTGGACCTTCCTTGACACGACGGCGCTACAACTGTAAACGAGTTATGCTCTTCAAGAACTACTTACCAACAACCAACTAAGTACCTATCTAGGCAGCCACTAGCGGAAAGATTCAGCCGCAACCACGATTGGGTTTTTCTTTGAAAACATTTGCTTCAATTCTTTTGCGCTACGTCACCTCAACCCTGGGAACTTCAGGGCTCTTTTTTTATGATCATCTTTTTGAAAAGTATGAGTATCCACTTTGCCCGGTATTTGAACTGTTATCCGTCTCGACGTTTTCCCCTCATATAACGTGGGCTGCATGTTGTGCAGTTGCAGGCGGTCAACTGCTGCATGGCGACCTATCGTTCATTATGAGCAGTAGAGTCACATTTTCCAAAGCCAACGCCAAGTACCCGCGAAAAATTTACCTACATCATTCCCTCGTGCTCAAGGAGAAGACCAGAATTACCAAGGCATATTTGTTTCATTCTAGATCATATTACGCCAGCCCCCCCGTATGAGTAGTATCCTGTTTCTTTTTTACCCCTTCCACCATACCAACAATTGCATATCCTGCAGGACTGCTCCACCGAGGGATGCCCAACTCAGTAACTGCATATCCTGCTTGATTGCATACCCCGCGTAGTTGAACAAGTAAAGCATCAGCTTGTAGTTGTACTGGACGTGACAAGGCGGATGACATGCAGAGGCTGTTGTAATATCTGGGTGATTTCTGGAAGAATTTTGTCTGAGATTATCTTGACAGTGATGCTACTGATGTCAGTGTTCGAAATCCGAAAAACTTAAAATATGTGACTTTTATTGCAGCTCCTGGAGGACCACATTGAAATTACAAGAAGGCTCGCTTTTCTAGTTTCAACGCCTTCGGGGTCAGTAGGACTTTCGGTTTTTGATGCTTGTGAGCGTATTATTCGGTTTTTGGTACAACTCCGGAAGACTAACTTCGGTTCTTCATACTTCTGAAAACTGATCCTCCCTGCATCTCTCGGTTTGCTGCCCACGAGCTCTTTCTACCACTCATACTTAGCTTCTTGTGCCGGATTTCGTTCTCGTTGTTTGAGAAAAAAATCAGAAAATCAAAGTCCCAGTAGTTCTACTTTTCCTTGAAAGTGAAAGGCTCGGTGCTGCTTGCCCTGCAGAAGATTCTGTAGTTCCTCGGTCGATTTCGTTGCCGTTTTTTACTTGTCTGTGATCCATTTTCCTCATCTAATTGCATCTGCATCTGCGGTAGAGCGAGCCGGTGAACTTTTTCTCGGTTACGCCTTGCTTTTGCTAGTATCTGGCAAGAACAAAAACGAACGTCGTCGTCGAGCGTACCAGGACGTACAGTCCCACTTTGTTGCATTCTTTTCCAGTCCAACTACTTGAGAACAACGATGAATATTACCCCGAGCTAGGTAAAATTTACCGAACAATAGTTCCATTCTACTTTTATTTTTCCGTAAGCTACGGCGCACAAAGCGAAAGGATGTTGGCAATTACAATTAGCACGACTTTTCTCCTCACGCAGCCCCACAAGAATTTTTCCAAATGGCCACGACTTCCAATCTGTTGAGCAGCTACAAGAAGTCGCAAGCCTTCCAGAAAATGCAGCAGCAGGTCGAGTCGGCGCAGCTGAAGCAGCAGCTGGTGCGGACCAACACCGGCCCGGTGCAGCTGGACATCCCGTTTAAAATCACTTTAAAACGGGTTTCCTTCAACGAGGACTCCTTCCCCGGTGTGGACTCGGGAAAATGCACCTTTGTCCTGAGCCTGTACGTGTCCGCGACGGCGAATATGAGAATGGACGACTCCCCAGACCCTCCCCCGCATTTAGAAGGTTGACGTTGACCTGAGCAGCATGAAATAAAACAACTTGAAGAAAGGTGATCATTATTTTGCCTCTGCATTTATACAAGTCAATGAATGTAGTTGTTCGTTGCCCTGACTCGTCGTGTACTGCGCTACGTGGGCTTCTTCCGAAACCTTGTCATGCAAAAAATACAGCCAAAACCAAAAGGAAAGAGCCGTGGCGCCTGGATGCGGGTGTCCACTACATGATGTATGATGATGACGATGATGATGAAAAGCGGAGAACATAGTACGATAGGGGTTAGTATTTTGGATCACTACAACATTTTTTTTGGGGAAGGGGTGTTGTCCAGCACCATAGCGAAGGATCCGGCGTTTACCAGCTCCCCGACGGAACCAGCTTCCAGCGAGGCGGAATCGGGGTTCGTCGCGTGGCCAGCCACGAGCGGAAATACCATCTCGACCACCTACAAGACCAATGGGTTTCAGACCTTTTACCTTCGTATCTACCGTACGGTATCCCACAGAATAAAGCTGGCAGGTCACGTTTGTAATGCAAAAATAAATACACAAAAAAATCTGTATTGCGTATCCTAAACAGCATGCTACGAGGCCGCCCATGACAGATTTTTCTGTGTATTTATTTTTGCATTACAAATATGCCCTGCCAGCTTTTTTCTGTGGGATATACGGACAAGCCCTGCCTGCCCTGCTGCGGGGGCGGAGGTCTCGCGCGGGGCAGCCCGAACAGGGGAATTGGCACCGCCTGTGGGATGTGCAAATTGAGTTTAGGCAGGGTGTTGAAGAACCTAATGGAGGGCGGGGGGGATCAGCCCTTGTTTAAAAAAGACTTGTACCGAGCCGGGGAGTCGGAGGATACGGGGCATAAACCCATCGGCTCCCTGCACTTGGGACTCTCCTGCGAAGCGAATCACTTGGAGGCAGCGACGGAGCTCCTGCTGCACGCTTTGATCGCGAATGCCCGAGTCGCGGAGGATTGCGGGGAGGCTGCGATGAGGATGCTTTTGGAAGAGAAAGACACGATCAAAGCGGACACCTACCAAGGCGTGGAAGGCAACACGCTGCTGCACATTGCTTGCGTGAACGGGCAGCTGGAGATGGCGCAGATTTTGCGCAAGGATTTTGGCCTCACCATCGACAAATTGAACAACAAGAAGCAGTATCAAATGCAAAAGTGTCTGGATCTGGAAGAGTACAAACTTGTGATGCGCATTTCAGCACACAGAAAAATCTCTGATGCATAGGTAGCAAAAGCTGCCCACTTTCTGTCACCAAAGTGGGGGATTTGTCATGCGGATTCGCCATTGCGGAAGCTTTTCGATGAAACCTGTGATGCTAGAGCTTCCATGCCAGACCTTCTGTGTCATGCAAAAACAGCATGACTCTTCCAGACCCAGACATTTTTACATTTGATAAGCAGACCCCCATCACCGCGGCACTGGTGGCCCACGACATTGACGACGGGTCGAACATTCTCTGCGCTTGCACGTTGGCCCTGGAACTGGCAGCCGGGGACATTGAAATCATGTTCGACTGCGTGCGCGGTGCCCGTGCTGCGGGCGAGGAGGCCTGGGAGGGCAAGAAGGCGAGACAGTGCCTCTTCCGGTTGCTGGATTTGATCGAGGAGGCCCTGAACAGTGAGAACGTTGCGCGGCTGGAACAGGCAGTCAATTTTGCGCAGGCCGTGAACGGGATGGGTCAAAACCCGGACCATCCTGAGGGCAAGCTGGTGGACGAAGTGCGGGGGGTGACCAAACTGGTGGCGCTGCAACTCGCGTCCGCCCTGAACGAGGCCGAATTCGAAAGTACGGAGTCCCAGCTGCTGGCTTTGAATCAAGCTGTGATGGCAGCCGAACACCAGAAGCAGCATACTGGACCGAACAAAAAACTTTTTGCGCGAGCAGTTGCGAAACGGAACGAGCTGCAAAGGAATAGAATGAAAAATTTGCTGCAAGGGAAGCTGGAGCAAGCCATCGGGGAACAGGACATCACGCAGTTGATCGGAGTGATCAGTTACGGCAACGCCTTGCTGAAAGCGAACCAGAACATGACTGCGGAGGACTTGCCGCAGCTGGCGGAGGCGAACGCCCAAGTGGGCACCATCATGGCCACCACGCTCGCCCGGGCGCTGGCGAGCGAGAACGCGGCGGCCATGCAGCACGCGATCGCGCAGTGCGAGAATTTCAAGTTGGACGGGCACGAGCTGTGCCGGGCGCCGTTGGCCAACCTGAAGGCGGAGCTGGTCATGCTGCCCAAGAGGACCTGCCTGAAAAAACTGGAGGCCGCGATTGAGCAGCTGAATACGAACCCGGAAGGTTTCCACGAGTACATGTTTTCCCTCACCGTGAACCAGGCCAGCGAGCTGCAGCTCGAGCAGCACCCGACCTTCCTGACGGCGGTCGACGTGTACAAGCGGGTGAAAAATTTGCCGGAAACGTTTGACGCCCTCCGCTTCATCAAGAAGGACACCTACAAGCCGGAGATGACCGACGAGCTGCTGCAGGTGATGCAGAAGTTGTGCGACGCCACCTTTGTCCGCAAGTACACGCGGGACCGGCACGGGGGAAACGTGCCGCAGGGCATCGAGGTGTGCAAGGTGGTGCAAGTGCAGCAGCCGAACACGTACCTGAGCTACACCTGCCGCCGCGACCAGATCTTTGATAATTTGAAGGCCCTGCGGAACACGCTGGGCAAAAACGCGTTTGCCCGGTACGACACGGAGCTGGACTTTGGCATCAAAACCTACAAGGCGCAGAAGGAGTGGGCGCCGGTCACGCCGCTCGCGAAAGAGCCCATCAGCCCGCATTTGAACGAGTTCTACCTGTTATCAAAAGGAAGAGTCCCCCCTTCCCATATCGATATCAAAACGAAGTTTCTGATGCTGGACTTGCGTACACAAATCAGAGCTGTCTTGCAGTAGAGGACTACAGGCATACGCCGGTCCTGAGTAGGAGATTTTCTGAAGTACACGCTTAGCATCACAAATATCCGCGCTGTAGTCCCAGCAGCATCACAAACCGCCTGCACAAGGTGGCGGAGACTATGGACCTGCCTTCTTGCAAGACAAAAAGATTGTTTTAGAAAAGTTTTCGGGTTGCGCCATAAAATTAATTAAATAATTGCAAAGAATGAAATTAAATAAGTTAACTAGTCACAGAGTTAGCAATGCACTAACTGAGCATGTTAAGTGGGGTCATAGATTAACTAACTAAGTAGATGGGGCTAGTAGCTGACCACATGCATTGACTTGTTGAATTGGTAGAATAAGCATTGTCGTTGGTGCTCAGCATAAAGCATTGCTCGCCATTACTTGCTTCTGTCTTTTTCTCCTGCGTCCTGCGTCCCGTAGAATTGGCCAGGTGATCACCATCAGCGAAAGACGCCCGCGATTGGTCGTCGTCAGCTGGAGACGATCATCATGGTCGACAGTTTCGCGGACGCTCCGTAGAATTGGCCAGGTGATCGCCATCAGCGAAAGACGTCCGCGGTTGGTCGGCGTCAGCTGGAGACGATCAGCGCGGACGGTCGACAGTTTCGCGGGCGCTCCGTAGAATTGGCCAGGTGATCACCATCAGCGAAAGACGTCCGCGATTGGTCGTCGTCAGCTGGAGACGATCATCGCGGTCGACAGTTTCGCGGCCGCTCCGTAGAATTGGCCAGGTGATCGCCACCAGCGAAAGACGTCCGCGACTGGTCGGCGTCAGCTGGGGGCGATCATCGTGGTCGACAGTTTCGCGGACGCTCCGTAGAATTGGCCAGCTGATCACCATCATTCAGCGAAAGGCGTCCGCGATTGGTCGTCGTCAGCTGGAGACGATCATCATGGTCGACAGTTTCGCGGGCGCCCCGCAGAATTGGCCAGGTGATCACCATCAGCGAAAGGCGTCCGCGACTGGTCGGCGTCAGCTGGAGACGATCACCATGGTCGACAGTTTCGCGGACGCTCCGTAGAATTGGCCAGGTGATCACCATCAGCGAAAGACCGACGTCCGCGACTGGTCGCCGCCAGCTGGAGACGATCATCATTGTCGACAGTTTCGCGGACGCTCCGTAGAATTGGCCAGGTGATCACCATCAGCGAAAGACGTCCGCGATTGGTCGTCGTCAGCTGGAGACGATCACCATGGGCGACAGTTTCGCGGACGCTCCGTAGAATTGGCCAGGTGATCACCTGGTCGTCGTCAGCTGGAGACGATCAGCGCGGACGGTCGACAGTTTCGCGGGCGCTCCGTAGAATTGGCCAGGTGATCACCATCAGCGAAAGACTTCCGCGATTGGTCGTCGTCAGCTGGAGACGATCATCGCGGTCGACAGTTTCGCGGCCGCTCCGGAGAATTGGCCAGGTGATCGCCACCAGCGAAAGACGTCCGCGATTGGTCGTCGTCAGCTGGAGACGATCACCGTGGTCGACAGTTTCGCGGGCGCTCCGTAGAATTGGCCAGGTGATCACCATCAGCGAAAGACGTCCGCGATTGGTCGTCGTCAGCTGGAGACGATCATCGCGGTCGACAGTTTCGCGGCCGCTCCGGAGAATTGGCCAGGTGATCGCCACCAGCGAAAGACGTCCGCGATTGGTCGTCGTCAGCTGGAGACGATCACCGTGGTCGACAGTTTCGCGGGCGCTCCGTAGAATTGGCCAGGTGATCACCATCAGCGAAAGACGTCCGCGATTGGTCGTCGTCAGCTGGAGACGATCATCGCGGTCGACAGTTTCGCGGCCGCTCCGGAGAATTGGCCAGGTGATCGCCACCAGCGAAAGACGTCCGCGATTGGTCGTCGTCAGCTGGAGACGATCATCATGGTCGACAGTTTCGCGGACGCTCCGTAGAATTGGCCAGGTGATCACCATCAACGAAAGACGTCCGCGATTGGTCGGCGTCAGCTGGAGACGATCATCATGCTCGACAGTTTCGCGGGCGCTCCGTAGAATTGGCCAGGTGATCACCATCAGCGAAAGACGTCCGCGATTGGTCGTCGTTAGCTGGAGACGGTCATCGCGGTCGACAGTTTCGCGGACGCTCCGTAGAATTGGCCAGGTGATCACCATCAGACAGCGAAAGACGTCCGCGATTGGTCGTCGTCAGCTGGAGACGATCATCATGGTCGACAGTTTCGCGGACGCTCCGTAGAATTGGCCAGGTGATCACCATCAGCGAAAGACGTCCGCGATTGGTCGTCGTCAGCTGGAGACGATCATCATGGTCGACAGTTTCGCGGACGCTCCGTAGAATTGGCCAGGTGATCACCATCAGCGAAAGACGTCCGCGATTGGTCGTCGTCAGCTGGAGACGATCATCATGGTCGACAGTTTCGCGGACGCTCCGTAGAATTGGCCAGGTGATCACCATCAGCGAAAGACGTCCGCGATTGGTCGTCGTCAGCTGGAGACGATCATCATGGTCGACAGTTTCGCGGACGCTCCGTAGAATTGGCCAGGTGATCACCATCAGCGAAAGACGTCCGCGATTGGTCGTCGTCAGCTGGAGACGATCATCATGGTCGACAGTTTCGCGGACGCTCCGTAGAATTGGCCAGGTGATCACCATCAGCGAAAGACGTCCGCGATTGGTCGTCGTCAGCTGGAGACGATCATCATGGTCGACAGTTTCGCGGACGCTCCGTAGAATTGGCCAGGTGATCACCATCAGCGAAAGACGTCCGCGATTGGTCGTCGTCAGCTGGAGACGATCATCATGGTCGACAGTTTCGCGGACGCTCCGTAGAATTGGCCAGGTGATCACCATCAGCGAAAGACGTCCGCGATTGGTCGTCGTCAGCTGGAGACGATCATCATGGTCGACAGTTTCGCGGACGCTCCGTAGAATTGGCCAGGTGATCACCATCAGACAGCGAAAGACGTCCGCGATTGGTCGTCGTCAGCTGGAGACGATCATCATGGTCGACAGTTTCGCGGACGCTCCGGAGAATTGGCCAGGTGATCACCATCAACGAAAGACGTCCGCGCTTGGTCGTCGTCAGCTGGAGACGATCATCGGGGTCGGCAGTTTCGCGATCATTCCGGAGAATTGGCCAGGTGATCACCATCAACGAAAGGCGCGCGCGAGTGCCGGCCGGGCGGGCCGGCGGGCTTGCGGCTGCGTGCTGGCCTCCCGGAAAAAGAAGGCCGCCGGGCGTTTCCGGGCCTCCTACGTCCGTAGAACGCCCGGAAACGGTGGCGGGCAGGCAGCGTCTGGCCGGGTGCAGGGGCTGCCCGCGAAATTGTCGCCCGGCGATTTTGCCGAAAAAGTTCGCCGCGACGAAGATCGCCGGGCGGGCTGCGCGCCAAAGTTCTAGGGGGCGGCTGCGAAACTACCGCCCGGCAAAGATTGGCCCGGCTTTTTGTTCGGTCGGCCCCGCCTGTACTTGGCGCGCCCGGAAAAAGACGGCCGCCGGGCGTTTCCGGGCTCCCTACGCCCGTAGAACGCCCGGAAACGGCGAAGCGCTGCCCGTCGCTCAGATTTGTTGCTGACTTCCTTGGGCGGCGTGGAAGCGTCGCCGACCAGGCTCGCCGTGCGTGCCATCGGGGGCGCCCTGTGGTAAATTTCCCGCGCCAAAGGTTTTGCGGGCAGTCTTGAGACGATGACGACCATGCGGGACCATCTTCAGCCGATGGCGACCATGCCGGATCATCTTCAGCTGATGACGACCATGCCGGACCGCCTTCAATGGATGGGGACCATGCCGGATCGTCTTCAGCTGATATCTATTCTCATACTTAATTAAAGAGCTTCATCATCACGGGACATGTAAAACTAATCAATTGTTGCATTTAATTTCATTTTTTGTATTTTTTAAATAAACATACGGTGTGACCCGAAACTTTTTCTTACTCTTTGTGGTCACAAATCCGCATTACTTTTCGATATCGGGAGGGGGAATTTTTCCTTACGATACCTGTGGCACGGGACCAAGCCGGACGCGGCCACCGCGATCACGAGCTCGGACTTTCGCTTGGACTTGTCGGGTATCAACTGCAAAAATGTCTAGGTCTGGAAGAGTGCGGGTTTGGCATGCCAGTCGGGCATGACTCTGAGCTCTGTATTGCGTGGCTGCACAGAGCTCCTCTTGCCTGTCATGGAACAACGCAGTTTCTCATGCGGAGTAAGCAACTGAGAACCACGGAAAAACGTGTCATGCTTGGCAGTGCAATACGGTGCGCGCACTGTTCCCTGACTTGAATCACAAATCTCTAGACCCAGACATATTTGCATTTGATATCGGGGTCGCACGCGGGCACGCTGTACGGAAAAGGACTCTACTTTGCGGAAGCGTGCTATGGAAGAGTGTCAGGATTGAAATCGACAAAGTTGAAATGTAATTTCTGATATAGGTGTCCGATAGAGCTGCTAAAGTCGCATGACGAAAGACGCCTTCTGTCCCTAAACAGCATGACAAACTGGATTTGGACGGTGCCGAAATTTGTCATGCGCCGCTTAGAAATTGGGCTTCCAACTGGTATCGATTTTATGGATGACAACTTTGTCGATTTCAATCCTGACACTCCCATACGTGCTCCAAGTCCGATGAGTACACTGAGCCGGAGTACATGACGGGGCTGCGGCCGTTGCTGCTGTGTCGGGTGGTCCTGGGGAACGTGTATTACACCGACGATATGAAATTGAAACTTTGCGAAGAAAGATTGTGCTAGTATACATCAGACACGAAATAAAATCAGTGGATGTTTCTCCCATCCGTTCGAGCCGTCGCACAGAGAACATCACAATCTGTATTGCCGAAGTTGTATTCCAGTTTTGGTTTCTTTGTCTAGAAGGGAACTACAAGCTGAGTCATTTGATGATAGGTACTTACTGCAAGAACATGCTCCGTCCTGCACAAAAATGTTTCTTCCACTCCATAGAGGAAATCCACCCGAACGTCGATTCGTTGGTGCAGAAGTGCACGCGGGGCCCCTATGACTCGGTGTTGGGGGACCGTGAGAAGTGCCGCGACACCTTTCGGGAGCTGGTATCACACGCAAATAGGTCTTTGTCTGGAAGTAGATTGCAGGGCTTTTTCATGCAGGTTTTCCATGACACGACATCATGAGGTCTGTCCTATATGAGCTAGCATGACAGATTCTGCGCGACCGCTATCATGCCTCCCCTGCATGAGAAGCTGCCTCTCATCAACTTGGTCAAGAAAATGGGGCCGCTTTTGGTAATGAATCACGCAAGTTATTAGCATGACAACGTTGTTGCACTATTCAGAATTAGCATGACAAGTGTAAGTATCCAGACCCAGATGACATATTTGCAATGCATAGTTGATTGTGTACGACAACGACCAGTGTTACCCGGAGTACATGATATGGTACAAGAGGAGGTTCTAACAGATAGAGGATAATTGATTCTTGTTCACGAATTTTTGTTCAATTTTCCGGCTTTTGCTGGTTCATTGAACCAATATGCGATCAATTATTCTAGAAAAAAACACTCCTCGCTCTTCGTCTTCGTCTTTTTAGTGCGCAAGAGCGAGAAGTGTAAGGCGGGCCTTTCCTCATTGATTCATTTTTTCGATGGACTTTTCATCTTTTGGTTCCAGTTCTTCAGTAGAGCGTATTTTTCCTTTCCTTTTTCATCTGTTCTGTATCTATGTCATGTCTGCTTACCGAGCCGACCGGCCCGTGGCTGTGTCGCGGCTCTGTCTTCGCGATATTCTACTGCGCTCGACGAGGCGCCGGAGCTGCTGCGCAGAGTTAAATACCAATGTGAGAAGATGTTGCCTTTCATCCTCCTATTTGCAAAAATAATGCGCACGAAAGAACGGTGCCGGTGGATGAGTTTGAGCACCACACTTCAAAGCACGTGTACGTATTCTTGCTCCAACGTTGTATTTGTGAGAACTGAACTACCACAATCTCCAAAGAGCATCTTCACCCGCATTCTGTTGTTTTTTTGTTATCCCTGTTCTCCTGCGGACCACCTTCGCGATGGAGACCCACCTTCACGACGGGGCTTTGTTCTTCTTGACAAGGAGCGACGAGACGGTGACTGTTAGTACTGACTCCAGAGCGCTTCGTTACAAGTGTTTATACTAGCCGCTGTTTGAAAATAGAGTAGTACGAGCGAATAAGTCAAGTTGTTGTGTTTTGGTGAAACTACTGGTACAATTGGGCGAGACAACCACGGGGAGACAGTCGACTTCGCATGTAGAAGTACAACGACCCGGCTCTTTCGAGTGTTGTATACGAGTGCAGCGAGTGGTAAAATCCAATTCGTCTGTCGTTTTTGTGTGTTGCGGTCTAATTGTAATTCCACTTTCTTCAGCCTTCAAATCGTGCTTGTTGATGCTTCATCGTTTGAAGAGAGGGATCGAATGAATTGAGTGCGACGAATGAGTCGAGATTGAGAATGGTATATTATAAGCTACCCAGGCACCCAACTCTCTGAGAAGTACTACAACCACAACATTACCGCCTATTCTTCCGTCTCTTTCGACATAAGGTTTCATGTTTGTAAGAAGCCGGTATCGTCTTTCTTTCGATATTGGCGTTTTGACTCGGGAGGTCTTTTCTGACAGAAGTCCGTTTTGAAAATACTCTGCACAAAAAAAGACACATAGGAGTCCTTTTTCTTGCCCTCAACGAAAACTCTCGATGTAGTGCAGGGGATATTAGATGTAGTATGAGTATCGGGCCAAAATCAGCCCAGAACCGCTTCACAAACCAAGTTTATTTTACAAGATTATTTAAGATTTGAAAATAGTGTCCACAATTTCTAATCCGGAAAGTAGAAGTCTCTACAGGAGCTACAGGCGAGCTGCTGACGTCAACATCTTTTTCCGAAGTTTTTACTCTTTACTTTCAAAGTTTCCAGTTCCAAGAAAACAACAAAGCCTACCAGTTTTAACATTTTATGCGAGTTTAGAGTCAAGAGTACCAAATATATGCGAGTTTTTTGATTCCCGTTGAACGTGTGATATTTTCCAGCGCACTGCTAGTCTATTCTTCCTACCTACTTACTTGCTTGTTCTACGGGTGAAGTAGAAGCCGGGGCTTCAATCTTCAAATCGTAATATCACTTGGAGAACAAAAGAACTATTACTATTTCAATTGATTATTTCCGATTTCGCGCTTACTACTTTTTTTTTCTGTTCTTGTTTTTCTGGCGTAGGTAACCTTGCTTTATCTTTCCAGTTACGACGGGCCGGCTGCTGCAATCCTTCTGCTCTTGGCTCCTGCAATCGGGAGGAAGAGCCACGTCGTCGTGGTCACCAGGTAGACCTACCGCAGGGGAAATAAAACAAAAATGGTGAGTACTGTCAGCGACAGGAAGAGCCTCACCACCGCTAGCTCCACTACGACAAGCAGCAGCACGTCGACCGGATTGAAGAGCCCCATGAACAATCTGAAACAGGAAGGCAGCTGCTACAGGAGCCCAAGAACAACTACGAGCTGCACCACTCCGCGCGGGGGCGGCGTGGAGCTGCATCAAGATGGTCCTGCTCGCCCGCGCGCGGAGTCCGACAGTCTGTACGTGGACGCTTTTGACGATGTGCTCTTAGAGGATGTGCCGGTCGCCTGCTCGGAAAAACTCCGCATCTCATCAACCGGTTCATCTTCGCACCCCGACCATTCTATCCCACTGAAAAAGACAGGCAGGTCATATTTCTAAATGCAAAAGTATAAGTTTAGCAGATTTATTTCTCCTGTCATGGGCGCCGGACCCACAGTGTGCCATTTGGGATATGCAGTACAGATTTTTTCGTGTACTTCTTATTTTTGCATAATACGAGGATGCCCTGCCCCTGCCTGTCTTTTTCTGTGGGATACACAACTCGAGTTCTTGTGTCAGCGGGTCCTCTTCCAGTTTTGACGAGTTCCTAGACGTCGAGGTCGCTTCGACGTCGGGCGTTGAAGTTGTACTAGAGACGGCTCTATGCATTGCAAATATGTCTGGGTCGGGAGGAAACTTGTGACGCTAGTTTGTGAATTTTGGGCGCACTTCGTTACGCAACCACGCATGACAAGTTTTTGTGCTCCTATGTGTCTTTCTTCCCGCATGACAGCTCAACATGCATTACAGACCTAAGAGTCATGTGAGACAAGCACGACAAACTCGCATTCCTCTAGACCCAGACATATTTGCAATGCATAGGCTCCCGGTCATGAAGTAGCTTTTGAAGAAGATTATGATGATCAGAACGACAACTACGGAAACAAGATGAGCATGATGAACTTCTCATCTACGACCTCCTGGGGTCCGTCCTCTCCGGGCGACTTCTCGGGTACTAGCTCCAACGTGACGGGAGTCAGTACTGCATCAACTACCAGTGCAGCTGGTGAAGTAACGACAAACGAGATTACTTCTTTAGTTCCTCTAGCTGGCGAAGGTTTATTCTTGCCGGAAGATGCTGGAGATGATGATGAACTACAGGTACTACAGGACGACAGCAAGAAAGTACTACAAGAACGTGATCAAGAACATGTAGTTGCACAGCACGAGCCTGTGAAGATGAACAACACCACGACCAAGAATTATAAGGCGTCCTCTTCGTCCTTCTTTTCCCAAATGACACGATCCATCTGGGGTTCGTTCGCGAGTTCATCTCCGACCGCTGGTGCAGCAGCAGTATCAATAAACGAAGGCAGCGAAGAAGTAGATCTTGGCGGGGGTGGTCGTGCTGGGGCTACCGCGAAAGGAACAAACTGCGAACAACTAGTACAACAACCGGGCCGCTCGTTCGGTGGGCCGCGATATGGTACTGAGTCTGATTTTTCACGTTCAAACATTTTGAAAGCCCATCGAAAAATTCTAAGGGCGACGGCCTTCCACGGCAGAAGAACGAAGCTTGCGGCGTTATTTCCATAGTTTGCGGGGGATGGGGTTCGTTGGGGTCGGGATTCGCAGCCGGAATTATATTCATATATTGGGCGGGGGGGGGTTGGGTTTTATTTGACGCGGTGGGGCTTTAACAAAAACGGAAAAATGAAGATACGGCACAAACCTCAGCATGCAAAAACGTCACTCACGCAGCTGCTGTGTCGACCCAACTAGAAATGCGTGCTGAGCACACATTTCTAGTCGGGTCGTCAGTGTCGGGCTATCAAGCTCCGACCCTCTTCAAAAGAAGATCAGTAGAGCCTAGCGCCCCCCAAAAAGAACAACCAATTGCGTTTCCGGACACAAAACTGGTATCGCCATTGTTAGCAAGATCAAATTTACTACAGGAACAGCACTACATGTAGGATCAAAAGTAGAAACTATGTTGAAGATCCGCTCACCGTGCAGCTTTTTTTTGATACGATCCGATCTGAAACTAGACGTAGCATGCACAACATAGAAGAAGAGCTCCCTGGTCAGCTCCCAATAGCAGATAGCAAATTTGTGTGGAGATTTATATCACCACCTGATCTAACCATTGATAGGATCTAAAACTACTTTGCGAGTAGATCTAGTTTGGTAAAGTGTTAGTGTTCCTGGGAAGGAATTTTTGCTCTATTCTTTGATACCGCTGTTCCCTCTGCCTAGTGCTGCTTTGAAGCAAGCCCGCGCTTCCTCGATCCTTCCGCAGCCAGCTATGTTCTGTATGAAAATCAATGTTCAGAGCTCTTTGTTTTCCAGCCGAGGCCATGAAGTCGCCACTTTTTTTTTTATTTCGCCTCAACAAAATTGATTTTTCCACAGCGATAATTCAGGATCTGTTTTAGGTATTTTCCGTAGTATCTATGGGACATCGTGGTTACGCGCTTAGAATTTCACCCTCAAGAAAACAGTACGAATACTAGCTGCCTTTCATCGCTCTGCTTTTTGTGTATAATAAATAATTTTCGAAAGCCTAAGCCAGGACTTTACTTTATACTCCTTGTACAAATTACGACTTTTTTAAATGCTCCACTAGTGTCAATTGAAAATATACACCGAAATAAGATAGTATCGACGTAGATCCATAATAAATAGTACTTACAGCCCGGCTCTTCTGTGTCAAGAAGAGGTAGCCGCAATATTAGCTGCTCGAAGAAATCGCACTCCCTTTCTGTACTTGTGTAGTACGCACCAAGTTTACAATTTATAACCCCTACTGCTACTTCTATTAGCCTGCGACTGCGAGGGTAGTCGGCATAGGAAAGAACGCAAACTATAGCTGGGAAACATTTGATGTGAGAAAATTCAATAGAGTTCTACATGTAACGATGAGTAATAGTGGATATAGTTTTATGCGTAGTACCCCCATAGTTAGAGAAACCCTTCGAACAACACGCGCTTGTGTCTGTTCACCATAATTATCGACTCTGTTTCGTGTTTGTTGCTTAACTCAATGAGAGCAGGCACTAGCACTTTAGAAGATACTGACCGGTGCTAAGGACCATCACGCTCACGAAAAAAAGACTCTAGGTTATTTCTAGGCTATCAGAAGCCTGCTCAAGGAGGATCATGGTTCAGCATAGTATATTCGTGGAGGTCTGACGGCTGCTCACATCAGCATAGGTATTTTTTTTTGTCCATAGAAACATGTAGCAAAGGCAAACCCATATGATTCTACCATCAGTATGAGAGAGGCTCCAGAACAGCTACGATCTAAACAGAATATCGATTGAGATAGTAAAAGCCGGGAAAAATAATAAGTGCCATTTGTTCGAGTACACCTGTATGATTTGTTTTCAGCATCACAAATAGTACAACGCCAGGCTTTTCTTATCAACTTAGTTTTTACCAAGTTCTTTCCGGCCACACAAAGTGGACCAAATTAGTGTGAAGAATATAAATATATATTTTTATGACATTCATCGCCGTCTGTCACGGCCGCCTTTTTCTCCGGCTAGCTTTGCCTGCGACGAAGGATCACCGCCAATTGGAACGTTTACAGACTCAAGAGCGTTCAACCCTATTTGGCGAACAAGTGTTGTAGTAGTGAACCACACGACCTCAACCATCGAAAAACCATCAACACCCTCACCATAAAAACATCCCCATTTGACAAAAACTTTAGCAACTGTGAGAGATGAGGAGATGGAGAGCAACTAGTACAGTTGGAAAGATTTTATCTCATACAGCTTGTAGAAATTATTAGATATTTTTGCGGTACTTCCTAGTACCGTAATAAATCCTAGTACTGCTCTACTTCTAGTAGCTTCCGTTCCACTTCATCTTCTTGTCGACAAAAGAAGCTTCTGCTGATTCATGGGCTAGTAGTGTTTCTAGTAAAAGTGTAGGAGAACACACTTCAGTAAGAAAAAACACGGAGTATATTTTTTCAAAAACAAGTTCAAGTACTTGAATAGCATCCACCAGATTTATTTTCTGAGACGGTTAAGCGTTGGCGACCACTGGTGACGCCAACCACAGCACCGAATTGCTAGTAGAAAATTTTCTTGTGAAAGTACAACAGTCTGTAATAAAAACTACCTCCAGCCTATAGTAATCACAATCACAGAATCTTCGATCGACTCATAGTTAGTTTCAAAGAAGTCATATTAACCAACGGGTTGTTTTTTCAGAACACCAGCGCGGCGAGAGAAGTAGAAGGAAAAGTTGTTTCTCCTTTTCTCGCAAAAGCGGTACTTACTACCAAGAGCAGACCCAACTCGTCAACGCGGCCCATCATGAACCGCGTTTTCGAGTATTTTACCGGTCAAGCGACGGCCGGAGCGACGGACGAGGGGAGAACAGCAACGCTGGATAGCTTCGAGGAGGCAGCGGAACCAATGAGCATGCATTCCAATAGTTCCACTTCGAAGTTGGGCGCTGCTAGTAGTACCAAAACAATCACCGATCATGGGGAGCAGGGCGTGGTCATGCCGTTTGAGGGCGCCGGCACCGGGGTTCCTCGCGGAGGCAACTATAATGATCACGCCGCCGGGACTACTACTACATCAAGTTGTACCACTTCCAGCTGTGCTGGTGCTGGCATTAGTATGATGCACAACACTGCTAATGCAAAGAACGCCAATTATTATGCGAACCCCACCCCCACCAAGACGCCGCCTACGCGCCGCATGCTAGACCGGGAAGATGTAGATGGCGTCGAACACACGGCTACCACTGGTCAACGCCGTTTTAGACTAAGATAGAATAGTGATTTGTGATTCCGCTTTTTTAAAAATTGAATAGTAAAATGTGACAAAAATTGAGGAATACATTTTCGATGATGGATCAAGAAGTAGAGCAGCTGGTCCACGCATGAAGTACTCCAAGAAACTAAATAAACGCCCCTGAACGAAATAACCTATGGCCAGCAAAGCTTAGACGTTTTATGCCGTGCGTGTCGCTCCATGCGGATGAGCATGAGTGGCGTGGCGCCGGCCAGGTGGCAGCGGTGAAAATCCTTCCAGACGACCGTCTTGGGCGATTGGGCCTTGAGTAAGCGACCCCCTTCTGTCTCGCGCACCACCAGAATGCGCGTTGCGCCTCTTCCCCGGATCGCGTCGCTGCTCGTTGCGCGCTAGCATTGCGCAACAGAAAGCCAGGAGAGTCTGGCACACCAAAATCGTTCCGAGCCACTGGCTCAAGCTGTGCTGCGCAGGAGGGGCGGCGGCTGTAAGTCGCCTGAGTGCTTAGGGCCATTGGGGCCGAAGTCGCATCCTGCTCTGCGGGGGTGAAGGGATCAGTGTAGAGGCGTGCAGCGCAGGCGGGCGCAGTGTCAAGTAAAGGCAATCGCTTCTCCTTGTGTGTAGGAGTTGGTGGGGAAGGCGGAGGAAAAGGCGGGTAGGAAGTAGCGGCTTCGCCGAGGACGCGCACTTTTTGACTAGGTGGCGACGGCGAGGATGCGTGACGGTGGTGTTGGTGCTACGCCTTTGCTTTGGTAGGGTAATAGCATAGAGCAGGCGAGAAAGAGGGCGAGATGATGGCAAAACTGATTTGCAGTGCGTGGGTCTTTTAGAGGTTACACGCATCACGCGAGATATCGCTCAGCCTCTTGCACTTGCTTCTCGTCGTTCTACAGCGTTGGCATTTTTGCAACGGTTGCACTTGTCCTGTGCGAACATACACCGCATGCGCATCGCCATAAAGGAGAAGGGCAGGATCTGGGTGGAGAGTGGTGCGGCCCTCTTTTCCGGCATGCCAGCCCAGCTAGCATTCCCTCGGGGTGATGACTGCGGCGCACCAAAAAAAAAACGGCGCGGCCTCTTGAGAACCCGAGCAATTTTTGCCGGGAATCAAGTAGACGCAGACACCGAAAAAAGGGCCGCACTCCGGCCGTGCCCCGGCACGTGGTAAAGCCACCCAGATAGTGCTTGGGGCCGCGCCCTTTCGAAAAAGTTCAGGGCGTTTCTTCGTTTCTGAGCTTTTTCCAGTTCCGGCGCCAGAATTGATAAAAGCCCAGCCTCCCGAACTTTTTCCAAAGCCGGCCCCTTAGGAAATCTTTAGGAGCCGGTCTTGGTTGAAGTCAAGGACCGCAGACTTTCGTCAGTTCCGGAGCCGGAATCCGAAAAAGTTCAGAATCGAGATTTGGCCCTGAACTTTTTCCAGAATGCCTTTCGCGAATTCCGTCGTCGGAATTCGAAAAAGTTCGGGGGCCGAACTTTTTCCGGTTCCGGCTTCGGAATTCCGGACATGTGCCGGCCTCTCGGATCAGTTCGGGAGTTCCGGCCATGTGCCTCTTCGGAATTCCGGACATGTTCGGGAGCGTGTGCCGGCCTCTCGGATCAGCTCACGCGCTGCGTGCTTCCGGCGTGCCTTTTTTTTTCTTTCTTGCCCACGGGGGCCTGGTGGGCAACTCGCGGGGGAGACCGTGCAGAAGCGGACCTGTTGCGCTTCACCCATGCGTTGCCTGCTTGTTTCCGCGGCGCGCGGGCGTTTGAGCCGGGTTTGGTATCCTGGCGGGCACAAGGGGGGGCCTGCCCGTCTTCGTGCCGTGCCTCGTTTTCGGCCCGGGCCCGAGACAGCTGCGTGCGGCGCAGCTGTGGCTACAGCTTTTATGGATCAAGAAGTAGAGCAGCTGGTCCACGCATGAAGTAGCATGAAGTATTTTCCTTCTATGCTGCTGCATAACGGCACGTGCGGCAATACAACTTCAATAGAAGGGTCCTGAATAGAATTGTTCCATACATGGTAATATACACCCACTTCGATGTAGTTCTTATTGGAGGATGGTCTGTGGTCGGAAGAATGTAGGTATTCTATGCCAAACCAAAATAAAAAAAACACAGCCAACACCAGCGGGCACTCGGGCGCGCAGCTAACCGCGACGCCGCGCTCCGGTGATTTGCGGACAACTACCCATAGCACCGGCACTTCGACCAGGCTCGAAGCACAACTAGATGGGCCGGACCATTACGCGAATTGCACTCCGATTTTGGTCGATCAGCAGGTCACGGCCAACATGAGCCAGCACGGGGCGATGAATGTTTGTGGAGGTGAGCGAGGTGGTACTTCCAATGCTGCTATGAATGGGGCGGCCAACCCGCCGCCGGGGATCCGTCTCTCCGGGCGCGTTTCATCTTCGACCTCTGGCTCTAAACACGCCGCCGCTGCTTGTACGACAGGTGCGGGAAATGCTCGCTCGTCAGAGCAATCTTTGTCCACGATTAGTACGGGCATTATGAATAATCCGCGGGAGTCCATCACCTCTGGTGTGCAGCACAACGGCCCTACAAATTACGCGGCTGGTTCTACTTTGTCGTCCGCCCGCGAGTCAATGATCGTGATCGAGACCACAACCCGGCAGTACACCAACATGACCACGCGGAGCAGCACACTGGAACAAGGTACGATTTTTATGACTACGTCACCAGTCGTGTGCTGCGAAATAATTTTCAAATACAAGTACCACGGACGTGAAAGATGAAAAATCACAAAGATTTATGTTGTCGACGTTTCAGAAAAATAAAAATGTTCAACAGGAGATGACGGGACTTTCTTTGCCGGATCGGTGGGTGGTACTACAAGCGCACCCAGCGGCGCACAGCAACAGCAGGAGCAATCCCTGCAATCCCCCCGCAGCAGTTCTGCCCGTGCCGGCGGCGCGGTGCAAGTGGCACTGAACGGTGGATTTTCTTCGACAGCACTGCAGCCTTCAGGACCACGGGAAGTAGTAGAAGGAAGTAAAGTTGTATCCTCTTATGCGCAAAATACTAAACAAGCTGAGTTTGTTGATGCCGTTACCGTCCTACCGGAGGTAGTGCAACTGCAGCTGCAACCGAACCCGTCTGAGCCCTCTTCCGCCGCGCAGAGCACGCTGCCGCTGAACAGCCCAAACCAGGATCTGATGATGCTGTCAGAAAATGAGGCGAATGAGATGAATGCCCATTTCAAAAATAGTGGCAACTTGAGAGTGGTCTCCGTCGGAAATAACAGCAAAAGCCATCATCTTCTCGAGAGAACACCGACGCACCAAGGAGGTGGCAGCGCAGGGGCTGGCGCTACGAGCGGTGGGACGACTTCGTCTATGGTTCTGCCCGTTGGGGAGGATCTGGAGAAGGCGGGGTGGGACGGATGGGTTGATCCCAACCGCAAGCGCATTCCGGTCACCTGTCGACACTGGTATAAATCAGAAATAAACGACTCATAGATGTATTTGAATTTGGTCTTGGCGAGGGCTTGAAAGCGACTTGTTTCTACTAACTTGTGCACGTCAAACTACAAACATCAAATCTACTACAATTACTTTCAACATGACTCTGGTACAACACAACCAGGCGTCAAGGCCGCTGTAACGTGATTCAGTGCCGGTTTTTGCATGAGGAGGTTCCGGATCCCCGGGAGGTCCAGCGCCAAGCGGAACTGGAGGAGATGTACAACAAGCCCGCCATACGCGTTGCAAAAGTATCGCACCCGTAGTTCTTGTAATTGCAATCACGCAGCAGCATCATGAGAAATATCGATTCTTGCTTCTAGTACCACAGATTCCGCAAGGGTTTTTAGCTGATTAAGTAATAGCTGTAAGTTTAGCTTTTTACTTAATCGTGTTAGTATCACATCTCTGAGGTCAGGGTTTTAGGATTTAGGGTTTCATTCTTTTGCGATCGAAAGAAATTGTGTCATGCAAAAATTTGTGCTTGGGCTAGTGCGATGCTTTTGCAATGCATACACCACGGCGCAGTCCTACCCGCGTCCGCCGACGCCACGGGTTTTGCCGCCCCCGAAGGTGAACAACCCACCCGCGCCGGTGCCGCCGGTCCCGGCGCCGGCGCCCTGGGGGGCAGGGGGAAACGTGGGAAGACCGACGCTGTCCAGGCCGGACTCGCAAACGGTAATTATATGACTCTCCTGGAATGACGTAGATCTCTGTGACGCAGATGAATTCCAGTTCGCACATGATAAGTACTTCCTGTATGACCGGTGCATGCTCCTCTTCAAGTAGGTACAACTACCCACGATCGTGATGCGTTTTGATGTTAAAAAAAAATGACTCGTCCAGGTTTGCCGCCACTGGCTGCAGAACCGCTGCAACGTGCCGCAGTGCCGCTTCTTGCACTCGGATTTCCGGTATGAAGACTGCTACACCGATCCCAACAATTCGTACCGGGAGCCAATTTCGCGGAATCAGCGGGACGACAGATTCATCGACTCCTCGCCCGATCGAGACGATTACTACTCCTACTGCAGGTACAGTACAACGTAATTGAAGATTTGATTATTGGAGTGACAACATCACTGGCGGAAAACAAAGCGAGTCGTTTCCACCGGCTGGAACTTCGTAATCGTCATGCGAGTCGTTTCGCATCCAATCTACAGAAGCCGAGTCGTGCAGCCGCTCTATAAAATTCCACAAAAATATTGCAGCAAGAACCTTGTTTAAAAGTGAAGCTCTACTTACACTCGTCTTGCTGCAAAATGTTTTAATTAAAAACGACCCCCAAAAATCATAAAAACCAGGGAAGCACCCTCGGCAGGAGGTCCCTCAGTGGTCCCCGCGCCAGCAGGTCCGGGAAGTAGTTCCTCCTCCACCTCCCAGGCCGCGGTTCCCCCGGTTCCGCCTCCGGCTCCGGCGCGCGTGTCCCCGCTGCCCCTGCCCGTGCCGCACCCGAGCCAGCAACAGCAGCCGCAGGGTGTGGTGCCGTTTTCGGACATTGACGGCGAGGACGTGAACGTTTGCCGGCACTTTCTCCGGGGCCGCTGCAACGTGCCGCAGTGCCGGTTCCCGCACATCATGCCGGACGATTTGCCGGCGTACAAACGCGCGCTGCAGGAAAACCGGGAGTTCGTGAAGTCGCAGTTCGATCACCGCGCGAAAACCTCGGTCGTCAGCACCTCGGTGCCGCCCGTGCCTAGCCCCGCCGGGCAGACGCAGATCAGCGACGGCGCCGCCTCGACGCACAGTCCCGGCTTGGCGGGGTCGTCCTCTGCCGGCGGCGCGCCGGGGTTGCAAGTTAGTGGCGGTGCTGGAACTTCTGGGATGTTGATGAATAGCAATAGCACTACCTCTCCGAACGGTACAACTACGAGCGTGCAGCCGGCGGGAGGACACCAGCAGCTGCTGCACCAGAGCCAAAGCCAGTCATTGAACGCGAGCTCCAGCAGTGCAACTACATCGGTTAATACGACATCTGTGGATCATCACCTCCAGCAGCCTATGCAACCGCAGCACGATGCCATTTCGACGAACTCGACCCTTCAGAGTCCGGATTTGAGCACTGCCACGGCCATTCCAGGGGGCGGCAACCGCGGCGCGGCGAATGGTGGAGCAGGAGGAGCTTCTTTGACGAATAGCACGACGAATTCCACCCAACAACAAGGTCAACATGGTCTCCAGCAACAGCCTGCGAGTCGTACAACGACCTCAACTTCGAACGTGCTCCCCCCACCGCAGCCGCCGATCTTGCAGACCAAGGTGCAGAACGCGCAGCAGCAGATGCAGCACGAGAGTACAATTTCTAACGCGTACAACTTGAACGGCAGTAGTACTTCAGTCGGAGGACACCACCAGCACCAGCAACACCTGCATCATCAAACGACCCGCGCTTCGATTTCGTCCTCCACAACCTCCAACGTGCTGCCGCCACCGGCCCCCGCCCCGCTGCAGGTGCCTGGTGCTGGAGGAGGCCACCACAATCAGTACCCACCGATGACCGCCGCTCCTTCCGGGGTTTCGGAGTACCCGTCCGGTGTGTACCCGGTGCCTGGGCAGCCGATGTCAGGGTACGCGACCATGGCCAGTGTGGCAACCAACCCGGGAATGTATGGAGGTACTTTGGGTACTGTTTTGTTACATAGTACATGCAGCAGCTGTTCTTGTATGGCACATAGAGATGGAGTCACCTGCTTACTTCTACTCAATTTGACGACATTATCGTGTGCTTGTGATGCTTGTCATGCAACAGGATAGGATTATGGAAATCTGGATTTTTGCCGAATTTGAGCTCGAACGTGCATACAAAAATAAAAACATTCGCCTGCTATTAAACACCACCATTCAGCCGACCCCAACCTGGACCAATCGGGCTACTACCACGCCGCCGCGGCTGCCGCTCCGCCACCCGGTTACCATCTGGGCATGAATCCGTCGGCCTACGGTGCAGCCGCGGCTACTCAGTACTTAAACATGTTAGCTAGTAACCATGCATACTTGAATGCCATGATGGTGCCAGTCTTGGTGCCCACAAATAAGACTGGTAGTAGTAATGCTCGGAGTAGAGGGGCAAACGCAAATGGAACAAATGCAAATCTTGCCTCGTCGGGCAGCGCTTTGGAGGATGTCGACCTTTCCCTTGTTTCATCGTCCGCTGGAGGGCGCAACCGGGTTGGAAGCCGGGCCACGGCCGGGAGCAGTGGAATTACGAACAAACACAAGAAACAAGCCGTGCTGCACCAGAAAGGGACACACAGTGTAATATCCGTGAAGGGCAACAGCACTTCTAAAACGTCCTCGGCACATCATCAACCGACTTCTTCTTCTTCCACGACACGGGGTAGTTCATCTCGTGGTGGTGTTTCTACTCCTGCTGGTATGGTTCATCCTCCCACCGCCTCAACAAACTCTGCGGCGGCAGCGGCGGTGGCGAATGATTTGATGAAGCAAATACAAATGCAGCACCAGCAAGCTGCTGCGTTGGTCGCCGCCCAAGCCGCAGACCCACGGCTGCAGCAGCTGCAGCAACAAGCCTTAGCCGCGCAACACCTCGTGCACCGCCAGCAGCAACAGCAGCATAGCATTACGGTCAAGCACAAGAAGAGCGGGTCTGGTTCCGGCGTCGCAGCGACTTATGCTCAGGGCGGCCCCTTCTCCGCCGGCGGTGGAGCAGCTTCGACAACAAGTACTATGATGCAGCACCTCCAGACGGCGGGCAAGGGCAACAAGGCCGGCGCACAACAAGTAGTCACGAAGAGCTATAGCTACAGCACGGCGTCAACGCGGGCCGCCACGAATTCGAATTTGAGTTTGGGAGGTTCACTAGTGCCGCCGGCTTGTTCTTACAACATCGGGAGTACAACTAGCGGAACGACGACCAACGCCACTATTCCTTCGCAACTACACTTCGACCACCTGATGAGCGGAGTAGGAGCTGGTGGTCCTGCTATAACTAGTCCACAGCTCTTCCCCGGCAGTGGCTCTAGACCTGCTCCAGCTGGTTATGCATCTGGGGGTCATGTTGAATCCGGTTCCGATATGAACACCATGAAGGTAAAAAAAGGAAGCAGGATGAACGTTTGGACCAAGGCCGCGACGCAACATGTTGCAAAAAGTATCGATACGGAGTTGCTGTACTACGGAGATGAAATGAAGAAGAGGATGGGTACTACTAGTAAACAGGTACGTACAACGCAACAGCATGATCCATCGCACGACGCCACGATGGTGGATACAACAGCATCCGTCGCTCGCGATGACCACGCGCGTGCGGTCGCAATACCCCCGCCGCCGCCTCCGCCTCCTTCCAAGGTGCCGCCGCCGCCTCCAAAGCCCGCGGCGTTGAATCGAACCGCGTCTAGTTGTAGTACTGCTCCGGCGCACAAGAACTACAAGCCGCCGCCCTTCACGGCGCCGCCCCACCAGCCCGTGTCGGTCATAACTCAGGAGCAGGCGATGAGCATTTACAGCCAAATCGCACAGGATCAGCTCGAATCCTCTACTGCGGAGTACAACAACGTGTTACAATCTTCTATTTCGCAATACAAGGACGCGATAGAGTCTTCTAGTTCTACAACTGTGCACCAGTTGTATAATGATATAGAAGATTCGCATGGACCAGCACATCATGGAGCTGGAGGTGGTGTTTTTGGCGAGAAGATCAAATCAACAACCGCGATGTTGTACGAGGAACTACCCGATGAACAATATGTCTACAGCAAGGAACAGCAGGAACTCTTCGCCCAGCTGGGAATGAGCCTGATGAGCGCCAGTTCGCAACCGGGTCGTGCAGGAGCACCAGTTCATCAATCCGGCGGGGGCATGCAAATGCAATTGAACAGTACCTGCTCTACTTCCACTGCTGGCAACAACTACCTGGACTTCGCGTCTCGGCCCTACCGAACGTTTTCAGAAGAAAACAGAGCGGATGAATTTGCTGAGTACGAGGAGATTCTCAACGCTGCTCAGCACGCGGCCGTGCAGGACGGGAGCCTTGTTGTCGATGCCCGAGGAAGGTTCGTTTCCTGCGCATCGGCGAGTCAGAGTGGTTCTTGCGCAACGGCACCAAACGTAGCTGCGCCGGGTCGTGGAAAGATTGACAATAGCAACAACTACAGCATGACAACGGCCTCCTGCCCTAAGAAATTGCAGGATCTGCAGCAGGCGCTCGACGAAATTGTCGTCACGAAAAATAGTTGTAAGCAGGAGAACGACAATAAAAGTTATCGAGGTCGTTGTAGTACTTCTACTAGCGTCGAGAAGAAGTTGTTCGTCGGAAATAAAAATAATTTCAACTCGTCCCCACCAGAGCAGCAAAGGGACATCAACGCGGACGGTGAGCATGATCAGCTGCTTCTCAATGACTGCGACAAGAGCACTGTGGCGGCCACTCCTCTGGGAGGCAGTTGTTTTCTCGAAGAACGGGAGTCGTGCGAAGATGTTGGGGACGTAAAAAATCGCCGCGGGTCGCTCGAAGATGTTGATCGTGCGCTTTTTAGCCAGGAAGATGATTACAACAGTGCGGCAGTTCTTGTCACAACAACCACTCCTGCGGAAGATCATGTTGTGAAGCAGGTGTCCTGCGGGGAGGTGGGTGGTGTCAACAAGAACACGACCGCCCAGGAGGACGACAAGAACACCAACATTAGTAGTTGTAGTAAAGTCCTCTCCGAAACGTCCGAAACCAAAAGTTGTGTAGCAGGACGACCTTCTACTTGTGCAGTAGGTGGAAATTATAGGAAAGAGTGTGTAGAAGTAGTAGTAGATGAAAATAACAACGGAGCAAGAAAGAGAAGTTTTGCCAAGCACACGGCCACCGCCGAGACAGAACCAGTAATCCCTTCTGTGTCCGGCTGTGTGCTTGAGAAAAAAGATACTGACTCGAGGAGAACCAGTAGTGAAGTGGACAATTATTCGAATCATGTAACAACGACACACGAGTCCCACGACGAACAGCTTAAGAGTAGCGACTGCGGCACGACATCCACACACCAAGTGGTAGCTAGGGCCCCGGTCGTCCCTGCAAAGAAGGTCGTGCTCCCTCCTCCGGGCTTGACACTCAGTCCAGTGGCAGCACGGCATTAGTTTTAAGTTATAGTGTAAGTGCTTCTAGTAGTGCTCGCATGATAGGTAGTCGGGTTAGAAGACTCTATGAGCCTCTAGCGGCCGCGTACCACTTCTAGCAGCACCTCCCAAGTGTTGCTTGACGAGCGCCGCTCCTCGATGTCGTGGGCAAGAGGGATTTATTATGAGAAGTTTTCGTACAAGGCCTTGCAGCTATGTCCTCGGCGACATTATCTTCAAGTTGATGTCGAACAGAGGGCATGTGCTAAGCGTAGAAGTAGAGTGTATTTCGAGTCACAACACGTCAAGAGCCAGCATATGATCGAGTACAGCAGGAGGAGAAACAAGTATAGTGCAGTTTCATAGTTAGTGGAAATCGAGGATAGTATAGTACTTTTTACGGATCAAGTTTATAGTACTAGTAGGGAAAAACGTAAAGTAAATACGGAAACGCATCGCCAAACAAGAAAAACTAATCAAGTCTCGTCAACTGCCTCAGCGCCACGAGTTTATTCACTCTCGAATAACAGAGCGGAATGTAGGACGATTTTGAAGATTATTGACGCCCCGATATAATAATTCTTCAAAATTTTCAAAACTTTTTTACAGTAGAAGCTATTGCACCAAGACGCGCGATGCGGATGGTGAAGCATGAGAGGCCTGCCTTAGGTTTTTTGTCCAGAGGCTTTTCAACATCTTCACACGGGCTTGGTAAAAATGGCTTTCATATGCATTTCTTTTGGCCTTCTGCATTTCATTGTACAAATATTTTTTTTTTACAGTTTGTTTCGTACGCTGACAGACGCTGACCGCGAAGCGTCGTAAGCGTTTTAATACTTTCGTAGCTTTTTTACCAGAATGAAAACTTTCTTTTTGTCGAAGGTGGATCTTCACTTTTATCTGAAAGTCTTATTTGGATTGTATGATGCAGCACCACATTATTTTTACAGGAGAACTACGCTATTCTTATTCATTTTCATCACATAGTGCCATTTAGCGTTTCCCTCTATGAGCCCAAGGCATTTCGTCGGGATAGCATGATGATAGCATGATGTCTGTTGCAAGAAAGCGGAAATCGAAATTAAAGTAGAACTACGGCAGAAACTACGTGTAAGCTGATTTTGGAGATCACTTTCCTCAGTTTCTGTTTGGTGAGTTGACAGCACGTAGAAGTATGATAAACGTCTCACCTAGGGCAGGCATCGAGGCGTGCACCGCCCTGGGATTGTTTTGTCGTACTTACTAGCGTGCTTCTGGTGCCCGTGCCCAAGGTAGGACCACTATGCTTGTATCAAATCTTCACATCAGTCGCGCGATCATTCGCACTTTTTTGCAGTCCCACTATTTGTCACTTTTTTCGCAAAATGATAAACCACTGCTAGTACACAGCAAGAGAACTGTAAGCGGCGATGAAATAGATACAACTAGTACCACAAGGTTTCAAGCAGCTGGTGGGGCGAGAGGAGATGCAAGCTGTCTTCACGCAGCGCTTGGGTCTTTCTTCATCAAGAGCACCTTGATGAGTAGATCGCCTCTACTTATTGGTTTAGTCGAAAAGTAGAACCGTGCAAGAGGTCAGATCATCTGTATCTCGACACGACTTCGGCTCGTCCAATCTCGGGCCGCTTTTGCCGTGCGCTATCAAAAAAGAGTAGGTTTATTGATGCCTCCGAGATCAAGAGAGGCCTCTAGGATTACGATTGTTAGATCTAAACTTCTAGAACAGCAAGGTAGTACAAATGGGCTAGCAAAAAACTACTGTTGTTTTATACGAACTACTAAACGAAATTCAAGCGAGCGAACTGTATGATTTTCATTTTTTAGAAGGTAGCTTCTCAGTCTGGTGCATGAAGAGGCGGAGAGGCTCCAAGTAAGAAGGACAGTCAGAGTCGTAGATGCATGAAAAAGAGGAGTTTCTTTTTCCATTTTTTGACAGTAGACAGTAGACGTGAAGAGGTAGAGGTACCATGGGTAATATCTTTACTTCTTGTGATCTTTTTTTCTAGTGGAGAAGGAGATCGTAATTTCAACGGCGTGCGAGTAGTCAGAAGTATCTATTCAGCGGGACAATTATATACGAGAAAAAAGCAACAAGGGCGAAGTGAAATAACTCTTCACCAAGATCAGGATCATGCGCTCTGCAACGTTTTGCTTTTGGAAGTTTAACGCTATGTAGTAGATTCTTTTTGCGCCGTGGGAAATTAATAGACTTCACTAGCAAATCATGCGACTCTTGCCCGCACCCACAGGACTTCATCTCGCGAGTCTGGTAGATGTGCCATTGATTTCACCTCTCCATATCCTGAGGGCCTGTTTTTTTCCCCTCGTAGTCGCTCGTGCCTGTCGTTTTTTTTCTTCATCCATACATTTATTTTGAAGGAACTTTTCCTCAACTCAGTTGTACTTAGTGTTTACAATTAGTGAATGTGTTTCGTGCGTAAAAAGCGCATGTCCGGTCGGTTCTGCATGTGTGGTGATAAGCTAAGAAGAAAGCAACTGTAACCACTTACTTGCTGCGAGTTTTTCTTTTTCGGAAACCGCGTTTTCCACTGCACGTGTATCTTCAGCATACTCTGTACTTACTTGCAATTTTTAAATCTTATTGGTCTGTTGCCCAAAAATAATAGTGTGCGTACAAAATAAACTTTTTCTTCTTTGATTTTCCTCTGCCTTCGGTTGCGGCTTGCGGATCATGGAAACAAGTTATCTGGAGTGGTGGGGCAAGCGCATCAACCTTCGAGAACTACATCAGACAGCCAAGAAATCGGAGCATGTTTGTCATGTGAAATGTTGCATCTTCCAAGCGAAAGAACAAGTGCATTTGCCATGCCAAGAATCTCATATCCCACTCTACAGCAACTCGGTAGCTGCATTCTTCAGCCACGTTCCGTTGAGAGCAAAGACTGTGGCTTTGCTTCTTCTCGTCCTCATCTAATTGGAATATGTTGAACTAGTTTTTGAAAAAAAAAACAGGGCCCCTGGCGCGTACCCAACTGCTTATGCTGGGGGTGGAAACGCAGGCATGATGGATCAAACCGGCTGGCAAGGCGGAGATGTGGTATCATTTCATACTGATTTTTGGACTCGCTCTTGAACCTTCTGTTTGTTTCAATTTTTTCGTTCTATTTGGGTGTCCTCGTGTAGCAAGTCGGGATTGAAACAACTCTGATCGTGTAGCAAACCAATCTGACGTGAGGTACTCCATCCGAGCGCACCACTGGTATTTATTAGGGAAGCTTGAAATTATTTCGTAGGTTGTCAATCGACGTGTTGCAAAAAATTACCACCACAGAACGCCGGATACCACCACCAGTATAACCCTGCCGCGGTAGGCTACCCGCCGGCCCCAATGTCGTACGACCAGACTGGTTACGCGGCTGCCGGCGCCTACGGGCACGCCGCAACGACAGGATACTACTGAATGAGGAAGAGAAGGGTCGTCATAGTTTCTACTACTTTTCGCACTGTTGACTGCGTTGCTGTGGGGGAAAGTATATTAAGAAGAACACGAGATGAAATGCTATTTGCTCGAAAGAACAATTTATTCTTTTCTGGTTCCTCTTCCGGGCGTAAGCGTATGAGAGCACGGGTGCAAGACAGAGAGGCCGATACAGCGTTTTTGATACAGGAGATAAAAAATTTTGAAAATCGAAGCTGAGATAAATTTTGAAAACCGGGCAGCTGCATGGTAGAAGATGCTTAATGGGCCGGTTTTTTTCAGCTAATCGATTAATTAAGTTATTGTCTGAATTGATGAGTGCCGCTAATGAAATTAAAATTTGAAGGTCGGGAATCATCTTTCTGCTCTCATATGCAACCATCAAAGATCACGCGTCTTGTTGAAACCCCGGCCCAATGGTTCGTTTCGGACATTTGTAGTTTACTTCGAAAGACACAGAAAATAGGTTTCAAAGAGCTGCTGCTTTGACGGTACAACAAGTGTAAGGAGCAGGGAGTCACCACCAACACCGTGCATACGTGTAACATGTTGTATACTGAATTATGACATCAAGAGCTCCATAGTAAAAAATAGAAGTAGCAGGTTGAAGTTTTGGAATAGAAAAGTTGCTTGTTAAAAAGTAATAAAGTTCTTTGCTCTCTAAGTGCATCAAGGATTTTAATGGAACTCATCCACTTTATCTGACGCAAAGACAAAATATGTAAATCTTGACAAGAAGCAAGTTCAGGAAGGAGAAGCAGTGAGCTGGTCAAAATATGAAAGCGCAGAAAGTTTTTACAAAAAGTAGCTTCGAGTATCAGTTTTTTCGAGTATGTTTCCGTTTTTCCAGTAGATTCCATCTTTTTTTAAATGTAAGCCGACCTCAAGTCTCTATGAAGCGGGCAAACAGTACTAGTAGCTGCCTGAGCTGCGCCGTCGTGTTGAAAATATCAGCCAGCTCCATTGCACAATAGGCCCCCCACAGTGGAATTGCGTTCAAGTTGCTTTCTATCGGCAGGTGGTTGTGTCAGTGCATTTTGCTTACAACAACCAAGTCTTGAGGAGCCTAAAAAGACGTGGTGGCCCAGCGACCTCCCGCAGAGATGAAATTCTTCGCTGCAGGACAAGAATAGGTCGACGGGAACGGGCACAGACTAGTGACTAAGCAGCCCAAGGGTAATTGCTTGCGCCTTGTTGTCATAGTGCAAAAACAACAACTAGCAGCACGATGCCTAACTACCTTGCTAGAGAACCTCTTGAAGCACGGACATGCGTTTCAAGATTTCCGGGCGTAATTAAACACTCTTGTTGCACTAAAGTTTTGTTTCCAGCCGCCCTGAGACAACAAGAAGCGCTTGTCCCCACACGCCGAGTTTCCCGTCAGTCATTCTCATTTTATCGGACAGGAGTTTTTAGTAAAAGTAGCTGCTATAGTAGACAAATGGTTATGGTACGCTGGCGCTCGTGAATCTTTGCTTTACACCAATTTTCTTCTTCAGTGCAGTACTGTTTTCACTCAGAGTTGATCTTAATTCTTTTCCCGTGGGCTGGGAGTGCAAAAAAATTCTAAGTAATATATAGCAATCAAAACGAACACTAAGTACCTGAAAAGAGATCTAAGTGTCTTCTTTTACCCGTTCGACGTCCACCGCTTGACGTTGATTTTCAATGTTTGAGTCCTATTTCTCTGCTCTGTAGTATTATCCCTACTTCAAGATGGCCTCTTATCGGAGCAAGCCGCGGCCGTGCATCAACTTTAATCGCTAAAACCCAACCCTCGCTTCTTCACCAAAATATACTTACTCGAGAGCATGCTTGCAGCACCATCTGTAAAAATAATATCCAAGATCCTCAACACTTCTCGGCTCTTGTCGCTACCCACGATTTTCGTGTATTATGACCATTTGACTATGATTGCTGCTGCGTATGCTACTGGTCATCTCACCCGTATGATCATTTTCCAGAAAAATTCTATTGCCCCGGCGAATATTAAAGACGAACTAAGTAGATAATTAAAATAAGGTGTCAGAATTGTTCAACATTCCATTGTCTTCTATGAGTTGCAGTTGCGCTCCCAAGTATGAATCAAAACAGCATCAACTTTACAATATCTTCTGTTGAAACTCCTGAAACAACGAGCCCCCCACTGCAGTGGTGCTGAAGAAAAGAACAGCTCGAGATTGAAAAGAGTTGATGTAGTTCCCATGAAATTGGTATTGTCTTCAGATGGATGTTGTCACGACAGTCAAGTCGCCACTTGTGAAAGTTTGAAAACAGAAAAACCTGTCCTACACGGTTCTCCTTGCGTCTTTCTTATCTCTGATATCCAGAAGGGTTCTTGTTCCACTTGCTCGCGATGAAAATGTGAAGGTGTTCTTTATTTGTCCACGAAGATGCGCAAAGAAAAATGGCCTTGTTGCTCCTTCCTTCATTCGAGTAAGCGTGTTGGATTCTTTTCTCGATTGGATAAAAAGCGAATGTATCAAGAAGTAGTGTGGATTGAAGATGAAGATGCACAGCATCTACGTCCAGCAGAAGCATGAGCAGATGCAAGAAGGCTGCAGCTACAATAGAGCCTTGTTGCCCACCAGGAAATTATGAAGGCCGTTCAGCGTCAAGGAGCTTATAGTACTCACGCCGATTCTGCGAAGATCTCCACGTTTCTATCTCCGCATAGGAGAGGATAATTCACGATTATTGCAGCTTGCAATCATGATTTTCTAGAGTTATGTTTGGTGCCTGATCGATGAATTAATTTGAAAAATTTCTCACGCACGTCACTCCTCGAACGGAAGTCTTCGCGAAAAAACATTTTGATAGGCCTCCAAAAGAAGAACAAATACATGGAAAACGACACATTTGAACCTCCAGCCGAATTTTTGTGGTAATTTATTTTACCAACACTTTCAACGCACGCGTTGTCGACCGAGTATTCATGGTTCTTTATCTTTCCGCACCGCAAGACGTTCTTCAAGTGCTGCAGCGGGGAACAGTTTATTTCGCCATCACATGTTAGAAAGAAAAAGCTATTCATCTTCCACACCACAAAACGACATTCTTGGAACGATCCTGGCGATCGACTTAGTAGAAGTATGAGCACGCTTGTTATTCGCTCCGATATTTTTTAGGCGAATTGGAAGAGAAGGTATAGAGTTAGACCGCAACAACAAATTTTATTCATTATCTGCTCCCCCTAACAAAGAAATATTTCCGCGACTCGGTGGAAAGAATCAGAGAATTTTATTCCTAAAAGCTTCACGTTCACAAGATGCAGCCTCAGCAATCCGCCCACTTGTTCCTCTACGAGGGGGAACACAACATCGCTCGAGGGGGCGGCAGGAGGAGAGACGACCACACCGCCGGCAGAGGACGTACTAACAACTCATCGACGCATTCCTTTTTTGATAGTGTGCGCGCTTTCGACGTCGGTAGTCGTAGTTGCGTTTTCTTGAAAAGCAGCCTTCTCTACTGCGCTACACTTCGCCTTGATTAGTCGTACTTCGTTGCACCTTCTTATTCTGTCGCGCCCTCGCAAGCGATCTTAGCCTTACATACTCTTAGTTACAACAGTCATTCAAAGACAACATACATTTCGGCAAATTTGCCAATTTTTTCTTCAGGAGCCGGCAGTGGGAACCTTCGCCGCGGGCAAAACAACAATGCTCGAAGAAGAAGCAGCAGCTCTCCTCGCTATTTCATGAAAAAAACTGTATCGCCTTGGCTTTCAGCACTTCCTGTTTGCCATGCACAACTGCAAGCTCGTGCTCGTTCCGCGTCTCAACGGACTACAAATTATTCTAGAATTGCAGCAACGCCTATGATCTATACCAGAAGCGCAGCGCTGATTTTTGTTTCACTTGCTTTCGGGAGTTTTAGTTTTACGCAGTGTGGAACAAAGAACGTTCCACCTTGCGCGACGTTCTTTCTTGGTCATACCTGCGCAACCACAATGACAAGAATCGGTGTTGCTACAACATATTATGCTGAAGTAGTAAGCTGAGCCAGAAGTAGTAAGTACGTGCAGTTTTTTTTTTTGCGATACCCGCGGGGACCGCAACAGAGACAATAATTATCGGTCGCGGGATCGCAACCAGGACATCAACCACGGCCGCGGGGGTGGAAACAACCGAAATAATGACCGCAGTCCTCGCGGCAGGTCGCGGTCGCCCCCACCGCGGCAGAGGTCGCCGCGGGATCGGTCTCGGGACTACGACCGATTCGGAGGAGGAGGTGGAAACAACAACAATCGCCGCCAGCGAAGTTTTATGCACATGGAAAATGTGTCTGGGTCTGGAAAGTTGTGATGCGAGTGAATGTTTCGCATAAAAAAGTAGCAACGGTAGTATTTTTTCACAACTACATGTAGTAGGAGGGGTACGTCTCTCTACGGATGCGAGCCCAGCCTGAGAAGTCTTGCATCCTTCCAGACCTAGAGATACTTGCAATGCATTAGTTTCACGCCGAGCGGTCCACGACAACGCGGTGGAGGCCAAAATGGCGACCAAAGGAGGAGAGGCAGAAGCAGCAGTGGGCCGCGAGGAGGTGGAGGGGGCCAGCATTATAATTCATCGAAGTCTCCACCACCGTATGCAAGAGAAGGCACAGGTTCTTGCGAGGCCTGCTGGCTTTTGGTCAAGAGCTCGATTTTCTACTTGGAGTGATTGACTATTGGATGCATGATGCATTGTTGCTTGCAGGAGGCATGGTTCGTTCCTTTTTCAACACTGTAGTTTTGCTTATTCAAAATTCATCAAGGAATGGAAACAAAACGAATCTTTCGATTAAGACACTTCTCGTTGATACGGTTTCCGTTTTGAAAATCTTGTGTTGATCAACAAGTAAAATACAAATAGTTTGTACCACGACTGAGCTCCAGTTGTACTGTAAGTTCGTTCAAGAGGCGCTTGACTCGCCTGTTTTTCCTTTGGACAACACACAACGCGGCAGGAGAGGGGGCAACGGTATTAACTCACCGTCAAGAGGGCGAGCAAACAGCGGCATAGGTCAGCACAACTTCGGTGGCAACACAGGAGGTGGCGGTGTTGGAACCAACAGAGGTGGAGGTTTTTACACCAAGAATAACAACCCAAATGGCAATGCCTTCCGTGGCCCGTATGGAACAAATAACGGCAATACAATAGGCGGGCGGCTGCAGCAAATGAACAACCGCAACATCAACCAGAGGCAAAAGGATCCCTTCCCGCCCGTGAGAAAAATGGGACGAAAAAGGTCTGCGACTCCAATCCGCGACCGGGGCTACAGAAACGTCCGGAGACAAGACTATCAACCATGGCAATGGGGCAATATGGGAGGGGGTACTTACTAAGTAGTGGAGGAGTATATTTTTGGATGCATGTTGATGATGGGCGGATTGTCAAAACTCTCTATTCGTTGTTGAAAAAATGCCGAAGACCTACGACAAGCTTGCTGGGCGTACGAAACTAAATATAGACGGCGCGGGAGGAGCAGTCTGATCCGCCTATTCTTCACATTCTTTCCAAAACGTGATCATTTTTGCAGGCGGCCGAGACCACTCCCGAGGTTCAAGCAGCGAGCGGCAGAGGTCCCCGGCGTCTGGGTCCGATCATGGGTCAGTGTCCCGCGGCCAATCCCGGAGCCGGTCCCCCGTAGGTGACCGAGGGGGCGCCGGCGGTGACAATACAGCCGGGGGTGGAGAGATGAATAAAAATAGCTACAACAATACTAACGCGCGGACGAGGCGAAATAACAAAAATAACAAAACAGGAGGCGATGCTAATGCCTCTAAAAAAAGAGACAACAATAGAAACAATAAGAACGGAGCAGCGGCCACTTCGACACGAACAGGCTCTAAGGCGCCACCAGCATCAAAAACCAATCACCAAAACGATCCAAACAGGCCGTTTGGGTCGGCGTGGATGAAAAGAACGGCTCAGCAATTGTCGAAGAACCCCAAGCCCAACAAAAGCCAGCAGACGACGGAGGAAAACGCGCAGCGAACGGACGACGTCAACAAAGTGTATCGCAATATCCGTCGGCCGGGGAAGAACGGCCGACTGTATCCAGGGATGCAGCCCGCCCCCGCTGCTCCGAGTCGCGCGGGGACGAAAACCACCGCTGCAAGCAGCGCAAACGAGGCGGGCGGGGGCGCGCAAAATTCTAGACGCGGAGGAGCCGGGGCGGGGGCAACAGCTGGTGGTGGTGGAAATCCGAAGAATGATATTAGAAATAGCGCAAACTTGAGAGGGAATAATGGGCGAAACGGAACAGCAAATCGTCCCAACGACGAGCAGGAGGAAAGTGAGTCGTCCAGCTCGGAGCAGGCCATCGCGGAGTTGATCTACAACAACCTGAACATCACCCTCGAGAAGCCGAAGGCCTACGGGTTCGACCGGAGAAGTGAGGCGCAGGAGTTGGAGGACGGGGTCGAGTGCGGAAAGGCGCTGACCCACCCCACGGCCGGGATTCTGCAGGACCAGGCGCTGGAGCACTTTGACTACAAGAAGAACACGCACATTGGCCTGTCCAAGGAGTGGCAGGTGGGGAAGCACCTCGGGGACGGTACGTGGGGTCGGGTGGTCACGGTCAAGTACGTCGGGGAGAAACTGCCCGCCGCGAACAACATACAGCGGAACACCTGGTACGCGGCCAAGGTGATCCGGGTAGGGAAACGGGAACGTGACGAGGCGATCGTAGAGGCGAGTCACTTGACGCACATACAGTGGGAGGGCCTAAAGTTGCCCGATATCAACGATTGCGGGAAACACCGCCTGGCGCGGCTGGTCCAGCACTTTGATGACAACCAGTTTTCCGAAGGGATCCGCCACGTCATGGTGTTTGAGCGCCTGGGCATGAGCCTATACGAGCTGCTCAGCTCCAACCGGTTCCGGGGCTTCTACCTGACTGACATTCAAAGAGTCATGTTGGATGTGCTCAAGGGATTGAGCTTCTTGAAGGACGTATTTCTTTTGCGACTCTCATGATGCTATATCGATGATGCGCATTTTAGAAAGATCTAGATAGTTGTTGCGGTAACGGCAGTTTCTTTTATATGTTCACGACCTGGTAGATGCAGACCCACCACAGCCGTATAATCTCTTTGAGCTTGCGAATCGCGAATATCGTGAAGATTCATGATTGGTATCACGAGATGACGATCATCTGATTACAAGACAGTGCTTGATGTATGAGAATCAGCAGGAAAATTGACAAAGAAAAGGTAAAAGAGGACGCCACGTGAATATTGCAATTGTCCAAAATAAAACAGTGTCGTTGCGCCCACACGGACATGAAGCCGGAGAACATCATGTTTGAGATTTGCGAAGTGAAGTCCCGGCTCCCGCCCCGGCGGTGCCGCGAGCATCGGCGATACGGGCCGAAGCCCGAGAACCCCGAAGTCACGCGAGAAGACGGGTCCCCGCTGGCCTGGCCGGACGGGAATTACTACTGCGTAAGCGGCAACTATCGGGTGAAGATTATCGATTTTGGGGCCACTGAGTTTTTCCCGGGACCAGGAGAGACAGACGAGGACTACGACACCAAACCCATGATAATCGCGACCCGGCAGTACCGCAGTCCCGAAATCCTGATCGCGGCAAAATGGAATTATGCAGTGGATGTCTTCGCGGTCGGCGCTATCGCATGCGAAATGTACAAAATAGTTCGTTGTTAATGCATGCAGGAGCTTGAAGACAAAGACTCTGTGACTGTGTTTGTTTCCAAAAGTAGTAGACGCGCTCCGCTGCGCTCACCGACAACTTCATCTTCACGGACTTTTGGAACTCCAAATCTTATATAAGTATCTTGCTCGACAACACAATCCCAATTCCCAATTCAGGTACTCTGGGGATCAGCTTTTCCAGAATGACAAGGACTACTACCGCGAGCACCTGATGCAGCACCAAGTTTGTTGCGGGCCGTTTTCGACTGAGTTTCTGAACCGCGGGATGAAGGAGATTGTGGACAAGCACTTTCTGCACGACCCGTACGAGCATGCTTGTGCGAATTTCATACTTCAGGATCCTGAAGGCAGCGGGACCCCGGAGAAAACGTTGAAAGCGTGCCGGTATGTGAAGGACTGCAAGCCGGACCCTCTGAACACTCTGGAAGACACAATTTTAGACGATGAAGACCATCGGTTCTTTGTCCAATTTCTGCGCCGGGCGTTGACTCTGGACCCGACCTACCGGCCCACCGCGCAAATGCTCTTGGGAGAGCCTTTTTTCCGTCAGGCGCTGCCAGAAGATCAGTGAGGAAATGCAGGGAGGGACGACCATTTTATTTTCGTAGTGGACGATGAAAACGAAATCGAAACAGGTGCAGGGGAGCAGGATTTTTGGAGCCGATAAGAAGAATTTACTTATTCTAAGCCTCGCTCACGCCACGCATTCAAACGGCAGTAATCCTTTTCCTGATGACCGTATTTTAGTACTTAGTCGTAAGCAACCACCAGCAGCATCCTTTTGCGTCGCAACTACACTGTTGCGAATCTCGGCTCGGCAATTGTACGCTTTCCATTGGGTCCTCTGCTCGCACGTATTTCTCGCCCCAAGACCAAACATCATTTTATTTTTCCGTTGTCATACAAGCCCTGTTGCCTAGAAACGAACACTTTTATCTTATTCGCCTTGTCGTAGTTTAGTTGGAGTTGAAGAAGAACAAGATAGTAATTACTTCTTATTCGTGATAAACTTTATTTAAAGATCTTGAATCTTCATCTCGATGACGGAAAGCACAAAAGAAAGAAGCTCTTTGTCTTCACACAAACAAATTTAGTTTTGCTCGCGACACATTTTTTCGTATAACGATTTTTGGAAGTGGTGTGCAGTTACACCACGGGAGCTGCTCTCAACATAAGTTGAGGATGCACCGGGTTGTAGAAGTCGTGATGTTCCACTTGATACTCTATACATAGGGTGCAGTTGTTACTTACTTCACGGCGAGAACAAGAAAAGAGCGGAAGGAGGGGAGCCGTTCACTTTCCGGGCGCCACGGTTCGCGTAGTTGGAACGGGATTGGCGTGGGCGCGTCTGTTCTCCCTTTCGCCCCCGCGATGGTGTTTGGTGCGGCGTTCCCGCAGCCGGGTTAAGTAAGCTGCAGACCCTCCGTCGGAGCGGAGCGCCCGTGTTGGGTTTGGGTTTTGGTGCTCCGCAGGTGGCTCGGTGTTTTGTTTCCGTCGGAGCACCGAGAGTCTTTATTTCCCGGGATCACTCACAGGGGATGTTGCCTCTCGGCACAGGGCCTCCTGTTCCGCGATGTATGCTGTGGTGGACAGATTGATATGATGGGCTGTTCACGCTTCTCTGCATACTTACTGAATCAATCGTCGTGACTTCTTCTCGTTGCGCGCGGCTGGAGTCAGCTTCGCCTCCACCTGACGGCCGAAACCGTTTTTGTGAACATACTTTTTGCAGCAGGTAGAGATGCCGGCCGACGTGCCGACTCACAGGACCTGCACCTTAAGATCATATTTATTCCGTTGCTAATAATTCAAGATCTGCACAGGAGAAGTGGTCGCAAAGTTCTCGGACATTTCAACTCAAGTCAAAAATTTATTTCGATAAAGAAAGATCATGAAGGTCAAATACCTCTCTTACCAGCCGGTCGCGAGCTGGCACTGGAACATTCCGAACGAGGACGTGTGCTCGATCTGCCACATGCCCTTCGACGCCTGTTGCCCGGACTGCAAGCGCCCCGGAGACGACTGCCCGCCGGTGTGTACCAAAAGGAAAAATTCCCCCTCCCCATATCGAAAAGGGAATTAGTGATGCTGGATTTGCGTACACAAATCAGATTTGTCTTGCAGTAGCGGACTGCAGTAGACATATGCCAACCCTGGGCAGCGAGGTTTTGACATAGGCGGCCAGCATTACAAATATCCACGCTGTACTAGGCCCAACAGCATCACAAACCGCCCGCATAATGCGGCGCAGCCTACGGGGAGTTGCCTTCTTGCAAGACAAAGAAGATTTGTGGCCACAAATCAGCACTGGAAATTTTCTGTGGCTTCCTTTTCGATATGGGGAGGGGGGATCATTTTTCCTTACTATAGTATGGGGCGAGTGCTCCCACCACTTCCACATTCACTGCATCGTGAAGTGGCTGCAGAAAGAGCAAAAGCACTGCCCCATGTGCCGGCGCGAGTGGAAGTTCAAGAGTCAATGAGCAGGACGACAGCATGGACGACTGGGACTTGCGGCACAGCTTGCACTTGATTGCAGTGGTCCAGTTTTTTCGTCTCCAAATTCTGCGTGATTCATTGCAACCGGTCGTGGCGGCGGCGAGGCGCTCGCGATGTGGACGTCACGAATCGGGAGGACGCATAAAGTCGCTGTGTTGAGGCCCCTCCTGCAAATCGGTTGCGACTGTGTAATTGTCCCAGGTTCTTGTCCTGCTGACCATTCGGGTCTTTGTTTCCACAGCAGCAGCACAAGCGGTTGAAGACCCTGACCGATCGACAGACCGAGCAATCGAGGAATGTTCAGTGAAAAGTTTCACCGCGGATGGTGGTGGCATCCAGGTCCACGGAGCATCAACTCCTGAAGTGGAACCAGCAAGAACAACAACCACTTCCCACCTGCTGCAGGATCGCACAGGCAAAGATAGAATGGCTCGCTAAGGTCAGGACCAGCACGTCTAAAGAGTACGACGACACGTTTTATTTGTACGACTGTGGATAATTATGCAACAGGATTGGTTTTATTTCGCTTTCCGCGGTGTTTTCGGGGTGCTTCCGTGTAGAAGGAGAGGTTGAAGAAGTCCTCGCCCAGAACCAACGAATTGGTTGTGGCGGTGTAAGTACGTAGTAGTGTGCGGAAGAGGAAAGAAGATGGTGAAATCAACGCAGTCGTCATTACTTTCCCGATCCATCGTAGCGACTGGCTTGAGGTCGTATGTGCGCGAAACAGGAAGAACCTGCTTGAAAAAGTTGTGACGCGCGCGAGGCACGACTGCGCAAACCAAATATGGCATTTCAGAAGATGGAATTGTGAGTCAATGGTTGGATACGAAAATTTTATTGCAGCTTGGATTGCGCATCGACTTCGACATACTGCCGATATGTCTATTGCTTCTGCTGCGGACGAGGGTAGAAAAGAGAAAGAATGGCGAAGCACTGCATTTATCTGGTGTTTGTAGATTGCTTGGGCCCGCCCGCCCCGCTGTGTTCTGTCTTAAGTACCGTGAAGATGCTGCTCTGGAATGGTTCTTCGTACACCAACATGCATAATGACTCACTGCAAGTGACATTCGTTAGGGGCAAACGCACGAACACCAAAAGAACAGGAAAAAAGGTATACGTAACAAACAGTAGTATCATTCAAACTGTCGTTTCTGGTCGTGAACGTGAAGATAATAAATTGTGACGTGGGCCGCGTAAGTTGTGTGGCGCGAGAGCCGTAGGTAAATAACAGAGAGGTTCGTAGAGCAACTTCGAGACGGGAAGGAAAATCGTCGTCCGGGGTCGTGGAACGTGTTGTCTGAAAAATCCTGACGCGATTAAATGTCAAAACAACATCTCAATAGATTGATATGTCGTAGACTTTTTTTTACGCCACTGCCACTGCCAAGCAATGCTTCCATTCTGTTCGCTGCAACGCTGAGCGGTAGGCGGAAACTGCCAAGATGCCGCGTATCAAGTCGAAGTACGGGAAGCGCCTGGTTATCTCTGCGCAGTTGCTGGCACTGCCGCTAACCTTTCCGGGGGAGGATCATTTGAGTATAATTTTTTTCAGTTCAAATAACATCGTGTACTAGTTCGTTCAGGATATGCCTACTGTTCGTTGTACATGCGAAAAGTTATGCAGGGAAGGATAGCGATTACAATTTAGATCTACATTTGCGTTTCGTTTCAATTTCAAAAGAGAAACAAACGCGTGTGGACGCGAATCCAAAACAAAAAGTGAAAACTACAGGTTGGTGCGTCAATGCGTACGATAATTGACGGGGTGCACAGAACATCCCCCCCATCAAGGATGAGGACGACAGTAGTACGGGCATTCCGGTGAGCGATGTGGTGCAAGCGGACGGCTCGGTACTGAACAAATGCGCCGCTTTCATTCATCTTTGTTTATGCCAGTAGATGAGTTGCTATTATGGCTGTACCTTGTTTATTGTTCCGGTACATGTTGTTCTTGTTGACTCCGAGTGATGCTTGATACGCGAAAAACGCAACAACAAACAGACGTTCGTTTCGGAGAAGGAACTGATTGCGAAGACCGGGAAAGATGAGACTGTGGCGGACGAGAAGGCGGAAGTGGAGGAGGACATAAATCCAGGTAGCAACAGGAACAGCCCTAGTTTGCGTAAGCAATCTTCACTAAAGAAAAGTAAATTTTTCAATGAAATTTTGCTAGAGGTGGAAATTGCGCGAAAATTGCGCCTAGGCTTGCCATTAGACCCGAACGAACAGCAATATTTGGACGCCGTGGAGTTTCAAGTAAAAAAAAACAATTACGATTTACTAAACTAAAGAAAAGGATCGACGATCTTTCTGATGAACAGCTGAAGACCCTTGATGCCTATCACAACTTTCAAAAAGCTAAGCACATGTTTGAACGAAATGCGAAGGAGAAGGCTATCAGTGTAACTGGTAGTGCTTGAGGAAGCCTCGCGATGATTGCAGTGCCCTCCACTTTTGTACAAACTTCCACCGAATGAGGAATAGGATATGGAGAATGTCTAATGTAGGATTGTTGAATAAACCATAAAAAGATATGTGATTGTACTTAGCATGGCCCTCCGCTCAAGGAATGATCATGGTTTGATCATACGACCTATGAACCGGAAAACAACGAAGGTGCGCGGAGTTTTTTCGTCCCGACTTTTTTGCCGCCAACTATGTTCTTACTTGCCCCAAAGCAAGGAGCAGAGTTTCGTGGTCTTTCTGAAAGTTCGATCCGAAAGCGTGGGTATTGACGATGTCACAAAATTAATAATCTGAATCTGAAGGTTGACCATTATAGTCGATCCTCATTCTGATCACGTAACGACAACGAGGCAACAAGAAGAGTGGTCAGATCCGGTTCCGGTTCGTTTGGATAACTCTAGACTAGAGCCGACAAAACCATCAGCAAAAAGATCGTTCAGAAAGTGGATCACTGAAAATATCGAAGCAGAGCCAGATTGGAAGATTGCCAAGGCACATGCTCTTCTCGTCTGGTCAAAGCTTATAAGCTTGTTTGCTCGATGAAGTAGTTGTACATAGATAGTCGAATTCACATCTGTACACGTCTTGTTTGTTTCCATGTTTTCTTCCGGCGCGACCGCGGGAACAACAGGATCGGAGATATTTCTTTGGTGCTTGGTACCGAGAATAACAGAAGCGAAGAAAATGCAGGAAGACACCAGCGGCTGGGGCTGCCAGCCGATCTGGTGGCGTAGATGCTGCTAGAAGTGCAGATCTACCAGATCTTCCACACGCTGACACCGACAGAAAAAGGAGATCACGTCCGACTACGATGGCGACATTGTCTACGCAGAAGTATTTTTCGAGCCTGATGCTTCTGCTACTCCGTAGGATGGCAATGACGGAGGGGAGTTCAAATGTTGCTATGGAGAAATGTAAAAATTTTGCTAGCAATAGTACGGCAGCCTGCACTTCTTCGTGATCCAGTACACAGTTTGTACTTATCATCTCCCGTTGATGAAGAGTCGAGGCGTCCGCATTTATCGGCTAGAAAGATGATGTGGAGTAGCTCGGTGTTTTGCACCTTGTGCAGAATTATATTTCCAGTTGCGTCCGGCTCCGTCTTCCCGCCCCTGCTGCTCTCTACTAGCGTCTTCCTTCAAGCACCAGGAACAACTACAGGCACGCTAATTGAAGACGATTCGTTCGTAAAAATCTCAAACGAAGCGGCCGCAACAGTTCTTACAGCCGATGGAGGAGTGGATGGATCGAACCCGAAAGAGGAACCTCCAAAACCCCTATCCGCCTACACGAAGGAGCTGCTCCGGGGCGTGCGCCGTGCGGTCAGTTGGGATCATTACCGAAAGGCGGAAGAACTTGGGCTGCTTCCGCCGCAACCACCCGACGAGGACTCCGCCTCTTCACAACAAGCTCTTAACTACCAAGTCGTGGACCATTCCGATTTCTGCGCGAAAGACTCGCCGATCATTTTTCGGATGCGGGAGCACGGGATTCGGTTGCTACAGCAGAAGTACCGGTTTCACGTCGACAAATACCGGAGGTTCCGCGACAAGGGGGTTCTGACCGACGGCTTCATGGGGGTGGAGGACTCGGGGGAAAAACCCTTGGCCTTTACCCCCCAGTACTTTCCAGACGAAGTGCAAACGGCGTGGTACGCGTGGCGAGCGAAAACCAGGCTGGCCAGGAAAGCAGTGCACGAGATTGGAAATGTGGCCGACGAGTTATTTTTCCATTTGAGCGGAGCAGATTCGTATTCGGGTGGAAGGTTGAAACTTGGGAAACAGGTTGCGGTAATTGCTGACGCCGCGGATGAAGGTGCTTCTAGCAGTGAAAATGGAATTCTTATCCGCGACTTGCTCGAGAATCACGACTTGGTGAGAGAACCAGTGCGACTAGTGGAAAACTACAGCATGAGCGGTAGAAAAAAGTCTTCAACCTTATTGCGCCGTCTGTCCGAGTCCGGGTCGCTTTTGCAGCTCAAGCGGAGGACAGTCGATGAGAAATTTGACGACCAGTCGTGGAGCGCACGGGCGGAAGCGGATGACAGCGTGATTTGTTAGACATGTAGGCAAACTGTGAGTCCACCGGGTCGCGAAGTGCAGTATTGTTTGCGATGGCTTTTCAAGGAAGAAATCATAAAGACAAGAAATTTTTTGCTTGCTTTTCCTGTTTCCTGGCATGGTTGAAGCCGGGGCGTATGGCAGCCAGTGGGTGGTCATGAAAGAAGGCACATCTACAATAAGTGCTACAACTTTCTCTGGATGAAACCATATTTGCCCTTCCATAACCTGCTGGGTCGGCGAAGTCACATTTAATCTCATGGCCGGCCAAGCTTACGACGACCTGGCAAACTTTCGACTGCTGTTTTTCATGTCGAAGGGGAATAGCTTTAGGTTGACCGATCAGGCTCCACCAGATGACCGTGATCTTCAACGTGCTGCTGCCACTACTGCTTCTCCGCAAGAGCAGCTATCCCTTCGTCCTTCTTTCCACCTGGCCGTCGCTCCCCTCCGGGTCCGCCCGCTCCGTTCCTATCTGCGCGAAGTCGACCGGAGTCTGGCCCGCGCGGGATTTTTCGGGAAGTGCAATTTTTTGGAACGGGTGAATTCGTTTGACGGGGGAAGAGCGAGACAGGGGAGTGGGAGATATCTGGACGTCCTGTTGGAGCAGCTGAACCACGCCGGGAGGGAGGGACAACGAGCACAGCAGCAGGCCGATGACGCAACTAGTAGTGGAAGCGCAAGTAAAAGGTCTTCCTCTCCCATGTTCACCAGCAGTTTCCTCCGACGATTGCTGCACGACGTGCCGCGGCTGCAGAACCAGGAGCAGTGGGATGCGGCCATGAACCAATTCGCCGCGAATTACCCCGCCGTCGGGGCGGAAGAGATTAACTTGCTGTTTTCCTTCCTGGAATCCGGACAAGACCACGCGTACTACGACGAAGATGAAGTGGACGAAGATGTTGATTTCGACGCGGAAGTAGACCAAGGGTTGATCAACGAGCAGGCGAGGAGAGCTGAGCGGGATATTAACGATGAATCACCACGCGAACACCATCATCGAGTTTTTCGACACAAAAATAAAAAGCACTTCTTCTACAAATCTTTCTACGCCGACTGCCTTCTGTCCGTCGTAACCTCCATTTTGCAATCGACCTGGCCGCTGTTCGGGGCGGCCTTGTACAACGTTGGGAGATTTTATGGAAGCGTCAGGTTTGAAATCGTCAAAGTAGAAATAGTTTGTCATGCATAAAACGGATACCAGTTAGACCTACAGTTTGTAGTCGGTGCATGACAAATTTTCCCGGTCCTGGAAGCGAGTCTGTCATGCGGTTTAGGGCAAATGAGCTGCCTTCTGTCATGCTAGTCAGCAGTCCAACTTTTGACCCTTAGCAGGACTATAATCTGCCTCCCGTGCGTCCTCTGCAATAGAGCCACTTTTTGTATAGCATTTTATGCATGACATGGCGAAAAGTATGGTTTGTTGGCGCAAAGTAAGGACCGTTGGCGAACGTTAAACGCATGTTGGGACCACGTACCTACTAGCCCGAGGGGGTGCGGGAGCCTGAAAAAAAAATTGGCGAAGTGAGGACTGTGTGCGAAAGTAAGGAAAAGTTGGCGTAAGTGGGATCATGTGCCCGAGGATGATGGTGATGGCTTCGGTCCGCCTGACTCCACGACCTGGTGGCCGAACCATCTGCGGTGAGGTGCCCTTACAGGTTGTGTAGTGGTTTCGGTCGGTTTAGCATGACAAATCATTTCAACTTTGACGATTTCAATCCTGACACTCCCATAGATTTCAGATCATCAGCGTTTTAGAGGAGGCCGTGCGGAGGATGGAAAGAAGTAGCGAAAAAATCCAGTATTTTGATCACGTTGCTGAACGTGGAAATATGCTGTTTGAGGCAGACGGCACCGAGATGAGCCCAGGCAGCGACAGTGGCAATAATGTTGAAATAAATCATTTGCATTTCAACCCGCCTGTTGTTCTTCATCCCTTGCTCGAAGAGAATGGATCTTTAGCGGAACTGCTTCCCGCCCTCGACGGCTACCATTGTGGGTATAACAACTACCTCGGGTCCGTGATTGATGCGGCGTATGAAGTCGCGCGAGTGGACCTGGACGAGGACCTCGAGAACCAAGAAAAGGACGAAAAGGAAAAAACCGATAAGTCAGAAGTAGTTCCATCTTCTACCTCGCAAGGAGCCGCAGATCATATCGAGCAGGCTGCGAAAGAGGTGCAAAAACGGGTAAAGGCTATTCACCGGCGGAAAGCGGAAGACTTTCTTTCGAAGTTGAAAGAGATGTTGAAAGTTTACGACTCGTCGACGTCGAAGAATTCGCCAGAGCGGTTTTCGGATCTGGAAGTTGCAGAGGTGGTAGAGCGGAAGCTGCTGCTCAGGAGGGAAAGGGGCGGAGAGGATCATGGCGGTAGAAATCTAAAGCGAAGTAGGGAACGCGAAGTTCTGGAAGATCACCCCGGGAGCGCAGATGATCACGAAGACCAACTTCTGATCCAGCGAGTGACCCGGAGGCGGCTGGCACACGCGGCGCGAGTAAGACGAGCGGAACAACGGAAGCAGGACGAAGTAGAGCAAGCAGAGAATAATAAATCTCCGGATACAACTTCTATTTTCGCCGGCCGCAGCTCCGTTGTCTACTTTTCCGACGCGCGGGAATATTGCGGAATGAAGGATTTGTTCCTCTACATCGCGTACCTGAAACGGTTTCCGGAGCTGCGACGAGCGGGCAGAAGGAATGTAAACTTTGGAGATGATGAACTGCTCTCCGGTACTAGTCCTTTTTCTTCAAAAACTGCTGTCCCGGAGGAACTTTCTCTGCTTCTCGAGAAGACCCTGCAGTGTCTCGTTGCCAGAGACGAGGCGGTGCTCCAGCCGGCTGCGCGTGGCGGCAGCGAGGAGGAGTTCCGGTTTTTCTCTCTTCTGCCGGATGACGACGTCGTGGGAGAGTTTGTCATGCAGAGTCAGCATGCTGATGCAGATGATCCTGACCACGGTGATGCAGAACAAGCACGATCAAAAGCTGCTGCAGCTACATCGGAGGAAACGAGGGCGAGAAGCAGGCAGCGAACAACTCCGAAAATCATGACTCAGCAAGCCCACATCAGCACCTCCTCCTACACCCCCACCGAGTTTCTCTTCACGCTGTTCGTCTACACGTTGCACGAGATCCAGCTTCTGCTCTTCTCCCACTCCACGTGCCCCGAGAACTCCTCTGCGGTGAAAGTGCGGGGCATCGTGGAACGGCCGGCCGAGCAGTACCTCCAGTGCGCCAGCGACCAACGACTGGATATCAAATGTAAAAATGTCTAGGTCTGGAAGATTCTGAGACTTGTCATGCACGTTTTGCATGGGCCATGATGTCTGTGATGCATGCCCTAACATCGCAGACATTTTGAGGGCTTCGCGATACCTATTCCGCATGACAAATGCCCTCTTCGCGTAGCCAAAATTGCATTCCCTTTGCTGGTCATGCAATACAGATTTTTTTGGAATCCAAATGCAGCAGCACAAGTTCGGACTCTTCCAGACCCAGACATTTTTACAATTGATACTAGACTTCGAACTGCAAAACGGCGGGTTCCGCGCGAAGGGGTATTTGTTATCAAATGTAAAAGTGTCTGGGTCTGGAAGATTGGAACTTGTGATGCTGCATTTGGATTGCAAAAAAATCTGTATTGCATGAGCAGTAAAGGGAGTGCGATTTTTGCTACGCGGAGATGGCATTTGTCATGCGGAATAGGCATCAAGAAGCCCTCAGAAAATCTGTGATTCTAGGGCACGCATGACATACATCAAGACTCATGCAAAACCTGCATGACAAGTCTAGAAATCTTCCAGACCCAGACATTTTTGCAATGCATATTTGTCAGGAAGCAGCAATTTTAAAAAGTTGCTGACCGAGTTTAAGAATCATACAACTGGAAGAACTACGAAGACGAGTGAGCCATCATCCTCCTGCAACACCATTATCGACGTCGGGGCGAATGTCGGCGGGTACAGTTTGTATCTTGCAAACGCACTGGGTTACAACGTGCTAGCCGTCGAGCCGCATCCGGAGAACGTCGGGAACTTGCTGGGGTCGATAGGAGACTTCTCTTACAAAGATCGCAGAACAAATGGTCATCAATTTCAATACACAAATACTAGTGATGAAGGAGGAGAAGGAGCACGTCGACCCGGTCATCACGCGGCAGCTCATGGTCGCATCACAGTTGTCCCTGCGGCGATTGGCGATGTAGAAGAAGAATCAACGTCAGCAAGAACTTTTTCTGAGGACGGCACCGACATGGTTTCCTCCGAGAGAAGAAACATTGCCTACCTGTACGAGCGTCCCGAGGAAACCGGGCAGAGCGCAATCTACAGCGACGAGCAGGCCAAGAACAGTCGAGAAGTGGACTACTTGCAGTCCGTGTTGTCCGATAACAAGGTGGCGCCGACGGAGGTCAGGAGGAAAATACCCGTTGCGGTGAGATCCTTGGACGAGATCTTCGAGGAATACGTTGGCCGTTCAAATTCGAAAAAGAATGCCAACGATAAGACACCAGACGCAGATGCAGACTCTCGACGTCCCTCTGTCTGCCTGATCAAAATCGACACAGAGGGGCACGCGTTGAAGGTGTTGAAGTCTGCGGAGAAGATATTAAAAACCCATCGCCCACTGGTTGTTGTCGAGTTGGATTCTGCGATTGCGCGGACGGTGTATCCACCAATTTTGGAAGCCGCGGGCCAAGAAGATCAAGAACCTACACCAGCAGAAACACACACCAATGTTGTTGGTCCTGCTGAGCACGACGGCCACCTTCATGTTGCTCTGAAGAAAGAGGACCAGAACATTTTAAAAAAGCCAGATCACCTGGATGTTCATCGGAGATCTGCCTCCGTCGGGGGCGCCATCGTCGACTTGCTACAATACAAGCACGGCTACGATGTCGCGAAGTTCTCCTTATCAAGTGTAAAAATGTCTGGGTCTGGAAGATTGCCAGGTTTGTCATGTATATTTTGCATAACCCATGATGTCTGTAATGCCCGGCCGACCATCACAGATTTTTAATGGGCCTTCTGATGCGTATTCCCCATGAGAAACGCGCGCTCCGCGTTGTAGCACAAGCTGAACTCCTCATGCTGGTCATGCAATACAGATTTTTTTTACCTTCCAAAGACAGCATGACAAGTTGCAATCTTCCAGACCCAGACATTTTTACATTTGATACTCCTCTCTGGAAGACTACTCGGACGAAAAAAGCGTCGAGTCCCAGGAGTTCGTCACCTGGCAGGCCGATCTGCTGAAAGCGCTGGGGTTGGGCGTCTGGACCGCGATTCACTACCAGCACGTTCAGTGGGATACGAGGTTCTCGAAACAACTGGCCGTCGAGGAGGCCCAAAGCCAAACTGCGCAAAATATTGAATCCTCAGAAAATGAGTTCTGGACCGCTTTGGACTCGCATTTCCCTGCAAGAACCGGCTTGTTTCATGACGCGGTAGAGGAAGAAGGTCTAGGTGCAACTCCATCGTCCCGCAAACACAGTATTAAAGTACAGAACGACCGGGATTACATCCTGTGCGCGAAAAAGTGCTTTCAAAACCTCGCTGCCGGATGCCGTTGTTTTGACGTGGCGATGGTCGACGTTTCATCCGATGAGAACGATGCGGGTCATGCTGGTAGAAATACCCCCAATGGTAGTCCGAGTCGTCCCTCACGAGGACCAACGTCTGGAACAAAAAGAGATTCCATCTGTCGGCTGTTCACGTCCTGTGCGGGCTGGGTGTGGAAGAATTTCGAAACGGGAGCGGACGAGGAGAACCAAAGTGTGCTGGAGGAACAGCAACAGAAAGAACCAGCAGTTTCAAACACTGAAAGTGAACGGGAAGATGGGCACAAATCGTCTTCTTTATCTTTCCTTCCCCGCATCCCGACGATGGGCAGTTTGCATCCGTGGTTGAACAAAAACGATGAGGAAGAGATGGAGAAGTATCACAAGATAAAGTTCGATTTCCGTGCAATGGAATTGGACAACGACTTGGTGGCGTGGCCTTAGAACCTTCGTGACTTTCTTGATATTCACGTTGGTGTTGGTGGTGGCTGGTCCTGGTGGTGTCATCTGCTGTGCTTTTTCTGCAGGAGCTGCAATCTTCGCGTTTGGTTTTGCATTGAAATCCGAAACTGCTGTCTGGATGCAGTTGCTCCTGTTCTCCCACGTGGTGTGACATGCCGGTGATTGCGATACTGGAAAACGGAAGCCCTTGTTTCTACGCTCTGTCAGTTGTAAGAATAAGAAATTTTAGTGGTTTCTCTGGATGCGTGCCTCAATAGCACGCGGTTTCCTGCCATGGAGGCAGTAAGAGTAAAGCTTCGTCAGGCGGCAGAGCCGGCGCAGGTGTACCAGCATCCTCGCAACAGTCGAAGCACCACCAGCCGGAGAAATTTCTTGCCCCTTTAGTCCTGCGGGATTGCAGTGTGAAGGAGTACGAGAACAAAATTGAGGCTGAATCAAATTCAAAAAGTACTTACTACTTACCCCGCGACGAGAATTGAAATATCGACCTGAATTCACTTACGTACTGCAACGGCATTTTTGCAGCTTTTCACAAATACTTCTGACGAGCAAAGGCAAGGGTAGAATTGAAACTTGCTCGAAGTACCACAAGAGAAGATCTGCACGCAAGAAGAAGAACGGCACCAGCAGCTACACTAAACAACTGCTGTTGTGACCACGTGGACAGGAGTCGCACGACCTCTGTTGTGAAGACACCAGCCAGGATAAAGTTCGATTTCCGTGCGATGGAATTGGACAACGACTTGGTGGCGTGGCCTTAGCTTTTTGATTTGCTAAAACTCCACGTTGTTAGCGAGCAGGGTGGAGGTCGTGTCTACTGTGCTTGGTCGTATGCAGGGACCGCAATCTAATTCGCGTATGGTTTTGCATTGAAATCCGAAACTGCTCTCTGGGTGCAATAATTGCTCCTGCTCTACTACGTGGTGTGACGTGCCGGTGATTCCGATACTGGAAAACGGAAGCCTTTGTTTTTACGCTTTGTCAGTAAGAAATCTTAGTGGTTTCTCGGGATGCGTGCCTCAATAGCACGCGGTTTCCTGTCATGGAGGCAGTGAGTGCGGTTCTATGTCCATGACGTTCGTTTTTGTCTGTTCCTCGTGGTCCGCTCACTTTTCCATGGTGTCTAAAAGTTATCTTCTTGCACACAGTGTTGAGTGAGAGAGAGAGAGATGCGGCGTCTGCAGTTCCTTCCTGTTGCTGCCTGCACTCAAGCAGCCAGAAGAGAAGTATGTAACAAAGCCTGTACTAGCGGATGATAACTAGCCATGATTCGTTTTCTTTGAGCTTGGAGATGGAGAACCAAAATCTTGTACCGTAAGGCTCATCTTCCGTACAGTCTTTTTGTCAACATTGCATTCTGCCGCGGGCGTCTATGTTGAAAGAGTTCTACCTTTACTTAATTGAAATTACGAGTGCTTGTATTTACACACTACCAGCTGCATGAATTTCGCAGACGCTGCTTTGAGTAGTGTGCGATGTTATACGACATGAAGAAGGACGACGACGTCGACGTCGGCGAAGAGGTCGTTTCACTGTCTGCTAGCCCACACTGATATCATTCGAAGCGAATAAGTTTGTTGCACTCACCACCAGGCGCTGGAGGAGCATAGTAAATTCTCAGGACAATTTTTATCACAATATGGTTTCCTCTAACCCGCAGACGCCTTGGAACCGCGTGATTTCCTCGTCCAATGCCGAGGATGAGCAGTACTCGGCGTCTCTCTGCACCAGCGGGGTATGGATTGTAAAAATGTCTGGGTCTGGAAGAATGGAAGGTCTGTCATGCTCTGCCAGCATGACCCCAAAGTCTGTCATGCACGTCACCCAAGAGCCCCGTTTTTTTTGTCATGCAGAAACGTAGTTTGTCATGCAGAATAGGCAACACCTCGAAGCTCAGAAACTTGTCATGCTAAGCCAGCACTTGTGGCCGCCTCATGATACGCCAACCAGCATCACAAGTTTCCAGACCCAGACATTTTTACAGTTGATACGGGGCGCACCACAACAACCTAACCCGCATGAACGACTACAGCACGATCCAGGAGCTCGACCCACCGGCACCCCTACAAACCGACTTTTCCACCACGACCATCAACCAAATTATCCTTCCTGGCGGCGGTGGCGGCGGCTCCGGGACGGATTTCGCGGCCCAGACCCCCACAAGCCAGCGGCTGGGCGCCCTGGGCGGGACGCTGCAAATCTCGGAGATAGGAGGCACAACCACCGGGGGCGGCGGGGGGATGTTGTTGACCGAAAGCGCGGTGTTGAAAGTGGGCAGTGCACCGTCCGCGAGTGGCAAGGAGGAGGAGTTTTTGAACTTGAACCTGTCTCTGGTCGAAAATGCAATCAGCGAGAAGGCGGAAGCGGTGTTGCAGCAGGTCAAGCACGAGGTTCTTGACAAGAACGGAACGGCGACGGACCACCCGAATGGTCCGCGACCTCTGGTTGGGGCCGACACTATCGACCTCCAGCTCGCAACGCCCGGGACGGCACTCGCAGGAAGAAGGATGAAGCTGCTGAAAAATAAAGTAGGGGAGAATTCGACGCAGATGAACCCGAAAAAGAAAATTGCGTTTCCACCAAGAACCACGGGACCGCCAGGATCATCTTCCAGTGGCGGTGCATTGACAGGAAAAAACACGAAGCCGAGTAGCAGTCTGGCGGCTGGCACGGCCGGAGGCACAACATCTACGTCCCTCGTTGGTGGTGCAACAGGAACGACAAATAAAATCCAGAGGAGCTCATCGACCTCAGCTGCAGATGCGAGACTGTTGACCGCAGCGGTGGCGCACACCAAATCGCTGCAGGAAGCTATGACCGCGACACTTTCGTCCAACAATACGGGGGCACAGCAGCAGCTTACTTCAGGCGCCAAGAGTAAAGCTCTTTCAGGTGGCAGATCCGGCGCAGGAGTACCAGCATCCTCGCAACAGTCGAAGCACCAGCCGGAGAAATTTCTCGCCCCTTTAGTCCTGCGGGATTGCAGTGTGAAGGAGTACGAGAACAAGATTGAGGCGGACTTTTTGGAGATGAAACATCTCCTTAACCTGGAGCAGCTGGCCTACAAGCGGTTTCAGAACGAAGCGTCCTACGAGTTGGGCGTTTTGAAGGAGAAAATGGACGAAAAGGAGGAGAAACTGAAGCAAGAAACGGAGAAGTTCGAAAAGATAAAGCGCATCCGGGACGACCAGACCGAGGCCATGGAAAAACTGCTGCTCCGGTACGAAAAGGTCCGGGCGGAATTCGAGCGGTTAGACAGGTACGACAAGGAATTATCGGAGAAACACACGAATTTCGACGAGCAAAATTTGATAAAACAGGAAGAATGCGTTTTGCTGAAAAAGGAAACGAAGCTGAAGCTGGAGGCCCGGAAAAAGCAGGAAAATGATATCCCTTGGAGGAGGACAAGTATCGAACGGCGATGACTTTTTTTGCATGACAGATTTTTCTTTCACGCACTGAATATTCTCGAAGAGGAAGCAAGAGCCCTTGCCCTTCCTAGAATGAATAGAGACTTTGGCTCTGCTACTGCACGTTGTAGTCATACATGCTGGGCGATACTTTTTCCGTGGCGATAAATGAGAAGTCACAGCAGCTGGACGAGATCAAGTACGAGGTAAAAAGGCTGGAATTGCTGAACACGGAACTGCAGCAGGAGTTTGCCGTGGAAAAGGAGACGCTGATTACCGAGTGGAAGGAAATCGAGTTGCAGAACAAAATCACGGGACTAGAACTAGAAACCATCCGACACAAGTCCGCGGAAGCAGATCTTATTTTCGACACGCGGATTGAACAGCTTCGGCGGACGGCGGACACGGCCAAGGCGGAAAACGAAGAGTTGATCCGGCGATTACTCGAGGAGACGGAGAGAAATAAGCGACTCCAGGCGAAGTGTCGGTGAGTATAGGAATGATTGCTGGCGTGCGACGAGAACACGCACTGTGGTCAATTCTCTCTTACAAGCTTTCTCGACAGCAATGATATACCTAATCACTACTTGATGAAATTGCGATTGTATTCGGTTTCGGAACTTCAATTTCTATTCAAGGTCGCTTTATCCCGGTTTCGGCTGTTCACAGGTTGAGGCAGACATACTAGGTCGATAAAGCCACTGAAGGTAAACTTCGATTCGAATATTGGTGAGGTCGCCCAGCTGCGAAGAAAGATATTTACAGAATAAAGTCGTGACGTACATGCTGCCTGCAGTGTCTATAAACCTGCTCGTACTGTTTCTTGTAAAGTTTGCTTTGAGGTGGACGAACGCGGTATTTTTTTCGCAAAGATTGTTGTGATGCTACAACAAGCAAATAAAAGCGCTCACCATTTATATTTCACTTTCTCGCCGACGCAGATGCTTCAGTTTCCGGCGGAAGATACGTGCTGCGAAGCCCGCGGAGTTGTAGACACTCAGTTGTAGTGAGTTACCTCTGCCGGTGGGACAAGGTCTGACAGACCTCGACGTGTTGTATGAAAGTTGAATGCGCTGCTGTATACTTAGAATTGAGAGTGCGTAGTTAGCAGTGGTCGCACTCAAACACGAATTCGATCGGTTCTGACAAGAAGAGCAGACGTCTTGCTCTCGGTTTTGCTCGTTCTCATCCGTAAAATCAGCTTTCGGTGTTGAAGATTTTCAATTTTTTTCGCGCTTCCTGTATTCTGCTGGTCGGTCTAGCTTAATGTCCTTCGTTCGGAACGCGGCGCTCGGACTTTTTACCACAACAAAGCCGGTTCTCGCCCGTGCAGGCGAAGCCAAACCCCAGACTTTTCTCCTGAAGAGGCTCGGTTGTGCGATAATTCTTAGTGTGCGTAATCGGTTGTCGTGGTCGTGATCGTGGTAAAAAAAAAGACAATTGGCTCGGTTTTTTGCACTTGTAGCCTTGGAGCTACTTCTTGTCTCGGTACCAGTTTTCGTCCCAGGATTCCGGCCAACATCATGAAGTCTTGGCTTCTAAACTCGACGTGATGGTCTGCGTCTGTGATTGTTTATAAATATTCGTCGTGCAGCTGCAGCGTGGTGATGAATACCCCTTACAAAGAACTCGGTTGGCAAAGAGTGCATGTTGTTAGGGTCGGTACCATCTGGCACAGGTGGAGGACGTAGTGTCCTGTCATCATGATCTCGTCGTGCTGGTTCTTCTTACCATGCTTGTGTATAGATTACAAATACAAAAAAAACCATTCCCATTGAAATAACCATAACCAATGCCTGGCGCGTGTCGTCGCAAATTTTACAAATTCAATTTTTCCCTCTGCTCACAGTGTCCCCGCACTTGCTATTCTCAGATTTATCTCTGAGAGTAGTTCATCTCTCCCACTGGTTTTTCTTCGAACAAATTTAAGCTTTACGGCGAGGAGTTTTGAAACTTTGTTTCCAAAAGGCTGAATCAAATTCAAAAAGTACTTACTACTTACCCCGCGAAGATAATTGAAATATCGACCTGAATTCACTTACGTACTGCGACGGCATTTTTGCAGCCTTTCACAAATACTTCTGACAAGCAAAGGCAAGGGTAGACTTGAAACTTGTTCGCAGTACCACAACAGAAGATCTGCACGCAAGAAGAAGAACAGCACCAGCAGCCACACTAAACAACTGCTGTTGTGACCACTTGGACAGGAGTCGCACGACCTCTGTTGTGAAGACACCAGCTGCAAATGTTGTCACACGAGACTGAGACGCAAGGGGAGATCACCATGCAGACTGCTGGAACGGTCCCTGAATCGCTTACGACCCCTGCCGCACGGTATCATCACGTGTCCTCGCGGGACGATGGAGAACCAGCGGACGAAGGGGCGGCGGGAGAGAATCTGCTCCCTCCAGCGGTGGAAGGCTATCCACTGCAAAAGTACTTATCGTGCTCGTGCTAATTGCATATGCATTCATGCACTCGATTTCACCTGGATCTTCTGCATGACAAAGTCCCGTTTTTCTTGTCGAAAGTTTTTGATGCAATTTGTTGCTTCTAGCGCGATGCTTTTGTAGTGCATAAAGGCGATGAAGATGCTGATGCTGAAAACAAACAACTTGTCTCGAACTGGAGCAAGGGGAACAAGATCATCTGTTCCAAGGATCCGGTGACCAAGAACCACGGCTGCATGATGTGGAAGATCCTGCTGCTCGGCGCTTTGATTGTGGTCTTGGTGATTGGTGCGGGGGTCTCGCATATGCAGAGCAAATCGTATGTCTGTGTCTGGATTCGTCATGCGAATAGATTTGAAACGACAAGAAGAAGAACAAGTAGATTCAAGATCTGTAATTCATGGATAGAGGTTGGATTGACGTGAGCAGTTATTTTGTCATGCTAGAAGGGAGTTTGTTTTTATGCTACTAAATGCGATTGCGATAGAGCAGGAACAGTGGTAGTGCTGGTGGTGATATGCCGTGCAGCGGAAGCCTCTGGCACACAAGAACCACCGTGACAAACTGTCCGCTTCCTTCCAGACCCAGACACATTTGCATTTGATATCTAAGTCGGCTGCGATCCAGAAACTGGTATTGACAGACCGGTGTGTCAATTCCTCTTGCTGGTTTTGTTTCCTTCTCTTTCCCTCCTTTCAATTGGACAGTAATTGAAAATAATAGATTTTGATTTTCGCGTATGGAGCGTCCGGTGGTTGAGGCTGCCCTGTAAGATCAAATCTCAACGGAGAGCATGAAGATGATGCAAATGAAGATGTACCTAGACCTACAAACTCAAGATATGTTGAAATTCGACCATAATAACTATACTTCCCAGTTCCCGCCGCTTGCTGATCTGATGCGGTTCAAGTCCGGTCCGCCTTCGGGCAAGAAAAACGGGCTTCGCGGCTTTCTGGCGCCGAAGCAGGTCGCGAAGGAAGTTGACGAGAAGGGTGCTGAAGATCCCCGGCCTACCGTGGAAGCCGCGCCGAATCATCTTGTCTCGCCGGAGATTGCCGCTTCGAAGGTACCTTCTTAGTTACTCATCAAGAATCCAAGTCTTCCGCTTATGTCTCCATCATTGACGAACTACAACTATGTATGTATTTAGATTTAGAATTCGAATTATCTTCTTCTACCTAGTACTACACTGCACGTACACCAAGATAGTCTGAAGACGACGACGGCCAAGTTCCTGACGCGCATCCTAGACGTGGGGTCTCGGAATTTGGCGTTTTGAATGCAAGTACGTAGTACTTATTTGCCAGCACGAGGAAATAAAGTGTAAGTGAAGTGTGGTACCATACCGCGACTTCAAATTGTAGCTGAGCTGCAGCTGCTCAAGTTCGAACTTTTTTTTTGCATATCTCTACAAAACCTACACGTTCATGGCGAGAAGTATACTTACGCCCGCTGCAACATACGCAAAAGTGTTGAAGGCAGCCCTCACTGATGTCAATCGCCGGATGTTTCATGGTGGATGACTTTTTGTCATACCATGCCTCACGTACACCATCAGAAGTGTACTTTTGGCGTCGGCCGCAAGAAAAAATGCCTGCGTTTCGCAGGTGGAGCGCGCATTTTTTGAAAAACTCTGACTCTGACTCTGATGGTGTTGATGTTTTCCGAGAAGAGCATTTTTAGGTCTGAGAGGTCATCGTGCTGCGGCGCCGTTGCCATGCCTAGTGTGTGGTATCATCAGGCCGAAGGCAACCAAATGTCAATGGAAATTATGAGTAGCTTTTTCATTCTGAAATACAAATAATACACAGCCCATTGTCGACCCACCGGTGGCGAGCGCGGTGGGCGATGGAGGAGAAGCCGCCCGTTCCGACCACGTCGACGAAGCTCTGAAGTACCAAAGTGAGAAACGTCGACACACGACCTCATAGATTAGAGCCGCAGGGGAGACCGGCTACAGCTATTTGCTGATTTTCTACTACATAGAGTACTTGTATGCATGAAAAGGGGCGATGGAGACACCGCCACTGTGCGCCTTATCTATCAACAAAGGCATGTTGTAATTTTCACATATGTGTTGACACTTTTTACTCACATTTGTGATCGTGGCGCATTGAAAGAAGACTGGCGAGCGGGGAGTTGTCCCTCTGATGAGACATAGTTTGTTAGGTGTGGTTTATTCTCACTTTGATACGAGCCAGGCGCAGGCGGTTGCCTTCCTGGATGTTGAGCAGAAAGTGGGAAAGCTGTATCATGTGGAGAATGCTAGCTACATACACTTTTTTTTATTATGGCCGACTGTCCACCTGGATGTATTTCTATTTTTCGTGTCGTGTTGATAAATACTTTCGAGTACGTTACGTACTCCACGACCGGCAGCTGTGTTGCGCAGATATTGTCAGAAAAAGGGAAGGGTCCCGAGGACGAGCAGGCATGACAGAGCTGACGTAAAGGACGTAAAGCAGATGAACTGAAAGAGGATCGAAGCTTCGAATTTCGTATAGTGAAAACTGCAAAAGTCGAGACTCGAAGCTCGAGAGTTGAGAAGCTAGGTTCGAAGTCCGCAACCTGCTTTTCGTTGGCTTTGCAAGAAACCGCCTCGGCGCCGCGCCGGGCTCAGCAACTAGGACGATGAATTTATTTTTTGGCACCCACACCTAATTGAGTCGTCCGACTCCGAGCTGTTTGTTTGATTTTGCACCAGTCAAACTAACCCAGCCATGCGCCAGCCTGCCGATACACGTTACTTAGTACTGCAGATAGTACTCATGTAGTTGGCCATGATCACTGATGATGATGATGATGATGATGATGTGCTAGCTTTTTTCCGTGCGAAAAGTTGACCGAGCACCAAGGGCAGGCGCTGTCGCCTGGGGAGGTGACATGTGGGGGTGCTGGGGATACACCGTCCGAGTTTGGTTCGAAGCAGCTTGAGCACATCCTCAACCGTGCCGAGCACGAGCATGATGCGAATCGGAACCTTGCAATCCTTCCCATGCCGCTGGATGAGGCCATCGACACGCTCATGTTTGTCGGATTCCGTGTCTATTGTAACTACAACCCGCGAGATCTGGACACTGCCACGGTCGATGCGATCGCAAAGAAAATCTTTGCTGATTCTCGCATCGAGCGGTCAGACCTGAACGTGATCAAGTACAAGATCGAAAAAAGGCGGCACCTTACGTATATGCTGAGCAAAAGCCTGCCTCCCAACCCCAGAGTTGTGGCCTGTCGTCAAAACATTTGAACGTTTTTTTTGTATTTCAATTTGGTTTTATTTTCCAGTTGTACGTGAAACACCCCGCCAGAGTTGTCATACTGATTTGCATCCACAGCGGACACATTGGTGGTGCGCATCCATATGAGAGGTATTTCCAGTGGTGTTTTTGCATTTGTAGTGCTGTGAAACGCTTATCCGATGAGGTTTAGGCATATGCAGCAGTCCTACTTGCTAGTAACTGTTTTTACAAAAATGTAGGCAGACAGATGCTTGCCACTTGTGGCTCTCAAAACTTGTGATAATATGCTCGAGAATTACCAACTTGACTGTAACAGGGCCGGTACGCTTTCACTCAGGATATTGTACACTGGTGCCGCACCTCGCGACTCGTTGAAAGGGAATCGCAAGGTCCAATTGGCGATGAAGGAAGAGCAGGAGCAGGGGGGGGGGCGCGGCCCTTTGTCCGACTGACGCGGACCGGAAGGGGTGGTGGGCGACGACTTTAACAAGCGACTACATGATGAAACGAACTGGCTACACTTTGTCCGCGGCTTACCCTGCAGAGAAGAAAGCCGTCGAAGAGACCACAAAAATGATCGCGTTATCGTGCCAAAAATTCGATTGAGTGTCAATTGCAACCGCAATGCAGGAGTACTAACATCAAATTGGAACCATCTGCTGGTTCATTTATGTGCAGGCATGCCGAGAGGCCCAAGGAATAGGAAACTGTTGACCGACAGATAAAAATCGTTTCCGGTGATATAATGGCTCAGACAAATTGAAATTATCGCAAAGCCATGGCTCACAGAAATTTACTTGCCCAGAACATCGGAGGGCAACGACCTCCACTTCTGACTTTATAGAATTCAGACCACTTATTTTGACTCAAAAAATGATGATGATGGTGATGATGATGATCAAGACGAACGTATATCTATGTCTGATAAAAGCAGTGTTGCTACCCTGACTCAGTATTTTCATGAGGATATAGCAAATTCACGGAAGAGAAGAAATTCGACGGCCGTCCAACTGGAGACAACGGGGTCCTCGTGGACGAAATTGTCTCCACGGTGATGGGTCAAATCCGTCGTGTATCCAGGCGTGTCGGTGTCTCAGTGGTGAATCGCCGACATAAGTACGTCCGCGTCCTATACATATCAAGCTAAAATGTTCTACTTATAAAGCGGCCGGGACTTCGATAGCAAACAGGCCCGGCGGAATTGTATCGATTCCCGCTTGATAGAACGACGCAGGGGCGCCGACAAAAGGGGCGCCCTTCTGAGGCGCCCATCGCCTTGGTTTCTGGCGGTTTAGGGCGCCCAAAAAGGGACGCCCAAAAAATGCCAAGACGACAATGGTGGAGGCGAATCCGCATGCATGTTATGGGCGCCATTTGTGGCCACTTTTGGAGGTCGCAAAGCCGGCCACCAAAGTCGGGCCTTTGTATTTCGGGGAGCTCGCAACAAATGGACACCCGACGCAGATTCTAGAGAATAAAAGAAAGCAGCATGGCTATCTGCGAAAAGAAAAATCCTGCGAAAAGAAAAGCAAACACAAAGCAGGACAAAAGAAAGAAAAGACGCAGAGGAGAAAAGAAAACAGATAGCATGCGAAAAGAAAAAAATGAAAAACTCCCTGCGCAAGGTTGACCGCAGCGAAGTGTGTATAGCTCCGCGTTGATCACTAAGCTCGGGGGCGTACTTATTTCCGGCAAGCTTTAATGCATTTCGCAAAGAAGCGAGCCGCCGGGCATTCAAGCTTGGGGCCTAAATTTTCTGTCCGGCTTCCGCGATCCCCAAGAGGCGACGGGGATAGTGGTTGTTTTCGTCGGGGGCTAAGGATACTCTCCAGCTCTTAGGAAGTATCTTTTGAACGCCAAGCGTGAGGGTGGTAGCGCGATTCGAACTCCAATTGAACTTCCCTTCACTGCTAAAACGGGTGGTGTTGCGTCGTTCGAGATGCCTGGCTCTCAATGCAATCCAGTGCAGATGATTAGCCTTCAGAAAATTTAAGCGGTTACTCGTGCAGTTTCTGGCTCACCTTGGTAGCTCCTACAGTATCGAAGAAGCTTGTGCTGAATTGTATTTCGGGGAGCAAGCCAGAAAGTGCGGCTTTTCAACAAAAAGAGACAAAAAGCGCAAATGCCGCAAAAGGCAACGAGCCAATCCACATGCCATGGGCATAATTTAGGGCGCCCAAGGGGCCGGCCCTAGCGGAAGCCTTTGGTGGGCTGGCTATAGCATGCGGGGAAGGTTTAGGCTTTCGGGTTTGGGAGGCACGAAGATGGCAACTGTCTACCGCTCCTGACGCCATGCGGGGCAACGCTATACGCCGCGGCACGTGCGAGGAAAAGAGCGCGGCCCGTATTTTGCTAGCGGAAATTCGCGAAAGCAGCGCAGCAAAATGGCGCGAGGCAGTCAAAAGAACCGTTGCAACCTCACCAACCCCGTGGGGCGGCTATTGTTGGCCAACTAGATGAGGACGCGATGCCGTTGGCTGAATGCACTTGCTGGGGTGCATTAAATGTATATAATATAGTACACACTCATGATTGATGCAAAAAAGAGGCGCAAGGGGGACACGGGCAGCGCGGACGAACAGCGCTGCGGGGACATCGTTTCGATTTCATACAGATACGGCGGCAACCCGGCAGATGTCACGGCCTACGAAAGCAGCTTGGTGATTCACTGGGGACTCAATCCCCAGGCCGGCGGCCCAGTCTTCACGGGTATGACATTCTCCAGCAATGGGCAGGTTTCGCTTATTTCAAATCTGAAGGTATGATGATGATCCTTTTCTTGATGCTAGTGTGCAGCGACTGGCAACTCGAGTGGCTGTCTTCAAGCTTCATAAGTTGAGAGCCCTGTAGGACGTAGTTGTCGCATTTTACTCCTAATATGAAGGCCTGACATTTTGTTGAGTTAGTCTTTCAAGGTGAAGAGGCTGTATCATATTGTACACAGCATGATCTTCTGCGTCTTCCATCTCTCTGAGGCGAGGTTCTCCTTCCTTTTCCTTTTTTTTCTGCCTTCTCGAGGATCCTGCCGGGGCTCTTGAAGCGAGAACGGAGCCCACCGTAGCTGCGCTGATCTTTCCGGCGTTTTGTACAAACAATAAACGTGCTAATTCCCTGGTGGAGGAAAGTAGAACGAGGCACGTTTCTCAATATGCAAGTGGGGCTTGTGCTCCTGCTATCCTAGATTCAATTCGTATTTGCAATCTGCATGTAAGAACCTGCGTGGCAAGAGCAGGGGATTCGTGGCTGCTGCGAGTAACGGACGATAGTGAGACAATTTGGTTTGTAATTGTTTCGCTCCTACGGAAAAAGATCGTCGTATGTTTTTGTACTGTAGTACTACTTGTGCTTATGCATTTTCCCCCGGCGTCGCTCCTAGGTAGGTACAGAGTGGCACTATCATGACCATGTTGATTAGGGTGCAAAAATGTCCTGAGCGAAACCTTCCCGATTTCGCTTTGCTGCAGCATATCTCCGATGGTATCGAGCCAACAAAATGCCTTCACGAACTTGAAGGTCATGCAATACAAGATTGAGCAGAAGCTATCACGCGCAACTAGAGATAGAGTTTTGCTGGACCACCCGTGTGACTATTTCTTGTTGCGCATGCTGATCCAATGCCCATTTTCAAGTTTCAAAGATATTCATACTTTCATGTTTATCTATCAATATGAATATTTGTGGATGTATGTAAGGAACTGTGAGACACCCTGTGCAGGTGTGATCAGGAAGCGCTGAGACACTCACAAGCATGAAAAAAAAAGCATATTATAGTCATCAGATTATTTATTTAAAGCCGCACATCAACATCTCCCCGTCTCTCGATCGGGTAGAGAATGTTCTCAGATTATGCGCATTCGGTTAGCGAGTGCTAGGGGGCAAAAAGCAGGGCGGAAAAACAAAAAGTAACGTGTATAGCTGCGGCAAGCATGGGTGACAGCACGAAGTTGGATTTTATTAGGATAGAACCGGCAAACAACCTACGGTGGACCCCCGCCTTGCATTGGGCTCGAGCAGGATCCGGCTGTGGTGCAAATTATGAACCATGAGGTGTCCGCAAATCCTGCGGCACCGAAGCCGGAGGAACGTCAAGTTGCTGCAGGCGTGGACGAGGGTGCTCCCGCCGGCAATGTCGCGAACAACCCCCAAGCGGGATCTCCGCAGGTATCCAAGAAAAAACTGTGTCTACTATCTAAGCTCTTGTGCATATTCGTATTGTATTGCTTTCTGCAAATTTTGGCTTCACTGGCATCAAAAATTGTTTGTGATTCCTCTTATGCTGTTTTATTGGCACAGTTCGCACTGAGTCTCAGTGGTCGCACCAACAGTAAAAATGAACTTTGCTGTACGTCCAGTGTAGCAAGAGCTAGCGTCCGACGAGTGGGCTACACTGTCTTGCGCAAGACGAAGACTAACACAAGAAATGTGCACTAGAACCCTTTTATCCTTGTATAGCAGCAGAGCACCGTGGGAAAAAACACGAAGAAGAAATCCAAGTCCGTATCGAACTGAAAAAGGGAAGCACCACCCCCGGAATAGTGTATGTAGAAGTGTCAGTTTAGGTTTTGCTTATGCATTCAGAGTTGAAATCAGGAAATAACAACTCACGATACGACGTCAACCTGTTGCAAACGGCAGCGATCTACACAGCTGCTCCATGAACAAGTTCAAGACTTGCAAGAGTCTGCGTGCGGTGTTGCCCGCATGTCGGGTAGAGACTGGACTCAGTCGTGCTGCCTAGATTCCACAGCAAAACCAGGTATGCGGCGCAAAAGGATGTTTCTTGCTCATCCTCCAATTCGATTGACTAACTTTGCACCGCGTCACCAGCGACTGGGCAATTCTGGGGGTAGGGTAATTTTCAAGTTGATATTCCGGCGGGTGCTCCTGCGAGGAAGACGACGACGACGACGAGAAGTCCGTATGGCGTGCTCAGAACCGACAACGTCTTCTGTGAGGGAAAGAACATGTTGCTGGCGCCTTTTTTTGTGCTGCATGTTGGAGAGCAAAAGAAACTACTTAGACTGATTATATCAACCTTCTGTAGATGTCTGTGTCTCCGGATGATGGCTTCCGCATTGGCATTTTAGCAGCTACTAAATATCTACCTCGGCGCCATCTCGACGCTCACTTTGGTAAAAAAATAGTCCATGAATGAGCTTCAGACCATTAGAGGGGGCTGCATGCGCAGAGGCTGCGCACCCGCCTGGGACGCGGATCGGAGCTAGCTTGTGGACAGAAGAAGTGAGAAGTCTGGACGGGGAGTCCATAAGTATTACCCGAGGATCAGTGTTTTGCATCAGAAACTTGCTTGTCACAGTTAGCGTTGTCAGAGCTGAGCCCCCTCCATAATCCAAGTCCGACAAGAAAAAGTGCTGTTAGCCGGCGGCGGGCGGGTGTAATTACGCGGTGGGATACCATTTGGAAAAAACCAACTCCATCATGCAACAGCTCTGTAAGTCTTCCATGTGCAAGGTGGAACATCCTCATACAGCAACCAGAAAACTTCCTCTGGTCGGGAAAGAAAAGGCTGTGTTCCCTGCTACGCAAGCCTCTCCAGCACTTCTCATGGAGGCGAATTTTTTCCAAGTTGATACCATCGCACGTATCTCACGTAAGAAAAAAGCTAGTATAGGTAGCGAAATGATTTGCATTTGGATTCAATGCAGCTGGTGCAGAGCCGACCATTTCCAATCTTCGATATCGTCTGGCTAGTAAAGTGAATTAAAGTCTTCTCTGGTGAACGGACACCTGCAGGCGTTTTTTCGTATTTGATTCATTCAACCATGATGAGGTGCCTATGTATGCTGGTTTTTTTCGACGTGATAGCTGCACCACCTGGGGTTTTTGCCGCCTGAACTACTTGACTTCGCCACGACCGTATCATTTTGAAAAATACCCCCGAAGAGCCCACTAAGCGAATGCAGCACTCCTGAATAAAGCGAATTTGGGCGATGCGTCCGCAGCGCACCTTGCGCACGCGACGCAAAGGACGACACGAGGTAGAGGGTGGCTTTCTGGAGTGTTTTTGCTTTGTGGTGCTGGCGGGGGTTCATTTCAACGTGATTGGCGAGGCTTCATGTAGTTCTTTTCTGTTCCGGAAACTACGAAACGCCACGACGATGAGAGGGAACGCCACACGGAACGTGCTTTACTATCTTCAAAGCCATCAAACACATGATGAAGTACGTTGATGCACCAAGCTGTGATCATCTTTGATTAAATTTCATGTACAATAACCGTAGACGGAAGTTACAAAAATTCTATTGCTAAGTGCGTTTTCTACAACTCTGAGGCGCATTCATGTTTTTCTTTTCTGATTCTGGTATAACTGTTTAAAACTTACAATCTGCATCTACTAGTACTACTTGTTCAACAACTTTTTTTCACACTGCAAAAATCCACAACTGCTTTACTTTTCTTGCAAAACAGCATATGATCTTACTTACGTACACTATTGTTTTAGCATTGTAATTCCTTTTACACTTACACATCTACGCTCACGTTCTGACCAACCTTCCATCTTGATGAATTTCCATTTTATTGTTGATAATTAAATTAAAATTAAGAGTAAGAGTACCTCTATCTCTCGTTCGAGTTCAAATGCATAGAAGTACTATGTGCATCTGTTCAGTTCTAACAAATACAAAAATCGCAATCAAGTGACGAGGTGGTCGTATCACAGGCCTGCGGGTTTTGAGATGCTTCCGCTTACCTAATCACCGAGGATAGTACAAGAATTGTAGTTTTAAAGTTTTCGTCCAGGAGGAGCATGCGCATTAATTTTTCAGCACTACAAATTTATCCAATGCGCAATCGTCACGAGTTGTAAAAAGTTTCTAACGGGTGGGCGCGTGGAAAAATGATGATGAGGCCATCTGTAGCGAGTAACTGAGCTGGAGGAGGAGCAGATCTAGCCTCATTAATTTCCGTTACCCCAAGACGCTGAGTTGGGCCGCTGCACGGCTCGGCAGCTCGAAGTTTGCTGCTGGTCAAGAACAGGGGGGACGGAGATTTTTGAGGCAAAGAAGTTTGGCCACGTTATCATGAAAAATGTCTGGTGATGTTTGCTACTGAATTTTGAGTTTTACTATTTTCCTTTCCAAGTTGGCAAGTAATTTAGGCACTGGAGCGAGAAGTCAGTAGCTGTTCGTTGTAAAGAAAGGACGGATGCAGATGAGCGCACTTTTTTTCACTGCATGCGATGTTTGATTACAACAGGAGCGGGAACCAGCTGTCTTACAACGCTCCCTTGAATTCTCCTGTCTGACTAACGCCAGCACCAGCAGCTCGGCGTGAGGAAGATCATATACGAGGTCCGCGATTTTTCAGCTATTCTGTTTTCCCTCGCCTTGTTTAATAAAGCAAGCAGAACCACTGCTGAAGATGATCTACTCGCCTTTGCTGAGGATGTAAGAACTACAATTAGCCCTTAGATCATAATTGCTCGATGTGAAACGAAAAATTGTGTGTTCTTTCTTCTTGCTGCGTTATATGTATGTGGCAAAATCGCACCGACAGGCCTGAACTTCCTCCGGTAAATCCCGTCGAGATCCATCATGCGGAAGCTTTCGCGCACGGTCTACCTGCTCAACGAGGTGGCCGCGGTGGATGTGAGTGGACACAACAGGTCTGATCCGGCTGAGCACCTGGAAGGAGCGGAGCGTGACGACACTGGCACAGTCGCTAATCGTGCTCCCGCTCCGTCAGCGAATGTTGGCACGGATGAAGAAGGTGAATCGGCGCCCACCTCGGCTACACCCGACGGCAAGATGAAGTCCGATGGCTTTCTGGAAACCAAGAAGGTGGAGAAGAAGTATCGGCTGCGCGGCGCATTATGCCCCGCTCAGGAGGAGTGACGATCTCAACTGTGAGCACAACAATATCTGTGGAATTTTTGTTTTTTCATTTTGTAGCACAATGCGACTTGTTGCTTGTTCCGCGGTAATATCCTGGACGGAGGAAGTTTATCCTGAGTAGTGGCGGAGTCTGGATCCATGCACGTAAAATAACTCCTGATGAGGACAGGCGAGACGAAAACAGTACTACTAGGTAAAGCAGAGGCATCAAGGGTCAGTCGCGTTGTCTTCTACGATTTCAAAAAAAAAAGAATGGACCTGTCAGCCGAATTTTTGCCACAGTTGCGCTCGTCACATGCTTGCAAGGCATCCGAGGTCAAGAGCTGCTTGGACTGCTCTGCAGGCTCGGCGGGGGGCTCCAGCTCCAGCAGCGCCAATATCCACCACGCTACAAACGTGAGGTCACAACTAGTCTGGTGAACCCCCAAACGCCGCGGCACTGTGATGTAATATGGACCAGGATCTAGAAAACAGGAATCGGAGTTTACTTTGCATTTCCAATCAAGAAAAGATACAACTCAAGAACGTTGGCTCTTGCCTTTGCATCATGGCGGCCGCACCGGAAAAATCAAAAGTGTATATTTGGATATATGTAGAAGCTGCGCTATGAAATCTGAGTGAAAAGGGCAAAAAGTAATAAATCGAAAGCACCACCCGCGCCCGCCACTTCTGATGTCGTGGTGCAGCAATGACAGTGAGACAGAAGGTGCGCGCGTGGCAGCTTGTGACTAGGACGCGTTTGGCACTGCTTGATAGATGGCCAGTCCACTGTGCCTAAACCACGATCTAGTGACACTCCTTCACCAGCTCGCGACGGTATCCTACGCACAATTGCCATCTTCATCATGATGATCATTTTGTATAATGCGCGACCACGTCGTGGTGTCGATGTCGTGCGTGCTGCTGGCGTCCTCCGTGGCGTTGACCAAAAGCGACATCGAAACTACCGTAGAGATGCTACTTTTTATCAAGAATTCGGACTTACTTCATCTCTTTCAGATTGCTTTATGATGAGGGTTTCCACTTTGCGTAGTATAGCAGATGACCCGCATCTGAGTCGGCTTTCTGCAGAACGCGCCGAAGCAGAAGCAGAAAGAGCACGATTGTCTGAAACGTTGGCCAACGCATCAAATGTAGACGAGGAAGCGCGGCTGAAAGTTGAGGAGGCGGAAGGTGTGCAGCTGAAGCGGTGGAAGGAATACGTACAACCGGAACACGTGTCAGCTTTAGTCGGGCCGCATTACGTTTACGTCACTATGGAGATACTTTGCACTGTTTCTTATTTGCATATGTGAAGCCGCGCCGTCGTCTTTGCAGGTGCTACTGACAAGATGCCAGTGTTGATTTTCTGCGACAGGACAGTGACAGCACGACGTAGATGCGAGTGAGTGAGGGGAGGAGCGCACAATTGCAGGCAGTCGGATGGCGAGGCTTTTCTACATATTTCAAACTGCTGTGACTCGCCGTATGTCTATGCACTCAAGTACATCTACATGCACTACAAGCACAGCTAGATCTACCTCTACACCACACCAAAGCCATCGGCTTGCACTCCAGGAGGTCTAAAAAAAAAATTGGCTTCCCAGGACGAAACAGATAGCCAAAACCAAAAGCGGGATTTTTGTTGTCTTACAATCAAGCGAGGGGCCTTGCCGTGGGAATCCGAAAATTGATGAGCGCGACTTTTTTGCCCGACAAAGGCGCGACTTTTGTCCTGTCAGCCTGGCGGCCACAACGCATCGGGGTGGCAAGTTTGGGCTTTAGAGCCTGCTGCTCGTAGCGCGCGCCCCTGACGCATCCTTACCTGCCATGATGGCACCGGCGGAAAAATGCAGAATCAGGCAAACAAGAAAACAGCACACGAGATCAAGGGCAGAATAATTTTTGGGGCAATGCTCAGTAGGTGTGAGTCGCTACCCTTGTTGTGCACGATTCTGAAGGGGCCCGTCCGTATTGCTTCTCGGGCGGCGTAGATAGCCGTGTAGTGGTTGCTGATTCCCATGTCCACGCTCTCGTGCGGTCTCGTCCGTATTGGTGGTTTCCACTGCCCGCTGAGGTTGCGCTTAGCTCTAGCTGTGACCCAGTGGCACGACTGGTCGATCGAAGTGATAAGTAACTTACGCTGGCACCTTTTTTCGTAAGGGTCAATGCGTCTACAAGGCGGACACTTTTGAAATCCATAGCAAGACGAAGAAGAAAAAGCGTATCAACTTCAGCATGGAAGAGTCAGCGAATTCTCTGCTTCCCCAGAAGCACTGTTGTATGCGGCGAAGGAGCTGCATTACGGAGAGTACGCCGATTTGAAGCTCCTGAAGCAGGCCAAGGCTGGAATCACGGAGGGTGATCCGAAAGAAGTCCAAAAAGACAAGTGGAATCGCCTGGAGGAGGAGCTCCGTCGGAAGGCCTTCGAGTTGAAGACTGAGCATCTGCAACCTGTGAAAGATATCCAGACACGAAGAGCCGGACACTTTTATGCCACCGACGGCTTGCCCAAGAGCTGTTTCTTTTTATGGGCCCATCGATTAGCCATTATGCACGTCCTATTTACTGGCGCGCTCGAGTAATCTGCTGGCTTACCCAGCAAGCGAACGCGTTTTCCCTTTTGTTGACGCGCGCAGGGTCAGCGGAAGCTGTCTCAGGGGCGACTTAGTTAAGTTTGATGCGACGCGCCAATTCGTAAGGGCGCCGGGCTGCAAACGCGCGATTGAAAAAGAAAAGCGCTTTCGCTTCAAGCAAAGCCTCAGCATGTTGTATTTTGGAAACGAAGCTTCAGCGGATGGCGGGTTAGAAAAGTGGGCCAGCTCTTCATGATGATACGACAAAAAAGGGACAAGGCCAGGCTGGACCTTGAAGAAGCTACCACAGTCTCACCATGCGTGCCCATATTCTCGTTGAACAGGGCGGAGGCGAACCCCGGACACGTGTCCTGGGTTCCCCTTCCAGCGACATGTCCTTTTGTTGACCTTTCGATCATAAGCACGCTACATAAGCAACATATAAATTGAGAGAATGGAGATGAATTGCAATTGCATGAAGAAGGCGGAGAGGGTAGTCATCTGTATCTCAACGCGATGCACCCAATCTCCGCTATGGTGACCGGTGCAAGCACCGAGGAGCCCTAGCGCGGCCAGTGGCTCTTTCTCATCTGCATCACGTGTCCGTGGGACAATGATTGAAACACATGACGCAGCCCCGACCGCAGTCCGTTTGTAATTCAAGTCACAGCACCACACAGCACAATGAATGCTGCAGCTCCATTAAGTCGTGCATCTGTATGACACGTGGTTTCGCTGCGAAGGGAAGAGTGCCTTTGTGTCATATGATATTGGAAAACGTGCCAGCAGGCTTCGATCTGAATATGGGCCCGCGGGTTTCTTTTGATAGTGGCGAAGCGTAAATACAAAAAATCTTCCCTCAATTTTCTCCGAGCATGGCAGGCCGCGAGCCCCAACAAGTCGACGTAGTGGCGCTTCGTGGACGAGCTATTTTCGTTCTGATTTTTTTGGTTTTGGCTTTGCGAGATAGGGATAGCTCTGGGCTTAAATAAGTAGTATACCATATGCACATGCAACCAGACGATGTGCATTTACATAGACATACTTCTTAAGCAGGACACTTCATATCATCAGTGTCGGCATTCGAATTTCGTCTCCGGACTGTTTGGTTTGTTGCGGTATTGTGCGCGACCTTGTCCGCACTGTCCCCGAAACAAATTGGAGTGCGTTGTAGCTGTTTAGGTGCCGTCCTTTTGACTTTCAATCCAAAAATGAACTCGCTTCTCTCTTTCTTGTTTGTATTGTTTATTTGCATGTCCGTACTGACGACGCTACGCATCCGCTTCCAAATGCGGGCCCGACGGTATCGATACTACGGTCTTTTTTGGGTAGTTTTCCTCTTGATACTTCTACATTCGTTTCGAAAATAGATGTTTGCACAGCGCGGTCTATTTCATTGAGTTCAGTTTCCCATCGCTCTTCACACCCAGGCCTATCTAAAGAGGGTCCAGCACGGCTCTTCGCTGTAAGTACGCTTTTGAAAAATATACATGATTATTACGACAACCCAACGAACATAGAGATAGACTACGTACACATAGAGATGTGGTCGTATTTACTTTATTTGCGTTTCTCACTTGTCTGCTCATTCTATTTTAACATACTTAATATTTATTGTTTGCATAGCGTCCATAATTGAACACTGTTTTTTATTCACCTGTGTGTGTGTGTATGTGTGTTGTTCAACCAAACTGGAGCTCTTCATGGCAGTACCGGTAGAGACATTGACCGAGATTGGTGGAGGAGAGCGAGCTTTTACAATTAATTTATTTTAAGTTCATCTTCATCTTCATCTTAGTCACTGAGAACTTCCCTTGTAACCATGGTGCACCGGCAGACGAACTGCGAAAGGCAGAGGTGAAGAGCTGGACCCATTCTGTTCGATCGTGCGTCTCGTATTACCGGTGAAGAATCTGCTTGATCGTGATACCAGGGTGCTTTTGTTTACTTGTTTTTGTTCATGTTGATTCCACTCGTGACCACGGATCAAATTGAAAAGTTGAAGCTGTTTGAGCATGAGCATAAGTTTTGTTTCTATTTTGAACCAAAAGACAGCAGACCCAGCTGCATGAAAAGAAGCAGACCATCTCTGGAACAAGAACCGTAGCATGTCCGTCAGGCCGTAAGCATCACTGTCTCTCTGCGCCCCTAGTATCTGATATTTATTTTTTTCGCATCGAGGCGGCATTGCCTTGCAGGTGCTGCAACCACCTTTATTGTAATGACATATTCTTTTTGCAGAAAGAAGTCTGCTTTTCGCTATACTGTTTTTCGATGAAACAGCACGAACGGATCCTTTTCTTTGTACTACGGGCGATCAAACCTACAAGCAAATCTGCTTCAGAACGCGGTTGATGTTGTTCCCGTCTCTTAATTATTACTCATTATCAAGCAAAAATGAGCCGTGCGTCACGTTTATCTTCTGCTTTCATGTTGTTCTCAACGACCCGAGGAGGAAGCAGCACCGGAGCAGCGGCGCGTGCTGGCTACCATTCAATAGGCCTTTTTCTGCCGCCGGTCGTCTCCCTTTTCGTCCTCCGAACAGCACTACTGCTCCCAGCAGCGGCATTGCTCCACGCGGCTGCAGCTGCTAAGCAAGACGTCAGTGACCTGGACTGGTGGAGCCGGCCGGCGGAGTACTGGCGACTGGCGACGGTCGAGGAGAAGAAATGCAGCACGGTGGAAGACGAGGACGAGTTCGAGCTGGCTTTGAAGAAGCGGAACGCAACGCAGGCGGCGTCCTGCAGCGACCTGCGGGCGCGGCGGGTCGCCGAGGCCGACCGATTTGAGGAGGAGGTGTTTGAAGACTTGGCCATTCTGTCGAAACCCTGGCGCCCGGTGGACCCCGAGAAAGAGTTTGGGCACACTTGGCAACCCGAGAGGAAATGGGCAGAAGGGCGCGAGATGACGAAAGAGGAAAAAAGGACCGCGCATACAGGGTGAGAAAGAAACAAATGGATGAAATTCCAATTTGGCTATTCTTGGATGTAGGTACAAACAGCCACTACTTCATCTGTGGCAACGATCAGAAAATCACAATGACATCGTCCAACGAGGCCCTGATCGGCAATCGATCGTGTGATGAGCCAGTTAATACATGTTGGCTCCACAGGAGAGAGACTAGCAGTCGTCGTCGCGCCTTGATGGGCGCAGCTGGTGCATTAAGACTGTAAGTAGGCTTGCAGCTGGCCACGATCTTTTGTTGCTGAGCACCAGATGGACTCACTGGCTAGCGGGAGAAAAAACCCGGTTGATATGATCAACAAATCCAGGTATTGCTTCAACAGCTGGACGTCAGATTCTCTGAGGTTCTACATTCCTGCTGGGGCTTTTTCGTGCCGCCGGGCTTTGGGTTTAAGAAGAGGTAGATATTTGCTCCGGTCGCTTCACGAGGAAGCCGTGTGTCTTGCTCGTGCTGGAAGCGCCTGCTGCGTCTCTCTCGGTTTGCCCCTGCTATTAATGGCGCACTCCCTTGCTCTTTGCCGCAACCGCGGCCCACGGCTTGGCGCCGGTTTCGCCTCTCCTTCATTTTCTTTCTCCGCCCAGGCCGGCTTTCCCTAGAGGGGACTGAAGTTCCCGCCACATTCGGAAGCCTTGTGGTACTCTCATACTCGGGTTTTTGGCGGGTGTGCTGTCTTACCGCTTCACTGTTTCTACTGTGTTTTGTTGCCCGGCTGTGGCCGCTTTGCACTTTGAGTTTCGCGGCGCGGGGGCTCTGGGCCGGCGCTTTCAACGCAGAAACTTTTTCAGGATTTTGGTCTTGGGGACCACAGTATCTTGTTGTCTATTGCTTGGTGGTGGATCATCCTAGGTTTTTCTTGTGGCGCAAGGCCGTTCCGTGCTAGCCATTACGCGGGAAGTCGTTTATCTCACCAGGTCACGGGGGAGAGCGGACCTTTCGTGCGGGTTGTTGGAGATTGCTTACAGGACGCGCACCAGTAGTATGGCTTCCTTCTGTGGGAGGGCATTCCTTTTTCGGATACTCGCATACACTGCTCCCGCTAGAGTTGCAGATGCTCGCGCTTCTAGCGTTGGTCGGCGAGGTAGGGGCTACGTGCGCTCGGCACGGCGAGTCAGGGGCCCGGAGATTACGAGGGGTAGGTGCTTTTGGGAGCGAGGTTGCGCTGCCTGGGCATACTGTGCGGGTTGGATTCAGTCGGTTGCCTGTCTTCCCTTGGGGGCAAGTGGGGCTGGGGCTGGCGCTGTTCCCCCCATTCAACCACCGGAGGTGGGGTTCTGGGGGGTCTTGCCCTGGGGGCCAAGTGGTGATGGAGTGGGCCGTTCCCCGCTACGGAAGCTAGGTCCGGCCTGCTTCGCCCAGCCCCTTCAGGCTCGTTCCAACGGGCCGCTTGGGCGGTGTTGGCTCTGTCTGGATAACACTCGGAAGGAACGCAGCGAAAAACAAATCCAGGTATTGCTTCAACAGCTGGACGTCAGATTCCCTTCCGCTCGTCCGCCCTGTTCCGGAAGTATCAAATGCAAAAATGTCTGGGTCTGGAAGAATGCAAGATTTGTCGTGCATATTTCTCATGACCCATGATGCCTGTCATGTATGCCCTAGCATCACAGGTTTTTTGAGGGATTCTTGATGCCCATTCCGCATGACAAATGCCCTCTCCGCGTGGCACCCATTAGATTCCTTTTGCTGCTCATGCAACACAAATTTTTTAGACATCGAAACGCAGCATCACAAGTTGCATTCTTCCAGACCCAGACATTTTTACATTTGATAGGAAGGCCGGCACAGCAAGTGCGTTGACTATTCCGATGAGGAGGAGACGTCGGGTTTGCTTCAAACCGCAGACGGCGTCACCGCCTCCGTGGTTATCGTCTTCTACAACGAACTGCTCTCGACCTTAATCCGATCACTAGTCACCGTCTTGAATCTACGACTTGCAAACGTAATATATTAATCTTCGCACAGATGATTGAAGATGTGATACTGTGTATCATTCGAAATCAAATGCAATTTGTCATGCTACTATAGTAGATCTTCATGTTCATTCTATTCAACATCAGCTGGGATATGAATGAGATTTGCGCTTATCTTTCTCTGTCCATGAAGATTGCAAAAATGCGCATGGGATTGTGATACACCTTTTGCAAAAATGCATAAAACCGTACGCCTGATTCGCTGTTGGAAGAGGTGGTTCTAGTGGACGACGCGTCCGACTTCAGCCTCAAGCCGGACTTGGACCAGAAGCTGAAAAAGTTCATCGAGACCGACACGAAGAAAACCAAGCTGCTATCCTGAGGAAAAACGCCCCCACGCCAGCGTCAAGATGGGGAATCCGCTAGACAAAGCAACCAGCTTTGGCTGTTGCGCATGACAAGTTTGGCCTCGTAGTGTCATGCTGTTCAGGTAGTTCAGCAGCGTCACAGATCTAGCAGCATATAGTGCTGGTTGGAGCATGACACATTCCAAAACGTGGCCAGGAAATGCCTCTCATGGGGTTCCGCGTGAGAAATATTCTCACCATGCGGATTTGCATTACGCCTAGGGGGTGTGGACGTTGTTACAAATCATAGCTGCTCCGGCTCCCGGTCCGCGGAGGATTGATGCGCGCGCGGGTCGCCGGCGCGCGCGCTGCGGTAGGGGAGTATTTGGTTTTCCTCGACTCCCACATCGAGTGCCGCAGCCACTGGCTCGAACCCCTGATGGCACACATGCTGAAAGACAAGACTATGGGAGTCTCGTCACACGTTACATTCTCACCTGCGTACAGCATGATTTGTCATGCGAAGTTACGACCATAAGCCACCGGGTGATCAAGATATTTCGCATGACAAATTTTCGAAGTGCTTTTAAACATCAGCTTCAGCGTCGAGGAAACCTGTGCCGAATTTGTGAGGCGCAAAGTGCAAGCCTGCCCCTTTCGCTGTTGCTGTTCTTGCATCGCAAATTCATGTTGCAACAATTGAGAGTGTAACGGTTGCGAATCCCATAAAGGAGAATGTCGTGACGCCCTCCATCGAGGTGATCGGCTCCGACGCGTTTAACTACCATCCCGGCGCGGGCGCCGGGGGCCTGGGGGTCCTCGGGTTCACCTGGAAGCTGGGCCAGTCCCCCGTCCCCCGCCGGTCCGGGTCGCAGTTCGAGCCCAGCGCGAGTCCCATCATGGCCGGGGGCTTGTTTGGCGCGAGTCGGGAGTTCTTTCTGGACGAGCTGGAGGGCTACGACCCTGAATTTGAAATCTACGGAGGAGAAGAAATATGCCTTGCAAAAGTATCGTCCTTCTCGTTGTACTAATTGCAGATGCAGAACGTCGGCATAACATCTTCATATCTGGTATCCTAATTGGTTCAGCATGGCAAGTTTCATTTCTCGTGCTGAGAATAAGTAATTGTCCTGAAATTTCTACTGCTACTATGGAACATATTAAAATTATGCTTTTGCAACGCATAGGGGATGGAGATCGGCTTCAAGGTTTGGCAGTGCCACGGGCGAATCGACTACATCCCTTGCTCCGCGATTGGGCACGTTTTTCGATCCAGCGAGCACTGGCAGGGGCAGGTAGTAGAGCGAAGATGATGGTGCTTCTTCTGTACGGATAAAAGTTTGTACTTGTAAGTTGGATTTGCAACATCTGTTGAACATTATTGTCGTGAACAAACACGTGTCAACATGCGAAGGTACCATGACCACTTTCTCATGCGTCTTCAGACTTACATGGATGAACTAGCATGATGCAACGATAAATAAAAAGCCACACACAAGAACAACGAACTAACATGAATCAGGTCTTTCCCGTCTCTGACACAGTGATATGGCGTAACAAACGTCGCGCTGCCGCTGTATGCACGAAAGAAACTGCGTTCGGTGTAAGTTTGCAATGCAGAGCAGTCTACTCACCTTGTCATACCCGACATTCTTCAAGAACGTTTGCTTCTCGCGAACAAGTTCACGAGCGCGCACAAGGGACGCATGCAAAATCTTTTCTGTATATGCGAATTTGAATTATATCAGGCAAATATCTGCGGCGCCAAAAATGTTGTAGTGTACTATCCCAGTAGTTTTTTTCCTCTGGATATATTGTATGGATGGACGAGTATGCGGACTTGGCAAAGATTGTGATGGGGAGCACCCGGGGCTACAAACTCGGGTCGCTGGAGTTTCCGCTGCGGGTGCGCGAGAAGCTGAAGTGCAAAGATTTTCACTGGTACATGACGAACGTGTACCCGGAGATGTACGTCCCCGGAAACTTGAGACAACAGCTTGACATAGCTACGCAGCGGGGAGAAAATGAACATTCGGCCATCGCACAAAGAAATGCACAGGAATACTTCACTACGCAAATCAAAAGCTTTGCAAGTCGTCGAAAGGATGCATCAAAATAAATGCTGCTCCTGGTGGTCCTGATGCTGCTGGAGTGGAGGAATTATCATCTATTTCTGTACTCTTCGTATGACGTCGTAAGTCCAGTTTGATATTGATAGATGCTTTTATCAGATACTGATACTATGTTTTGTTCTTATCGTAAGATGAACAAAACATAGTTTGTGATAAATCTATGGTCACGTTTTACAAACAAGTGCGATGCGATCGCGATCCATTTTTGCACGGTTGGATATCGGCAAGAAAACAGCAAGCAGCAAAAGACAGCGAGGAGGACAGCAGCGAGCAGATTCAGACCGACGCCACGGGCGCAATAGAAATACAGGGGAAACATCAGCACGACAAAACCGAGCAACCCCGACCGAAACTGCATGCCGGGTCGATCCGGTCGCTAGAACAGGCCAACGCGTGCATGGACACTTTAGGTGCGGCTCATTCCGGGCAGAACCTCGGGCTGTACCCGTGCCACGGGGAAAACGGATCCCAGGCGTACTTGGCAATCAACAACCAACTGAGGATAGGCATGTCGGAATTCATATCCTCCTGCGCAAAACTTCTATCGTTGTCGTAGGACAAAGTCTTACTTACAACACTTCTGCGCGATAATCTTCTCTCACAACTTCTCACCCGATAGATTTAAGAGACTAGCATGAGGTATTGAATTGTTCCCTGAAGTGCGACACTTTGTAGTGGATTTTGTATACGAGAACCGCGATAGTTTTTGTTTTGCGATGCATAATTCAAGGACTGCGTAATGGCGCGGAAAGTTAGTAAGAAGGTGTGGGATCTGGTATGGCACAGCTGCGAAAAAGACGAAGATTTGGCGGTTTCGGAGGAGGTATCCTGTGCAAAACAAGTATCGCACTCGGAGAAATCTAATCGCAGTCCTGCAAGACAAATTCCTTTTCCGAGCTAAAGTGGCATGACAAATTCCAGTTGCAATGCTGAGCTAATTTGTATTGCAACTAACACTAAGTACTTCGACAACTAGTCCGATACAGTTGCCATTCATAAGAGGAGGCAGCGAAGATTCTCGAAGAGGAAGATGTGAACCAGCTGAACATCCAGGAAAAAATACCGTTGTTAAAACGTCCCCACTCGTCCATAGTAAAGATGAGGGCTTTATTGCTACACAGATCCGCCAGGTTTGGGCGTTGCGCACGACAAAATTCTTTGCGCAGCTTGGTCGGGTTTAGACTCTGCGGCCGCATCACAAATCGATCAATTTGAATTTATCCTGATTACAGCAAGACAAACTCCCGCACAGCGATTAAAAAATGCTTTTCAACATGGAGCTGCGGATGATAAACGTCTATATTTATGGTTTTGCTGATTTGCATGAAATAAACTATGGGCTGCGGACGATTTTCCTCACGATAAAAAACCTGGGCGAACCAGGAAACGCGGGACTTGCTGGAGTCGAAGATGTATGCTGCGCAAAAGCATCGTGCTCGCACTAAAATCGCAGCCATGGAACACAATTTTTTTTGTTCAAGCTAAATCAGCATGACATATTTGATGTATTGCATTACTACGAGTACGATAATTTTGCAGTTCATAAGATTTTGGTCCAGCGGAGGAAGAGGTACACGGTGGGCGCAAAATCCACGCCGCGGCCGCTGCAGTTCGTGCCGTTAGACAGCTCGGCGTCCCTGTACGAGCAGACGGGCGTTTTCTTGGTGCACGGCTCCCTCCGGTGTCTGGAATTTTCGAGCGAAAAGTGTGAAAAGTCACCGTATTCAGCCAGATTGGTCAAGTGCGACATCCACGAAAAGTCGCAGCTGTGGAAGTGGGTGGCGCCGTCGGATTAATATGTTTAGAATGCGTCGGATCAATTCCAAGAAAATAATATAAATATATGTTGAAAATGAAAAAGTAAATTCCGTTCTGAGGATTTTTCGACAGAGTATGAGTTGAAGAACGCGTAGCTCGGGTGTAGTTTCTGTTTTTCTACAACAATAGATGCAACAGCAATGCCATTATGAATACGAGAAAATGAACACGACGCCTATACATTTTGCAGACACGACACGAACAAAATTACTTCAAATAATGACGACTATTCGTTGCGCTGCTCACAACGACTGAGGACATGTCTTTGCTGCCGTATGCGGATTTCGTTTTCGGCAGCGCTCTTTCGTATTGTTAAGAGCGAGTCCACTCTATGAATCTCCACCACTGGCGCCGCACGAATTACTAGTTCTGTTGGTGCTTTCCTTTACTAGCCTGTCTGTGTATGTGTCATTTTCTGGTCTCATTGTTTATCTTCTCTTCCTCTTCTGAAGATCCTACGTCCCCAGACGAGAGCACACGTAGATCTCGCAAGATTGATCATACAGATACATGATTGGAAACTCGCTTCCTGGCACTTTCGATTTGTTTTCTTTCAAAAGAAAGCGCTCTGCTGCTGCTTTCCATGGCATCTAGCAGAGCGTTTTAATGTCATCTCCCTTTTATCAGCGTGTCTGTGCCTGTGCTGTAGTCGGATTCCTTGTTGCAGCTTTTCCTTTTTCTTCTGAATAGCCACGTGAAGGCACCTCCGTAAATCAGTGCTTCTGTATGACTGCAGAAGGGGGTAGAAGCAATTGCCCCATCGAAGAAGCCAAGAAGACCCGAGGAGCTGTCAGGATAGTCTAATACTAATTGCGGAATTTATTGAAATTTACCTCGTCGCGCTCACGAAGACGAAAGCACAAGCGAAAAGAGGATTGAACAAGTAGCCCTCTGAAGAAACATAAAACCTCCGTAGTGAAATAAAAGTAATAAAACGTCAAGATGGCTGGTGATCAGGAGGTACAGGACCCCGGTGTTGCTCCGCAAACGGCCGCCCCCGCCACGGCCGCAACCGCTGCTGCGACCAACGAGAGGCAAACGGGGACAGTGAAGTTTTTCTCCACAAAGGGCTACGGATTTATCGTGCAGCCAGACAACAAAGAAATTTTCGTCCACAGCAAGGAGATCAAAGGTATGATTTTTGTTGGAAGTAGCACTGCAAGAACTTGCAGCTCACTCTTTGAGAGGACATCAAAGGCCTAGCTTCTTCTGCTCGCAAAATCAACAAAGGCCTAGGCGCTGCAAAATCTGCAAGAGCAAATACAAGAAGCAGATCGCCGAAGCAGGGCAGCCGATTTGCTACGACTCCCACTCCCTCGCGAAGAAAATCGGCATGATGGAAAAACATGAGGAGCGTTGTGCTAAGAAGAAAATGAAAAAAGAGACAGAAGTGCTCATTGATCAAGTGCAATCAGACAGCGATAGCGCACCACAGGAACACTGATTTTTTTAAATTACAGTGTAGACCCCACAGTTGGGTACATCATCATCATGCTGCGAAATACTATATGAATGTATGATAATGATTCTTTTGCGCGAGGAGGAGGACGATGTTTTGTTTGTCATACAAAAGGGCAAAGCCAAAGCGGTAGCTTGTTGCTTCGCATTGATTTATACACTGTTTGCAGGTAATTCACTTCAGTCGGGCGATGAGGTCACCTACTTGGTTGGTATGGACGGTCAGAAAAACAAACCGGTTGCAATGGAGGTAACCGGCGGCTCGGGAATGCCAATGAGCGAATTCATTGCGAAGGGCAAGGCGCAGAACCAGCACAAAGGCGGCTTTGGAAAGGGCGGTGGATATCACGGGATGGGACCACCCCCGTTCTTTGGCGACGCAGCGCACTTTGGCGGCATGGGAGCTGGGTTTCCGCCACACTTTGGCGGCGGGTTCGGTATAGATTATTATACGATGACAGAGACACGACAGTATTACTACTAATTCTTGTGTGATTTTTGCACTTGCATATGCATTCCCTTTCCCAGCATCGCGCCTTTATGTTCGCCCTGGCGGGTAGAAGTTTCTTTCGACTGAAGATGCAGAGTCATGATTTTCTTCATGACAACTGACTACTAGCTACCTCAATTATGTCAGGCTTCAAGGGCTTCGACGACGGGTCTGGCTGGGGTAAGCCAAAAGGCTTCGGAAAAGGGTTTGGTAAGGGATTCGGGAAGCCGAAGGGCTTTGGTAAGAAAGGCGGCTTCGATCACATGGGAGGAATTGACATGACCATGATGGGCGGGATGATGTAGGCTACTAGGTGCACCATCTACGCTACAGCAATGAATTTAGATAGACCGCCTGAAGGTAAACATATGTTAAAATGTACTTTGTACGCAACATCTGTCCACCGCAGTGCTGAGTGAGGATGCGGGCACAGTTACGATTACTACTCTGGATCATCTTCCAGATCTACAGTATGAACTAGTGAAGCTTCTGTTTTGGGTGAGGAAAAAAATTGAAGACCTATGGATCATTTTGGAAGAGGAAGCACAAGCACTTGCCGACGTTGAAGAGCCCGACGCTTTTTGATGGGACGAACAGAGCTAGAGGTTGTAGCACTACTACAGCAACTACAAGCTACATGTAAGTTGTTTCGTCGCGGTCGTAACAACAAAAGTGCAACTGTCTAGTGCTGCAATTTGCTTTATTTTGATGACAGATTAGTATCACACCAGCCGGCGCCCTTTTTATGCCATACTGTAATTTTCGCGAGCGTTTGGAAGTTTCAGAGCCCTATCTGTAGGCATCTATCAGGAGAACAACGAACTCTTTTGATCGGCGGACTTTTCACATAAATCGACAAGAATAAAAAAGATACATGATGAGACCACCGCCGACATCCTACATTTTTTCGATGCGAATTGTCAGGTAGTTTTGATACTGGAGATGACGTGAGTGGAGAACTTTTTGGCATCTTTTGCTGTTTGAATTCTGATCGCGCTCGAAAAGGACCTCCACCTTTCTGCTAAAATACGAAACCCAAACTAGTACGATCCAAAGAAACGAACAGCGCCGTTGTGCTGATTTGTCTCGAAGCGACGCCTGCTTGAAAACCGGGTTCTTCGCCCAATCGTTCCATGTGCAAAATGTGAACTGCATCGTAAGTTGTAATGGTGCTGTCCCGTCGTCGTCTGGAGGCTCCTCGATTTTTTGTGTGCGAGAGGTGAACCAGCTACGTATAAGAGAGTATGTTTACGAGGAAAATTTTCGTGCAACGTCGGATGAGCGTGAGGCTCTGCAGAGTTGTAGTCATCTTCACCCCTACACCTATTTCTGCTCGACGTAAAAAATAGGAGCGGAACAAAAGCTCGTTCGTAAGCACTTCCAGGCTAGTAGTTACTCACGTGTAGCTCGTTTTTCGTGCATCGTCCCACACAAAAAAACGTGCGAACCGTACGGAGTGGCTCTTCGTCGAAAGCTTGATGCCATCTGGATCGTTCGTGTAGTTTTCGTTCGTCTTGCAGAAATCAAAAACTACGTGGTTTACTTGCAGTACACGTGCTCGTTGCAACACGTATCTATTCTTTCGCAGCAAGAACGTATTTACAGTTACAAGAACAAGGGGAAGAGCACAGAGCGCCGTCACTTCTCCATCACAGTCGATTCTTTCTACTATCAACTCACGTCACAGCGTCTTTTTTTTCCCGGGAACATAATATTAATTCTCAAGAACAATCTGAAGTGGACATCTAGCTTACGAGAATAAAACCAAAGATGACGACTCGCAAGCCGGGCGTCCCCCTGCTGCCGGGGTACAGCATCAACCACCCCATGCCGGTGAAGGGCGAGGAGCGACGGGCGAAGCCGCAGAAGCTCTGCTACTTCAAAAACACCATGTACGATTTCCCGATTCCACAGCACGAGCCGGAATACAACGCAGAGGAAGCGAAGGAGCTCTGCTCCACCATGGAGAAGGCGGACTGGAGGTACTTAAAGATTGCAGTTACTTATGTAATATGGCAAGTGCGAGTTCTTTTAAGCAGAAAATTTGTATATGCGAAGATTTTTGCTAAACCACACGATAGTACACAAAACAAAACACGAACAGGTTCACCGATGAAATGAAGGCTCGGGAATTTATCAAGTACACACCAGAGGAACTTCAGGCGATCCGAAGAGCAGAAGCCGTTCCATCGAATGGGCCAGCATGGTATCTATTTCTATTCTTTACTGCGCACTTTGTTTCCGTCTTTCTCTTTATGGATCAAAAACCTAGGACTGTACTTACGTGTTGTTGCAGGATGCAGATGCTTTTTGGGAGGAAAATTGGAGCAGTAGACGGGACAAAATAGATTGTATTCGTAAAGAATCAACTATCGACAACGCAGGATCAAGCACGACAAGCAAGTTATGGAACTGTCAGGATTGAAATCGTCAAAGTTGAAATAGTTTGTAATGCATAAAACCGATACCAGTTGGAAGCCCAATTTCCAAGCGGTGCATGACAACTTTTGGCGCCGTATAAATCCAGTTTGTCATGCTGTTTAGGGACGGAAGGAGTCTTTTGCCATGCTACTTTAGCAGCTCTATCGCAGACCCCAAACAGGCTCACAATCGGTCTCATGTGCAATCCCTGCAAGACAGGCACTTCATGCCTTGCAATTTCTGCATGAGAAATTATTTCAACTTTGAGGATTTCAATCTTGACGCTTCCATACAAGTGTGCCGATTCTTCGCCTACACGCAGGAGTCCGTAACGGAGTCAAACTACGAAAATATCCTGTGCAAAAGTATCGTACTCGTACTAATTGAAATCATGCATGACAAGTCTTGTTTCTTAGCGAAATCAGCATTACAAATTCCATTTTTCCTTCTGGAAAAATTTGTATTGCGATTTCTACTAGTACGATACTTTTGCAATGCATAGAAAACGCACGGGTGCGATTTGTCACCATTATGTACTTTTTGGAAGACGGCACCATGCAGCTGACCGAGTCAAAAGTCCAGAACGCCGGGCTCATGGGTGGCGCTTTACTCACGAGACACTGCATCATGCGGGCGGACGGATCAGGGACTCTTGGTACAGAGATGTTTCTGTTTGACTGTACTAGCAGAGTGTTTCCATAATGTCATGCGCAGCTGCGAATCCGCACATTTTGATTTTCGTTTTACTTCATGGGATCATCATTCGTGCAAAGGGCGAGAAACCAAACCGAAACTGCAACACATGAACTCCAGGCCTCGACGACTTGAAGTGCGGGCAGAACCTCGAAATTTACTCCCGCGTCTATCGTATTGTCGCGTGCGACGCCTTTACCCGGTGGTACTACGAGAAGAACGGCATTGACGCCGGCCAGGAGGAGGATGTCCCAGAGGACTTCTTCACCGCCATGAAGCGAACAGCCAAAGAGCACGAGGAGAAGCCCACCTACACCGAGGTGGTGGAGGGACAAATTTACAACGAGAAGGTACGTAGTATACTGTACAACTTTGATTTTCATCATTTTTGCACGCAGTTTGCGAAGTAGATGCGTGATAGAGCCAGCGGTGTCTTGCCGCTTTTGGTAAATTACCAAGAAGTGTTCAAAAAAATTTGTAAAAAGACTACGTTCATTATCATTCCATCAACATCGAATCATCAGGCTATCGGCGGCAACCGTGGCACCAACAACAAGCTGGAACAGTTTCTTAAGAACGACCTCCGAGTGTTGCGCTTTTACTGCTACTGGGACGACAAGACGGTGTACGGGTGCAGGACGTACTACACACTCTCCTTCTTCCTCGCCGATAACAACATCCAGATTGCGGACAACCACATTAGAAATTCCGGTCGGGACCCCTATCCGGTGTTCTTCAAGAAAGGTATTGTTAGAATGTGTTTTTTTTTTCTATTCGTGTTCTTGCTGCATTCAGGTGGATAGGTCGCCAAAGTTGTCCCCATTGACTTGTTAACCATCACTACTTCTTGTTGCGCTAGCATCTGGTTTTCGCATGCTCACGATCCTGGTTGTACGATTTCCTTTTCCACGTTGTTTCCTGACAACAAAAAATAAGGTCCGCTCAAGAAGGAGCCTCTGTACAAGATCCTGCCGGGTATGTTGGAGCCAAAACCAGAGGTCTACCTCCCGATTGACTTGGAGGTTGGCGGCAGTCTTTCGGTCTTCGGCCGGGAACTGCAAATTTACGACTGCGATCCCTTCACCAAGGAGTTCTACAAGACATGGTATAAATTTACACATTACCAGATAAACATGGATATAAGACTTTTACTTGCTCTGTCATGGCAAACAAGCAAGGACAAACCAGTGGAGATTTATCATGCTTTTCTGATACTAGTACTACCTAGAGAAAAAATTGTGATGCGAAGGGCAGCCTTGTTGTATTTCCTTGTATGCCCTGGCCCTCTATCGCATGACAAACACAAAAATAAAAACTAGGTACAACAAGGACTTCACGGCGATTACCATTCCAGAGCCGAAGAGCTACGCCATGCCAATGCCTATTCCACCGCACGTGGGCGTCGGCACGGAGGAAGACAGTCTCGGAAGTACTGAACTTGTTTTTATTAAGTGCGGCTCGTGGTTCTTCTCTATAATGACAAAAACACTTTTAATACCCCCGCCACATACTGCTATTAGAACTCAAAATCATTTGTGACCTCGTCAACGCAACTCTACTACCCTATCGTCCCCAGGTTGCCTTACTTTGATGCCGAAGCCGCCAAAGCAGGACTTGCGCAAGATGATGACCAAGGCCGCGATGATCCTGCGCTTCGAAGCCGAAATCGCCAACCCGGTGTACCCAGAAGATACCGACAGGAAATTCATTATCGCCTACTACCTCGGCACGGACACCATGGCCTGCTACGAAATGAAGCGAAGAAATTCCGGGTTCATGGAGGGCAAGTTCGCGCAGAGGGAGAGAAAGAGGAACCCGAAGACGGGCACTTGGTATCTATCAATCGATTTCTTGTTTGCTGGGTTCGTCGCGGTGTTTCATGCTGTTCGCAGCGGCTGAGAACTTTCCGAATGCATGGTTGCAGGAGGTACCTATGGGTTGTAGTGCTAAAATTCTATTGGTCATCATGATTTGCTGAGATACATAATTTTTCTAATCGTTATCAGGTACAAGTCTACGGATTTCTTCGTCGGCAACATGATCACCGTTTCATCCGTCGAATTCCGCCTGCTCCGACCGGACGAGTACTCTCTCGCCTACATGGAACAGCACCCGGAAGAGTATAAAAATAGACAACTGCTTGTTTCCTATAGTGATAGTCGTGTTATTGCATGGCAAATGGTCTTCACCAAACTTTAGCGCGCCCAATCATGTATGCGGACGATGCATGATAGCAGATGCTGATTGTACTCATGCGCCTCCCGACACCAGCACGTAACAACTAAACAACTCTACAACTCGCAGCTTCCCGTACGCCGACGTGACGCGTGTGGCGGCCCGGCTGAAAGCCTACCTCGAAAAGGAAGGCCTCGGGCTCGAGGGGTGCTACTCGCCGGATGACCTGCAAAAGATGGGCTGCCTGGTGGACCAGGAAATTATCACGCTGCTGCGCAAGTACTGCACCCCGGAGTCGACGGACATCGACATGAAGCTGCTCTTTGCCTAAACTGATTCTGCTGCTCGCACTACAGTTCCGGTTGGTCTCACTGTTCCGCGCGGTGAAATTTTGTTACATGAGTTTCAACCGATAGAAGCAGGAAAAACTACTGTATCAAACTTCTTGTTAACAAGCAACGTCGACAAGATGCGAGTCCACGTTCTTGCAGCAAATCTCCGGCCGAGATGAAATAGCATCATGTAGAAAGAACTTTTCGAACTGAAGATTTGTGGTTTTTGCCTTCCAAATTGAATAGCAAAAGTACAGGAGCGTGAGAAACTAGAAAACACTTCCAGCGTGAAGAAAAATAGCACAACTTTCACTGCAAAGAGGGTCCTTGTGAAAACAGAAAAGCCTCCTTCAGATTGGCTTCATCAGACGAGCAGGAGAATTCAGACTTTTATTGGAAGAGAAATCAGACTTTGCTAGATATCAGACATTATATAGCAGGAGAAACCTATCAGGTGATAGCAGTTAAAGTTAATCAGACAAAATAAATCAGACCTTATTCTTTATCGTTATAACATCCAATCGCAAATCGAATCGCCAGATGATATGGCACCATCGTCCGCAGAGTTTTAGAGATAGAACAAGTTCAGAAGCGTGTTAAAAATTTTCATTATGCAAATGCTTTGTACAGTAACAAATAAATCTACTATTATGTTTTCACCATCCTACACCCCCTAGGTTAAAGCGAAGAAAGGTTGAATTGTGAACTAAGAGTTTGCTATTGTTTTGTCATCTGCTTATCCAGCAGTATTAGCCGAGCAGAACTAAGACAACACAAAATGCATCACAACGCGCAAGAGTTTCGATTCACTTTGTTTCGAACTGGTTCACAACCAAAACCTCTACTTTGTCGGGGTACAGAACTAATATCCGTTTCATCAGATAAACATTAGCAATAGGAAATTGTCACAAGATTCAGATTTGTATGAGAATACAGCTTTAGAAAGATCATGGGTTATCCAAACGAGCTCGAGGTCGTTGCAAAGGACGAAATAGAACGTGTGATGAACAAAAAATGTGCGACATTTATACACTAGTTGCAACAGACACAATAAAAGCAACTGGTTTACAAGCCTCGACACACATGGCGGGATCATGATGGTCGACAAGGCGCCACAAGGTCAGCGATTTCGCTTGTCTATTGTGCTGTATTTTTTCACTGAAGTCGAAATAGACGTAGACGTAGTTACAGGATATATCATGATTATCATCTGCTTCTGCACTTCGGTTTTTGCATTTCTCAGAAGCCAGTTCTTCGGTTCGTGCAACACTATAAAACCGAGTACGCACGTCGGTAATATGTTGACAGGTTTGAGGCTATCGTGCAACCTCTGCAACAACCAGCGACTCTGCTTCGGTGTCATTGATCATGCCTACACAACTTTTGTGGTACAAATGAACTATCGGTTCTTATTCCTCGTGCAATTTGGAAAGAATTTATCAGTCGTTCATAGATACACCCGGTCGTTTGTCGTCCTTTGTCGTTGTCGCGTGGTGGTACACAAACACAAATCCACGAGCTGGCTGCTTCTACTAGCCGTGGTTCATTTTTGCCACTTTTCGTTTTGCTAACTAGAAATTTTCGCCAAAAAAAACCCCTTCCTCACCAGTGATTGAGAATCCCCTCCGGTCATCTTGACTACGGCTAGTTTTATCATTCTCTCTTGAAATATTAAATTCCAACTCGCCACTTTTTATTCAACAGGATACGGAAGACTATTGCACTCTTTCGGCGCCGCGGAATAAATTCTAAAAAATGCCGCTCGATTACGACTCCATCCAGTCAATGTCCGGTGGTTTTGACCAACCCGACTACCGGGACGGCCGGGCGGGTTCCTGGGCCGGGTCGCAGAGGGCGCAGTCGAAACGTGGAGCGAAAAAGGAGGATAAGGGGGTATAAAATAGACTTTCATTTTTGTTTTAGTATTTTTCCAATTCCTCTGTATAAGGCTCGTTCACGGTATGCGATCATTTTTACATGCTGTATGCCTAGTTCTTTTCCTGCTAAAACTGTCGCTTTTCATCGCATGGCATAGGAACAAGAACAAAGTAAACCCTATCACGACGACAGTCCGCCCCCGCCCGCGCTTCCGCCTTCGGTTTCTTCGGGCGCATGGCGAATTCCATCTTTGGCCGCCAGACCGTCCCGGACTCCCCGAAGTCTCCTGGATCATTTGCGGCGCGGCAGCGGTCGGAGTCCCTCGATTCCACGACTTCTTCTGAATTGGACGACATCTGGGACGACGAGCAATTGCAGTTCCACTGCCCCGACATGATCGAGTTCACGGAGTTTCTGGGGTTGCTGTACAATCTGTTCTTCGTGTTTGTGCTCCTCGACCCGTATTTCTTCTACAAGATTCTGCCCCCCGGGAAACAGCTGTACGACGTGGACCAGATGCGGGACAACATCTTCGTGAAGGGGCCGTTTAACCTGCTCGTTCGCACCCCGGCGGAAGTCTTGCGGTTCGCCGGCTACCCGCTCGCGGCGGCTTTGTTACCCGAGGACAAGGCGGCCGAACTGGTGTGCGCGCCTTTGTCCTTCTCCAACGTCAACACCTGCCGCAACGGCGTGGAAGAGACCGCGACGGCGGTATTGTGAGGAAAAATCCTCCCTTCCCATACCAAAAAGGGGCACTACTGAAAATTTGTGATGCTGATTTGAGACCACAAATCGGCCCTGTTGTATTGCAAGAGGGCAAAGCCAGAGAATCAGCCGCGTTGCGCAGGCACTTTGTAATGCTGTATCGCCTACAGAGGATATGCCTGCCTTGCTAGGTGCCTACAGCAAAACGCCCCTACTCAGGCGCTGCATCTGCCTGCAGTCCTCTACTGCTAGACAGATTGGAACTGTGTACAAAAATCCCGCACCACAGATTTCGGCTTTCATATGGACAGGGGGGATTTTTCACTTTGATAGGCGGTCGGGGAGTACCTCGGGCACGCTCTGATCGACCCCACCAAGCAGAAGGTCTTCAGTTTCCTGCCCTACGAACTGCAGCAGTTTGACTTCAACTCCCTCCCCTTCTCCCCGAAGTCCGTGCTGTCCTATTTGAACCCCGTCGGGCCCTACTTCAGCTCGTCGCAGGAGGAGCAGAGTTTCCTGACGAACCTCCAAGCGCTCGCCGCGGTGCAGGTTTTGCTGGGGATTTTCCGGTACCACGCGCTCTACCAGAAGACGGCGTTCAAGAAGACGAGCCTGCTGAAATTGATGCGGATGGCAAGTCTCTTCTCCGGCTTCCTGACCCTGTTGCTCTGCTGCGTCGTCACCGCGGACGTGAACCTCAACATGGCCGCGATTTTTGTCCTCGTCCCGGAAATCCTGGTTTCCGCGTTCTCTTTGTTCTTCATTTGGTACGAGCAAAACCGCGTCGCGACGTTGCTCTGGACCGCGGTTTATCAACTGTCAAAATGTCTGGGTCTGGAAGAATTCATGTTTGTCATGCTTGTCTGGCATGACTCTTAAATCTGTCATGCACGTTACCCAAGAGCTGCGCTTTTCTGTGATGCAGAAGCGCAGTTTGTCATGCGGAATAGGCACCACCTAGGAGCTCAGAAACTTGTCATGCTGAGCCAGCATTTGCAGCCTCATCATGAGACGCTACCCAGCATCACAAGTTCCCAGACCCAGACATTTTTACATTTGATACGGTTGCGTGCTGCTACCAAGATGCGGCGGCGATCACGCCCGACGTGGTGCGGAAATTTCCGAAGTTCGCGCAGGGGAAAACGCTGTTCGGCGCCAGTATCAACTTGCCGCCGAGCAGCACTATTCGTCTGTCCTTCACGGAGCAGGGGTTGCGGCAGTCCGTGCAAATGATCAAGGACGACGCCTCGGTGAATTTGTCCGAGTCCTTCGGCTATGGATTGCAAAAATGTCTGGGTCTGGAAGATTGCAGCTTGTCATGCTAAATCCGAATCATGCAGGAATCTGTGTTGCATGAGTGCCAAAAGCTGTCCACTTTCGACCAAGTTTGGAGGGAGTTTCTCATGCAGGATAGGCATGGCAGAGACCTCACAGACTCTGTCATGCTAGGTCCCGCATTCCAGACCTCATGGGTCATGAAAAACCTGCATGACAAGTTTACACTCTTCCAGACCCAGACATTTTTGCATTTGATATCGGCCCGCGGTTTTCGGAGATCCCGTCGCTGGACACGATGTTGCTGGCGGAATTGTACAAGTTGGGCTACGGGCTGGAGTGCGGAATCGAGGACCACGTGCTCTGGTTCTGCCAAACAATTGGGTTTTTTTCCATCACTATCTGCTCGATTTTTCTCCTCGTGTTGCAAGCGTACTCCACCAGTTTCCCCGGCTGGGTCAGCTTGCGCACGATCGGGGAAATTCTCGCGGTGGACGACATGGTTGCGAACAACGGGACGCAACAGATTTTACCACTAATCTTCCTCCTCCAAACCGTCTTCGTGCTCGCGTGGTCGCTCGCGGCGGTGCGCGCGCAGCGCCAGGGGCTGGACGGGGAGAGAATCTCCGCGAACCGCGGGTCGTCGCTTGGCGCGTCCCTGCAGATCACGGGCGCGAGTTTGTACGGAGCGGGGGGTGATTATCAAACCAAAAACCCGCTCGCGCTGCAACGGGGGATGACGACGGAAAGTGATTCGCGGATCACGATGCAGCGGGGGCTGACGGCGGAGCTGGTTGGCCATTCCTCCGACGCGCTGACGCAGAAGCAGAACGCCAACCAAGAAGCAGTCGTGGGCGTCACGGATACGGACAAGCACCAGGAGAAACGGAAGTCCACTGGGCTGAGACACGTGGTGAAGGGGTACAACGATCGGGATACGAACGGGTATCTCTTTCGCGACAAGGAGGACGAGGTGCACGCCGCGCCGCCGCCCGACCACAGCGAGGTCGGCCGCCACCTGCTCCGCATGGGGTTGGGCGGCGACACATCTACTTCAAGTGCCACGCGGGAGTCCGCAGCCGAAGCGGCCCCGGCGGGCGACGCCACGCGCGCGGCCGCGTCGACCGGGAGCCGGGCGGACGTCTCGAAATTTTCCTCCGACGGCTACGAGAGGCCGGACTCGACGGTTGATATTTCGAGGAAAAATTCTACTTCGAAAAAGAAGCAACTGATGCCCGGTACTAGTTCTTCCTTTGCAGGAGGAGCCAACACGAACAACAACAATTTCCCCGCCGTGCGGTCCCAGTACGCGCGGGCCGCGTCCACTGGGTCCCGACGGCAAACGGAACTGGAATTCGGTGAGTTCTATCAAATACAAATGTAAAAATGTCTGGGTCTGGAAGAACGCAACTTGTGATGCTGCATTTGGATTCCAGAAAAATCTGTATTGCATGAGTACCAAAAGGAATGCGTTTTTTGCTACGTGGAGAGGGCATTTGTCATGCGGAATAGGCATCAAGAAGCTTTCAAAAAATCTGTGATGCTAGGGCATGCATCACAGACATTAGGGCTCATACAAAACGTGCATAACAAGTGTCAGAATCTTCCAGACCCAGACATTTTTGCATTTGATAAGTTCCAACGGGCGAAAACCGTGAAGAGGACCGACATTGACGACACGGACTTCTCCCTGAAGCCCTTCAACGCACAGTATTGTAAGGAAAAATCCCCCCTCCCCATATCGAAACGAAGTCTCTGATGCTGGATTTTCATACACAAATCAGATTTGTCTTGCAGTAGAGGAGTGCAGGCATATGCCAAGCCTCAGTCGATAGGTTTTGACGTAGGCGCCTAGCATGGCAAACGTGTATGCTCTAAGCGAAGCAGCATCACAAACCGCCTGCAAAATGCGGAACGCTTTCTGGGCTTGCCTTCTTGCAAGACAGACAGGATTTGAGGTCGCAAATGCGCATCACAAATTTTCAGACGGATACGTTTTCGATATGGGGAGGGGGGGTTTTTCCTTACGATACACAGATGGTGTTGGACCACGGCCTTTCCTACGTGGCGGAAACCGCCTACAGCTCCCTCCGCGGGAAGTCGCATTCCGTGTTCGCCCCGATTGCGAACGAGCAGCGCGAGACGCTAACGCTCGCGGGGTTGCAGGCGGGGGACTACAAGCGGATGCGGGACTACTTGTTGGAGCAGTTTTCCGACCCGCAGGACGGGACGGTGCTGACGCCGGAAGAAGAGACCCAACTCGCCAACAAGATCATGATCGAGCTGAAGCGGCAGGAGCAGGAGGACATCGTCCAACGGCTCGGGGGCGCGAAACTCGGGGAGGAGCCGCAGGAACTGAAGCAGATCAACCGGACTTTTACGTACAACAAGGACCTCTCCTCCGGCCGGTGGAGCCGCGGGGCGGAGTACAGCGCGTATCTGAACCAGCGCGGCTTCGCGTCGTCGACCAAGATGCCGCAGGAGAGTTTTGTCTCCGCGGCCACCACCAAACCGGGCCTCACCCCCAACGTGACGATGCGGCTGAGCAGCCGGAGGTTGTTGGGGAATTCCGTCGCTGACTACGAGGAGCTGGAGAACGCGGTGCGGTCGTTTCGGTTGTCAACCAACTTCCGGGGATTGAACCAGCAGAAATTTCTGCACGACCTCCCCTTCCACACCGACGACCCCAAAGGTGCGAAGATCTCGGTGCGGGCAACCACGGGGTCGAATTCGACGACGACGTTTTCCTACACGACCAGCTACAACCCGCGGTTGTCCTTTTTCGAACAGCGGAATTCGGTCATCGCGCAGCAGTTGTTTCTGAAACCCTGGATCCTGCTCTGCGCGGAGGCGGTGAACGTGGTGTACTACCCCGTCCACGTGGTTCTCGCCTTCTCCCAGGAGCAAAAGCTGGCGATTCTGGCACAGCTTGGGATTTTCGCGGTGCTTTTGTCCTGGGTGTGGAACACGGCGTCGAACACGGTCGCGGCCACCGGAATTGCCGGCGTTTTCGGGCTGTTATTCCTGTGTTTCCTCTACACGCAGTTTATCAAGAAAGCCACCGGCGTGCAAATTTTGGATGTGGAGGGCTTCGTCGCGAAGTTCCAAGCAAGCGCCACGGCGACGGCCGGGGTCGCGCTCGTCGATAAGTTGGCGGAGGTACAACTAGCATAAGTTCTTGTTGTTTACTTTTTGGACTCGGATTTGGATTTCTACTGTGTGACGCACAGTGTGCGTTGATTAAGGAGTAGAAGAGCACGCAGGTCTTTGAGTGTGCATATTGATTGGCCAGCAGAAATGATCATTTGACTTTGGCTTCTTTAGACTAGTACACTCAATGTAATATGAAATACGAATACCCCGACTTCCATACAGGTCACCGCCCTGACAGCTTCTTTGTGGGGAAACGTGTTTGCTCCGAGGCGGCGTTCCTCGAAAGAACTGATTACCACCTCCACCCAATTCGCCGGGTACGACTACAAGGACGTGCGCAAAGCCGCTCGCTGGATGCAGCGGTTTGGCGACACCCTTACCCCCTGGTGGATCTTTTTCTACACCGTCTACCTGGAATTGGAGTGGTACCGGCTGAAGCAGAAGCCGTACAGGGAGCAGTCCAAGCTTTCCCGTTTGGAATTCTTCCAGCTCGGCGCGGCCAGCGCGTGGCAGGACATCTACGCCGGGATTGGGTTCTACTTGGTCGGGAAGCTCTGGGAGCTACTGGATATGGATTGCAAAAATGTCTGGGTCTGGAAGAATGCAGGAGTTTGTCATGCAGATTTTGCATGACCCATGAGGTCTGTGATGCATGCCCTAGCATCAGAGATTTTGCGAGGGCTTTCTGATGCTCATACCGCATGAGAAATGCCCTCTCCGTGTAGCACAAATTGCGCCTCTTTTGCTGTTCATGCAATACAGATTTTATGTAGATTCCAAAGTTAGCATCACAAGTTCCAACTTTCCAGACCCAGACATTTTTGCATTCCATACTGGATCCGCAGACGCAACTGAGGAACTACACGTTATTCTTCGCCGCGTATCTGTTGCCACTAGTCTCTTTATATCCTGTGCAAAAGTATCGTACTCGCAGTAATTGCAGTCATGCATTACAAATCTCCATCCCAAGGCAAAACAGCATGACAAATGGATTTGTCATGCTGAGCTAATTTGTATTGCAATTACTACTAGCACGATACTTTTGCAGTTCATACTTTACTCGGGTCTGTGGCGGTGAAACTTCTCGTCGGCTTCCAGGTCGGGCACGAACTCGCCTGCCCCAGCTGGGCGGAGCGGTTCCCGAACCTGTCGGCTTACCCGGAGTCCTTCACGTTGACGATTTTCGCGTATGTGGCGGTTACCGCGGGGACGGTGGGGAAGTCCCTGGTGACGTTTTTCCTATCCGCCTACTTTCTCCGGTCCAGCCGGGCGTCGCCGAGGGCACGGAGCTACCTGAACGCCGCACTGTGGCTGATAAATTTGTCGGGTATACTTTCTTCATTTTTATTTCTTTCAAGAAATGAATATATAAAACTAAAAACATGATTGCAAAAAAAAAATGGCACAATGTATCTATGATACTTCTTGCTGTTACTTTACTACCGATTAGAAGTGCATCATCTTCTAGAAAAATCTTTCCCAAAAACAAACTTCACAACAGCTCTCTCCTGGGTCGCCGCGGCTCTTCTGCCAGCGCTGTTCCGCCCCGCAGTCGCGTATCCGTTCCAAGTCCCACGGACCTTCCACGAGCTCATCCCCGAGGCCACGCCGATGCCGCTTCGGGCCTATGTGTTTTTGAATAAAGCGGAGCAGGTTCTCGGCTTCTGCCTTTTCGCCATGGGGATCCGGAGGATGCAAAACAAGGAGTCTGTGTTGGAGAAGCTGGTGATGCGAGTTTTACGATTTTTTTCCCCCACGACAAGTCCGATTACCGCGATCACGGGCTTGTACTTGGCAATACGGATTGTGGTACATTTCGACATTTTCGACATACAGCAGGGTCTGTTGTGGCTGGAGCAAGAGGAGCAGCAAATTGGGAGCTATTACGCGGTTGAGAAAAAATTGTTCTGGACGGATATTTTGCTCTAATTTACTCTGGTAGATAGAAGTACTTATTTCCTCGCGAGTCCTCCATTGATGTAGGTCTTTGTAGTCCCGCACGGGGAATCATGAAGATACTGTGTTTCACTTTCGTACATGAATACTTTCAACTCGTTTTGTTCCTGTTTCTAGATAATTTCGGGAGGACTAAGAAGCCATGCTCGGGGTTGAAAAGGAACCACCGTCGGAGTCTATTTGGTTACATGATAATTGAGTTTAAGAAGTCTAACATGCTGAAGTTGCCACACACTGTGGCAGCTGCTAGGTTGGACGTCTGGTAAAATGCTGCAACCCGACGAGGATACACACGAGCAACGTGCTGATAAAGTCTGGCGAGAAGAAAAAAGTCTGTCTCAACTACTACACAAGCGAAAAGATGGAAAAGAATCCAGACAAATTGGAATCGGTTAGTACTAAAAACTGTAAGACAGAAAAAGGAAGGCCGTGGTCGTCTGTCGCGTTGTTCAATGATCAGCGTCGTGATCCTTTTCTTTCCCAATCCAGCAGCGGAGCGCAATTCTGAGCATAAGCTCAAAAGCCCCGTCGGGTGCGCATTAGTACCTGTACGAGCGAAGGATGTTATACTCTGCCGTTCTAAGAGAGAAGTGCAAGAAGTGAGAGGGCAACATAGCATACTGAAATATTCTTTTTACTTAAGAACACGAAAACATTCGTTTTTTGCGAGAAGAGGCATCTTCCGTGGTTGCTGGGAGAGGATGCCGTGTTTTTGTAAAGAACTTTTTTGAAACTACATCGGACACAACAATCGTCCCGAGGCAACAAGATGGCCACCTCGGAGCCAAAATCCGACCGCCACAACAGCCGACGCGGGTCGCGCAACCGCGCGGCTGCGGCGGCGATTGCCGTTAGGGTGGCCAACGTGCTGGCGGAAGCGCCACCAACGCACCTACTGCGGGATCTGCAAGAAACGCTTAGGAAGTACGACAGCAATACCCTGCGGCTCTGGCGGAATATCTTCGACCCAACACTGCACTTGAAAGTATATTGCAACACTGAAGATGTGCTGACTGCTGTCAAGTTCAAAAACATGATCGATGAGTAAAAGTAGATCATCGCTCGTCAGCCAAATGTAAAAAGCACAGCGGATTAATATTTTCAGGACCGAAATCGAAATGAGAAGGAACTGCGACTGCCCAGCTGCACTTCCTGCTGATCCGAAAACTAAAGTACTTTACTATCAGGTTAGTTTCCGCGACTTTTGCAACCAGTCCCGAAAGATCAAATACGACCGGGATTGCGTGGAGCTTTTCGTCGAGGGAAAGATCAACTACATGCGCGATTTAGACGCTTTCCACGACCACCGGAAGGCAGAAGAGGCGCGCGCGAACTCCATCCTCGGGCAACGGCGAGGTGCGCTGGACGACGTGGATGCGGCGAGCGCGGTGGTGGAGAGCATCACCAATGGGACGAGCACCCCGTCCGCGCCCACGGTCCGCACCGGGTCGAGCAGCGCCAGCGGGTCTAGGAGTTCCAGCGCGAGCAAGACTCGCGGAACAGCAGTGGCGGTAGGTGGTGATCCAAGGTCAACCACCAGAATATCTTTCTCCGATGAGGTGAAACTTGTCGGAGAGGATGTTTACCCGCCGGTCGGAGTTGGCGGACAGAACGAGGAGAATTATCTTCATGGTACAACTACCGGCGGCGAAAACATACACAGCAGCAAGCGGACTTCTTCAACAGGCGGCGCGACAGCGAGTGAACAGACTGGTGGAGACGAGCAGCAGCAGCACATAGGCGTAGCCGTGGCGACGAGAACTGCATCGAGTCATTCTAAATTGGCCAGGACGGCGGAGGATCTGAACAGTCAGTACAAAAAGCTGCTAACTAGTAGTAAAGGTGGACACCACGGAGCAGCGGAGTTAGACCCCACATTGTCCAACACGGATATGTTTCACGCCGATGCAAAACCCAGCAATACCATCCTGTATTTCAAATACGTCGATGCGGAGTCGTACAATTTGTTTCACACTTTTCGGGAGTGGCTGAACAGGGAGTTCACCACGTTCTTCCAGTTCTTCCACCAACTCATCGCGCAGAAAAAACGGTTCCGGGACCAGATGATGCCGCAGATACAGGAACTGGGTGTGGCGACAAATCTCCCGGTGTATCTGTTGCGATTCGGGAAGTACCAAATCGATGTTGTTGATGCACCAGGAGGAGGACCACCACGACCACCTGCTCCGCCGACAAGTAGTTCTTTAGCGGATCAGGCTGTTGGAAAGGAAAATAAAGGGCAGTTAGCAGTAGAAGCCGGCACGGCCGCCACGTCGATGCAGCAGCAAGGTTCAATATCGGGACCACAAGTTGCAGTTCGAAACACCGGCGCGAGTACTGCATCTGTTTCTGGAATACAACTTAGAAATTCCTCCGCATCTTCGATTCAGCAAACAGGATCTTCAATATTGAATGCCAAAAATCTTCCGGCACAGCACACCAGTAATCTCCAGATATTAAAGCCCGCACCGAGAAGCCCCAGGGCGGAAGTAACGTGGGACATGAAGTTCCGCACTTCCACCGAGCAGCTGAGTCCTGCAACCAGAAGAAGGATGACTCGGGCGATGACCACCAGCGACCACCAAATGCAGCAGCTACAATTGGCGACCATGCACGGCGGTGGGGGTCACGGACACAACCACAAACGAAACTCTTCGAAACGTAACAGCAGAGACACGATTACATCCTCCGTGGATGTGGACGCAACGGAGGAAATAAACCACGCGGATACAGTATGCAGCACGAAAGTAGCGCACTGATTTAGAAGTACGAGTACTAAGACTAACCTGCTGCAGTATAATTGCATGACAGATAGGCTTTCTTTTCTGAGTGATCCTCTGCACGACAAATGATTCCATTCGAAAAGATTTGTCATGCGCTTGGTACTAGAAGTTGAAGTGCCCTACTTTTGTATATGCATAGTTAACCACAGAAAGCAAGTCCAAGTCACGCTTGCACGATCCGAGGGAGACCGGCGCTGACTACGAGGACACAACTAACGAACTCGCAGCTGCGATAAAACAAAGATACACAACGGATGCGCACGGAAACATCATATCAACAACTGTGAAGGTGGAACCAACGCTACTAGTCCACCCCTCCATAGGTAATAAATCTGCTTCAGCCTCTTCCTCTGCCGGAGCGTCTGCTGCAGAGAGTTCTTTTCAAGAAGATGAGTCGTTGTCTTTACCCGAGCCGAAGCTGTCGGATTTAGTAACAGAACGGAAAGACAACTACGGGATTTTCGGCGACGTGGTTGGACCGTACTCGTTTTTTTCTGTCGAGGAGATCCGGGCGTTTGAGTTTTTAGACATGCGAAGCGGCGTAATATGAGAGTGCAAATCTGTGTCTGTCTCCCCCGCTTCCTCATTTTTTTTCATGCAAAATCCTAAACCCTCTTTCCCATGCAAATGAGGGGACGGGGGAGCAGCAGTTGTGTACTCTCATACGGCGGAGATGAGGTAGATCCCGGACCCGGTCGCGGTGGGGAACAATTGACTACCAGGGGGAGAAATGAGTCCTCTTCCTCTGGCTCTCCTGAGCAGCACCAGCACTCTTTCGACGAAGACATTATGTCCCAATTCGTCCCGATGCCGATGATTTCGCACTTGTCGAACATGGACTACATTACGGAAACGGAATTCCCGGCATTGGTCCTGGCGCTCGGGTACGGGAAGGAGGATTGCGTAGTCAAACCTCCCTCCGAGAAGTTCAACCAGTTGTGCTGGATCTACCAGATTCTGGACAGCAACCGCAAGGGCTTTGTCACCATTGAGGAAATGCAGCCGCTGGAATTGCAGTACTACGACCGGGCGATCCCGTTCCAGGGCGGGGTAGGGAACACCGCAGGAGGTGGTGGATCCGCAGCAAAGGATCACCACGAGGAGCACAGCAAGAAAAAAGCCGGGGGGCCTCCGTCGGGGGGGCAGAACCAGGCGGACGCGGAGCGGAGGGGAAGGGTGCTGCGGCTCGTGGAGCAGCGGGCGAGAACGAGAAAGGCAGAAAGGGCGTTTTACTGGCACTTGCAGAGGCTCTGTCGGCAGAGGTAGTTGTACTACTAGGTTTCACATACAGTGATACGAACAGATTATCCTTTAGAAGATGGAGATCTTGCTCATGCTCATTGGTGTCTAGGTCTATTCTGACTCTATCGTCACGTGTGACGCTGACCTTTGTATGCCGTGTACTTAATTTTCATGGAAGATGAAACCAAAAATCGCTATCACCTCCAGGTGGCCGCTGATCAAAGGGTGGCGTTTATTCTTGGCAAAGGACGGGAAATACGAAGTGACAAAGCAGTCCCTTGGAAAATTCCTTCGGTCGATTGACTTCAAATCGGCCGTGAACACCCTTTGGGAGGCGCTAGATTCGGACGAGTCGGGCATCCTGGACATGCAGGAGTACGATCTGAAAGCTGCGATTGTTCTAGCGGAGTTCAGACTTTGGTGCTGGCAGGTCTACGGGAGCTGCGCGACGTTCTTTAAAATCATGCGCCGGGCGGTGTTCGAGGAGCAGAATTTGGGCCAGTCGCCGGAAGTGAGAAAAATGGACCGGGCGTACAGTATGGTGTTGAGCGACAAGAAGAAGGCCAACGGGGGGCCGGGAGGATCGAACGGTGGGGGATCCCCAACCTTGAATTCGCCCAGTAGCTCGACAGGCATCGACTCGCCCAACGGAAGCAAAATATTTCGGTACAATAACTTACAGATACTTTAAAAATGTTACTTGTTCTTCTACTTCCAAAAACAAATGCAAAATGAATATGAAAATTGATCAAATTATTCTTACTCCGGCTGATCACGTTCACGCTCGCAAGAACTCTCTGAGCTGAGAAAAACAAACACAAACACAAACACAACTTCTACCAGATTTTTTATAGTTCTCAAACTCGAGAAAATAAACAAGGGAAAGGCCAACCCTACTACAGGGCCAGCCCCACTGCCGGCAAACTGCTCCGCTACGCGATGACCCGCGGCGCCACGCAGATTCTGGACGACGTGCCGTTGAAGAAGGGGCCGCCGGAAACGACCGTGGAATTCGTGAGACAGCAATCTCGGCGGTTGAGCATCATGGAGTTGTCGCGACAGGACTCCGCCTTCACGCGAACAGGGACAACGAGCATGGCGATCGCCGGCGCCGCGGGCAGCAGCAGTTCGGAGGAACCCGGAGGGGCGGCGCGGCCTGCTCCAACGAGTAGAAATCCGCTCTCCGCGGACGAAGGGGGATCCGGACCCGACTCTTCAGGCGGGGAGGACGGCGGTGCACGATCATCTTCTCCTACCGGTAAAAAAGTAGAGCACGATGGGAGCACTAATGTTAACATCAAATCGCCCCTCGAAAACACCCCACCGTCCCGATCAGTCGCGCACGTTGGGGGGGTTTCGCACGCGCGGTTCGGCTCCCCCGACTCACACGAGTTTACGCGGGAGATGTCGGAGTTAGAACTGCCGAGTTCCCCGGCGCTCGACGCGGAAGAAGCGAAGCTGCGGGATGAAGCCGTGAAGAAGCAAACCGAGGGCACGGGCTACGATTTAATCGCGGGAAGACACGTGATCTCGTTCTTCGTTACCCGGATTCCCAGTCGACACGCGTATTTGATTTTTGTAATGACAGATATACTGTGATTAGGATGAGAACTTGAATGTGAATGAAATTTGACGACTGTATCAGCCGCACGCACAGGCACTCTGTGCGTGGCGCACGCGTTGTTGGATTTTTTCGAAGTGAAAATTAGAATTAAGATTCGCTTTCGACGTTTATGCCGATGCTTGATTCTTAGTCAATACCCTCACCCTGCAATCGCAAGCTGTTGCAGAAAGTTGTCATGTTCTGTTCCATTTGAAGTTCATTAATGTTGAACTTGAAGTTCCCTAGACCGAATGATTATTTGAAGGTATCATGTTGTGCTGCAAGAACAAGTCGCAGCCTCAAAAAACCGTAAACAAATCTATCAGTTTCTCCCCGAAGTTTTTGAAATACCTCGTACGGTCGCTCTCCCTGGCGGAAGGCCCGTCCCACGGTGTTTCCAAACGGGATTTCGATTGGCTGGACGCGTGGGAACCCCCGCGCTACCTCACCGCACGAGGGTCGTTGCGTGCCTGGACGTACATAAAGGACTTGATTCTGGAAGACCCGGAGAACCGGTGCGGCGGCTCCTTCGTCCTCTACTGGTTGCGGTTTTACGACGCGAAGGGATCCAACCGCGTGAACTGGGACACGTTTCACCGCGAGTCCACCACGGTGCTGTCCTGGGCGCAAAAATTCTCGGAGGACGACATCGAACGGGTTATCTCCTCCGCTTGGGTTTACCTAGACGAGTCCCGCGACGGGGCCATTTGCATGGAGGAGGTGGATCCCATCACGTCGGGGGTCTTCATGAAGTTCCGCTCGTGGTGCAAGCGCAACTTTGGGTCGGTGCACGAGACGTTTGCGCAACTCGACGTGCACCAGGAGGGCGAAATTTCCTTCACCATCTTCCGCACGGCGTGCAAGCGGTGGCACGGCTTCTCCGGTGCGGACTTGACGCAGCTGATCAACGCGATATCGATCCCGAACAGGAGTTATCAAATGCAAAAATGTCTGGGTCAGGAAGAATACAAACTTGTGATGCGCATTTCAGAACACAGAAAGATCTCTCATGCATGGGTAGCAAAAGCTGCCCGCTTTCTGCCACCAAAGTGGGGGATTTGTCATGCGGATTCGGCATTGCGGAAGCTTCTCGAAACCTGTAATGCTAGAGCTTCCATGCCAGACCTTCTGTGTCATGCAAAAACAGCATGACTCTTCCAGACCCAGACATAATTTTTACATTTGATAGGAGTCGGCCCAGCACGCCGGGCGGAATAGGCATCACCGCGAATCGAAGGGGGGTCAGGTATTGATAGTGATGATTTACTCGAAACTTCTTAATGATTTCGCGGCATAGGCATTTCATTTGATTGCTTAGCAATTCTAGTAGACAAGAATGTTGCTCTGTGCACCAGCCTCGCAGGAGGTGAAAGTGAAGGAATGTCGGCAACAAGCAACCGCTAGATTTTTCGAATTGAATCAAAATTCGAAACAAGGTATCAGGACCTCGCTTTTCTTGACGCGTGGCCAGACGACGACGGGGAGAACCGACATGAAGCGCTCATGACCAACCCGGAGTATTTCCGCGGCGCGCCGGCGCTGGGAAGCCCAAGGCGAATGGACGCGCTGCATTCGCCGCAGCAGCAGGAGCGGATGATTCAATTGCAGTACTGCCGGAATTTTGTGGAGGAAACCGATTTGTGTCTTTCCGTCATGACGGGCGATCACAAAAACGACACGAGCCTCATGCAGTCGTATCGCCCACTGCAGGGTGGAATGAGCTGTACTATCGGTTTACTTACATGTTTTTTCGAGCGACAACATCGTATTTTTTGTTCTCAGTTGGAACTGGAAGTCATCGGCATGCGAAGGATGAATGATCGAAATCTACTAATCACAACAGCCCCTGAAGACATCACCCTCGAGACCCTGCCCACGTCCCGCGGTCTTCAGCCCGGTGCGGTGTATTCCCGAAAAGTGAATCCCCCGCCGCACCCCGGAAACTCGTCCTTCTACCTGGACGTGCCGCCGCCGCAAGAGTGCCCGATCGCCTGGGGCTCGTACTCCCTTCGGAAGGAGATCGTGAGCAAGGACCTGTCCCGACCGCAAACCACCCCGGAACGACGGTTTTTGCGGTCCAGGATGTACTCCGCCGGGTACCGGAACGACCGGGTGCTGGTGTCTGCGGGGCACGACAAGATCCAGGGCGCGTCCTACGAGAAGTCGAGATTTGACTACCCCGACGCCCGATACAACAAAGTGCTCAACAGCATGTCCTACCACCCGCCGGACATAGCGCACAAAATTATGCATCGCAAATATTTTCTTGGGGTGGGTGTCCGTGTCCTCTCAGGGTGCATCTGGGGAAAGATGCGATGAGCTTTTGTTTATGAGCCTCGCACGGCTGAGCGGCCTTCTACTTCTTTTGTACGCTGTTGGAGCATGATAATGATGACAAGTTGTTTATTTTTCGAAGCTTCTTGCACGTTCATTCGTAGAAAACCGCATGACAAATTGGCTTGCAGCACGCGGATAAAGAAACTCACAGATCGTGTTCATGCAATACAGATCCTTGTCGTACTAGTACTATCCAAATCTCGCATCTTCACAAATCTGGACCCTGGGAAATATTTGCAATGCACAAACATCAATGCGTGGTCGACCGGGTCCTCACAGTGGATGTTTCCGATTGGGATGCAGCCCCTATCCTGTGCAAAAGCATACGAGTTCTTGCAGTTATACATGACAAGTCTCAACATTCCTTTTATGGGAAAAGCAGCACAAAAAGATTCGTTGTCATGCAAGAATTTGCACTCGATGTTTTCCTTTATTTGCAATGCATAAACCCCGCAGAAATACAAATTCGAGCACGAATCGATGAACCGGGTGTTTGCCAACGTTCCCTACGACTACACCAAAGACTGGTGGCGGTTTTCGTCGGAGTACGTACCCAAAGGAGGCGTGATGAAAACGAAATACCTGATGGACAGCCGAAGTCGGAACGGAGTAGTAGAGCAGGACAAGAAAAAGATGAAACAGAGGCAATTCTACCGGAATCCGGAAAACTACAAGCGGGGCATGGAAAAGTTTGACTTGAATGATGAGGCGATCGACAGCAACTGGCTCGGGACATGGGGGGAGATCCACGGCCGGGAGATTGTCGATGTGGAACCGGTATCTACTGCAAATATGTCTGGGTCTGGAAGAATGCAAGTTTGTCATGCTTGGCCGACAAGACAGAAAAGCCTGTCATGTTTGGTGCGCTACAGTGCCGCTTGTTTGTCATGCAAAAAGGCCATTTGTCATGCGGTTCACGCTACACGTATCCTGTTGATGATGATGATGATATCCGCTCAGAAACTTGTCATGCGCGGCCCCCTAGTGCAGGTTGCGTATCATTCGGACATCAGCATCACAACTTTCCAGACTCAGACATATTTGCAATGCATAACCAGGCTCGAGTCCCGACGATGTCAAGTCCGCTTTCGACGTAATTGTCACAGGCGGAACCACATCGCATGGTAGCAGTAGACCACCGCTCAACATGACGAAGGGCGGAACTACCAGTAGTAAGCGGGAGAGGCGGGAAACGAGTCCGAGTGTCGTGGACGATACTGATCCACTACATCTTGCTCCTGCTGGGAGTGGTAGCGCAGCTTCTGCCTCTGCGTCATCTTCCCTTATGAGAGTGCACAACTTGTGGTCCCCCGCCTTTCTCATGCAAATATTAAATGCCACATCCACTTTCTGTCACTTGGCTTTGGCACTGTGCGCATGACAAGTTTCGGGACAACCCAAATAAACAGCACTACAATCTTCTGTGGATAATTTGTGACGCAAAACGTGCATAATTCTTGCCGATGCTTGTATTGCTGTTCATGCCCTACTACAAATGAGGGTGAAGGGGAGTTGTGCACTGTCATACCCCCCACGAAGCAGTATCGACAAGCGCAGCCGTTGTTGGACACGCCGGTAGACGACGACTTGGTCGCGCCGACTTCAATTTCCTCGCCGAAATTGGACGGCAACAAAAAAAAGCCTGAAAAGCACGTGGAAATACAAGTACCAAAAGGAGCTGCGTTGACAACAGACGAACGAGCAGATGGGCAGCTGCAGAGCACAAAACAAAACTCAGCATTAGCAGGTGCTGCAAGTAGTTCGTCCTCTACGCGTCCAAAGGACCCCTCAATAGTAAAGCAGAAGAAAGCGCGGCGGCCCGAGTCCGCTCCGAATTTAGCCTCCCCGGACAAGGAGGCCAGCAGCATGCTGCAGACGGCCTCGCTGCTGCGGAGAAAAAATAAAGACGGTCACATTCTGCAGGAGGAAATTGGACGCGGCACGACTGGCGCGGGGTCGTCCTCCTCGTCCTCGAGTTGTAATAGAGGAACCCAGTGGATGAGCAGAACCTCAGACGACGTTGGAAATGGAATTGGATCTGCTTCGGGAAGCAAGAGGAACGACGGGAGCAAAAATAATAAGACCACAGGACCATCGTCCCCTTCGTCCTCGACGAGTCAAAATTGGTACAAATCAAACTACACCGTGACGAAATCAAACGAAGCGGATGTAAACAACAGAGTTGTCCATAAGAAGAACAACAATAGTCTTAGTCACAGCGAGCGGTGTTTATCTCCTGAAGATGTTGCGTCCACTTCTGAGGAGCGACACAAATTACAAACCAGGCAGAGCAACCGCGGGAGTGGCTATAATCGCACAAGAAACATCAATCGCGGAGGAGGGGATCTGCTGGACGATTTGGTTTCCAAAGTCCGCACAGAAAACGACAGTAGCAAGATAAAGTGCACGACCACCTTTTCCCACTACCACCAGCGGCCGAAGACCACCGGCCGGGCCGGCGGCGGGACCAGGATGAACAAGCCCGGATCGCCGCCCGGGGCGGGCTCCCTCTTGTTAGGACCGGCGGACTGGGCGGATGTGTCGCTAGTGGAGTGCTTCCCTTTCGACACCACGAAGTTGTACCCCAAAAAAACGAAAACCACGAACATTCGCAACACGAAGCACGAGCTGAGGATGTACGCGGAAGAGTTCGCAAAAGAACCACGGGCCAGGAGGCCCACACCGGACATGCTTCCAGAACTCTCGTTTTGTAGGTAGCGGTGGTTCTTGGGGGGAATATGATGGCGTCGTGCAAGAAGAGCAAGACCTCGCTCCTGGTCGTCCTGTGATTCGTTGTGCCGGGCGGGTTCTTCTACACTAGTGAATTTTTTTTTTTTTCAAGATTTTTTTCTGAGGCCGAGTCAGTTTCCTAAAGAAATCGAAATAGTAAAGAGAAAACGTAGAGTAGTTTCCTTGTTGCGTTGCGTTGTATCTGGCACACAAAGTCAAGCGTTGGTACGATCCCGCAAAGTAGAAACAAATAGAGTCGTTTATGTCGAGGAATCAGTTGATCGTTGACGAGGTTGAACTTGAAAATCAATCGTGAATACGGTTTGTAGTGAAAAGTTCTGTTGTAGTACTTGCTGTCTAGCTACAAGATTACGTTGGCACAGCATAATAATTCCTGGTATATCCTCCAAAACCTAAACCTAAATCTAACTTTAAGCAACTGCAACAACATATATAAGTATCATATCAATGTAAACGCAACTACCAGATGCAGATGAGGAGCTTGATTTTTTATGCTTGTACGATCTCGTTCTCGACTGGAACTTGAAGAGAATGAGGCTCTTGAAGATATAAATGGACTTGCTATAATCTCAAATTTTCCTGTACAATCGATCGATGCTGAAAGGAGGAGCTAAAAATACTGTTGAAACTTGTATGGATGAAAATCAAAATGAAAGGAGAAAGTGCTCCGCAAGCGAAACGGGCTGAAGAAAAGCAGGGAACAAAAATGACAAAAGGAGAATGTGATGCCGATTTTGAAATTTCTGATCCCAATGGAAATGGGAGGCTTTGGAATGTTCCGCAGGTCATCCATTTTGATTTTGCTGCTATCGAGCATTTTTACGTGACTGTATGGGCTCCAGCATAAGCACTCGTGGTTAGGAAGAAAAAGGATCTATGTAGAGTTTTTCTGGAGGTCCGAAAATTCAAATAAAATCCTCTTGTTGAATGGTCTTTGATTCTTCGCCCCAGATGATTGAAAAGGTAGATCCCTCCGATGGTGCCGACTCCGTTCGATCATGATGATATTACTTCACAAAACAGGCGACATTGGAAGACGTTTTACGATGTGTAACTGGCGTAGCCAGTTCATCAAGCGACATAATTTACAAAAGGAAAAACAAAAACTACGATTGAATGTCAAGATTTTTTGTTGTGGTTCACAATCATGAGCAAAAACCGAGCAGCAGCAGAAAATGACACTCAAATCGTGAAGGCACCAGCACATCAGCAGGCACTAGGTTCTACTACCCCAGCATGTTGAGGCAGCGAGGGCGGTGAAGAATATTTATCGAGGACGCCGCACCACGACGGACCCGACGACCCTGCTCCTGACACCCAGCATCTAGCTTTTGTAGTAGTAAGTACCCATCTCCCATTGTTGTAGTAAAAATGGCGAAAGCCAGCACCAAGGACCGCAAGCGGTCCAGGAGCCGATCCGACCGCGACCGCAAAAGATCAAGAAGTAAGAAGGACAGGAAAAACGACGACAAGAAAGAAAAGGACGTGAACAAAAAGAAGTCCCGAAGCCGCGATGTTGACAAAAAAGAGAAGGACGTGAAAAAGAAGTCCCGAAGCCGCGACCGGGAGCGACGCGGAAACAAGGACAAGAAGGATGACATTATCCCGTGCAAAAGTAGTATTTCGTTTCGTATGAAATTGCATAACTAGTGCGTGACGGATACAGATAATGTATCTGACTTAATCTGAACGTGGACCTCATGTGGTCCCACTTTTTTTTTTGGAAAAAAATTGCAACCCACAGCTTCATCATCGATCTACTAGCGCGAAGAAGTTACTTTCGCAGTGCATAAGAGAGGACAAGAAGAAGTCCCGCAGCCGCGACCGGGAGCGGGAACGAAGAGAGCGGGAGAAGAAAAAATCCAGGTCGCGTTCCCGGAGGCGAGACCGGGAGAAGGAGAAAAAGGAGAACAAGTCTTCGAAGAGCACCGAGAAAAAGGAGCTCATCTCGTTGCCGAAAAAGTCCAACTGGGACGTGGCGGGCGTCTCGGACCCGACGCAAAGGAAGGGCTTTGTGACGAACGACGTGACGGGAAACTACATGCGGTCTGACATCCAACTCTCGCAAACCTCCCTACCCGTTCCCGAAGCGGGCGGAATGGTCGTGAAAATGGGACTCCACGGACCGATCTCCGTACACGTGCCGTCGGCAACGCAAACGGGGGGAGGAGCATCTGCTTTGCCGATATGGATTGCGTGTGAAACGTGCAGAGGCGCATCAAACTGGCTTACAGCTTGTTCACCGATAAACATATCATGCAGGTTGGTGCATAAAATAGATCATGACATAGATAGGTGACTGCCATTAAAAAGTTGTACCACTGTAGAGGAACTTTTGTACAGATTTTGCATAAGAAGTACTTGTTCTCAATTTTTATCTTCTACGAGGAACAAAGTTGGAAAAGCCACAGCGTCCAAATGACAACATAGCGCTGCGAACAACATGCATCTCTAGCATTTATAATTCTACTTCTTCTACACATCAAAGGGTGGAACTATCGAAATCGAAACAGATGCAAGCAAAAATCGATTCCTCCTGCACTTTTCCATCTGATTCTTTGTAGGATCTACTTCAACTTTGACAGGGTCTGCTGCCGCGAGTGGGTCCACCTCCACGTCTGCAGGCGGCGCCGCGGGCGTGCACGCCCAGAAAGTGAATAAGGCTTTCATGAGCAAACCGAATTACGACAACGACGAACTGAAGTCCCGGGTGCTCATAGTGGAAAACCTGAATCCCATATCGCGAGAAAAAAAGCGTTACAGTTACGACGCATCGTGTTGCGGGACAAGCAATGCAGAGAAGTTAAAACAACCTTTGTGATGCAGAAAATAAATCCTTCTTGTCTTGTGAGCGAGCCTCGTGGCATGCGCTGTTTCCATTTATGATCCCAATTTCTGGATGACTGTATACTTTTATCAGTCGTGCAGCGAAAGTTCGCGTTGCTGAAGTTGTTGCAACAAAAAATGCGTTACTGTAGCAGTACTTTTTTCTCGGGATATCCCAGAACCATCGCGACCAACCTCATGACGTTCGTGAACACGTATAAGCTCCTACATAGTAGCTTATTTTCAATCATTTTGATCAATCTTGTCGGTGTGGAAGTGGTTTCACTTTCATCCGCATGAAAGAAAAGACGAGTAGATACTTGAGAGCATTATACGCGTCTACACTCGAAATAGTCTTCTCATAATTTCAAGCACCTCAGCAGACTTTCCTCATCCTCAAAAACCAAAATATCCAACCACAGCTTCATTCTTGCCGTGACGAAAAATCAAGCGAACCTCGCCTCTTTGGAGACCCAAGTGTCCAATTTCAAGCCGGTGTACGACTGCGAAGTGGATTACAACATGAATCCGGGGGGCGCCGCGAGGGCGAAGCTGTACTTTCGGTCGTTCGAGGGCACGCAAGTCGGGCTGAACGTGCACGGGATCGAGTACGAAGGGGCGCAACTGTGGGTGTACCGGCCGGGGAACGAGTTCGAAACCTCGGACGTGTATCAAAGGGAGTTGAAGAAGGTTAATATCGAAATCGAGAAGAGAAACAAGGAAATCGAGAAAGCCAATGCAGCGGCGCGCAAAGCCGCGGCTGCAGCTGCGGCGGCGGAGAGGAAGGAGGAACTAGAAAGAGCAGGGAGCAGAGGGGAAGCAAAGAAAATCGACGAGCAGGCCGATAAGGACGGGAGTAAAATGGAAGTTGACGAGGAACAGGGAGATGGCGCGACGAAGGCGATTTCTAGTGGTGACAAAGATCATCTTCAGGCCCAAACCGCGGCCCCCGTAATTGGAGCTGCAGCCACCTCACCGGTAGCGAAGGCGATAAACGCGAATACAACTACCGAGGAGCAGGGCAACATGAAAAACCTTGCCGCAGCAGGAGGCGAGGACCCGAAACTTTCCCCGTCGACTGACAACAACCCGTTTACGCCCGAAAAAGTGATAGCGGAAAAAGACGAGGATTTACCGAACAAAGATCAGAACAAGCTATCCCCCCAAAAATTATCCCCGACCAAGAACGGTGTTGAAAACAAGAAGCCACTAGGAGAACAAGTAGCTCCTGACGTTGTACTAGAAGTGATAGACGAGAAGGATCAGAACAAGGACCCCAACAAGACGTCTTCGCCAATCAAGCTCCCGTCAGAATCGAAACTCATCGACCCTCTGAATCAAGAGAAGAAACAAGCCGCGGAAGTTGTAAATCGTGAGCAGATACTAGGAGTAAGTAGTGAAAATAATGACGCCAGCATGATCAACAAACCAGAACTTCCAAAAATACAGCGGCTCGAATCCTTGGTAGCCACTCTCCCGCCCACCCACTTTGTGCTACGGCAGGACCAGTTGACGAATGCGAGTCTGACGTTGTACAAACTTTTGGGCCTTCCGGACCCGACGGAGGAAGTGAAAAAACGCCGAGCAGGAAAACTGTCCTTCCTCGAAGCGCCAGTTCAAATGACGGAATCGCAGCTCAGGGAGCTGTTCCTACAGTTCGGGGAACTCAAGTATACTTTTTACTTAATAATAAAGAATATAACAAAGCCGACTTAATGTTGGGGTTTGTCTTTGACAATGACAACTCAAGAGCTCGTCTCACTTTAGTAGAGGAGCTCGCAAGGGAGAAGAACTACAGAGTGCTTCACCAGGCAAGTGGTCTGAAATAAAAAGATAAACATCATAAACAACAGGTATTTCGAGCTGATGGTTCATCGGGACGGTGGGTCAAAAGGCTACGGGATGCTGGAATACGAACCCAACGCAGAAGTCGACTTCGACTTGGTTTTTCAGGTATGAATATGATACACTGGAAATTCGTCTTGCTCTTTTGAATGTCAAAAAAGATGTTGAACCCTCTGTTAACAGAGGGGAGGTCATCTTCTTCATGATGTACCCTAATTGTAATTGATTTATTGCCAAGGTAAGTTATGTTGACCATTATCGAAGAACGAACACATTCACATCATCCTCATCCATTACACATCCAACAGTGTCTGAACGGTTTTGTTCTGGAGGGCAAAGCGCTGAAGGTCCAGCACCTGATGGCCCAGGCCACCCAGGTGACGCAGCAATCGTCCCTGGCCGCCCACCTGAACACCATTCAGCAGCCGCAGACGGTGACCGCGAAACTGTTCAAGAACCCCCTGGTGTCCCACCGGCTGGCGGAGGGCCTGCAGACCGGCAAATTGCCGTCCACCGTGGTGCAGTTGCTGAACTGTGTGTCCGAGACGGATCTGTTGGACGAGAAGGATTACCAGTCCGTGAAAAACGACATCACCTCGGTCGCGAAAAAGTACGGGGTCATCGAGGAGGTGCGGATCCCGCGGCCCTCCACGTCCAACTTCGCGGACACACTGGCGAACGGGGTCGGCAAAGTCTTCGTCCACTACGCCAACGTGACGAGCGCGCGACGGTTCCAGGCGGAGGTAAACGGGCGGAAATTCGACAACCGCGTCGTCTGCGCGGCGTTCTACCCGTCGACCAGGTTTGCGCAGGGGCTGTTCACCCTGGACAGCGGGACGGCAAGGTAATTGGGGAAGTAATGGAGCAGGCGGTGGACTACCTGTGTGTTTGTACAAAAACTACCCCCTCGCCGTCCCACGATCATGCGTATGAATTTTTCAAAAAACTACGCAGAACGAAGAACAAAATGAACCAATTTGTAGATACCCAAAGAAAATAAGCCTGAAGGTACTTCTTATCGCAAATCAAACCCTTTATTTTGAGAATTCAGTGTATCAGCGACCAGTTGTGGAAGTGGAAAACGTCGAATCGAACGAATGTATCCGTATTGACATGATCAGCGCACGCGCAAGTTTGAATATGAAGGAAAAATTCTCTCGCAAAAGTGTACGTTTGAGTTTGTACATGGATGAAGATTCAGTCGCACCGCGAGCAGGTCTTCAAAACACGGAGCGGCTCGCTCGTTTTGATGATCATGTAGTTCTCGATCTTGCTCGGGTCAGCGTTTGTGTGGGTCAGAGAGAACTACATGCACTGCAACGACTGAAGCCAATTCGTCCGTTTGATGCTTGGTTTCTCGCTCCGTTTTCGATATTGTACGGCAAATCGCGTTATTTCATGGTTGTGCTCGTCGTCTGTGATTCAAGGAAGCAAATTGGCCGAGAGAGAAAAATCAAAAGGTAGAACTGGAAGTAGATCCCCACGAAAGAAAAACCACGACCTGCGCTGTTGCAGAAGCTCAGTGCAGAGCATATGATCAATGTCTTTTACGGTTTACTAGAAGTTCTTCCTTTCTTTTTTGCTTCTCCCCTTTTTTTTGAAAAGATCTTCTAAAGTATTGCCTCGAAAAATGAATCTGAATCACGACGACATTCTTGATCTCCCAATGCCTATCCCCCGAGGAAAATGAACCCTGAACAATTATCCACATCGCCGTCAACACGGCGGCCTGAAGACCGTTACCGCATCCAGTCGGACCTTGGGCGTGGCAGTTTCGGATTTGTCCAGAAATGCTTTGACACTGTCACCAAAGAAATTGTCTGCTTGAAGACCATCGACGTCGGCGGAGCGGGAAATAACTACACGACTTCGGCCTCATCCCCAGCCGCGGCCTCAGAGGAGAAAAAAAAGAACCAAGTTCTGGATTTTGCCTTGCAGGAAGTCGCGGTGTTGAAGCAATTGAACTGTGCGCACATCGTGAAATGTCTGGACAGCTTCCGGAAACAAGCCGATTCCACCAGTATCTGCATTGTGATGGAGTATTGCGCCAATGGCGACTTGGCGCAACTGCTGAAGCAGCAGGGATTCTTGCCCGAATCCGTGGCGCTCTTGTACAGCAAGCACTTAGCCACGGCCCTGGCACACTGCCACCAGCACAAAGTCCTCCATCGAGATTTGAAGCCACGTATTGATTTTTAGATTTTTGTGTAGTGTTTAACACTGACTGGTGGAAACGATCGATGCCATCAACGACATTCAAATGACTCTGCGTTTGTTCTTACCTGAACCTGCCATTCTTTTCGCCTCGCATGAATGTGAATCAATGTATCTTTTGTCGCTGTCCTATCGGCATGATGTTCTTGATCAAAGACCGCCCTCCCTGTCACCACGACTACAGGCAACATCTTTCTCTCCTCTAATTACGAACTTCGTCTTGGGGACTTCGGTGTTTGCAAAATCCAAGACGCGACGGGCGAACTCGCTAGTACCATGATCGGGACGCCACTGTACCTGTGCCCCGAAATTTGCCAGAATGTGAAGTACGATGAAAAATCCGACTGCTGGGGCTTGGGAACGATTTCCTACGAGATGTTTACCGGCGTAGCGCCGTTTGCTCCCCGACAAGGGAATTTCGCAAAAGGCGACAAGAACCAACCGCCCCCCGCCGCTATGAAACCGGCCGCCGCGATCATTCTGCAAATTGCCACGGCGCAGCTGAAGACGGAGGACCTGGCCTTTCGGGTGAGCAACCGCCACGTGGTGAGCTGCGTGTCGCAGTGCTTGTCAAAGCGCCCGCAAAGACGCCCGAGCTGCGCAGCCGCGTGTCAGGTTTTCGCGAAGGCCATCGAGTCCTTGAAGCGGTTGGGGCTTTACGAACCGAGGGTGAATAACCAGCTGCTCTCCGATCGTCCGGAGTATTTAGACGGCGACGCCGTTGCAGAAAGTATCTCAAACGGGCCATGCGTATCGAATGCAGCTGTGTCGCAAAATAGCTTCTTGTATGATAATCATTGTGGGGCCGCGTCGAACTCGTCGACCAGTAGTAGGACAAAGGGGGTGAACAAGATGAAACCATCTCCCTCGTCCGCAGCCAGCAGCGTTTCAATCATAGACCTTAGTGCGGACCAACTGCTCGAACATGCACCGGAAAGTAAGAAATCTGCTGCCCGTGGTCCTGGCGCCGGAGCTACAGGCTCTTCTTCTTCTTCTTCTTTCCTTCCGCAGAGACCGAGAAAAGACAGCGACTGCAGTGCAGTCTCGGTGCCTCCTGCTGCTTCTGGCCCAGGAGCTGCAAGCGGCGCGCCACCTCCACCTGTGGTCTCCTCCTCGCTCTTCGGTGCGAAGGGACGAGGTGGAGCGAGCAGTAGTTCCTCTTCCAGTGCGAAGGACCACCGACGGGGAAGCGCGCCTTGCCTAGTATCATCTGATTCAAACCGGTCGTCTTTGTCAAATTCGCAATCTGAATCCCGTCTGGAACCGCACCCCGGCAGGGGATCCGGGACGTCGAGTACGAACAAGAATGGCGAAAGCTCTGCTACTTCTTCTCTGCGCGAGTATGACTACCGAAAGGATTTCCACAAGGGCTTGAACTTACGGCCGCTGCGGTCGGCGAGAGACAAAATAGGCAGCAAGAGCGATCTTGTTCCGGGGGAGGTCGGCGTGAACAAGAATAAGGATAAGAAACCAGCTGGCCAGTTGAACAACAAAGAGGTTCCCCTCGTTGAGGGGTTGCAGAGAAACTTATCTGACATTCTCACTGTCGTAGGGAAAATCAAGCACGCGGTCAGCACGCCAAGGGATTTTCAGAAGATCACAAGTAGTTCCTCTAGCTGCTGCATTGCAGAAGTTGGACCGCATCAAGTGCCGGCGGAAGAAGAGCGTCCGCATCAGCTCCAGCAGCCTGCTATAATCGCAGCCACAGCATCTGCCCCCGCAGCACCGGAGACAGCATCAGCATCACCAACTGAAGAAAATGAAGATAAGAGAAATAAAACGAGCGCTGCTGCTGATGAACAAGATCCGGCAAGAACAGCAACGTTTGCCTCGGCTCTTGAAGGCGAGGCAGGGGAGGAGGTGGAACAAGATGAGGCAGAAACTGTAAAATCTCTTGAGATCGTGCTGACGGGGGAAACGGACGTTGCCCAAAAATCTGTTGCCAAAAATGTTGAAAGAACTACCGAGACCGAAGATAGTGTAGTGTCTCGTCGTCGTGATCAACTTCAACATTACGAGCAAGAAGAAGACGACTCCGACGAAGATGCCACGATGAAGATCGAACTTCCCCCACCTCTACCGGACCGGTGGTCCCAGCTGCCCCCGCAGCTGCCGAAGGTTGTTCAGCGTGCGGGACACGCTGCTCCGGGTGCTGGGAGCAGTAGTACTTCCTGCTTGAAACAAGAGCAGCCCCTGCCGGGTGAACGATCGTCCATCATCAAGACGAGCCCAAGAACATCTTCCGCTCCAGCAGTAGAGACGAGTGCGATGAAATCCTCGGCAGCTCCTGTCGTCGAGGAAGAATCAAATGAACGACGAGATGAACAAGCCGAAACGAGAACAACGGCGGACGAGGACGAGTTGCTGCGAGGTCGTCCCACTAGCGTAAGAAATGACGTTACACAGAAGTCTTCTGTCAAGACGGTGGCTTCTCGTTCTCGTCCAGCACCACAACCCGCCGGTCCTTCCCCTGGCGCTTGTAGTTCTACTTCCTCTTCCAGCACCACCGGCGCAGAACCAGCCACTGCGAGTTCATCTGTCCCTCGACCATCTTCTGCATCCCCACCTTCTCCAAGCGACGACAACGGGGGGACGCTGACGAGCACGTTCCACCTGACGACGACCAGCTGTGGAGGAGGTGTGAGCAACGGGAAGGATCCTGGTGCCTCCCCGAATAGAAATGCAGCAGAAGTACTAGAGAGCCCACCTCCAGCTCCACCATCCAACGCTCCGGGGCACAACAAGGGCAGAGTGTCGGCGAAGATCTCCGGGATGATCCAGCACTGGGAACAGAAGGTGAAGGAAGCAGAAGATAATTCTTCAGCCAAAGGTGATCATCTTCATGGTAGCAACGCGACGGGATCGTCAATCATTTCCAACAGCTCAGGCTCGCCGCAGAAATCTACTTCAAAGTCCACCAGCAGTGCTTCCCCAGTCGTCAGCGGAACCGGTGCTGGAGTCGTTGTTCCTCCTGCAAGTAAAAACAATTATAACCTGAGTTCTTCTAGTTCTAGTGGAACTTCTTCTTCTTCCTGCTCGCAGAATTTTGCTGTGGCTGCGAAGGAGAAGGTGAAATCCCCAGCGCTACAGGAACTATTGGCGAAAGACCGCGAAGCGCAATTTGCAAATGGGGGACAGCACGATGACATAAATCTCGAGAAGACGCAAGAAATAAAGAAGACTTCTTCATTTGGAGTCACCACGACAACCCCGGTGCCCAAGAGGAGTCCCAAGGCCTACAACTTGAAAGACGGCGAAAACTGCTGCAATGATCTTCTTCGCACGAACGGGGAGGCGCCGCGGCCATCTTCGGGAACAAATCCGCATGGAGATCATGGTGGAAAACAAGAAAATCTGAATCGAGTTGGAGGGTATAGCCCTGCAATCACGCCGTCGTCTTCTCCGGGCATTGCTTCGGACGACTTGGACAAGTCGTCGTCGCGCCTGTTTCTGAAAAGGCAGGACTTGTCCAAGTTTCAGCAGTTTTCAGCCACGGATAGCAATGCGGAGCACGACCAAAGGAGCAGCGCCGGAATTATGGCGGGGGGCAAAGAGAAGAACAACAACGGTTTTGGGACAGCCAATAACTCTATGTTTCTGCAATCTGTGACCAGCCACAGCCAGGACGACCAGCAAGACCATCTCGTGGCCAACCTTCGAGCAAAAATCTCCAGCCTCTGGCAGGACTCGCCGGGGGAACAGAAAGATGACATTAACATTTTCGCCGTGCCCTCCGGCGATGCGACCTTGCGCCGCGAGCTGAAACAGATTCAGAAAGGACAACAAGCGAGTAAAACAAACAACGCATCTTCCTCTTCTGGTGGCGCCAGCGGCTTCGGTGCCGGAGGGTCGCCGCACCAGGAACAGTCTTCGCACAACTCCAAAGACGTGGAATCGCAGTCCTCCGTGTCTGCCCAAGAGGAGGGGAGGATTAGTGAGGGCTCAGCTCTTCACGGCGACGTCTTTGGAAAGAACGACCAACATAAAAACCAGAACAGATTCTCCCCCGCATCTTCTTCACCCGGCAACCTTCTCACCGCGAAATCTTGGAAGCAGGAGTATGTCTTGCAAAAGTTGTATCTTCGTGCTAGTCCTCCTTGTATTCGTAATTGCACTTAAATGCAATTTTTTCGCTCGAGTCAAAAGCGAAACGGAAACGATAGTGGAATTTGTGTTTGGAAGTTGCCTCAGGAACAAAGAGGTTTGTCATGCAGTATTGCAATTGCTTCGAGCACGATACAACAACTTTTGCAATGGATAAAAAGGCGAAGGCGACGAACCTGTTGCCGTTTCGGCCGGAAGTTGAAGTAGTGACGGATGTGAGCAGCCCGGCAATCGACTACCTGTCGCTGGCTAGGGAGGTTCTGCGGAATATCATTTGTAAAAACGTACCCACACCAGAGTCAGGATGGGGATTTTGCAACACAAGCCTAGGAGTTTTGTGAGTCACGCATGACAAGTCGCGCTCTGCAGTGTAGTGCAGCCAGGTTAGCAAGTGCAGCCGCATCACAGATTCATCTGCTCATCCTGTTCACAGCATCACAAATTCCAAAACACGACTGGAAATGGCTCTCATGGGGATGCGCATTACAAGTCTTCCTGTCTGTGCAAATCTGCATTACAACTCTGGTGTGGGTACGTTTTTACTCAGGATACGGAAATCACGGGAGGTCACCGACAAGGACCTGTGTGAGGTTTCGACACCTGGTGTGCCACAGCAGGAGGAGCCGGCGCAAAAAATGCAGCTAGTACAACGTGGCCAACAGGTCGGTCTCGGTGCGCCGTTATTTTCTGGGGCATCACCACGGTTGTCGGAGTGCCGGTTTTCGGAGACCAACCTGAACCTGTTTAACCCTGCGCCAAGAACCACGACAGCTGCTACTGCTACGACAGGACCAACTCGAACTGTAGTAAGTGTCTCCTCCTCTTCTTCGTCTGCCTCTGCTGGTCTTCACCAGCAGCCAAAGACAGCAATTGGGGCGCCGAAGATGAGCCCACCTGCAGTGGCCATTGTCCCGGGCGTCCCGAGGTCGCAGATCTTAGAGGACTTTCTATCCAAAGAACGGAAACGAAACGAGCTGCACTTCGGACGGCCGGAAAAACCAATTATAGCAATAAATCCAGCGGGGGCACCTGGCCGGTTGCACGACCGAGAGAACACCAGCCATCTACGTGTAGTACGTCCGCGGTGGAGCGGGCGACACCAGAGCGACAAGAATCTGTTACACCCCCGGCCGAAGATTGAGAAGCCCAAGCCCAAATCGTTGCCGCAACACCATCCATCCTCCTCCGCGAGCAGCTTCAGCCGCCCGAAGACACGACTCAAACAGCGCATGTCCATTGCAAACGCGCCGCATCACACCGCTTTGACGAAGAGCCAACGGGTGCGGGCGAACTACGGCAAGTTAAAAAGCACGGCGACTGGAGGGATGGTGAACTATGGTAGTGGAGGGGGAATCCGGCCGGCCAGGAGCGCGAGCAGCAAGTGTATTTTGCACGTGCCGGCGGGGACGGGAGCTGCAGCTGTTTCGAACAACAGCAAGAGTAAAACGCCGTCGCCGAGTGAAAGTGTTGCTAAGGTAGTTCTCTCCACTCCGGCAGCTTTTGCTCCTGCCGCTTCCCCTCCTCCTGCTTCCTCGTTGAAAGTACTGCAGCATCGACCGAGACTGGACCAGACCCCTGCGGGAGTGGTTGTGCAGAAGAGCAAAGTGATGAAGATGGGTATCAAAACGAGCAGTGACAGCTGCGATGATGTCGTTGTGTCTGCACCACGACCTACAGCAGGTCCTTCATCCACCGCGTCTAGTAATAGTAGAGGCGGGGCCGCAATAAATACAGGAACAGGAGCAGCGCCGGCGAGTTCGTCCTCTTCGTCCTCGTCGAGACCCGTTTGTAATGCAGGCGGGCAAGCGCAACCCCATGGTGCCCAAGCCGCGGGCATGAGACCCGCAGGAAGGAGAGTCACTCGCGAACACGTTTCAGCAGGTACAAATCAAAATGTAAAAAAAGCACCTTCACCTCCAGCGCCATCAGGAGTTGCCATTCCTTCTGCAGCAGCAGCTTCGACCAAGTCGAGCGCGCCACCGTCGTCCTCAATAGATGCAGCTGCGCGGGGAAGCAAGCGGGCTGCTGGAGGTCCTGGTGGGCCGCGGGTTTCTGCAGCTAATAAACCATATCGTAAGGAAAAATCCCCCCTCCCCATATTGAAAAGGTATGTTTCCGAAAATTTGTGTTGCTGATTTGAGGCCACAAATCACATTGATCTTGCAAGAAGACAAGGGCAGAAGCTTCCGCCCTACTTTGGAAGCAATTTGTCATGCTGTTGAGCCTAAAAGGGAGCCGCTTGCCATGCTGAGCAACTAGATCCATACGCCCCTACCTAGCCTGGGGATCTGGCCGCAATGCCGCCCTGCAATACAAAGCTGATTTGTGTACACAAGTGCAGCATCAGAAATTCCGTTTTGTTATGGGGAGGGGGGATTTTTCCTTTCGATAAACCAGCGTCGTCTACTACTAGTGCCACAGCTCGTGGAAAGTCAAAAGGGAAAGCTGGTGGTGTCACAGCTAGTGACACTCCGACGAGTCGAAATCCGAAAAACACGAAGGCTTTTATTGCGAATAGTGCGACAAGAAATTTCTCACAGTCACACCAAGATGCACAACACGCGGATCATGGACATCAGGAGCTACTACAGAAGAAGTCCGTCCAGTCGCCGAGTATTTTCCACCCGGCCAGCCGAACCACGACAAAGTCCACCACGGCGAGTGGTTTGAGCGGCAGCGGAGCTAATGTGAATGTCGGACTTCTGCTGGCGCCGGCGCAGCAGGTTCAGGCCAAAACGCAGATTGAGTTTCATCAGAAACAGCAGGAAGAACTGCAGGCGGGGACAGAAGGATGGCAACGCGTGCAAAACGAAATAGCTGCAAAGGAAAAGGTGGTGGACATCATAACCCGGGACGAGCACAGTCGCGCTTCTGCAACTACAGTACCACGGGGGCTGCTCGGCCATGATGAGTCGTCTCAGCTTGATTGTCTTGCGAAGGCGATCAAAGTCGAGCAGCCACCGAGTTCGGACTCGGATTGAAAATGAAATTTCGATGATGATGTAGTTCTTACACTACGAAGGAAGAATGAATGAACCGTATTCGAGTGTAGCTGAACTTTTTGCTCGATGTAGACAATGACAGTGAGGGGCATGCGCAGATGAACTCCATGAATCTCTACCTTGCCATGACAAAGACAAGCCGACGTGAGTCTCTCTTCATTTCTGCGGAATGAACTACTGCAGCAGGTGTCTACGATCGAGGTTTCATTTTTGGTCGCTCCGCTGTGAAGATTTCTTTGCTAGCAGCTAAAGCACTTATTCCCACTGAATCTTTGTACTTCGACAGCCGCGATTGAGGAAATCGGGGGCAAAAAAAGGAACGCCAAAGCCCCGGGCTCCTTTCTTCGACCTAAGAGACCAAGCAACCACGAGTTCGGTTCCTGTCTTCTATCGAATGGTTTTGCTCCTAGGGTATGATGTTTTTTGTGTGCAGTTGTGCGTCATGTTGTGTCTCGTTCGCCAATTGCACATATGTCGTTTGGTGGAATTCGTACGTCAACGTCTACTGTATTTGAGAACAATATTAAGTCGCTCGCGTCGATCGGTGGTTCACGTCGTTTAGTCTGTGCGTGCAAATCTTCAGGATGAATGTTAAAAATGACCATGACGTGTATTGTTAGAACTGTCCGTGACTGAGGCGTAGAAAATAAATTGTCAGGAGGAGGAGGTTCCAAAATTAATAAGAATTCGTTCCATAATCGCAGATGGAAATTATGCGCAGCAGGAGGTCACAACGAGGAGAAAAACAAGGAATGTTAGATGGCAAAGAAGATGATGACGTTGTTGATCAGTGTAGGATCAGCACGAGGAAGATGTAAAAAACGCCAAAGTTACACAAGAACCGCTTGTCTATTTCTTGCCGTCGCTTCTCGTGATGAAAATAGTGTCTTCATGTGTCGGTCGTTACAAATCAATCTATCACAGGGCCATGGGCTACGCTCACCGACTCCTCTTGCATCCCTGAAGTAGTAGTAAACATTAGTATAAGAAGTTGTACCTTCTAGCTCTACTAGCGACATCTGTGCTTATTACACGAGAAGAACCAGCAATTCGTATTCAGAATTGGCGGGTGGTTGTATACTTTACTTATTGCGACAAAGCATGTTGATGATCCATTGAGTGTCTGTGCCTTTCAACTGCGTCCCCGTGACATTAACATTTCAAAAAAATTCTACCACGACGAAGATGTGAGTCAGAATCTATCATACTCGAACTATGGCCTTCTAGGTGGTCTAGAACGCGCACCCAACTACCCAAACCATGGCTCCTTCATCTCTCCGAGAATCAGATACTCAGGCCCCGCCTGGCCCTTTGTGGGGACGGTTTTTGAAAACATGCGAAGAAATGTATCCAAGCAGGCTGCATCAACAGCCGGACGACACGAGGACTGGCAAGAATGATGACGCCGCAGACGAAAGCACTGACAACTCTACTTCGAAAGCTCGCGATCACTACTTCGCGGGTGTTGCCCATAAAAACGATGATACCGAAGCAGACGAACCCATAGCGCTGATTGACGCGGCGTCGCAGCCTTTTGCGGTTTCCTATTCGTATCTGGAGGTGAAGCAAATGGCGACGTCCTTGGGAAAGCACCTTCTTTCAAACGCGTTCTTCTTGCGCGACCAGGCGGGCAAGGGAGATCATTTGGACCGAATGAAGAACAAAAAGATGCACCAAAGACAAACGAGTGCAGGATCAAGCTGTTCCAAAATAATCACTTTTGGCGTGCTCGCCGACGAGGGGGTCGTTGTGCCGGTGTCCCAGCTGGCCGCCGCGAAAATCAACGCGGTGTTTGTGCCGCTAGACCCAACGTACCCGGTTTCCAGACTGATCACCATGCTGCAGGATTGCGCCTTGCTGGTGTACGATGCAAAATACGAGGCTGTGGTCGAAAACCTGCTGCAAGCGGCTGAAAAAATGGAACAGAAGGCGGTTATCACTGAGAAAACGGAAACCGAGCCGAACAGGGCGGCTATGGAACGCGGTACTTGCGAACAGCTCGAAGATGAGGCTGAAAGCCGACGAGAGCAGCGAAAGGAGGAGCGCGAACGCGGCATAGGTCGTGCAAATAGAGGTAGGTCCTCTACATTGTCTTCTTTCGCGAATATCGATTGGGCCAAGGCGAGTCCAACCATCAGCCTGCGACCTGCAGCGGAGCGAGGCCATATGGTCAACATTCCCGGCGAGAAAGATGAAGTCGAACTTGATTTATCTCGCCAAAGAAGCAGTACGTCCTGCGTCGCAAAGAAGACGGAGAACTCGCTTCTAATGCAGATTTGGGCACGACACCGGGATGGAGATGTGCCGAGCGATGGCCGAGGATCATCAGGTGCAACACGTAGGATGAAAAGTTTAGGAACAAGCGAATTGTTGCTCGAGGAAGACCTTTTGGTATGCAGAAATGGCCTGGCAGAAATTTCGAGGAATGTGGATGGCGACCGGGTTCTGCAAGATTACCTGCAGGAACGTCTCAATATCGACGCCACTGAGAAGATCTTGGCGGAGGCGAGTGACATGATCACGATTGGGGAGAATGATGAAGCTCCTATTTTCAGTACCCCTGGTACCCACGGGCACCCATCGTGGTGCAGCGAATCTGACCCGCTGCCTCTGTACCAGGTTTACACAAGTGGGTCCACCGGCGTGCCGAAAGCGGTGGTGGGAACGCAGTTTGCGCTGGATGCTTACCTCTTCCAAGGGACATGGGCAAATGAGGACGAGAGGAAAAGCGACGTTTTATATCGAAAGAGAGGGACGACGTACCATCGGGGGCTTCAAGCGCCACGAGGGCGAGGAATTGAGAGCGACCAGCGTGAAGTATGTGTCGCAGAAAATGGAAAAATAAACGAAACAAAAACGACCCGTGCCGACGTCGTTCTTTTGTGCAGCGCTGTTACCTGGGACCCCTCCATTTCCGATGTCTTTGGAACACTGCTGTACGGCGCAACCCTGGTCCTGCCAGCAAGGGCGGAGTTGGTATCCGACCTGCGAGGCTGCATCGAGAAATTCGGCGTGACCCACGTTCTGGCCACCCCGGCACTGTGGAAGCTCCTGAGGAGGTCGTCGTGCTCTGAGAAGCACGAGGACCACGAGATGGTCTGCAGTTCGCTGCGCATGCTCTTGCTCGGTGGTGAATCGTGGCGAAAGGAGGATATCTTCGTGCCGAAAAATCTCCGCGCGCTGCATAACATCTACGGCGTGACGGAAGCGACGGTGTATCAGGCGGTCTCGAAAAACCTCCTGTTGCTAGACGGCCGCGATACAGCATCTGCGCAAAAGAAATCGCAGCTGTTGTACCCACTACGGGGAAACCACACTATGTTTAAAGCCGTCAAAGATGCCGGGACTGGGGAGTTGCAACTGTTGATTGGCGGCGCGCAGGTACTGTCGTACGCCGCTGCTCAGAGTGAACATGCACCAAAAACTACGCAAGCCGCATGGTCCGCGCACGGTTTTTTCAGCGAGCCAAAGAACCAAGCAGCTGGTTTGGCCACTTCTGGAGCTAGTGCACGAGGACTTCTAGTACCGGCAGAAGCGTCTGTATCAAAATGGTTTCGTAGCGGAGATGCGGTGGAAGTACTCTCAGTTTCCTCGGCCGCTTCAGATGAGCACAATCACGAAGTGAACATGACTACAGATGCTTTTCGGATTTGCGGCCGTTTGGATCGGCAGGTCAAGCTGAATGGGTTTCGGGTCGAATTGGGTGAGGTAGAAGCAGTTGTCAGCGAAATTGCGACATGTTGCATCTGCACGGTGGTTCAAGAGGAGATTTTTAGTTCCGAAATGTTCACGACTGGCAAGAACATCGACGGAGCAACTGACACGGCTACCGCTTCCATCGCCAACGAGAAAGGGGGTCCAGAAGTGAAGACTCCTGTGCTGACTCAGGTCAGTGTTAGTAAACAACAGGATGAAGCTCCGGCAAGTGCTCCTCCTTTGCGAACCCGAACGAAGAAGTCGCTCGTGGCCATTGTGTACGAGGAAACGAGAAACACGCTGAGAAATCCTGCAGACCAGTCTGCAGGAAAAGTGGGTCCTCTTGATAAAAATTATGATGCCATGACTTCCTCGTCCCCAACCTCCGACTTCATCATCGCTGTGCGTGCTTTCTGCGAGTCAAAACTGCCCCGACACGCCGTTCCAGCCCGGTTTTTGGAGCTGCGAGGAGCCCTGCCCATGACAACCTCGGGGAAAATTGATCGCTTGCGGGTGTTGGAAGCCATGAAGAGGAGAAAAGAAAGAGAAGTGATCGAGGGCCATTCCAGCTACGATTCGAAAGTAGATGAGAGCGACCTAGAGCATCTTTTTACACTCGTTGCTCCCACGACCAGCTTGAGCGCAGCGGATGCGGAAAGTGATGAGGCTGTGCTTGATAGTGCGCAGCAACAACACGACGGGGAGAGGAAAAACCATCTAGCCGGGGCCACACCGACGTCACCAGGGACGACGCGACCACCACGACCAGTCCTCATTGCCACTCCAACCGAGCAAAAGCTGCAACTTCTCTGGTCCGAAGTTCTCCATCTGAAGCCAGCCGCCATCACGAACAAGAGCCATTTCTTCGAGCTCGGGGGTACGTCCGCGAACGCCGTGGAGATGGTCCGGAGGCTGGAGGAAGAAAAAGTTGCAGCACGGGGCTACGAAAACGCCGAAGCGATGCACCGGAAACTCTGCGGGTTGATCCGGAAACCGAGATTGAGGGAGTACGCAGCGTATTTGGACTGGACGGAACAGCAGACGGTGTTGAATACTAACAAATATATCACGTCGTCATCAAATAACGAGGGTTTTTATGTCGATAATCTCAAAGTAGAAAATAAGTACGAGAACTACACAACTACAACCGAAGAAGAAGTTCTGTACAGTAGTTTCCAACGGGGCGACATTCTTGTGGCGAAGATCCTGTTGCAGGCGAACGTTGTGGACCCGAACGGCGGGTTTGACAAGAAGTACCGAGGCAGGACACCGCTATTGCGGTTGCTGGCTGGAAGTGACGGCGCCGGGGGCATCAACGCCATAAACAACGATCTTGCGCAACAAAAACTAAAAGAGAGCATGCAGCGAGAGCTGGCTCGGCTTCTTCTAGAGGCGAAAGCCGACATCAACCTGGCAGACGGGAACGGACAAACTCCCGTGCATTTGATAGCGGGGAGCAAGGCGTTTGATCGACGCGAGGATAGAGTGGAACGTCAGACGTTCTTTAAGAGGATAGTGACGGATTACAATGGAATTCTGCTCGCGAAAGACGCGAACCACCAGAGTGTGTTGTTCTACGCCGTGATCGGCGGGAACCTGAATGTTTTGCGGTACCTACTGGAGGAACAGACAGCGACAGTTCCTACATCAACATCATATTTGTCTGCGCTTTCGTCAACTAACAAGAAAGCGCCAAGTGGACGACGAGCATCAAATGAAACGCAAATGGCCAATACGACAACATCAAAAAGCAACAAGCTCCTCTCCGTTACCCATTTGGACCGGTGGGGGAAATCTGTCTTGCATTACGCGGTTGAGAAGCAAAACACCGCAATGGTGAGGCTCTTGCTGGAAAACCCCTTGCTCCAGAGCAACTTCAAGCCTCTCCAACGGGCGCACCGCCGGCGGAACGATATGCTGGAGTACTTGCCGCCGGTCAGTGTCGCGGTGAGGGATCGGAACGTCGAGATGCTGAAGCTGCTGATGAAGACAAGGAGAGCTACGCCGGTAGTGGTTGATGAACAAACTGAAACAGGTGACGAAGTAGATCAAGAGAATCCTTCCAATAGAAGTATAGACCGACTAAACTTAGCAAAGAACCGCGACGATGAGGGGCGTACCTGCTTGCACGAGATTTGCCGGTCCGCCTTAGAGCAGCTAGATGAGCGAACAGTTGGAAGGAGTGACAGTAACGGCAAGCAACACATCAACACGGCAAAATTTGACGCAAAAGCTTTCGAAATTTTCCGGTTGCTGGTGGAGTACGAGAATTTTGCGCCACAGTTTCTCGACGCGGTGGATAAGGAGTTGCGGACGGTTCTCTTCTACTTGATTCCCGGTAATAGGAATAGAAGTAGCGGAGAAGAGCAGCAGAAGGAGGAGAACCCGTTTGTAAGAAAAGCAGCTGATCTGTTGCTGAAGCACCAGGCAAGGGTAAACATGCACGACCGAGAGGGCCGGAACTACTTAGAGTACCACGAGTTTGTTTGTTCGAAGTTGAAAGCGGACGATCATAATTTTTCAGGGACCTCAAGAACCGAGAATCAGCATAGGGACAATCTTGTTCATGAAGAGTATCCTCTACTCTCCGGCGACTTCTCTCCGGCATCAAGGGTCTCCTGTCGTACACCAGAAATATCTTCCGTCGTACAACCTCCTACGGGAGCTGGGACATACGGCGCTGCACGACAACAACACAAGGATGACGATGACGACTCAAAAATGAACACCAGTGTCAAAAAATCGCAAGCAGAAGCACATGCACCTCTTCTCCTCCAGAAGAAAGGCCGGTTTCAAATTGACGTCGACATCCAACAGGCGGATCACAAGTTGAAAAAGCTGCATAGCAAAAAGAACCAGTGTTTCCGCTGTTTGGAGTTTGGGCATAGCTACCGAGAGTGTCTAAACGAACCGAAGTGTCGGGTCTGTGGGGAGAACCACGAGACCAAAGACCATCATTTACACGTAAAGGTGGTTTCTTTGTCGGATGCCGAAGATTCCACCGCGGAGCCGTCGAGTGGGAGGCATGGAGACGAGAAGTGAATGCGAAAGAATAAGAAACGCATGTTTCGATTTGCAGCTGCTCTCCTCTTGTTCTAGTTCTAGATCAACACTCCTGGAGATGAAATTGCTGATCGCGAGAATCGAATTCTATCAGTTTCTCTTCCACGACACGAGGGGTATTGTTGCGCTGCCCTACTTTCAACACTGCTTGCGACAAGCGACCTAGTAAATCGGACTACAGCTGTAGCGCTAGCGAAAGCATATGCACAGTAGCGCCACAACTTCTTCCGACGAAGTCGAAGATATAGAAGTAGAGCTGAGCTGTCAAGAAGATTTAGGTTTCCCCTCTCTTGCTGTTCGTCTTTATCTTGTATCTTTTTGTTTTTCTAAAAATTGAAATTCATTTTGATTTGTACTCCAGAGCTCTGCTCGGTGACACCCTCGGTGTTTGAAGCATTGATTTTATAGCATAAAAGTGGAGCTATCTATACCTATAGTATAAATGCTTTTCGGCAGGCTCGTGCTGGCAGCTTTTGGTTGTACGCGTACTTTATCTATGTATGAATATGATTTTCGGTTTGCCCGACGAGGCCGATTATCGATATCCCGTCTTCGCCTTTCGGTTTTTGTGGTCTCCGTCGGTTAATCTTAATTTGTTGAGCGTGAAGTGGTTTGCTTGGCTTCGGTCTATTAGCTTTACCTTGCCTTTCTGTTCGTGCACCGCTGGTCGTCGGTAGTCGTACAACCTGACGTCGGTAGTCGTACAACCTGACGTCGGTAGTCGTGCAACTACCTGGAATGGTGTGCATTTATTTGTTCGTCCGAAAAAGTACAATGTCGTGGTTGATGGAAACATTTTTTCCGTAGCACAGACATAATGAGAAAAGAAAGCTGCTTGTTTAATTAGTCGGTGTAGCATGTCGTTCAAAAAAACCTCGTTTCGTCAACATGAGATGAAGACGCATGTAATTGTTAGCTCTTTTGTTTCGGGCGCATACGTGTCACTGTCACAGCATTTAGGCAGCCATTAATCCATGTGCGAATCTAAAGCATGAGCAGGAAAGATTATGGCGTACGAACTTTCCTGACGTGAAGATTTCCTTCCATTTTGGATTCGGAGTCAAAGCAAACCGAAACCTGAAACCTACCACCACACAAACGCAAATTTTGAAAACAACGACTAAACATCAATAAACACTCTTGCGATCTTATTTCACGACGTCATCCCCGATGTCATTTTGATGTCGTTTACGGTATCCGGGTAGACCAGGGCCCCTGCTCAGACCAGGGCCCCCAGGACCAGGGCCCCCAGGACCAGGGCCCCCAGGACCAGGGCCCCTACGGACTGGGGCCCCTACGGACTGAACGGCGTCCCGGAATCTGGTACACGGCGAGGCGCGGCCGGAACCGGAGCTGTCTACCAGCGTATCTGGGCCACCAAGTACGCATGTCATGACATGTAGGTCCTAGCATCGGGCCAGGAGGTACGCCAAGTAGCGACAGCTGCCGCCGAGTCATGAAATGAAAAATAAAGAAGCACAGTCAGACGCCACGACCGACGGGCGCCGTTTGTATTCGAAATGTTTCCCAGCAAAAGCACTTCTTGAGTGGACAGGGATGCAGCTCAAAGTGCTAACGAGAGACATCTCAAATTGTCACTATGAAAGTCGAGCTGTGCTTTTTTTGTACGTAGAGCGACGCCCCAACTCTTCCAGATCCAGACGCCGGCGCACCAGATTCCGGGACGCCAGATTCTGAGACACGACTGGGGCCCTGGTCTACACCTTTACCGTCGTTTACAAAAACTTCGACGCTTCATTCATTTCATAGCTTTTTCCGTTTCGTCTGAACCCCAAAAGATAAAATCACAAGTTTTGTCCCGATGAAGAACATGGACGGTGGCCCCCACCTGCTTCAAGAGCGGGGCGGGCAAGAAGAAAACGCTGTTGACAAGCGAGACGAGGTTGAGGAACATATTTTAGCCGAGCAGCAAGTTTTGAAGGAATTCGAGGAGGCGCTAGGGAAAAACGTGCACAGCCTGGTATGAGAGTGCACAATTCTTCCTCCCGCTCCGCAGTTTGAACAAGAAGGCAGCACCACCAACCGAAGCACTGTTTTATCATATTAAGTGTGGCGTCGTCCGCAAAATGCCAATACACCTGGCAGATCCACCACCACACGGATCTCATATTTGCTTGTCTGAAGTGTTGCGACGTGCGAGGCAATGTTGTAGTGTTCTTAAAAGTTCTAGCCTAAGCACAGGCAAAGTGTGCAGTTGCGTTTTTGCATGGCAAATGCGGGGCGGGACGACTCAGTTTTGCACGGTCATACGAGAATCCTGGCGATCCCAGCCTGACCAGTGGTACTACAGGAGGGCAGCTCTCAGCGGGCGGCGACAGTGCAGAAGTCCTAGAGATGAAGGCGACGGACCGGAATTTTGTGGACAGCGACGCTCTTCCCAGTGTTGTAGAAGGAGAACGTCACGAACACGAGCTCGAGCACCCCCACGACCGGGTTCCGCTCCGGTTCTCTCGGCTTGGTGTTTCGGATGTTCTCTCGCCCGTTGGGCAGGAAGCACGGCCGAAGAAAATGAAAGATACTGCTCGAGGAGAAGACGAGGAAGCAGGGCCACGACATGATGTTGGCACCTCCAGGAGCAGGACTACAAAAAGACCCACGACCTCTGCACAAGGTAGTGCATCTACGAGCCCGCGGAAGATCACGGGTTCGACAAAAACGCGCTCCGCCGGCGAGGAAGAGGCCAGGCTTTCCGCCCTCCTCGGTTCTGCTCCCACAGCTGCCGGACCAAGCGCGCAAACCTGGCCAAGCACAGCACCCATGCTCAAGCACCTGCACGAACTTCAGCACTTTGCCCGCGCCCACGAAACCACGCTTTTGCTGGGTACGATGGCGGGCGGGGTGTTCGCCATGCTGCTCTGGGTCGGGCTATACTACCTGGGGATCTCTCGTCGCTGTTCTAGCGTCTTCCGGGGCGGTGGCCGGTTCAACAGTACCTCTCTTGCGGGCCGGGGGCAGAAGGAGGTGTTGACTTCAAAAGCTGAGCGTAGTGAGCGAGATTGTTGTAAAAATATTCTTGAACACGACTACTCGAAACACGACGACGAGGACGAAGATGCGCGCTACTGCGAAGTAGAGGAGACAACTTTGTCGTTTTTGCTTGGAATCAAATGCAAGCTGAGTGGATCTTCTGTCCAGTTCAACAAAGCGCAAGAAACTTGCGACAATGCTGACGCTGTCTTCTTGCAGCAGGTGCTGGTGGTCGAAGATCCTGGCGAGTCGGACTCCTTGACGGAAGACGAACTGTCGGAACAAGCGGAGCGGGGGTCAAAGCACACGATCATGGCAGCTCATCATCATCTCTCGTTGTTTCCACCCGAACAAGCTGATCCTCATCTTGCTCCTGCTGTAAATGCTGAAGAAAGGGAGCCCTTTGAAGCTGTTCCGCATCTGTTCTCATCCGGTGACGAAGCGGAGGACCAGGGCGAGGGCTTGGAGATTGCAATTGACATGGAAGATCATCATGCTGATGTTGTTCAAGAGTCATCTGACAAGAACGACTGCAGCACTCTCGCGGACCACGGGTCCTCCACCGGCGGTACATCAGGGGGGTCGTTCCCCAGTGCTGCTGATGTCACCAGCGAGAGCCTGATCGGCCGCCAACCAACTTCTACATCCATCAAACCGGCTGCAAATCATGAGGCGAAGAGCACTGTATGCAGTGGAAAAGTGAATCAATCAAAGTGGAACTGATCTGCATCTACAAGTAGAGAAACGAGTAGTACATTCTGCAGTAGCAAGTAAGTAGCCGAAGTGCAAGTGTAATCGTGCAAGCCTTTTCATCAAATACAAAGCTTGCAATGAATGAATGGCCACGACACGAAGTAGGCAGTATTCTGCTGCACATCATTGGCCGATCATTTTGCTGCGGAGTTTCTGTCCTGCTGCTGGTTGTGGATTTACTACTTCTACATAAAACTCAAACTACTGACTCTACTGTGTCGGGTTCTGGGTCGTGTGGATGCTAGTGCACAGAAAATGATTTTTCATTTTCCACTTCCATAGGCCTCGCGGCTCACTTGGCGGGCTACTTGTCCTTCCGAAGGCAGCACGTGTCCTTCCGAAAGCGAGATGGACCCGCTGCTCAGACATGACTGAAAGACAAAGAAGCGAGGCGCGGAGCTTCCGGCGCTAGTGTGGTGACCTGTTGAAAGTATTCGACAGGTCAATTGGTGGAGAAAATAAAAATATCATGATGATATGTACTTCTACACTAGCATCATGATAAAACACAAAATCCAAATTTGTAATAAGCAGGAAATTTGGATCATGACGTATTCTGCGTTTTCGAAAGATTGTTTCTGGACGACTTCTTTTCGATAACCCGACTTGAACTTTTTTTTCTGTTGAATGTACTTTTGTCCTATTTTAAATGTTTTCTCTTATAATTTCATACTCGCATGGTTCCGTTTTCTCATCACCTTTTTTTCTCAATTTTTTATCATTATATATCTAGCATTTTAATGACCCACAACATTGAATCAGTGATTTGTTTACCCAACATAGCATTATTGACCAAAGCCGTATCTTCCCATCCCACGCACTCCCTTATTTCTGCGAAAGACTGTAGTAGAGAGTTTTGCCTTTTGTTGCGAAGACCACGAAGTAGGCCATCTTTCACAAGACAGGAGAAAAAAAGCGCCCTTTAGATCCAAGAAACTATATTTATCGCGGTAGTGCTGTTTTCAGGATCACATCAGTGCCGCAGCTATGTACAGTCTGATCTAGTTATAGGTCGTGATCTGCATTCGACGCTGCGCATCTATGGTCTACGAGAAGTACAGGCGCAACAACGCAGGAGAACGAAGCAAAATCTCTCTGCGGTACAAGAACAGAGCCGCGATTTTTACATGATAACCTTTCGACTTTTACTTTTTCCCACAGATACAGATATTAACGATCGATCCTGAAAGAAGGTGTATTCAGACCCAGGTGTAGTGCCGGATCATTGACAATGTTTCTCATCTCTGTTCTTCATCGTGAAAGTCCAAATTGCAAGGCTGCATGCAATTCGATCGCAGGCTTTCTCAAAACGAATCTAAGTAACTTGCCTGTCAGGAATGACTACGCCACTTACCCAGCTGAAAAGGAGCACGCAAGTAAGAGGCACAGTCGCGTCATCTTCAATGACAAATTACCTCATCGGAATATTTCTACATCACTGTATTTGTAGTGCTAGGTAGAAGATGAAGCAAGATAGATTAAGTTTTCTACTAGAATAAGAATGCCCTCTTCTTGTCCACGCTTAGTGTTAGTATTTCACAATAGTATTACTTTCTGAGTCTGTATCGGAAAGCGAAGAGCCGCGCTGACGACAGGACAGAGGTTCGTAGGGAAAAGTAGTGCGCTTGGCTTGGCTTTTGGCTTTTCATGATAGATTGATTTCGCAACTCTTTTGTTACAAGCTTGGTATATGTTGAACCTCTTTTCCCTTTCCGGCGCCTCCGACCGCAACCGAGGGTCTGAATTCCTCCTACACGCCCGCGAGCCCGAACGAACCTATGCTGCCTGCGGGAGTAGACGAAGACTTTGGCATATCGTACGAAAAAAGCTCTTCCAAGTTTGAATCAACACGATTTAGGTCTTCACGCCGATCGAAAAAAGTTTTCCATGCGAGTTCCCCTAGGGAAAAATTGCCTGCAGATCCATTGCCTTGTAAGCGTGTGTAGCAAGACAAGCACTTGTGTGTGGCATCCTCACTCTGCGTCACAAGTTTACACTGAAGCAGTTTTTTCTTACGATAGTATAACACTCTCGACGCCACCCCCGTCGCGTCGATTGAGAACATTCGGTACGACAGCAGAACAGGGCAGATCATCGTGAAAACACCCTCCGACGAGAGGCAGGTTTCTGCAGCCGGGGGGACGAACAACACCAATCTGGTTGCGCCCGCTTCGTCCTCGTCGAAAATGGCGGAGGATATCGGGTTTTTTTCATCCTACCACGACAGGGATCCAGCAGGAGGCTCGAGATCCGACGACCATTTGGTTCCTGACATTGCTGCCGCGCAGGCACGCCAGGCGCCAACGTCAACGAAGCCGAAGGAGCCCTTGGTAAGAAGCAATGGAATGTTTATCACGCAAACATGTTTATCACGCAAACTGTGCGGTCAAGTTGCGAGTGCTATGGGCAGTGTCGCGTACGCGACTGATTTGTACAACAATTTTAACTACGAGGATATGTTGGCAACTACAGACGCGGCCGCGCAGGATAAGGAAAACAATACGTCCTCCGCACAACATACAACGATCGACAGCCTCGCCAGCATTGCCGTAGCCGCAGCGGCAAAAGCAAAAACTAGTGAGAAAAATGGAAAGAACGACACGGCGGCCACGACCTCGAAAGTGTCAATTTTCGACTCCACAAAAGCCCTCGCCCCCAACGTGGCTACGTCCAAAGCGGCAGCGCCGGCCAAGGCCCGGCAGCAAAATTACCTGCAAAAGCTGACCTATGCAAAGGAAAAGAGCAGCAGCTCCTGCGAGGTGGACAACAGCGCCGAACAAACGACGAAAGCGAGTGTAGCAGGGACTTGCGGCGGCGCCGTTTCATCCTCGAGGCCCGTGACCAAAGCGTCGCCGCAGCCCGTGAGTAAGGCCGCGGCGTCCATCTCGCACAGGATACTGTCGGGCAGTAATACAAACAGTAAAAGTGGGTCGTGTCTTATGCAGTGCAAAAGTGTAAAATCGCTATCGCACACGCAGGCGCAGGCGCGCCAGGATTTGATGAAAAAGTACATCGAGAGTTCATTTGCAATTAATGCAATTTGTTGGGTCGCTTGTATATGATTCTATTTCTAATTCTACGTACTTTTACATCAGTTGAAAAGAGTTCTGTCATGTGATACGACTTTTAGAAGAAGGAAGCGTGCGATAGTACAACTTTTGCTCGGGATGTTCCTGTTCAATGAGTTGGGGAAGAATTCCGGTGCTTCTACTTCAGTCCAGACGATGGCCAAGAGCAAGTCGGCTATGGCCACATCTCGCTGTATGCCTGGAGCTGGACAACCACATGTCAGGTTTGACGACCTGCGTTTGAAATCAAGCGGCTACGGGGGAGCAGCTGGGGCTTCTGCAGTAAGAAGTCTTCAAGCAGCTGCTTCAACGTCAACCCCTAGCGGCGCCTTCGGATATCAAAATTCTCAAAATAGCACGACGACGGCGAATGGCGGCATCACTGGTGTTCCCAACGTAAGGGCCGCAGGGGGTGTCGGGGCCAGCAACGTAAATATGCACCCGGGCACGTCGTGGGGTAGGACCGCAACGGCCGGCGCGACAAACCTATTCACCAACCACCGCAACAAAGACTGTCCTTCTGCTTCGGCGAGGTCTGCAGCCGCGGCCCCGAGCGAGCAGTACCTCATCGCGACGAAACAGCAACGGGCTACTTCATCTTCTGCGGGCCAACACCAGCCGTCGAAGTTGCTCGTGCCGCTGGCGGCAGCGACTGCCGCACCCTCTCCGGTGCCGCGACTGCAACCGGGGCAAAATCCTGTTGACACGCTGAAGCAGCAGTCCGCTGTAGTATGTGGTGTAAAAACTCCTTCCCCATCTTTTCTCCAGACCAGTTCATCTGCAGGTGCTGGGTGGCATTATGGAAATTTTCATATGGAAGTATAGGGAGATTGTGATTTGGGGCATCTATACGCACGCTGCAAGTAAGAACATGGTCGTAACTAGATCAGCTAGCATGATCATGCCCGTAGTACTACGATTACGTTTCTTGTGTCGCTCGCTCATCTTCCTGAAGCGTTAGCATTGAATGGAAAATAGAATGACTGCTCCAGCATGTTGTGAGATGAAAGCCCCATAATTTTGACAAACGATGTCTGGGGATTCGGAATACCCACTTGCATGACAACTCGGGGCGTGAAGATGTGGATGCGTTTTTACACAGCTGGATAAAATCCTCCTGCTCAGCAGCAGCCGCTTTTCACAAGTCAGCTGTGCACGACAGCAGGAGCTCAACACATTACGACAAAACTGGTTGTACCCCACCGCGCAGCCGACTGCATTCGCAAAGTGCAACCGCCCGTTCAGTCTGCAAGAGGAGGGGGCAGCACGACCGCAAAGACGAGAACGACATTTGCTGGCCGTGAAGCAGATCAATACTTCCACTTCAGCATCACCGCCCCCAACTGCAACCTTTCCTGTGACTCCCTGGAGCAGACCTACCTCCCCGTTTGGCTCGACTGGCTGACCAAGCACGCCAAGAAAGGTCCTGCCGCCGCAAGCCGTGGCGGGGGGCCGTTGATCCTGGTTTGTGAGGAGCTAAATTTGGAGAACAACCAGATCGGCGACCAAGGGGTCCAGGCGCTCTGCCGCTGGCTGGGGATCGGGCACGGCGTGAAGCAGCGGGCGAAGCTGATTCGGTGCGGCAAGCTTTCGCTGAACAACAACTTGATCGGCGATTTCGGTGCAAACCTCGTCGGGATTTACCTGCGGGAGCAAGCCGCGATCAGTGCGACTGCAAGCATGAAAACATCTTCAATATCTTCCGGACTTACTATCAAAAATCCGTCTGGAGGTGCTTCGACGACAGCATCGCAACTTTGTCGAGGTAACAACTCTTCCAATTTCTCTTCGTTCTCTCTGTCCCCGCTCCCGTTGGTCCGCGAGGTCAACTTGTCGAACAACTTCATCACACCCGATGGGTGCGCCGCGATCTTTGAGTGCCTCGCGGACAGCGCGGCGGCGTACCAAAACTTGCCGAAAAACATGCCTCCGTTGGTCTTGCGACTGGAGCAGAACTTCATCGGGCGGACGGAAGAAGAGGCAGTTACGTTTGTGCGGGACATGGAGGCTTTCTTCTGCCTGCCCCGGGTAAATCGCAACTGGGATGCGATGTTGGACAACAACGAAATGGACGGCTCCGTGGATGACGGCAGGCGGGGAGGAGAGGAGCGCTCCTACGCCATACAAATTGACCATTCCCCCCGTACACGTACAAGAATAAGAAAATGAATATGCCATGGCTCGGAACCTCCCAATAGAATAGCTCACCGGAAAATTTTGGTTGATTTCACTGGGGAATGATTTTCGTTTCCGGGCACCTGAGCGCGTCCACCGACGCCTCCACATGATCGCCGGGCAATCGCTACGCCGCAGCACTGCGGTACTGGGAAAGACAAAGAAGTGATATTTCAGTGAAATCTCACTTTTTCCAGAATCTCACTTTTGGGCGCCCAAAAGTGAGATTTCTCAAAAAGTGAGATTTCAGTGAAATCTCACTTTTTCCAGAGTCTCACTTTTGGGCGCCAAAAAGTGAAATTTCTCAAAAAGTGAGACTTCAGTGAAATCTCACCCATTTCCCAGTGCGGTACTGGGAAAGGGGTGAGATTTCAGTGAAATCTCACTTTTTCCAGAATCTCACTTTTGGGCGCCCAAAAGTGAGATTTCTCGAAAAGTGAGATTTCAGTGAAATCTCACCCATTTCCCAGTGCGGTACTGGGAAACGGGTGAGATTTCACTGAAATCTCACTTTTTCCAGAGTCTCACTTTTGGGCGCCCAAAGGTGAGATTTCTCAAAAAGTGAGATTTCAGTGAAATCTCACCCATTTCCCAGTGCGGTACTGGGCTCCAGTGGGGCACTGGAGCCCAGTCCCACACTGGGAAACACGTGAGATTTCAGTGAAATCTCACTTTTTCCAGAGTCTCACTTTTGGGCGCCCAAAAGTGAGATTTCTCAAAAAGTGAGATTTCAGTGAAATCTCACCCATTTCCCAGTGCGGTACTGGGCTCCAGTGCGGCACTGGAGCCCAGTATCACTTTTTCCAGAATCTCACTTTTGGGCTCGAAAGTGAGATTTCTCAAAAAGTGAGATTTCAGTGAAATCTCACCCATTACCCAGTGCGGCACTGGGAAACGGGTGTGATTTCAGTGAAATCTCACTTTTTCCAGAGTCTCACTTTTGGGCGCCCAAAAGTGAGATTTCTCAAAAAGTGAGATTTCACTGAAATCTCACTTTTTCCAGAATCTCACTTTTGGGCCCGAAAGTGAGATTTCTCAAAAAGTGAGATTTCAGTGAAATCTCACCCATTTCCCAGTGCGGCACTGGGAAACACGTGAGATTTCAGTGAAATCTCACTTTTTCCAGAATCTCACTTTTGGGCGCCCAAAAGTGAGATCTCTCGAAAAGTGAGATTTCAGTGAAATCTCACTTTTTCCAGAGTCTCACTTCTGGGCGCCCAAAAGTGAGATTTCCCAAAAAGTGAGATTTCAGTGAAATCTCACCCATTTCCCAGCGCGGCACTGGGAAACGGGTGAGATTTCACTGAAGTCTCACTTTTTCCAGAATCTCACTTTTGGCGCCCAAAAGTGAGATTTCTCAAAAAGTGGGGGCATTTTTAAGAGTGTGCATGTAGTGCGTAGGCACAGGAATTGTCCGCTTTGTATTATTGTTATTGTATATGAGTCGTAGTGGTATTGGTAGGAGATCATGGCCCGCGCAGCCTTTCACCTCTGTCGACCGCGCAGCATTTCATTTGTATGGGGCATTTATGAAGCAGAGAGCGCCAAATTGTGTAGGTGCTAATGTGAAGTTTTGCCGTTTTCGCCTCCCAGTGTTTTGCAGAAAAATTTTCCGGTGAAGAGGGGGGGGCTTTTCCGATCCATGGAATATGCATACAGAAGTTTTGGCAACGTCAAGAAACTTGTTGGACTACTCGTGATGCTGAAACAGGTTGGAGAAGAGTTTTGTCATGCGCAACTGAGTGGAGCATTTGGATTTGTCCGTGTGCGGAAAATTTACCGTGGATACGACTGGTAGTGGCTCTGCTTCATCCGGTTTTCTCCCTGCCGCGGACGAGGGCAGGGATGAGATGATGAAAAGTGCAACTAGTAATACCGACGCCGCGAAGGGCCATCTTCAGCTTCTTGCGGAGAAGAGGTTAAAAGAATTGGCAGACGAAGAGAGAAGTGCCAGAGCAGTAGACAAGGAAAAAGAGGACCCGCAGAGCACTGCTCTCGCGCTGGACAAGAACAATCTTCAGCGTGAAGGTACAAGAACGACACAGAGGTCGTCCAATAAATCAAGTTCTGCTTCTGTTGAAGGTAGAGAAAACGTCGACGGCGAGCACGTCGACGAAGCCAAGGACGCACTGGATCTCGAACTGGAGAGAACGATTGCTGAAAACGCGAGCGCCGTGTCGTTTTTCGAAGACATGGTAGAAATTGACGAGGAGGATGAGCAAAATCAATTCGATGCTTCCCGCCCTGGCTTCTCTGCGGAAAAAGGACACGAGCCAGCGGAATCGCCGACCGAAGAAAGAAAGACCACGATCATGGGAGTTCCTGGGAATGACGTTTCCAGGAGTCGTGGTGCTCGTGGACCTGGACAACTGAAGAAATTCGAAAGGGATCTTCATATTACCCAAGACTCCTCCTCGAGGGCTCTGGACGTGTGTGAAAATGCGGGGGAATTTTTCTTGAACGAAGTAGAGGATGGAGATGGTGAAGATGATGAACAAGATTGTTCTTCCCTTCGACCAGAATCCTGCGGTCTGGAGGAAGATGAAGAACAGGAACAAACCATAACCAAGTCGACCGGCGAGCAGCAGGACCTTCGTGTCCATCCCCGCCTGTTCCGCGTATTTCCCGATGATGAGGAGCGGAAGCACGCTATTGTGAGGAAAAATCTCCCCTCCCCATATCAAGAAAGCGGAAATCTGTGATGCAGATTTGTGGTCACAAATCAGCTCTGTCTTGCAGAAACGAAGCGCAAGCGCATGCTAGGCCTGTTTAGGTCCATAGTAGAGGTCTGGCTCTTCAGCATAATAGATGTTGCTGCTGTAGGCTAAAGCGCATCAAAGATGGCCTGCCCAGTGCGTCGCTTCGCTCTTGCTTCACCTTCCCAAGTATGCAATAGTGATACAAACGCATTTGCGTACACAAATCAGCAAAACAATTTTGCTTGTGGTGCGTTTATTTTCGATATGGGGACGAGGGGGCTTTTTTCACTTTGATACACGCCCTGTTCGAATCTAGGTACAGCAACGACCTCGGGGAGAGGGCGGCCAATTCCGCAACCCTGGCCCACCTGGTTGCCTTCCAAAACCAGAAGCTCGCCCACGAGGTCCACTGCGCCAGCGCGGCGGGGTCCGCGAAGTGGCAGGCCCCGCGACCGCTGCCCCCCTACTCCGCCCGGGACCGGATTCTCCTGGTGGGTGAAGCCAATTTCACGTTCGCCGGAGCCCTTTGCCGATTTTTGGGGAAGAGGAATTGCAGTGGGATAACGGCGACGGGGTACACAGACTCGTTTACCTATGGAACGGCCAACTTCATCAGGGGGAAAATGTGGAAAATCAAAATGTTGCTGTAGAATAAAGAAGTAGTAATGTTTCCAGATGAAGACAAGAAGTTGACGCCGGTACAGGTTCTTCCAAGGCTTGACATTTCTTCTAAGTGGTGCGTGGCAATGCACGTATCTTTCCACGCGGCTGCGTAGAGTCATTTCGTCATCCTGTTTCGGGAAAATGGCGGCGCTTGTTTCATGCTATAATTTTCAAACACTTTGTTCATCCGTGAGTCCAACCTGGCGTTGTATGAGCGGGCGCGCTTGCCTCTGCTTCCTGACAGGCAGTACGTATCTGTGTCTCCCCGCTACTTATTTGCACTCGGGGATGCATTTGATGTTACGCGGCTTGGGTACTATATCTGGGCACTTCGTGCACCACAGTACTCACATCGAGATCGATTCTCACTAATACCATTTCCCCCCTCCTGACACACCCATACCCAAGACTACGAGAAACTCGGAGACCAGGGCTGCGTGCTCGGCGCGAAGGACAGAAAACGCCAGCGTACGGAAGAGAAGAAGACTCGGAAAAATAAACTGAAGCAAGCGAAAAAAGCGAAAATCTCACCGCAGACAAGAGCAGAGCCCGCACCCCCGCCGCAACAGAGTCCGGCGGTGGCGATGTTGTTTTCCAATCTGGTCGGGGCGACGAGGCCTTCCTCGGCCAAAAATGGCACTGCTACTAGCGCCGGACAGCGGCCCGGTGCAGCTTCAAGTAGTACTAGAAGTGACCTGTTCTGGAAGGACCGGACGTTCGGACAGGCAGCAGGGGAGGAGGACGTCGATGATGACTCCGGGAGCAGCAGCGATGGAGAACAGAATTTCGAAGACAGTTTGACGTTGCGGATGTCGGCGAAAATTTGCGCGGACATCGTCGAAAAATACGGCGGCTACGTGGTGAAGGACCGGGCAATTGACGCGACAATGTTACATTCTCTGGACCTGGTCAAGCAAAGTGAGGTGGAAGTAGCTCTTTCCAAAAGGATGAACTTGAACACCACGAGAGCCTCTTTTTCCAGTCGTTCTGCGACAATGAAAGCCCTCGAGAAGAACATCACGTCCTTCACTTACGTGATTTGGAATTTTCTATGATAGTGGACAACTTACAACTAGTACTCCCCCTCGGCGTCCCTCATTTGCGATGCAAAATGCTATAATTTTTTCGTGTGTGCTGTCTGTCTTTAGCAGAACGATATACTACTGCACAACAAGTCCCGGCGCAGCTTGAGGCTTGTGCTTGAGCAGCACTACAGCCCCGCCACCGCGGATTTGCCATGCAGAAGGAGCTCCTCTTGTTGCATATTTCATTCACATGGTTTCTGTTCCTAGAAGACATGCGCGTCAAATGAGGGGTGGAACTAAGGGGAGAAGTTCGAGTTGTCAACTCTCATATTTTCCGCACACGGGTGTGAAGCAAGGCGCTTACTTCGACGAGGTGACGGGACGAAGGCTCGCGAAGTTCGATTGGTATCAAAAGGACAAATCGATTCAGAGCAACCAAGCCGCCCTGTTTGACGTTTTCGCTTCGATGACCAAGTGCTGCACGATGACAAACAAACAACCTGCTCTGCCTTCTTCGTCCTCCAAAAACGTGCCCATCTCCGACTTGATCACCTCGCAAACCCGGGTGCACATAACGCTGAAGACGACGGAACTGTACAAGCAGTGGCGGTTGGAAGACCTGGCGGCGACGCAGGGCTGGTACCTGAAGCGGCAGCTCCCTTTTGCGTACCACATGTTTCTATCAACTGTAAAAATGTCTGGGTCTGGAAGAATTCATGTTTGTCATGCTTGTCTGGCATGACTCTTAAATCTGTCATGCACGTTACCCAAGAGCTGCGTTTTTCTGTGATGCAGAAGCGCAGTTTGTCATGCAGAATAGATAACACCTAGGAGCTCAGAAACTTGTCATGCTGAGCCAGCATTTGTAGCCTCATCATGAGACGCTACGCAGCATCACAAGTTCCCAGACCCAGACATTTTTACATTTGATAGTTCCAAGAATTTGGGTACCAACACGAGGCGACCCGGTTTTCCGCGAAAAACCTTCAAGTGCCGCATTTGGACGAGGCGGTGACGTTTGAATTTGGGTTCCGACCCCACATACACTTCCGCTGGCGCCAAACCCCGGAGGGACGGGAGGGGTGGGGGTTGATGTAGTGGTGCGTCGGGAGAAGTAGCTATCAACTCGTCCCGCACGGGCGGTGTGTTCTCAACGGTGCTGCTTATTAAGTGGCTGTTATGAAGAAGAAAAGAATCTTTTCAAAAGATAAAGAAGCTCAACAAGCACAAGCTGAAGCTTCCTCTTCACGAGGAAACGGATATTCGCAACTTTTTAGGAAGGTAGACAGTGGCGTCGCGATCGCGACATCAGTGGCGTGCTACTATGATTCGCACACGGTTCTTCTTTTGTTGCGCCGTGGGGCAAACAAGTGATGTTCAAGAGTCAAAGTGGTTCGAGTGTTTGTCCAATGTCTAGAAATTCTCTGTTCTAGATCTAGTGTCGATGGACATCAAAGTTTACTATACTCCCACCTGGTTCGTTCTCGTCCTGCTCCTGTCGTTTATGCCGAGTGTTGTGAGGGAAGCGAAAGCGAAAGCCTTGCGTCACAACGGATAGAGCTATTCATTTTCTGTCTCTTCCGCAAGATGTCCTCCTCATCGCAAAACGTCCAGTCTGCGCAGCAGCAGGTTTCCGCCTGGTTTGACCCGGAGGTCATTGCCGAATTACGCCGGGAGTTTGACGCCGCAGATTTGGACAAAAGTGGCAGCATCGACGTGAAGGAAGCTTGCGTGCTTTTCGCCCGGTTTGCGGCTAAAAGTGGAGGTAGCTCGTCAGGGTCAACGTCTTCTATTGCGGGTGGAGGAGAATCGTACTACACGACTGCAAACTCGTCTGCATCTCCTTCCTCGTCTTCTAGTAGCTCGAAACCTGCTGGAGGTGCTGGTGCTTCAGCAGTACAGCCAGCACCGGAGTTTTTACCCCCAGACGTGAGCTCCGAAAACTACCGGCTGGCGATGCGGATGCTGCAGCAGATGAACGTGCGGGACGGAAAAATCACGTTCGAGCAGTTTTGCTTCCGGTTCGGGCGCAAACTGCAACAGGAACGCAATCGGCAGCGCCGGTTGATCTTGGCACAGGACATTCCTTTCACATCGCTGGACCAAAGTCGAAACTCGCAGACGGAGGAGGGAATAAGGAGAAGTAAAAGCAGTCGAGAGGACGAGGATCGTGGAGATGTTGAAGATCAACATCTCGACGTCCAAGAAGTCGTCCAGCAACCTCACCCCCTCGACACGTCGAAAGAACAGCTTGCGACCGTGATTGATGAGATACTCAGAGAAGTCAACCACGCGAGAGCGCAACACTCCCTGCAGCCGATGGCGCTCCACTACCACCTCTGCAGGGGCGCGATCCAGCACGCCGATGATGTGGCCTCAGGGGCGGCGAATTTCTCGCACGAGAACGCGGAGCACCGGATTTTCAGCTGTGGCCACTTCGAGGGCATCGGGGAGAACCTGGCGCGACTGGATGGGTACGCGTTGCCGCATGTGCCCGAGGGGTGCGTGCGGGGATGGGAAAACTCCCCGGGGCATTTGCGCAACATGCTCCTCGCGGAGTTTAACGTGTGCGGCATTGGCGTGGGGCAGCGGAAAGAAACCACATTCATCACAGCGCTGTTCGCGATCGAGAGCGACGGGGCCCGGGAGGTGAACTGTAAGCAGGCGAAGACCAGAATGGTGAACGGGAGTGTGGTTCGTGAGGCGGCAAGGGAAACGACCTTGCTGAAAAGCGCGGCGGAGGTTTTGTTGCCCTCGAGGAGCGGAGGAGTTGTGCTGTCGGGAAATTATTCTTCTGCAAGAACGGCAGCTGCTGTGTCTGGATCTTCTGCATCGTCCTCGTCTACCGGAGCACTTTCTGCCCGGGCCTCCGCGGCGCAGCAGGAACATCAAGAACTACACGGCGGAGAAGAAGAAGGAGCTGCTGCAGATGATGAGCAGAGGACCTCTAATTTGCCTGAGCTGCGAACCCGTCACCAAGCTCCTTCGAACAGCAGGAGCAACGCGACTGCTTCTAACTCTGACCATAACACGAGGACTCCGAGATCCTCGGGCCAGCAAGAACCGCAGCCCAACCCACCCGATAATGGTAATAATCACCAGCAGCAGCAGCAGCCCTCCTCGTCCTCGTCCCAGACGCAACGAGAGCATCCCCAGCCGCCTCACCGCCGCGGCACGCGGCAAACGACTTACTACGAGGATTTCCAAGAAGTTTTTCGCAACTACCACCAACCGATCCTGTTCTTCGTGGCGTGGCTTCTGGCGTTCTCCTTTCTCCACTTTGGCGGTCACGATTTGAGACAAGCGCCGGAACTGATCAGGCGGGTCGAAGAAATCTACAACTGGCTGGAGAAATGGATTCCGTTGGAGAGTGTAGTGGGAGCAACGGGCGGGCACGGGATAAATAATCGAGGTGACCCCTCCTGCTGGAACGGCGGCTTCAACTTCGCCTTTTGCTGCACCCCGGTGGGAAGTGGAAATCCGGAGTGCTGGGACTCGGTTTTCACATATCAGAGGTGTTGCGTAGCGGACGGAAATGGCGATCGGAGGTGACAACGAAGACCACAAAAGGCCGCATAGGCTGGCTTTTGAGTGCAGTCATGTCTACCTACTCTCGGACACGCAAGAACCGCCGCCGCACGGAGTGAAAGTTCGGATCATCAATACAGATGAAGCAACATCTTCAATGCGAAAGACAGCAGCATGAGTCAGTGTTTCTCTACTTGCGTCCCCAGTTGTATTATGTGCCTCGAGATGAAAGAACAGCTGGTCAGCTCTCGGTAAAGGAAAACGTAAATCTAAATTCGTAGAGGCCATTTTCACATGTCGTTCCTAGTCCGCCCAAGAAATCAAATTCGGTTTGACGGAGAGAACGCTTCTTCAAAATCTAGTCTGTCGGTAAAAGTTGAGCCGCCACTCGTTATTTGCCGTTGCTGTCGCGCAGAACCGAATCTGCGTCCTCTCGGTTTGTGATCAAAACGACGATATGTAACTATCGGTATGCCGTGCCAGAACCGGAGACAAAAACCAAAGAATTTTCGGTGGCTCGTTCATGCTACCAGTGACTTTTCGTCCATTCGTCCATGCGATTTACACGTACGAAATCCTACGTACGTCGACAAGCACTAGCGCATTTCGATTTTTTGTTTTTACCGATGATGTCTTGCAGTGAAATTATTTAAAGTATAAACAATAACAAAGCTTTTGCATTCCCCACTCAACAAAACTTCAAGTGAAATTAAAGCATCCTAAATTTTTTCCTCATCGAACAAAAACACATTCCCTGTCGTGTCTGACTCCTTTCAACTACATTTTGTGATACAACACGTCTTCCACGTACTTTCTTACAAAAAAAAAAAAATGTACAAGTTAATGGGTGGATCGCTCAACTGGTGGGAGCTGGTGGCTTTCATCGTCCAGGTGGGGTGCGACCTGGAGATGCTGCTTTTCCCCGTGGATTACCTCGTGCAGGTATTCGGGCCGGGCGTCATGGAGAGCTACGACGAGGCGGTATTCATTGCGGCATTTCGACATCTGTTTGCCGAATTTGATTCTGGTGGTGGAAAGTAGCGCCTAAAAAAGAATTATGTAGGTGTAGCACCACAACGAACGGCGACTTATCTGTGATGTGATTATTTATGGAAAATCCAAATTCCAATACTCCGCTCATGTCGTGTTGGAAATAATATCCGAAAAAATTACGCAAAAAAAAATCAACAGATCTGGCTCGTCCGTGCGGGTGCCATGACCGGATTCGTGTGGAACATTGGCGTCTTCTGGTTTACCGGCTACTCCGCCTTCGCACCCATCAACGCGGTGAAGTACTGCTTTGACATGATCCAGATGTTTTTGAACGCCTTTCTGCTTGCGTTCTTCGCCGCCAGTTACCCGCTCTTCAAGTCCGCTATCCGCCAGCAAGCATGGTATAATTTTCAGCTGTTTCAGTTTATTGATTCAACTTCTTGTCTAGGCCTGCAGCCGGATTTGTCTCTTTTGGATAGAGATACACGCATACATCAAAGAATGGGTTTGACGTGACGTGAGAACCACCTCTCCCCCCCCTATAAAAATCTATTGAAAAACAGGATCATCCAGCTGATGATCTTTGCCATCTTCACCATTGGATGGGGCTTGAACGCCATGACACATCGACCGGAGGGCGACGTGCGGGTGAACTACTCCAACACGGCCATGAAGGTCGAGCCCCGGGGCAAGACGCCGATGAAGAAAAAGAAGGCGTAAGACCGTGTGGTAGAACAACTGTTAGGAGGAGTAGTTTCTGTGGAGGAAAAGGAAATGCACTTTCATTGATTTTGTTCGTTGTACTTCTGTAGTTGCGATGAAGCGACAATGTTATTGCACCTGTATCATATACGTATTTTTCTTTTGATTTTACTTGAGTTGATGTACTGTGACCGCAGTGTTATTTTTTTGATCAGTTGCACTTGCACGAAGACGCAGCTGGAACTAAAGCGTCAAACTGCGAAGCGAAGCAAGCGAATCGATCCTTTCCATTCCGTTGTATTTTGACGATCTCTACTCGTCCTCAAGAAGTCAGTGATTGTGCTTTTTAAGCTGCATCACGACTTCTTCCTCTTGTGTACACTAATGCTCTTTCGAGCTTGAATGAATTATCCGTTGTACTAGAAGTGGTCGCCAGAACCTTGCTGCAAGACGAAGAACGCTAAGTTTGAATTGCGAACATTTACGAAGGAGACAAAACGGAAAAAGCTCAGAGCATACCAATTTGCTATTCGCGCAAGACAGAAATCGCGGTTGGAAAATTTATGTGGAAGAAGTACTGTCATCTGCAGAAAGCTTTTGTTTCGCGCAGAAAGAAAAGCGAGAAATTGTTCCACACTTCAACTACATAAGTATGTCTTTTCTCGCAGTATGTAGATATCAGGCTCATGAACCAAGCAAGACAAAGATCTATTGTTGCGAGTTCCAATCTGACGTGCTCTTTTATCAACATTTCTTCTTCCGCCTACCAATGACAACGACCAGCGATCATAAACACACCAAAAACTTCCTGATTTCCTACGACCGTATTGACATGTGCTCCAATTTTTTAGCGTGTGACGACCACTTATTTCCGCGTAGAAAATAAAAGACTACGTCGATAAATAGTTTTTGGCTCCTATAGGACCACGTAGTAAGTACACGACAACGACCCACAACTTTACTCGAATTCATTTCCAGAATAATAAGCGACACAACTCCCTCCTCGGCAAGATGCCCGAATTTTTCGACCCTCTTTCGGACTTGGTAAAGCGGCACCAAGCCGACGATTCCGGCGAGAGGTTCGAACCAGCGGAGAATGGCGACGGCTGCCCCTACCGGGAGGACGACATCATGTCGGCCGAGAAGGGGGTCAGCACGGGAACCACCATTATGGCCGTCGAGTTTGACGGGGGCGTCGTGATGGCGGCGGACTCCAGAACCTCCATGGGCGACTACGTCGCAAATCGCGTCAGCCGTATTTGAAATGATAGAACTCTAAAATAAGTTGTTGTAGTACCTACGGTACTAGATGTAGAGGCAATAAAACTCTGTCATGTCATTTCGACATGCGCAGTGATTTCTTGTGTCAGGCATAGTATGGATTCCAAGTGTAATGAGAAGAATGCTATATTGAAATTCTCACATGATCAGGTAAAATCACTCCCGTCCACGACCGCATTTTTGTGTGCCGGTCCGGTTCCGCGGCGGACACACAGGCATTGACCGGGTATGTGCAGCACTACCTGGGCCTGCACTCGTATCCTAATTAAAAACGTCCCCACAGCAGGGTTGTCATGCAGATTTGCAATGACAGGAACATTTGTAATGCGCATCGCCAGGAGAGGCATTTTTAGTCGTGTTTTGGAATTTGTAATGCTGTAAACAGGATGACCAGATGGATTTCTGATGCAGCTGGCCTTGCGAACCTGCACTACACTACGGACTGCAACTTGTGATGCGTGACCCCCAAAAGTTCTAGGCTTGTATTGCAAAATCCCCATCCTGACTCTGGGGTGGGGATGTTTTTCCTCACGATAACTCGATGGAACTGAAAGATCCGAAGTTTCCGAAGGTGAATACGTGTGCGACTTTGTTCCAGCAGTTGGTTTATAACAACAAAGATCACCTGATGGCCGGACTGATCGTCGCAGGGTACGATAAGGTGCATGGGGGACAGGTAAAAATAATTTGAAAATTTGTATTGCGGTGCTAGTACAAGGGCAAAGAAACGCGTTCGTATTGCATGTAGTTTCCCATTTATTTTATCTCTTGTACTTGTTATAAGTTTAAGTGTGTTTTCATAAAGATAAATGCAAAGATGAAAATCAACAGGTGTACGTGATCCCCTTGGGCGGTGCGAAGTTCAGACGAGGGTACGCGGTCGGCGGGTCTGGTAGCGCTTACATCATGGGTTTAATCGATGCGGAGTACAAACCGGGAATGACGGAGGAGGAGGCCAGGGCGAAGTGCAAAAAGTGGGTTTCCCACGCCATGACACGGGACGGGAGTTCCGGTGGGGTGGTGAGGACGATGGTGATCAAGGAGAGTGGTACGCACGAAGACTACACCTACGGGGACGGATTGCCGAGTCAGCCCCTGTAGGTCGGCAAGTAAATAAAAAGTGATGAAACTTCTCGAGATCATGATTCTGATCGTGCTAGAAGAAGGAAAAGCGAAGTTGAGCGGCGAATTTTATAAGAGGGTCTTCCACTCCTGATAACAACTTCTGGGGCCATGAGGAACATCTGTCATGTTGACCTGCTCCTCCGACACCAATTATTTTTTCAAAAATCTAGAAAAGAGAACCCACACGCGGCCTGCTTGCACTTGCGGAAACAAATAATAGAAGCATAGTGCCTGCTTTGATCGTTTACGTTTAGACCCTGTGTTCGTGTGTTCCCAATGGAGGTAGGGATGACTATATCAATATCAGCTTGTATCTTCTATTCTTTTTCTACTCGTCGGTCAACGTGGTGATTATATTATCGCAGTGGTGGACGAGAGAGCTCTTCTACGTGCTGTTCGTTTTCATCGACCTACTTTCGTGATGCAAAATCGCTGCATTTCATCGTAATCGCAAATTTGAAACATTCCATCGCAGCCAGGTCTCATCGTCGTTGGTAGACGCAGTCTACCTACCGATTTATTCGTAGACATCGTTTTCGAGCTATAGCTACCCACCCGCCCCCCAGGCCGAAGAAGACGGCCCTTTCCACTTAGGATGATAGGTCGCTCCATATCTCCGGTACTAACATTGGAGGCCGCCACGGATGAAAGCGAGCCGACACTACCTGCTCTGCCCTTAATAGTAGAACTGCAAAGCACGAAAAATGAGTTCAGCAGGCCACCTGGTGCCGCTTCTAGAAGTACAAGCGGTCCCCTTTTCAGTTCGACAAGCGGCAAGATTGTTCAGAATTATAACGATAACCACAAAGAAGTAGAACTCCAGCAACACCCCGAAGCTGCACCATCAATAAGACTAAAAGACAACAAGATGGACTCCTGGCACTGTTTTTCGCACGAGCTTGTTCCCAAAATCGAGCTCCTTCCGCTTCAGGGGGAGCCGCGACGGGAGAAAGACAAGCTCTTCATCCGGTGTTTTGAAGACGCTTTCCGGTTGCTGTGGGATAGAACAAACAGCAGAACTTCAGAACGACCCGAAACTCAACGACAAACCCCTCAAGGAATTTCAACGTCAGCCAGCTCTGCTTCTGAGCCAGAGCCTGTACTAGTTACAACTACATCTTCGGATCATCAAAACAGCTGCAGGCAAAACGGCAATTTTCACCCCCACGACCTGTACCCGCCCGAGGACTTGATCCTGGAAATGAGCCAGGCCTGGGTGGAGCGTGAGCGACAGGAGGCCTTTGAGAAAGCGCAGGGGCACGTGCACTGAACCTACATTTCCACCCATCACCGAAGGATTCCGATCCTGCTGATGCATTTCGCCTGCCGAAACGGTTTTTTGAAGGTGCTGGAATACGCCCTATCGGAGGTGCCGTTGTCGCAGTTAACGAGTAAAACGAACTTCGTGCAAGAAACAACAAGCAGAAGCGCAAGTACAGCAATAGTAACGAGTAGTACCACGACAGGCGTTCTTGGGGGCTCCACTTCTTCGTGTCCACCGAGAAAAGGTGAAGCTGCGCAACAAGAGCTTCCTGATCCTGCGACGCCGCATGAGAAATCCAAATCTTCAGATTATGCTAGTGTAGTCGATGAGGTTTCTATCATCCGGGAGAACGCGCTCGTGTTTGCTGCCTTGAACGAACAGGTAGAAGTGACAAGCCGGCTGCTGGAACCGGGGTTGCTACTCCTCTGGGCGAAGGCAGACATCGAACGGGCGAAACTGATTGCGGCGCGGAATAAGCAGAGCGTGGACGAAAGGGGGAAGAAGCTGGTAGAAACCATTGAAAAAAAGGTTAGCAAAGCCGCGGCGGAAGTAGAACAACTACAGGAAGCTGACGGCGTGGGCGAAGCGGTGGCGCCAAATGTTGGGGTAGATTAGGACAAACTTTTTTTTCTGCGTGTGAAGAACAAATGGAAATGGTAGCTCTGAGCATTTTCAGTTCCTTCATATTGGGTTGTTAGGACATTGGAGCTTCAAACAACTTTATTTTCTTGTGACGCTGCTGTCATGTCATACTTGTTGACCTGCAGAACAGGTCTAGTGATGATAGCGGCTGATTTTATATTGGATAACGACCTCCGTCCACCGTGTCCGGTTTGTTATGTATAGCAGGAGGAAAGAACAGATGAATCAGTAGTAGTATCAGTGATTCACTTGTCTCAGACTCAGTTAAAAATAAAACTGTGCACCGTTTCTCGCTCTCCATGGGGAGGCCCAATATTGAAAGTCTAATCAGAAACATCTCCAACACTAATGATTTTTCCAAGAAAGATGAAATTGCAATCGCGATGAATGAGAATCAATTCTCAAGAAAAACAGAGGCAGATCTGAAAATCCATAATAAGGTAATAGCTGCTGGAAAGCTCGAGAAAGAGCAACTTCAATTGAATTGTGCCTGATCAGAAATCTACGACGCTCGGTCCACTTTTTTCTGAACTAAGCTTAATTAGTTCGGTCTACCATTTTGTAGTCTTCACATCACATTTAGCTTTTCCTGAAGCTGCAGCAAGACCAAGACGAAGACAACAACTTTCGGTCAACGTGTAGATCAGAAAAGCTTTCCTTGCCTTCCTCGGTTTTCAGATCATCGCAGCGACCACCAGCGATGTACGGTCGTTGGGGTGTGCTTTGGAGTCGGTTTGTTTCCACGGTTCTGCGCCGCCTTCGGTTTTTAGTAGAAGTTTTCCATGCAACGGAGGAAATTCCACTCCACTGCTTCTACACGCTCAAACACCACTGCTTCAATCCGATACTTTGGAAAATTACTAGAATGACTGCTCCTACTCACCAACTTCTATAGTTAGAAAGCTTAATACTAGCTACACGAAGACGGATTGGAATTGAAATGCTCCAAAACAAGGCCAAACACGAAAATGCGAAAAGTTCTGGAAAATAAAACTGCTGGCATCAACATCAACTATCAACAAATTTTTGCAACTACATCGAATCAGGTTTCTGTCATCCTCTGTAGCACCTTCCATGCAAGAACTTCTTGCATGCCGTGCGGATAATTTGACATTCTACCTAAAAGTTGTAAAACTCTAACTAGTAGTCAAATTTATCACTCGCTCTGTCGGTACGGCCTTAGGGATAAGTAGATACAACTTGTCTTTGATGCAGAACCTTGTAAAATTCCCATTTACTACCACACACTGTCACAATTCTTCATGACCCGAAAGTTGTCGTTCTGACCTGTAGAATTTTCAAGATTCCACACTACCGCTGTTTGTACAAAGTGGTGCTACAAACTCGGTACTTGGTGTGAACCTCTAGGTGCTAATATTTTGTACGATTCATTCATTTCTTTTTCTGCTTTATCCGAATCTCCATTTTGTTGTAAAATTCTTGTCACTAAAGTTACAATTCTAAAATACGTAATACATACTGGTCGTCTCAACATTTTTGGTGCACAAATAGATACATGTTGAAGTGACAAACTTCCGACCGTTCACACAATAAATTGAGACCTAAAAATTGCACCAAACGCAAACCTCCGAAAGGACGAGCACAACAAGCATCATGGGCGTGGAAATGAAAATGCCGCAATCTCACGGGCGCAACATGCAGGTCTCGGACGTGACCGGCATGTCCATGTGGGTCCCGCACGAGACCAAGGCCTTCACCGCGGCGCGGGATTTGCGCATCACGCAGGGGTCGGGGAAAAAGACCGTTCTGGTTTACGAAGACACGGAAACCAAGGAGCGGATCGAGGTCCCGGAGGACAAAAAACACTTGATCACCGAAGTCGAGGAGGATCACTTGATGGCGGTCCCCGACGTGACCACGCTTCGCACCGTGACGCACGCTTCCGTGCTGGAAACGGTGAAGCGGCGCTACAAGCAGAACCAGATTTACACCAAGGTGGACGACGTGATCATTTCCGTGAACCCCTTCGCCGTGATCCCCGGCCTGTACGACGCGGAGGCTGTCTCCCGCTACGAAAACTGCTCGGACCCCCGGGAAATGCCCCCGCACGTGTACTGCATCTCGAAGAACGCCATGATGGGGTTGTACGAAAACAAGGACCAAGCGATTTTGATTTCAGGGGAGTCCGGCGCGGGGAAGACGGAAAACTGTAAGATTTTGCTCCACTACTTCACGCAGTCCGCGGCCAGCAACTCCGGGATTCAGGATCGCATCATGCAGTGCAACCCGCTCCTCGAAGCCTTCGGGAACGCCAAGACCTCGAGGAACAACAACTCGTCCCGGTTCGGGAAGTGGACGGCGCTGCACTTTTCCATGGCGAACGAGATCGAGGGGGCGGGGTTGATCGATTACCTGCTGGAGAAATCCCGCGCGGTGTCGCAGAACCAGCCGGAACGCAGCTTCCACATCTTCCACATGATGCTCCAGGACCCGAAGAAGTACGGACTCAGCAGTAATAAAAACACGGATTACTTCCACCTGCAGAACTCCGCCGCCACGGCCGACGGCTGGGACGACAAAAAGGAGTTGGGCGAGGTGCTCGCCGCCTGCCAGGACACCACCATGTCGTCCGAGGTCTCCACGGCCTTACTCCGCGCCACCGCGGGCGTGCTCCTGCTCGGGAACGTGGCCCTTGCCGACGGCGGGAACGACACGAGCAAGTGCGACAACATGGCGACGCTGCAAGCGGTGTGCGACGTCTGGGAGTGCGACCCGACGGTGCTGATCGACGCGATCTGCAACAAGAAACTCACCATCGGCAAAGAAGTCACGATGAAGGCTTTGAAACTGGAAGACGCGAAGTCCAGTCGCAAGTCGCTCGCCACCTTGTACTACTCGAAGATCTATCAAGTGCAAAAGTGTCTGGGTCTGGAAGAGTGCATGTTTGTCATGCTTGTGTGGCGTGACTCTTAAATCTGTCATGCACGTTACCCAAGATGAGCCCCATTTTGCTGCCATGCAGAAACGCAGTTTGTCATGCAGAATAGCCAACACCTAGAAGCTCAAAAGCTTGTCATGCTGAGCCAGCACTTGTGGCCTCTTCATGATTCGCCGCCCAGCATCACAAGTTTCCAGACCCAGACACTTTTACAACCCATAAGATCTTCCAGTGGCTGGTGGCGTTTTTGAACGGCGCGATCCAGGGAACAACGACGACGACCTCGAGGAACACCAGTGGGAAGACGAAGGAGATTGGCATGTTGGACATCGCGGGGTTCGAGTCCTTCGAATTTAACACGTGGGAGCAGATCACGATCAACCTGTCGAACGAGAACCTGCAGCAACACTTCAACGATTACATTTTCAAGGCGGAGATGCGGGACTACGAGGCGGAGGGGGTCCCGACGGACGACTTCAAGTTCGAGGACAACCAGGAGATTCTGGACACGATCGGCGGGCAGCAGAACTCGATTTTCTTCTACCTGGACGGCACCACGAAAAACATCAAGGCGACGGACGAGGTGTTCATGAACCAACTGCGGACCAACATGAAGGACAACAAATATTTGACGTTGGACCGCTTCAACAAGCCGCAGTTCACCCTGCAGCACTACGCCGGACCGGTGACCTACGACGTGCAGGGGTGGGCGCAGATCAAGAACAAGGACGAGCCGCCGCCGGAAGCGCTGGATATTCTGAAGACGTGCAACAACCTGGTGATGGTGCAGATCTTCGAGAAGATGAGCGAGGAGGAGAGGCAGAAGAAAATCACTGTGTCCCAGCAGTTCCGCGCCTCCCTGAGGGACCTCATGGCGGTGATCTACCAGTCCCAGCCACACTTCGTCCGGTGCATCAAGCCGAACAGCGAGAAGAAGGCGCAGATTTTCACCCCGCCGATGGCGCTGGAGCAGCTGACCAACTCCGGTGTGATCGAGGCGGTGCGGATCCGCCAGGCCGGCTACCCGTACCGCGCGCTGCCGGAGGACTTCTTCCGCCGCTACCGGGTCTGCATCCCGCTGAACCTGCAGAAGCAGGCGCAAAACGCCGGGGGTCTCACCTCTGCGGCGGGGGTGAAGATCATCCTGGACGGCCTGCCGGGTGCGTTCAGCATGCCGGACCTGAAGGGCCAGTACCACATGGGCAAGACGAAGGTGATGGCGAAGCAGAAGGGGCACGCGGCGTTAGACGAGCAGGCGCGGATCGCGAAGGTCGCGAAGGCCATCCTCATCCAGAAGGTGTTCCGGGGGTACCGGGCGCGCAAGCGCGTCAAGGTTGCGCGCGAAACCAGAAAGGCGATCCAAAAGTGGCTCGCCACCTACCCGCTGTACGCTGCGCCGGGGAAGGACGGCATGGCCTTGCTCGGGGGCTGCGAGGGGATCGTGGCGGCGCTCGCGCAGTTGTCGCTTTGGCTCGATGTGGCGAACCGTTCCACCGATCTCCGCGTCGCGCCGGACAACTTTGGCCCGACGGTGGAGGCGCTGAAGAAGGAATTGTCTGTGATGCAGAGGGCGGATGAGTTGATGACTTCGTTCGATGTGATGGACGTGAAGAACGCCGTTTCCACGTTGAAGGCCTTGAAGATCGACAACGACTTCTCGCAGAAGCTTGAAAAGCGGGCGGACGCGCTGGCCAGGGAGGCGCCGCTGTTGAAGGGCATGCAGGCGCTGCCGCCGCTGCCGTACGACGCGGGTGCGGAAGTGCACGTCATGTACCAGGATATGGTTGCGGGCGTGGAAAACGCGGGCTTGGCGCAGGAACAAGCCTGGTTGGACAAAACTGGCTTCGCTCTGTACGTCACGGTCAAGGAAGTCTTGGCGAAATTCGAGGCTGGGCCGCCCTCCGGTATAAAGATAAAAGTTTGCTTCTTCTATCATCGTACGCAGCTCCTGCCATTTGAAGTTGTCCTTGTCACTTGCTTCGATCTAGCTTAAACTCATATTCCTTTGTCTGAGATTTTCGATGTTGTTGCGCAACATGTAGACGATTCATATACTATTTTGAAATTCATCAAATACAAACGGTCCAAAATTATTCCAGACGGCACCTCTTCCCGCGACGCGGCCAACGCGGCCGAAGCCGCCGCCATTGTCGCTGCGGTCCTCGCGACCTCCTCCGGGGCCGGCGACCGCATGGGCGAGATGAGCTTCTCGATGGCGGACAACAAGGAGCAGCTCGACCTGGCTGCGGGCAACATGCAACGCGGGCAAACCGCGCTGGAGGGTGCGAACAGCCTGCTGCAGGCGGGGGACAGTTTGAGCATGTCCTTGGTGGAGAATCTGCACGAGGCCATCGACGCGAAGGAAGAGACGGTGGCCCAACTGGACGAGGTGATCAATACCCTTCCGGAAGGTTCGGACCAGCTCGCGGAGCTGGAGAACGCGAAGCAAACCGCCGCGGAAGAAAAAGAACAGCTGGACAGCGCGCTCGCCATGGTGTGTGCCCAGTCGGGCATGGATCCCCTGAAGGTCGCCACGATCAAGGCGGAGTTCGAGAAGAAGAAGTCGCAGCGCCTGGCGGAGTCGACCAACGAGGGGAAGGCGGCGCGGGTGTCGGAAAAGATGGCCAGCCTGAAACCCAGCAAATCCATGCGGCTGACCATCACCGACGCCGCGGACGCGCTGATTCAGCTGGAAGACGCGCTGGAAGTCTACGACGGCCCGCGCATCCAGATTATCTACCAGTACGGAATCGAAAACGGGATCGACGCGAAGGATCTGCGGCCGGCGGAGGAAATGCTGTCGAACTTGATGAACGCGGAGTACGTCCGGGCGGAACTGATGAAGAACGTGGAAAGGTTGCTGCACAACCAGGATCTGACGGAGAACCAAACGACCAAACTCCTCAAAGCGTCCACGAATCTCGTTGCGGCGGCGGAAAAAGCCGGCGTGGCGGCCACGGAGACCACTTCCATCTCCAAAACCTTGAAAAAGACGGCGAACGCGGCCTTCGGGTCGATGTTTGTCGGGAAGGACAAGGACGACGAGACCCGCGAAGTGGGGCAGATTCTGTTTTCCAGGTGGGACCTGGCGCCGATCATCAACACGACAACCGTGAAAACCCGATACAAGAGGGACGGAACGAAGGTGGACCCGCTCGACCCCCTCGGGGCCTGCTCGTGGACCAAGTATTTATATTTGCATGATCTTCCGATCACGATCTTCTTCTTCATGCTTCAACTTTGCTTTTCATGATTGCATGAGTTGTGACTAGGCATATAAACTTCTTTTTTTCTAACAGCTCTTCGACTTTTTCATGATCTTCGTCCACAGCAAATCTATAACTGCTTACGCAAATTATAAACCAAAAGTGCCATCGTCTTTTACTGTATCAGGTACAAGATCCCGGGGTCTTTGACCAACCTGCCGAACACGCAGCTGACCGACGCGGCCATGAACATCTTCAAGAACCTGTGTGCCTGGATGTGCGACCACCCGGTGGATAACAAGCGCCGCGCGCCCCTCGCCTTCACAATTATCCACAAGGCAAAAAACGACGAATTCTTGACCAACGAGGTGTACGCCATGATCATGAAGCAACTGACCAACAACCCGGGCCTCCGCTCCAAGCTGCTCGGGTGGAAGTTGATGCAGCACCTGTTAAACCAGGTGCCTCCGCAGGCTAATTTCATCGAGTACGTGCGGGCCTTCATCCTGAACAGCATCGACAAAACGGAAACGCCGGAGGTGGAAAATTTGCCGGAGGACGGGAGAAAGATGCTCCTGGCGGTGCAGAACGCGTGCTGGGACAGCATGACCAAGTACGATGCGACGGCCGGAAACACGACGGAGGTGCACCATAAGTCAGGCGACGGTTTGACGGTCCAGGTGTGGTCCATGGAGGGGTTTGACATCCGGGAGCAAACGGCCCGGCTGGACGCCACGTGCAAACCGCGGAAACCGAAGCTCGTCGCTCTGGACGACCTGAAGGATCTCATGACCGCCCAGGACGTGGCCCTGCGGACCGCGACGCAGCACTCGCTGTCGACGAACCAGAGCGAGTTCTCGCTCTTCCGCACGGGGCACGCGGAACCGTTGTCGAACAACAAGAATTTAATCCCCATGCTGAAGAAAGAGCCGCAGTTGGAGCTGATGTTCAAGCGGAGGTTCATCAAGCCCAGGGAGGTGGTGTCCACGGTGGACATGGTCTTCACCTGTTTGACCGTGGAACAAGCGTTACAAGAGTACTTGCTCGAGTACTATGACCTGCTCAAACGTTACAATCTCAAACGTTACAATAGAATCTGAGATCTGTCTTGCATGATCAACATGATAGACTCGGACAGCATTCCACTTTCTGCAATACAAATTTCGCCAGATTGTAGTGCGGATTGGGACACCAGAACTTGTCATGCGTAATCCTGTGGGAGTAGGGTAGATCATGCACTTCTTGCAACACAAATTCCAGATTCTATTGCAATGTTTATTGAGATAGTAACACCTGAGCAGGTTATAAGTACCACGTGCCGGAAAACGAACACAAACTGGCCTGGATCGCGGCGCAGATCGCGGTCTACCTGACGCTATCAAGTGTAAAAGTGTCTGGGTTTGGAAGGATCCAACTTGTGATGCTGTCGGTCAATTCTAAACAAATCTGTGTTGCATGACCAGCTCAAGACGAGGCCAGTTTGTGCCACGTGGAGAGGGTAATATCTCTCATGCGGAATAGGCATCACAAAGCCTTCTAAAAATCTGTGATGCTAGGCCGTGCATTACAGGGCTTCGTGGCTGATGCAGAATATGCAACACAAACGCAAACCTGGCAGTCTTCCAGACCCAGACATTTTTACATTTGATAGACGCGCGCGCGGCAGACGAAGCAGTTCGTCGCGAACGAAAACACGCTGAAGTTTTTGCTCCCAGCGCAGCAGATCGGGCGAAGGTCGCCGGTCGACTGGCGGAAGATGATCATGTCCGAGCTGTATTTGAATCACGTGTTGGAGAACGCCGGAACGAGCCACCTCGCCCGCGCCGCGGTTTTGTTAAAGTCGCTGCAACGTTTGAAGGCTTTCGCGACCCGACAGTTTGTCGGCCGTCAGCGGTCGCGCGCGGAGTTGGAGTCGGAAGAGTCGAAGCAGGTGATCGCGAAGCTGTCGCAGGGGAAGGTCCGGCAGCCGTTGGTGGACATGGCGCAGCTAGATTTGCTCTGCTGCGTGTCGATTTCCTCGGTCACGTTCTTTAACAACACGCAGGGGGACAAGTCCTACGGGTACCAAATGCAAAAATGTCTGGGTCTGGAAGAATCCGAACTTGTGATGCTGCATTTGGATTCCAAAAAAATCTGTAGTGCATGACCAGCAAAGGGAATGCAATTTTGGCTACGCGGAGAGGGCATTTTTCATGCGGAATAGGTATGGCAAAGCCCTCAAAAAGTCTGTGATGCTAGGGCATGCATCACAGACATCATGGCCCACTTTTCCAAGGTTCTTGGTTGTGGATGGTTCCTCGAGGTCTTCCTTCTTGTCGTCTCGCTTACTTCTGGAATCCTTGTAGCGCTAGGTGGCGGATCCCGCATGGCTTGCAGGGGCAGATGTTTTTTTTCCGTCTTGCCAGCGGACTGATCGGGGTGGGTAGATAGATGCTTCATGATAGTTACTTAGTCGCTAACATTTATCTCACTCTAGGCACAGACAGCCGCGGACCTATTTTACTCGCTCGAGGCCTGCACTCCTCGACTTCCTTTTTTTCGCGCTCCCTTAGTATGCTGGTGCCCCGGCCTGCACTCCGGTTCCCAGCCCCGATCACATTTTATCCGGCTGCTGTTATCTCCGCGTCAAGCACTAACTTAAGGGCCTGCACTCCCGCTTTTCTTCTACCCTGTAGCCCCTGGTGGTTCGCCAGATTCGGGCCGGGACCGTTTTATCTAGCGCTGCTGCGACTCGCACTGACTTGGACGCGTAGTATCTTAAGCCTGTCGCACTATTCCACTTTCACCAGTTTCAACCCTACGGGGGGGAGGCCTGCATTCCTCCTTACTAGACACCCTTGTTCCCTACTTCTCGTTTCCGCCGGTCGCGCATGTGCGATGTTGCCCGCTCGGAGTTTTCTGTTTTCCATGCGACTCCGCAGCATCCAAGTTTTTTTTTGGTCATGTCTTCTTCAGGTTTTGCGCATGACTGGGCACACTCACATCCGAGATCGCTGAGGCGGGTGGGGGGTCCGAGCCAAAAAAAAAAAGGTCTTTGTGTCGCTTTGGTTTTCTAGGTGCAAAACGTGCATGACAAGTCTCAGAATCTTCCAGACCCAGACACTTTTGCATTTGATAACGGGCAGGAGGTCGCGAAAGTCGGGTTTTCCGCCGCGCGCGGACACCATTTGGTAGAATGGGACGCGGACGGGAATGCGGTGTATTTGGCTATGCGGCTGCCGAAGGGAAAGGAAGTTTTCCTACTCTTCGACACGGAACAGGCAGAAAGACTGGTGGACCGAATGGACCGGGCGTATTGTGAAGATTACCAGGACGAGGGCAAACGGGAAGAGAGGCCGAATCTGACGCAAAGGATCACCAAGAGGAATGTCGCTTTGGAATCGGCTGGGGAAGTGATCATGAGCCACTCCGCGCAGGTGCCGGGCAGTCAGCAGGCGTCGAAGTACGATAAGAAGGAACAACATCAAAGCGCGGTAGTTGCTGCTGGCGGTGCTGACAGTTTTTACCCAACACTGCTGGGTAGTATCAGAGGGAATAGAAGTAACATGTCGGGAGGGCAAGGTGATGCTATTGTGAGCGGAAAAGGCAGCGCAACTCAGCCGGGGTCGGTCAAGAACGGCAGCGTCGCTGCGCCAGGTTCGGTTGTCGATGATTTTAATGCCACCACTTCTGCCCAAAAGATGTCGCAACAGCAAAATGCTTCTACTGTTTCAGGCAACTACTACGCGGGCGACAGTACTGGTGGGTCCATGTCTCCGACCGGAGCTGATGCTGCTGGTGCTTCTGCCACTATGGGTTCCGGCACCGGTGGTATCGGCAGCCCGGCGCAGCAGTCCAAGCGAGCTCTGTCGCAGCAGCAGCAGAGCGGCATTCAATCCAAGACCGGCTCGAAAGTCGCTTCGATGATGGCCAGTCAGCAGAACGGGGCGAACAGCTTTGTCCAACAGTCTACTTCACAAAACGTGGACCCAGAAACCGGTGCGCCGCGATCCGCATCACAGAATCTCGGCATGGGCAGCGGAATTGCGCCCATGTCGGGTATGGAGGAAGTGAAAGGTGCCGAAGAAGATAGAATCAGCGCCGGTGCAATCTCCAGCTACGGCGGCATCAAGCGGTTGAATTCCGCTAAATCGCTTAAACAGCAGCAGCATTCCCAGGCTTTTGACGCAAGTACTTCTAGTAGTGCCCGCAGTGCCGCGACCGTTGGAGGTGCAATCAAACTGTCCAACAAAACTGCGTCCCAGCGTGGAGGTCCGGGTTCGCAGCCGGGGTCTGCGACCGGGTCGATAAAGCAGTCCACCGTGAGTTCTTCGAATAATGAGTCTGTCATCGAGCCATCCGTCGTGCAGTCCCGCGCGGGGGGTAACACGTTGGACGCGAGATCTGTCGCGGGAGTGCTCCCAAATGCGGCTGCGATGCCGAACACCTACATCCAATCTATCGCTCCCGGGCAGAAGGGAAAGGGAAAGGCGGCGATCAACGGTTCCGCTTTTGTTTCGAACTTTGGCATCCAGAAGCCGCAAGGAGGAGGAGCTGGTGGAATGGGCGGCATCGATGAAAACGCGTCGATAGTCGTGCAGCCACGCGGCGGAAACACGTTGGATATCCGATCGGACAAGTTGAGCCAGATGCCGATTAATATTCCGGGAGGACAGTCTTTTGGGGCGGGTGGCAGTGTGCCTATGTCCGCGATTCCGGAGTCTGGAATGCAGTCCGGCATGCCAAAAAGCGGGATGCAGTCCATGAACCAAAGCAGGAAGTGATTTGGTGCGTTTTTATCACGACGGCGATATTATTAGGGAAGTCGTGAAGTGGTTTGTTATTGTTTGAGCTAATGATGTTATATGCTTAGCAATAGCAATAGCTGTTTGTCTTCGGACATGGAAGAGTAGCGCAACTCTTTCTTTTTTCTCAGAAGCCACGACATCCATTTCCCCCCGAAACTGCGATTGTAACACTAACACTCCAGAACATTTCTCACTTTTTTTTTCTGTTGGAAAATTCTGTGCAAATAACGACGTCTGTAGTTCTGATAAAGTCTAAATGTTCAGTTCACCAATGCTAGCAACATGTATAGATTTTGATGATGAAACACTAACGATTTCACGATCACGCGGTCGCGGACGGGTCGTACACGTACTCTGTTAAGTAACTCCAGATTAATTCGAGACCAAGTCTTTTATCCTAGTCTAACTACGCTTACGCATATGATTTTTACATTAATGCAATGTCTCGAACAGGCGGAGTTTTCTAATCCAGATACTTTCTAACATTTTACGTCGTAAGATTTTACGTAGTTGCCTTTCAGGTTATAATTTTCGACATCCTTGAAGATAAAAGCCGTCACATTGAGCGCTATTTCATGTCTATGACGGTGCAATTTTCAGAGTCCGAGGGTATGTATTGTGCAATCGGTACTCTATTTCCTCTTCTATGTTTTTTTTGCTATACTTAAATACTTGTATGATTCTGAGACATTTTCATGACTGCGACCTTGCTGAGTGGAGACTATAATCGTCTGGATGCATTGCTCTAAAACTTTGTAAAGCTGTAGCTGAAAGTGCCGACAATGCGGCAAAACTAGAATGAATGTAGTCAGTGGCTCGTTGTAGATGTATTTTTCTACCTTGGTCCTCCTCCTCCGCTGGTATGCTCATTCTACTCTAAGTGACAACTGCTGCAATTATTTTTGAACACGCTGCATGATCACTATGATGATGCCGCGCCTTGACAAAGCGACTCGAAGCTGGACAATGTTTTTCTGATTGGTTCTTCTGAATCTGATGAGAAAAGCTGTGCCTTGATTTTTCCATCTTTTTGGATAAATTAATCTCTCCGTGAACTACACAACAACTAAGCCCTCGACTTCCAAGGCCGGCACAGCTTTACACCAAGAACATAGTACTTCCTCTCGATCTCATACAAAGTGCATGAAGATTTTTCTTTTTGCGATGCATTTATGTACGATTTGATCTCTACCAAAAACCGTTTGACAAAAAAATAGCAACGCTCGTGTAAAATTTGAATTTGAGTAAGTTGTACTCTTCACCAAAAATAAACACAAGCAGGCTTCCCGTTGGCGTGGTCGGACATTGATCCGAACCAAAAAGCTTCTGCGAGGCGTAGGGGGCAAAATACCCAGAGAAAAATGTTCTACTAGGCATTGGCTCTGTGTCGTGCATCAGCAGGTTGAAGATTGTGACTGAGCAAGTAAAGATAAGCTTGCGGTTTCTGTATCTGTATTCATTCTTTTGCGTCGTGACGATGCGCAGCAGCTGCTCGCACGCTTCGCATTGTCGAGATGTACGTACTCTTGCGTCAGTCTTCCACCTCTCTGGTGCCGTCCCTCGGTTTGATGCAGCAGCAGCTTCTTGTCGTAGAGCTTCTTGTTTGTTGAGATCATCTCTCTGCAGCTTGGATCATGTAGCTATTCGCATCGCCTTGTTGCTGTTGTGCTTCCAGCAGAAGATCTTTGTAGCGCCTCAAGTACGACGTCAAAGCGAAAGAATATTCACAGAAGCGCTTCTTGACCATTAAGCTTGAACTTTAGAATAATGAATGTCAGCCTGCTCACCCTCAGCACGTTATCTACGACGAGGACCTGAAGGTGAGGAGGGGACTCGCACCAACCAGACAACATTTGCGCTCACCGAAGTTGTCCAGAACAAGAGAAGGATGATTCCTAATCCTCCTGTAGAAGATGTTCATATCCATATATCCAACAAGAATCTCACAACTCCGTCCTCATAGAGAAAAGTACAAGAAGATGAAAAAATGCAGCTCCTGCACGCGATAAAGTTGAAGATTACCGACGTGGAGGGCAGAAGATGAGTGCCTTGTTGCCCCTACTCAAGTGTGAAATGAATACATAGTCCCCTTGTGAACCTTCTAAGTAAGATCTATGCTACCTTTTACTACCAGGTCGTGGAAAAAAACTACGAGACTCCACCGCCACATCAGTTCCTTTAACTACTTCACGAACTGTGACCGTGCACTTCTATTTACGGCTCGTAGAATTAACTTCACCTCCCACGGCCTAGGAGCACCTAGTACCTGCCCCCACTTCCACTCTGCTGATTATCTTTCTTGCGACACCACAGTGACAGGAGGTGTGTCAACATCAAAACCTAAGTACCCACGACTATATTCTTCTAAACTCTTCAGAACCTTCTCCTACGTAACAACGCAGAAACCGGAACGACCGGCGCAGTTTAACATAGAAAATGGACCGAATGCCAGAGGACGAGTAGAGGTTCGCAGTCTACCAGCTGTACGAGCTCCTCTCAAGAACAGCCAGCGCCGGCTGTTCGCGACTGCAGCGACAGCGGTTTCCAGAAAGAAATCCGCCAAGAACAAAGCGACCCCTACGCCCACGATGCCGCCGAAGTCGCGAGATGAAAAGACGATCGAGGAGCGCTACCAGAAGAAAACGCAGCTGGAGCACATCCTCCTTCGTCCGGATAGTTACGTCGGGTCTACGGAAGCCACGAGTGAGAAGATCCATGTCAGAAACAAAACGACGGGGGTACTAGTATGGATAGTACCTTATTTCGATGGAGACACGACAATCTCTATCCCTTCGCGCTGCTATTCCTGTTGATTCGCCGTGATATTTTTTAAGTGCTCGACGTTGTAGTTCAACTTCAAGTACATTCTAAAATCTATGACATGATATAGATATGAACAACAAATAAAAGAAAAAATCCTCAACTACAGATTTTCGAGCAGAAGCAAATTTCGTACGTGCCCGCGCTGTACAAGATATTCGACGAGATATTGGTGAATGCCGCGGATAACTTTCAGCGGGACAAATCCATGTCGGAAGTCCGGGTTTGGGTCGACGTCGAGCAGAACATGATCCGGATAAAAAACGACGGTGCGACGCTCCCGGTCCAAATGCACCAAACCCACAAGGTCTACGTCCCGGAGATGGTGTTCGGCCACCTGCTCACTTCCGACAACTACGACGACAGCGAGAAGAAAGTCGTCGGCGGAAGGAACGGGTACGGCGCGAAGCTCGCGAACATTTTCAGCACGAAGTTCACGATCGAGTGTTGCGACTGGAAGACGAAGAAGCTGTACTACCAGGAATTTCTGGATAACATGCACACGAAGGGCAAGCCGGACATTCAGAAAATCGGGGTGGATTCCCATCCGAGCAAAACCTCGCACACGATCGTCACGTTCTACCCGGACCTGCAGAAATTCGGGATGAAGAAGCTGGACAAGGACATCGTGGCGCTGTTCGAACGGCGCGTGTACGACATTGCGGGCACGACGAACGAAAAAGTGAAGGTTTATTACAACGACGAGCCCATACCGGTGAAAAGCTTCAAGGACTACGTGGACCTGTATCTGCCCGGCGCCGACGCCGCGTCCGCCGCGTCCTCCGACGAGAGCGGAACCGTGAAGATCTACGAGAAGTGCGGGGAGCGGTGGGAAATCGCTATGTCGATCTCCGACAGCGGGCAGTTTCAGCAAGTGTCGTTTGTCAATTCCATCAACACGCTGAAGGGCGGGACGCACGTGGCGCATGTAACCGACCAGCTGGTGGAGACGATCAGTAAGAAGGTGAACAAGGAGAATAAGTCCGGGATGGACATCAAGCCCGCGCACATCCGGAACCATCTGATGGTCTTTGTGAACAGTCTGATCGAGAACCCGGCGTTCGACTCGCAAACGAAGGAGACCATGAAAACGAACCAGTCCAAGTTCGGGTCTGTGTGTAAAATTTCGAAGAAATTCGACGACCTGGTGCTGAAATCCGGGGTCTGCGACTTGATCATGCAGTGGGCGAAGGCAAAGGAGAAGATCGATTTGGGCCGGCAGGTGAAGGCGAAGAACGTGAAAAGGCTGGTCGGCATTCCGAAGTTGGAGGACGCGAACGACGCGGGCGGGAAGGATTCGGAAGACTGCACGCTCATCCTGACCGAGGGAGACTCCGCGAAAGCGCTCGCGGTCGCCGGGTTGTCGGTGGTGGGCCGGGACAAGTTTGGGGTCTTCCCGCTGAAGGGAAAACCGTTGAACGTGCGAGAAGCGACGCACCAGGCGGTGATGAAGAACGAGGAGATCCTATCCTGAGTGAAAACGTACCCACACCGGAGTCCGGATGGGGATTTTGCAACACAAACCTAGGGGCTTTGTGAGTCACGCATGACAAGTTGCACTCTGCAGTGTAGTTCAGGTTAGCAAGTGCAGCCGCATCACAGATTCATCTGCTCATCCTGTTCACAGCATCACAAATTCCAAAACACGATCGAAAATGGCTCTCATGGGGATGCGCATTACAAGTCTTCCTGTCTTTGCAAATCTGAATTACAGCTCTGGCGTGGGTACGTTTTTACTCAGGATAGATCCAGAACGTGATGAAGATCATCGGGCTGGTATCCTGTGCAAAAGTATCGTAGTCGTACTAATTGCAAAGATGCATGACAAATCTCCTGCCTAAGGTAAAACAGCATTACAAATTCCACTTTTCTTCTTGCCAAAATTTGTATTGCGATTTATACTAGTACGATACTTTTGCAATGCATAGCTGGACATCCGGGACAACGACCGGGCGGACACGAAGGGGTTACGCTACGGCTCCATCATGATCATGGCGGATCAGGATTTCGACGGGTCGCACATCAAGGGCTTGTTTCTCAACTTACTGGAGCACTGGTTTCCGAACCTGCTCAAATTGCCCGGGTTCGTGCGGGAGTTCATCACGCCGATTGTGAAGGTGGAGAAAAGCGGAGTGAAAAAGAGCTTTTTCACCGTGGGGGAGTACGAAGCGTGGAAGCAACTGAACAACAACGGGAAGGGATGGAACATGAAGTATTTTTGGGATAATTCTCATGTTGCTTATTCTGCATGACGCATGTTTTCTACCGTGTACCATGCTATTCTTTTTCTTTCAGCATGACAAGCGTAGTTAAAGTTATGATTGAAGTTCGGAATAAAGTTTGTGACGCTTTGTGTACTACGTCAAAGTGTACTGTAAATTTGCATTGCATATTTGTTTCACACATGATCATCTATCAGGTACTACAAGGGTCTGGGTACGTCCACGTCCAAAGAGGCAAAGGAGTACTTCCGCAACATTGAGGACCATGGCATGACCTTCGACTGGTCCGAGGGCACGGGGGAGGCTTTGGACCTGGCCTTCAACAAGAAGCGCGCGGACGATCGAAAAGACTGGATGATGCAGCACGTCGAGGGGGAGTACGTCGACCACACGCAGCCGTCTGTTTCCTACAAAGACTTCATCGACAAGGAATACGTGCTGTTCTGCAAGTACGACATCTACCGCATGATTCCGAACTTGATGGACGGGTTGAAGCCCTCGCAGCGCAAAGTTCTCTTCTCCTGCTTCAAGCGAAAGTTAACCAAGGACGTCAAAGTCGCCCAATTGTCCGGTTACGTTTCGGAACACGCGGCCTACCACCACGGCGAGGTCTCCCTGCAGGGTACCATCGTGAACATGGCGCAGGACTTCGTCGGGAGCAATAACGTGAATTTGCTGGTCCCCTCCGGTCAGTTCGGTACACGGTTGCAAGGCGGGAAGGACGCGGCGAGTGCGCGTTACATCTTCACGAGGCTCGACCCGGTGGCGCGGAAAATCTACCACCCAGACGACGACGCGCTGTTGGAGTATCAGGACGACGATGGGCAGAAAATTGAGCCGAAAAACTACTATCCGATCATCCCCATGGTTTTGTGCAACGGCGCCGAGGGGATTGGTACCGGGTGGTCAACCTTCGTGCCGAACTACAATCCAAGAGATCTGATCAACTGCGTGAAAGCCTACTTGACAAAAAAACCCTTCCCGAAAAACATCGAACCCTGGTACCGGAATTTCAAGGGCGAGATCCAAATGTCCGAGGAGAAGAAAGCCTACGAGGTAAAGGGCACGATTTTGGTCAGCGGGAACACGGTGACGATTAAGGAACTGCCGATCAAAAAATGGACGCAGGATTACAAGGAGCAACTGCAAAAGATGCTCCCGGCGGCGCAGGACGACGCGAGCAAGGCGCTGATCCAAGACTTCCGGGAGTACCACACAGAATCGACCGTGCACTTCGTCATCACATTGAACGAAGCGCAACTGGAAAAGGCGCAGGACAAGGGATTGATGAACTACTTCCGGTTAACCACCAGCCTTTCCTGCCAGAATCTGGTGCTGTGGTCGCCCGAGGGGAATATCAAACGGTACGAGGAGGCGTTGGACATCGTGAAGGCGTTTTGCCCCGTGCGATTGGAGTATTACCACAAGAGGAAGAAGAACTTGCTGGTGAAATTACGGCGCGAGTGCGAGATTTTGCGACAGAAAGTGCGGTTTATCGAGATGGTCATCGAGGGAAGCCTGATCGTCGCGAAGAAAAAGAAGGATAAACTTCTCGCGGAATTACACGAGAAGGGCTTTTTGACCAAACGGGCGATCAACGCAAAATACTTCGACGAATTCACGTCGCACGGAGTTGCGGAACAGTTAGAAGAGCAGGAGAACGAGGGGCAGGCGGCTGGTGCGGCTGCTGGCGGAGGTCACGGGCAGGGGTACGAGTACCTGCTCAGCATGACGCTCTGGAGCCTTACGCAGGAAAAGGCGGCGGAACTGCGTATTGAAGAATTTATTTGATGTTGAGATTTTGGTCGCTAATACTAATACATAGTAACTTTGCTTGGCTCCACCTCCGTGGATGTGTGCGCTTGGCTTGTTTGTCGTGGTTAAGCATGTATATGATCTTCATCATGTATTTGAGTTAAGCGGGAAGATGCAGAATTTTTTTTCATGCAGTTTGTATCTCAGTTTAAATTTTCATTTTGAATATAGAGTCTTCGTTACTGTACATCATCTTAATTTCCCAACACAACAGGCGGGCAGTTCGAAGAGAAAGAGCGCGAGGTGAACACGCTCGAAAAGACCGCGCCGGAAGAGATCTGGACCCGAGACCTGGACGACCTGGTGAAAACGCTTTCCGAACTCGACGCGAAAGACAAAATCCTGCGGGAAGAGGAGCAGAGGCTCTCCAAAACGAATAAGAAAGGCAAAGCGTTGTCCCGCGAAGACGTCACGAGAAGAAAAAACCTGGCGGCGAAAAGGCGAAAACAGGAAATCAAAAAGGAAGACGTTCCGGATTCGGACTCCGAGGATTCATATCAAATGCAAATATGTCTGGGTCTGGATGAGTGCGCGAGTTTGTCTGTCATGCTGTTTTTGCATGACACAGAAGGTCTATCATGGAAGCCCTAGCATCATAGATTTCGACAAGCTTTCGCAATGCCGAATCCGCATGACAGATCCCCCCATTAGGGGGGACAGGAAATGGCCATCGTTTGCTGTCTATGCAAATGCATGAGAAGATTTGTGGGCGTTGTGAAATGCGCAGCACAAGTTCGCATCCATCCAAACCCAGACATATTTGCAATGCATAATTCACCGAAGAATGCGAAGAGGAAAAAGCTGGACGAGGAAACCATCAAGCAGGTTTTGAAAACGCCGACGAAAGAAGAAACGCAGAGAGAGTACATCGCAAGATTACAGGCAAGGCAGAAGGCCCGGAGAATAGAAGTGCAGAACCAGGGCGCGAGAAGGGATATGGCAAGGGAAAATCCCCCCGCTCCATAGTGAAACTGAAAACGCATCCGTCTGAAAATTTGCGATGCAGATTTGAGACCACAAATCGTGCCTGTCTTGCAGGAAGCCAAGCGCAGGCTCTCCGCTGCGTTATGCAGGCGATTTGTAACGCTGTAAGGACTTCTACAGGGCGGCCGCCTACCATGTTGCTAGGCGCCTGCACCAAAAGGCTCCTACCTAGGCCTGCGATCTGCGTGCAGTTCTCTACTGCAAGACCAAGCTGATTTGTGTACGCAGATCCAGCATCACAGATTTCCTCTTCGATATGGGGACGGGGGATTTTTCCTTTTGATAAGAGAAGCCGCGTTTTTACAGGCGACGCAAACCGCGAACCGACAGTCGGTCAGCGTGAGCGGAGGCGGGGCCGGCGCTGCAAGCTCTTCGGCGGTCATGGGCAATGGGCCCGCGCCGATGGACGTCAGTTGAGATGGTGGGTCTTTCAGATGATGATAGGAACACCTTCTCCTGTGTGAGTGTGGTTATTTGAGAATATAGCGAACCCTTCGGCCATCCACATACTGATGTATTGTATGTGAACGCAAGAAATGCACAGACTGCATGGGTGTATAATGATGGAAGAGCATGATGTCTCGATATAAGTGTTGACTAGAGCTTTATGCACACAGCATTTCATGCGTGTTCCAGCTCCTCCACGTGGTCCCATCGATCTTGCTCTTCAGCACAGTAACGATCCTAACCGTTTAGCTTAGTCGTCTCGTCGTCTTTGCCATCCCGTTCACCAAAGAGAACGAATCAACTTAATCTGAAACCTGACCGATCTACCGATATGAATCAGTAAGAAGCTCTGAACTATTTTGAATGAAACGATGGTGCGAACTCGACCGCTCTCCGTTTATCGATGTGCTCAGAAAAATTCTAACAATAAGAGCGATGCTTTTTGTTTTTAAAAGGTCCAACAAGAACACAATGCAGAATCAGAAGCGCGAAGCGACTCTCGGCCAGTACTGTCAGGTGTCAGGCCGGTACGACGGTACGACGAACACACGAGAATTTCGACGAAGACGGCGGATATTTTGTAACTTCGACGAAAATATTAATATCTGCCCAGGTAAATTAACTCCGTCGTATGAGTATAGTTGCGTCGTATGGGTAAGCTTTTGCAGCCTTCACGCAAAGATGCATGTTTTACTTCTGAGCTGTGGCACCATCGTGATTAGAACTTTGATACCTACCGCATGTGAGCAAAGACATACAACGCTTTGCCGTCCTAGCCTGGTACGACATGTTCTTGCAGGAGAAAACTCTTTTTATGGTTGCAACAAAAAAATCAAATCAGTGCGCAAATTGTTGCTCCGCGCCTACTAATACTACCTCTTCACGTTGATGAAGCTCTGTACCCTTGAACTTCTGCACGGCGCAGACCCGCTGGGTACCGCTCCAGACTGCCTGTGCTTGGTCGCGCGTGCGTGGCGGACATTATCATGGTCGCGACTGCAAGTGCGATCTACCTGATGCCCTTTCTTAATCCGGAGAAGTGTGAAACTCGTCTAGTACTCCCCCGGCTTTCTTCCGTGCGGCCAAGTCCCGGGGCAGCCACCGCAGACATTTTTAGGATTTATTGCGCGGGATATAGAACTTTCTATATTGATATTATTTGTCGGTACGAGCTACGACGTACTTAAGCTCTCTGTTTCTTTTGGGTGTTTTGTTTTTTGCTGCCATAGCCACCTTCCGAATGTATGATCGCTACTGTGATTTTTATGGAAGCGTCAGGTTGGAAATTTTCAAAATGAAAATACTTCGTCGGGCAAAAAAGTGAAATCAGTCCGCGAACCACGAGTCTATCAATTTTGCATGCGAAATTTTGAGGACACCTAAACCCACGGCGTCACTTAATTTGGGGCAAAAAGGACTTTCACTGGCACTGCGTCTTAAGCCCTAGACGGATTTGCAGCTTGTTGATCTGTCACGCCTGTATTGTGACACAGGCCTTGGGTGCCTCGCATTTTATGCAGCTCAAAATAAAAATTTCACAGTGTACGATTTCCAACCTAACGCCTCCATAGTCAAACGAGTCTGTAGCAGTGTTGACATCTCCGAAATCCGACATAATAGCGGTAAGGGGCAGCACCGGAATGGCTGTGAGATCTGTATACTTCCACGCTATCTTGTGCTTATCCGAATATGTTTGTGTTTCCAAACATGAAGCTTATTCAGAGACCGTTGGAGATGGTGGACACCTTCTTGTATTGATTCAGCCTATAAAATGTTGTGTGAATGATATTTGCTGCATATTATTTTCATTTTCTTCTAAAGCACTGCTCCGAGGGACTGGTTCTGGTACTCAAAAAAAGGCATAGGCTCCCCTCGCACTGCTCTCCTGTGCGAGCTCGCTTTTTACCCTTTGCGAGGAGCGGACGCTGCTTTTCTTTAGAAAGTCACTTGAAAGAAACTTTGCTATTTGGTGCAGACGCACTGGTGTCAGTACCATGGCACGGAGTAATCCATCGAATCCGAATAGAGCTATAATTGTGCGAAAATGGTACAAGACATTGCACGAGAAAAAGGTTCTCGTACAACTGGACTGGTTGTTTCTGTGTTCATAGACCGGCCTGGTGCGACGTGAAGGTATGCGAGCGAAAGTAAACAAGATGTCACGGCACCGCGAGGCTCAGTTGGGACTGAGTGCGCATAATGGGCTAGAGTATGTTCGCGGGTGGCTTCATCTCTGGCGGCATGCCAAGAAGTACAAGCGAGGTTCGGTGTTTCTGCCGCAGAGGAATGCAATTGGGTCGAGGGAAGATCAATTAAGTGGCCCTAGAATATCGTTTACTTTTGCGTCTACTTGCAAGCGATGTCCTCCGTGCTGGTAATCGGGCACCGGCGGCTGAGCCGCGTCCGAAAACTCTCCGAAGGCGGCTTCGCGTTTGTGCACGTGGTGCAAGACAGCGGCACGCGCGAGCAGTTCGCGCTCAAGGAGATGGCCTGCGAGACCGAAGAGCAGAAATCTGTCGTCGCAAAGGAGCACCAGTTTTTCACGGAAAAGCTTCTGGCACTTGAGGCAGCAGCGAACAGAAGCACACGTGGAGCACCTAGTATTCCGCCGGGGACGGGCTCGGAGGTGATGCAGAATTTTGTTCGCTTTTTTGGCTTCGCACGGGAGCGTATCGTCTGCAAATATGCCTCGGCTCTGAAATGCACAAGCTTGTTCTGTACATTTTGCCTGGCCATGCATAGGCAGCAGAACTCGGCCACCCATTTATTTTCACCGAAAGAGGGACTCGGACTTTGTCGTGAGAGCTATGGGATGTTGAGAGACCTTGTCAAAACCTGCAGTGGCAGAGCGGTCCGCGACCAATCCGAGACCTATCACGTCGCGGGACGACAGACACGTGACGTGACCCAGGCATATTCACGTCGCGGACGACAGACACATTCAGAAGACCCAGGCATATTTTCATTCGATAGGGTCGACGACTGGAAACGCATGCTTTTTGCTGGAGTTTTGCAGTATCCAAAAGAAAAGTAGGTCCATGCCGGAGGAAATCTTGAGAGGTCTTCTTCTCGTTCTTTCAAGCGCATGCGCTTGGTTTGGTAGTTTTGCGGCACAAAAAATTAGCGATATATCATGCGCGAAAGGGCCGCGGGTCGTACACGCAAAATGGAGATGAACGTAGCGTCGTAAAAGAAGCCGAGAAACTCCAATAAGAGGAAGATCTGCGCTGCGGAACAGACAGAAGCCGCTCGTATTCAGAGAGCTTCAGCGCAGATATTTTCGAAGGCGGCGTGACTGTGCTTTTCCGTGGAATTTGCAGTGATGGGCACTTGCTTGGTTTGCTGGAAAAGTACCCGCGAGGCCGCATGACCGAGCCGCACGTGTGGGGCTGTGCCTTGCAGCTGACCCGGGCCCTATCCGTATCTCTCGCAACACGTCTTTGCCCCATAATTACGACGGGCACTCCCCAGGGAAAAGATCTGAAGAAATGAGAAAAGATCTGTGGAGAGCGGTACACACCACAAAGAAAAAGCCTTGGTCGTTGTAGCTGCGCACGACAAGTCTGGGCTCGCAGTGTGGAAGTCGTTGTTTGTCATCGAATGCCTTTGTTCCCTTTGTTTTCATGATGATAGCATGACAGGACCTGCAAAGCGCGTTTGAGTTTGTGGCTTCGGTCGGTTTAGCGTGGCAAATTCCAAAGCGCGACTGCTAGAAAACGCCTCTAATGTTCTTGCGGCTGTGCAGGGGAAACATCCGGAGTGCGCGGCGAAATGTGGGATGGGGACAAATTTCCTTAGGACAATCGCACTTGCATAGTTTGAAAATCCAGCATCGCGATTTGAAAATCGAGAATGTGCTTGTGGCCTCGGCTGCACCCTCAGCAGCCACCCAAGCGGCGTTATCAAACGATGAAGATGCCCCACCCATACAACTCAAAAGCCAGCAATCCTGCGGTATTTATTCGTAGACACAATGAAGAGTTTTGCTTGACGGGTATCAAGTGGATTGTAGTTTGTGATGGATGCGACGGACAGTGGTAGTCTTCTGTGGGAGCTACTTACTGCCGAGACTGGAGTGCAAACACAAATTGCCGAGACTGGAGTGCGACACAGCGCCCTGGCGTTTCTGTTTTGCAATTCGGAGTAGATTTTGTTCTAGCAAGAAAGCCGGTGCTGCGAGACGACTGTAAAGGAGGGTCTGTCCTCATCGTGATACACATTTTTTGGGGGCGTGTATTGCATTGTAAAATCCCACGTCTCGTTCCTGCATACTCAAAGCTAGGTGTCGGTCCTCTGATGCTGGATTTGCGACTGGAAAATCTTTTGCTGGAAGAGGGGATTGCAGGCATATAGATATATGACTCTAGTAGGCCCTCAGAGGTATGCAGCAGGACTGTATCTTCTATTTTGGTCTTGCCATCGCTGAGCATTGCGAAAAGGAGAAAGACCGCAAAGCGAACGAGTAAAGTATCCGCGTTCCCATGATGCAAAACGAAGGCATTTGCCGACGCGAAGTCAGCGACGCACCTGAGCAGGCACGCTTTTGAGTCTGGGGGGATTTATTTTGCTCTTGATACAATGGTGCTGAAACTCTGCGACTTCGGCTCTTGGTCAGACGAAGAAATCGCGGATCCGGGTACCACGCTGAGCAAGCAGCGGCTGGCTCAGCTCGAAGACGAAATCGCTCGCACGACCACGCTGAGCTACCGGCCACTATCAAATGTAAAAATGTTTGGGTCTGGGAGAATGCAACTTGTCATGCTAAATCTGAAGCATGCAAAAATCTGTGTTGCGTGATAGATTACCAAAAGTCGTCCAGTTTTGACCAAGTCGCGAGGGAGTGTCTCATGCAGGATAGGCATGAGAGAGATCGCGCGGAATCTGTCATGCTAGGTCCTGCATTCCAGACCTCATGGGTCATGGAAAAGCTGCATGACAAATCGCGCACTCTTCCAGACCCAGACATTTTTGCATTTGATAGCCACCGGAGTTGATCGATCTACACCGGGGCTGGCCCATCTCCACGCAGGTGGATCTGTGGGATCTGGGCTGCGTTCTGTTTATGCTGTGCTTTGGGTTTCACCCGTTCCAGGACCAGAGCTCACTCGCTATTGTGGGCGCCAAGTACCTATGCATTGCAAAACTATCGTACTAGTATAACTCGCATTACAAATTTTTCCAGAAGGAAAAATGGAATTTGTAATGCTGATTTTGCTAAGAAACATGCATGATTGCAATTAGTACGACTACGATACTTTTGCACAGGATAGTACCGCACGCCGAGCGGGGAAGTTTCCGACCCACTGGAAGTCGCCGTGCACGCTCTGTTTGCCGTTGACCCACGGGAACGGGTCGGCACCGCGGCCTTCTTGAACTTCTTGCAGACGGGGGTGCCTATTCTAGAGAAAAGGACGCAGCACCTCCCATGTACCTCCATGTATGTTGGGAAAAGAACTCGTTTTTTGAGCATCACAAAATGAAAGACAAGCGCGGCAGCTTCTTTTCGTCCAGCACCCTTCTGGTGATGTTGGGTTTGTGATGTTGGGTTTCGCGCATTAATAATACACGTTGTGCTTTGTATGACAAGAGCCGTCTCCATAGTTGTTTGTGCTGGCGCCATTTTGGTGACGCAATCTTCTTCGCATTCTGGTACTAGGAGGATGTGAATGAGCTTTTCTTTGTGATAACGCGTGAGCAGTTCCAAGATCATGTTCCGGAGGCGGAACGCACCGCGCTTTTATCCCAGGGAAAGAAAGCTCGCAGGGATACTTATTTACAACTCAAAGATATTTTACACAAAAAGTTAAAGTTTTGCATAGCCGTCGAAACGCCATGCTATGACCTGGTGCTCATGAGAGGTTCTCTTTGTGCCTATTTCTTTGTTTTTGCATTACATCAGATGATATGGGGGGGGTTCCTGCCAGTTTTTTGTTTTTCTCTGGGATAGTTTCCGTACCCTCAGCAAGCACGTTCCCACCCTCTCATAGTCAAGATGGAAAGTACATGAATCAACAAGGTTTGGTAGTTGTTCTGCATCACAAGTTTCTTGGGCTCGCTAAGTAGTGCCGTTGCGTCGCAAGTGGAATATCGCATCCTGATTATAGCCCGACGAATTCTATTAAAAAAACGCGGAAAATTATGCCTCTCATAGGGCAGCCGCAGCGCGCATGAGTAACATCTCAGACATGCTTAGATGTGCTGCGTGACAAATATGGAGCGTGGGCCCCGCTTTTACACAGGATATTTCGCTTCCCGCAACGACCGTACTCCGCCTACAGCGCGAGGCCAAGCTTTACGGCGCCAGGGTGCCTGCTTGTGTTCTGCAACGAACTACTTCTGCGGATCGCCGCGGTCAAGATCTTTCGACGGGCACGCGCGACACTGCGGCCCCGCGAGATACGACTGCAGGAGCAGCAGTGGAACAAGGAAGCGGCCTAACTTCGGCGAAAAAGCAGACCGCGCAGCGGATAAATGTCGCCGAGGCTGGTGTGGACCACACAGCGGCACAGCAAGACGACGCACGGAGGCGGAACGACTGGCGGGCGCGCCGTCGCGGCGAGCGCGTCACGTTTGCCGAGGACGCCGCCGGGGGTAGGCAAGCGGGTACTACCTACCTCCACGAGGAGGCGCTCTTGTCCGAAAAGTCGAAAGATGGCCATGCAGCCCAAAACGCATCAAATCTACTTACCCCGGAACAAGATGGTGAACAAAGGTTGCGCGACTCTGTCAGAGAGGCAACAAGAAGAAGTGGGGGCACAACGGGAAAGAATGACGCTGAGATCCGCCAGGCCGCATCTGCGGTGCCCGAGGAGCCAGAGTTTTTTGGTGCCGCATGGGGGCCTCGCGAATCTGAGGAGGAAGAAGATTGGTTTGCCGATCGTAGTACAAGGGAAGAAGAGAACGGAGGTAGAGTATCTTGAGGAAAATCGCCCTGCTCACCCCATAAATTAGTTGTCATGCAAATTTTCATGACCAAGCCAAAACTGTTTCTCGGGCGCGCCCTCCGGGGCGGTCATTCTGCGCCTCTGGCGCTGGTGTGAGTGCCCACTTCATGATGACGATGCTGTTTCGCAGCTCCAAGAGGAGCGCTCCTCTCGGATGCTATCTTCTGAGGACATTGTCAATAAGTATTTTCGAATCAGCATATAGAAATTCGGTTTGTGAAGATGCGACTGCACCAGCTGGGCACGACTACAACCGAGACCAGAAGTTACTTATTATGTGCAACAGCGAGCAATCTTGTAGGCTTGTGCAACATCTTTAAGCCTGCCATCGTGGCCTTTGAGTGTGGGCGTTTTTGCTGAGGATTTAGGGGACCCGTCCGCGCCGCGCCCCAAGGGGATGTCGACGCCGAGGTAGAGGATTTTTTTGCCGAGGATCACAACGAAAAGGAATCGCCAGCTGAAGATTTTTTCGCAGATTTTTCCGAAGGACAGACGACCGCGAACTGGTTCCCAGACTTCTCTGAAGCGGAGTCTGCGCCGGACCAACAGTTCGCGGAACAGCATGGAAAGAAGACAAGCAAAGCCAAGAAGCTCAAGAAGCGAGACAACAAGACTGAGGACACCAGAAAAAAGCCGACCACGCCGGCCCCACATCTCGTAGGAGATAGCAGTGTCGACGGGGGCAAGCAGAAGTACAACACGACGCAGTTGCCTACTGAAAATGGAGTTTTCAAAAATGATATGGCAAATCATAGCGGAGAAAATGATCAAGATCATCAACACCAGGTAGATTACACCGGTAGTGCCTCGTCTCGACCAGCAACGTTTCCCGGGGCAGGTCCGGTGCAGTCGCGTGCTCCGCAACATCTTCCCAGCGGCAGTTGCGGTTTTGGTACAAACTTCTACTTTGTGCCAGACCCCGCCACTGTTCCTCCGGGTCGTTCTTTTCCACTGGGAGGACCCATGCCCGTGGGAGGAGGACCCACGCAGCTCTTCAGCACTGAGACCCTCGCGCATCATGGAAGAGCAGCAGCCTACGTACCAGGTCCACCAGGTAGTACGGCGGGTGCAAGCGGTCTATTTGTGATGTCCAACTTCTTACATCACTCAGCGCCGGTGCGGAGCGGACAAAATTTGATGTACGACCCTGCTAGTGCTGGTTTTTCTCCGCAGCTGGCACCTGGGGTCGCACTGCACCCGCAATTCTACCAGCATCCACCTCCGCCATCCAGCATCTCTCCGCATGCTGTGCACAACTTGGATGCGGCGTTGGGCCGTCACTCTGGTTCTACGGGAACCGACAGCAAGAACCGCCATGGTGCTCGTCTGCCGTTTGTGCAGGGATTCGGGACGACAGCTGTGGAGTCCTTCTCGCCGACAAATTTCGGCATCGGAGATGCGGGGAGTGGCATCGTGTCGGAGGGAGTCACTCAGTTGGCACACAAAGTCCGCCAGCAGCTCCAGCGGAACGAGTATCCATTGCAAAATATGTCGCTGGTCTGGGAGGTCTAGGAACCGATAATGCGACATAACGGTTGATGAATGATGACAGGTGGAAAATCAGCTGCGAGTGCTGCAGCCAAGCATGGGACAAGTTTCTATAGCGCTTTGTGAAGCCTAGCACGCGATGAAACTGGAATTACAAGCTGCGTTTTTGTTGCTCATCGACACGACAGATTTTGCAGGACTGCAAGCCAAGCATGGCAAGTTTTACTACTATAATTCAGCACCAGGCTCGGACATATTTGCAGTGGATAAGGTGGACTGTCTTGCAAGAGCACGAGACCGGGAGCCGAGGTCGTCACTTCCGCACACTGCCACACAGGATTTGCAGGAAAAAATGAGCCCTCGCGTCCTTGATATCCTGACCAAAAACGTACTTAGTTTACTACCCATCCCACAGACGTGCCCTGCGAATCGGGCAAATATAATGCGGTGGACATTTTATGATGTGGCGGTTCCCATGCGCGATGTTTCCTGTCGTGGAGTTTGGGAAGAAGTTCTTCGATTTTTTCATCAGGATAAGCGAATCAATAGGTCTCTACTCATGCGGTCGCGCTGACAAAGTAGGTGCGTGCCAGACTCCCAATTTTGCTTGGTTTGTGTAGCAGAAGCAGATTCATCTCGTCCATCTTGAGTATGGGGTGGGTACGTTTTTGCGCGGGGTATTTGAAGATAGCGGCTCTTCATCTTTCCGCACTGATGCGTGGCAACTTCAGTGCCATTCCTCCGCGAATCTGAGCCCCGAGATTCGGCGCCGGCGGAGGCGAGCAATGTCAGCTGGAGAAGCTGCCACCATCACCAACCTTGGAGAAGGCGCCTCGCGGACGCTAGACGGAAAAGGCATCGTTGGGGCGAACGGTGGTGCCTTCGATGATTCGATCTCTCGCCGGACAGATGGCCGCGGTCAGAACCCTTTTGGTCGCGCCAGCTACGAAGAGTCGGGCCGCTTGCCTATGACTTTTGCTGCGCCGCCGGCCGCCAGCGGGGGAGACGCGTGGAGTGTACCTGTGCGCGAGGCGATGCATGTGCCTTTACTAGGAATCGCCGCATCGAAGCCCGACCCTATCCGAAGAAAAGTTCTTTTCTTCACCCAAACGCATTTGGACGAATATACTGGTACTACAAACAGTAGATCGATGCATGCAGTAGAGGTGGCGGCGGTGAGTAGTGTTCTCTATGATTTCTTGGATCGCCACACCAAGTACTGGTGTCGCTTGTGGAAGATGGTAATGATGCAATTTCGTGGCTCGCTCTTGGGTCCTGCTAGCGGCGCAGTGCGCTCCTCAATCACTGAGTGCATTGTATGTTGTGCTAGAAAGTAGCAGTTTCGGAAGGCTGTGTTGCCTTTGTCCTTTGCCTGCTGTGACGTACGTGCTCAGTACTTTATACACCGCCGTCACAAATTTGATTGGGCGAAGCAGCAGTTTGCAATGATAAGTCCCTGGGCACCGGGAATGCGCGATCCGTGGCGCGAGAACTTACAAGAGTCAAAAGCTTGAGATTGTGTGCATCACAAGTGAATATAGATGGGTCTGCTGATGGGTACAGTGAGGAAGCTCTAACATCACGCAGGCAACAGACAGTATGTCAATTTACCGCGGCAACATCACTCTGGCTGGCTTGCTCCACACAGAAAATTCGCAGGGTTTTGTTGCAGTGTCTACTGCTGCAGCACCAGCTACAGTAGATAATGGAAAAATACTTACGCAGAAGATGTCGCAAGAAGTGATGCAAAGTCAGCTGTCGCAATTATTTCTTTGCGACTAGATTATACGTCGAGCTAGGCGACGGGCGCTGCTATTGGCATCCTCGTTCTTCGGTACGCTTAATTGGAAGTGTAGTCCTGTTTTGCTTTCACAGAATGCAACTGTCGGTGGGACATGGACAACCCAGTTGGCTCCACGCCGTGGGCTCTGAGAAGCCGGTCCTTGTTTTTTGAGGCACCAAAAAGAAAAAAGTCAAAGGCAAAGCTTTGTCGAGCCCTCAGAGCTTCTATCAACGAGGACGAGGGACCATCAAACCAAGGAGAAGGATCAGATTTATTCCTGATCGGAGATATCTCGTGATTGTTTCTACCTAGGAAAAAAGCAAATGGTATTTTTTCTTTTTCTCAGATCGCATGTCTTGTGATTTTTTTGATCTTGCAGGAAAAACTACTTCGTTCTTGCTGTAGCTGGCTACTGGATCTTTCTTCATCCGTTCTTGCTTGCAAAACTTTGCGCGAGATACCACGACGTTTTTTTGGAGTGTAGTGCTGCACGACGTATTTTTTTTCTTATTGAAAGACGCCCGCAAGTAGAAAAAGAATCGGAACCCCATTACACAACTCAAGAAGGAGGTCTCCCAGTACACAACTCACGAAGGTTTCAGTACCCCCGGTTAAGTAGGTAGGCCCTGGTGACATCGGCAGCGTAGTCGCATTTCATAGATAGCACAGGAACTGCAACATGACGCAGCTGCTTTCTTGATTGCAATCGGAGGGTGAAGTGGACGTGATGGGACACTCCTCTGGCCACTTTTGGAAGGGGAGTACGACTGCGGGTTCGGTCGTTCATATAGAAGCCGAAGATGACAATAAATTCGCATCACATCTTCACAGACGCATGATTCATCCCGCAAACACCGGTTGGCCTTCCTGGAGGTAGTCCATGTACTAAAAGAGTAATTGTTCATCACATCTATTATCATCGTTTGTCAGACGGCTCAGACAAGTCTGATCAAGATGGATCTCTTTGTGAACAAAATGCTTGCCGATTTTCGGCAAGTGAAGCAGAAAATGGTGGATAAACCGCTGGAGGACCTGAAGAAAACGGAGGAGAACATGAAGCAGAAGATTCTCGAGGCTCTGTTTGAAGACTCGCCGTCGCGCACGAGCAGCAGCAGCAGCAGCTCGAGACAAGGAAGGGAAGGTGGCACTGCTGGTGGGCAGCACTACTACAATGCCTCCGTCGGAGGTACAAGCCACGAGCAGGACCGGGGTGCCAGCCGCTTCCCCGGGCCGCACTTGAGAGGACCGGGCACCACGCAGGGCGAAAGCCACATGAAGCACGATGCGTCCTCCTTACCGCCCGGCTTCGCTTCCGAAGATTCCTCCGACAATGAACGGAGTAGTTTTGCGGCGCTTTCTAGGCTCGGCCCGGAGGGGGCCAAGGCCAATCTGCTGAAGAATCGCTTTGGGGTACTCCGGGTGAAGTTAAAGGACGGCGCTACGGTGCAGGGGCTGCAGTTTTCCGAGCTTGTCAGCGACGTCAGCCTGTTATCAATTGCAAATGTGTCTGGTGGGTCTGGAAGAATGCGCGCGTTTGCCATGCATCCTGTGGACCACGACGCAGATGGTCTGCAATGTTGCAATGTTGCGCGCAGATGAAGCATACCTACATAGTGGCAACTTTTTTGGCGCTGTTCCTGCTGCGGCACAGATACAATTTCATTTCTGTGACCGAGACTCAGTATGACAAGTTGCAGCTTCACTCCAGATCTAGACTCATCAATGTTCGGCAGTGCATACCTATGGCACGAGGAGACGGAGCTGGTGTCGGTCCGCATCCATGGGGGCCACGAAGCGAGTAACAGCACGAAGCCGGTCCGGCAAGCGGATCCGGACTTGGAAGCGTGGCTCCTCCTGCCCCAGAACCTCAATCTTTTCACGACGGACATTGTGTTTAAGCTCTACGATGGTGTGTGTAAGCGGTGGCGCGCTGGCTTCGAGGAAGCCGCCGTTATCGGTTACTGTGTCATTCCGCTTTCCGAGCTCTTCTCCGACTATGAACTCTTGGATACGACGAGTACTAGCAGCTCTACTTCAAGTAGTGCCACCAGCTCCGGCGCTGCGGATCGCGAACTGGCTTCCGAGGACCAGAACGAGGAAATAAAGCGGGACGGTTCGGAAGGTTTGGTTCAGCACCGCCAGCACTTCCCGCCCGTCGAGTCAGATATGTTTTCAGGTGAGAAGGAGCCGGCTTCGTCTGTAGTAGAGAAGGCGAAACCCAAGTTGGTTTCCTCGTCGGGAGCTGCTTCTGCCCGCGTCAAGATGGATGCGCGAGGGAATGCCCTGCCCCCGCTGCGTTGGCGCGACTTTCTGACCGGACTGGAACCCCCGCAGGAGCTGATAGAAAGAAGCGCCGCCCGCCCCGTGAGCACAGGAGTAGAGGCTGTTGTTGCAGCTTCTTCGGCGCGCAAGGGGTTTCATTTCTTTCTCGACGACGAGGTGGAGTTCCCGGAAAGACAAAGTACAACAGGCAGCCCTGGGCGGGCCGTCTCAGGAGCAGACCAGAGCCTCACCTCGCTTGTTCCTACTGCCGCAGTAGAACGACCGACGTCGGTTGCTGCGGAAACTACTATACGAAAAATATTAAAGTGGTTGTGCTCCCCCGCATTCTTGGAGAAGTTCGGAAGGCAGTTGCGTCTTTTCCGCCGAGTGCTATTGTACTGCAAGCTGTGGGCGTGGTACTTTTTCTGCGTCTACTGCTATGCGCGGGGTTGCTACTATGCGCGAAAGCTGTACTCCTTCCGAGAGAGCGTCGTGTATCAGAAGACGCGGCACATCGTGCAGCATACTTTTTTTCGGCGGGATTTCTTTGTGGAGGACAAAATCTTCCGCATCCTGCCGGCGTCCCTGCTGAAAATCGAGGACGCGCGGTTTCCCTCGAAGCTCGTACCGGTGCGGGAGCAGGATCTCAGCCGGGACGCACGCAAAAAGCTGCGGGCCGTCGTCTCGTCGCGCGCGGAAAGGGAAATGCCCCAGGGTTCTCGAAGGGGTGGGCCTCCAGGGGCGCCGGCGATAGGTCCGGGGAACGAGGGTGGCACGACCATAGATGGACGCAGTGGGAGGAGAAGTCCCAGAGTGATGACTGGACGTCGCGCTGCAAAAATGGATGATCCGCCGGAAGGAGAGGTCGAGCAACGATCCGCAACAGGAGCAGTTGTGCAGCCAGCAGACTACGAATCATCCTCCGGAGGGAACAAGATGAACGCGCCGCGAATGAAGCCTGCCAACTTTTTGGAAACCCTGTTTGGTAGGTCCGCTGCGAAACCCGCGGCCGAACCTGCGGTGACAACGGTGCTTGGCCACCTCGTAGTGGATTTCACGGTGTCGCTGCGGTGCAGCCCCCTGCAGATAGCGACGACCGGAAAGATGTACATGCAGCAGGGAAGCGACGTCCTAGACGCCGTGGAAGCCGTAGCGGAGTTGGTGGCTCCGAAGCTGCTGCACAAGAACTCCTCAACAAAGGCGAGCGATGCGCCCGCTCTTATTTCGCCTGAAGCGGTCTTCACTGCCGGTGCCGAAGTTCATCCGGACGGTGGAACAAAAATGCGGGGATTTTTTCCATCCGGAACAAGCGCAAACAACGACGACTCGTTAATGGCGCAGCCGGTATTAACTACGGACCCGGCTGCTCGTGAGGCGCAGGAGCGCGACCACTTGGCAAACTTGGGCGGCCGCGAGGGCGTAAATGACAAAGAGGCTGACGATAAGAACAAGTTTCTGGTGGAAGTAGATGTGGAAAGCGAAGAGAGCAGAGCACTATTGTCGAGCTCGAAAGTAGGCGGGTCGAAGATTGAAAGTGCGTCGTTGTCCTCGGCCGTTGTGCCCAAAGGAGAGCCGATCAAGAAGAATTATGCAGGAGAACAGCGTGATGAGGATCAGAAAAGAAGACAGAACAGCACTTCTGCCCGGGAAGTAGATCATGGCAAGAAAGCAAGTTGTGAAGATGTTGACGAGGATAGTATACAGGAGGAGCTGCACCACTCGGAGCGGCTGCTCGACTTGCAGTCTACGAAGGCACTGTACGAGCACGCACATTTCCACACCGTCGGAGAAAACCTACAGGATCTGGCAAGCAAGCCGTCGGCCTTGCAGCTGAGCCGCGAGATCTCCAACACCGCCTTAGACCAGTTTCGGGATCAAGTTTGGCCGGATAGCGTGGGTTCCAAGTCCAGCCTGGCTGGCTACGAGCTCGAGGAGGTGGACGAGGATAGTAACATCAGTGCTCCCCTACCAGGACAACAAGAATTGCCCGGCCCTCTTTCGCCTAGAAGTACAACGCCGGATGGTGTTGAGGACGGGCCGCGGAAGATATTAAACAAAAATCTCCTGGAGAATTTGAAGCTTACAACCAATGAGTTTTTCAAGGGCGCCGGCGAGATGCTGAAGCAAAAACTCGCGCAGAACGCAGGCAGTCAGAGGCTAGTTGCACAAGAAGAAGTGGCCACGGAGGAGGTGGGAGAAGGTAGTGAAGAAGCGCCAAATTACCCGCAGCCGGATGGGGAGGACAGGTGGACAGATGACAAGACTCCAGCAGAGGACGCAAAAAAGAAGAAACAGTTCAAACTGCGCACCACTGTCGATCAGGAGCGAGAGATGAACCAGGGAGCGGTGCGTGATCGAACGCCGTCCGCCCACGGGTTGGCAACGTTACGATTTCCGAGCACGCAGGTTGTGATCGCACAGAGTTCATCGTCGAATCTGCAACACAGCCTCGACGAGAGCCATTCCTTCCTTGGTTTGCGCGCAGTGGAGTCTGTCGAGCGGCAGTTTTCTACTAGCGGCAGCCACACGACGGAAGATTTGGTAACACGCCGAGAACACGACGTGCGGCGGGAAAGCCTGCAGGTGCTCCAGCGGTCGCAGTCCCGAGAAGACGATATTGCGGCGCTGCGACTGCCGGCAGGGACGAGCACGACCTTTCGCGACTGCCGGCAGATGAGCCAGCCCTTCGGGACGAACAAGGGTGGAGCGAGTTCTTTGGTGGCCGGGGAGGAAGAGTTTCTGTATCCTGCAGGAAACAACTACATCTTCAGTGGCCACTCATTAAGCAAGACGTCGGAGTTGCTGGAAAGCAGCCGAGGACCCTCGCCGAAGCAGGGTGCCAGAACAGACGACGAAACTGGGCCGCGACAGGAGGCGGTGCAAGCACAAGCAGCGTCAGCCTGTCAGCCAAGCCGTCGAGGACTTTTGCACGGAGTGGACACGACCCGGCTGGGTGGGGTTTTCGCCGATCCAGACGGGGACACCGTGGGCGAAGTAGACGGAGCAAGGAACCGCGTGCTGTGTCGCCGAGGCGAGGAGGCAACTTTCCGCATTCACCAGGATTTGCTCCTCAATTTGTTGAAGGTTGCCAGCAACGAGCGTTCTACGCAATCGCAAAGGAACCAATTTATCACCTCCAGCAACTACGTCGGAAGTACGGAAACCACATCCGGTTGTGCCGGAAGAGCTGAAGTCGTCCACAATGAGCACTCGAATTCTTTTTTCGACGGCTTGAGACGACGAATAAAAAATTCGTCGACGAGAGAAGGAAAGAAAAAAGAAAATGAAGCAGCGGCAAAATCGAGGAGCGAAACAGCCGGAACCAGCAACAGGAAGAACGCAACGGCAAAAGCAATTTCGACTGAACAAAAAACTAGTTTCGGCTCGGAAGATCCGACCGGTGGAGCAAGCCAATCCCAGGCCGTGGAGGAAACTAGTAGTCTTGTGACCAGCGCCCTGGACCAGCACTTGCCAGCGCTAGTGCGGAGTTTGTTCCCGCCAGCAAAAATCGCATCGGCGACAGAGCAGCAGCAGCTTTTCTTCCAATCACCACTCGAGCAGCCTGTCGTGATGAGCCCCACGGTGGAGGTTGCTGTGGGACCAAAAGGAAAAGGACCACGCACGTCGCCCCGCACTGCAGGCACAACGACGTTGAAGCACGTGCCTTCCATCACCGGGGACGAGCAGCGCCTCCTGGCTTTTGGGGATCACCTGCAGAAATTGAGGTTCGAATATCGAGTATTTCTACCACAGTGGACGGCGTTTTTGAAGCTCCACGAGGCTGCGACGGGTGCTGCTGGTGCTAGTGCTGGAACGACGCAGCATTCGCGGGAAAAACCGCCACGGCAGAAGAACGTGCTCGATAGGCAGAAGTACGATATTGAAGCTTCGGGCAAACGCATCGTGGTGGGCTTCGAGCGCATCGGCCAAGTGGTCGCGGATTGGCCGAGCCTGCCGCAGAGCAGTTTTGGGAACCTTGTGGGGGCCTACGTCACCTTTGCGTTCCCGAGTTGGTCTTTTCCGCTTGTCTTCCTCGCCGCCTGCCTGCGCGAGGGCTACAAAAACGGCCGGCAGCAGCGGGCGAAGGTTTATCTGCACGAGCAGGAGCTAGTGGCCAGAGTTGTAGCGGATTTGGAGATATCGAATGCAAGTATAATATGTCTGGGTCCTGCTCCTGCTCTGGATGGAAGCATGCAAACTTGCGATGCAGATCCTGGAGTACGCAAACCAAAGACTTGTGTTGCATGGTTGACCGCCAAAAGGTTTCTATTTTCTGCTGTACAGGTAGGGCGTTTCTTGTGGGGGACAGGCATCATTCAAGAGGGCTGTTCAAAATCTGATCCAGTTTGGAATGACAAAAACGCGCAATCTACGCTCAGAACACCAGACAGATTTATTTTCAGCTGATAGGAGCAGGAACAGCAGGAGCTGGAACTGCAAGAATATTCGGCCGATGGCGACATCGAGTCCAGCGCGGCGGGAGCAGGCTGCATCGGTCGTGAGAGACAGCAGCGCACGAAGGTGAGGCGGCGCCCCGGCAGTTTGAACAAAGCGGGCCCACCTAAAGCCGCCACCTCCAAAGTGCAGCAACTGGCAGCGGCCGACGAAGAAACGTCAAGCATCTTCGTGAAAATGCGGGAAATTGTGTTTGGCTTGCACAAGTTTTCGCAAAACGTAGAGAACATTGCTTCGTTCATGGAAAAAACTCGATACTGGATGTTTTTCGACGACAAACTCATCTCCCTGATCCTTTTCTCCGGGCTGAGCTGTGGCATGATTTTTCTCGCTGTGGTGCTCTACTGCAATCAGTTTGAGCACCTGCTTCGGCTGGGGTTCGGCTTCATTTTTGTAAAGCGAGCGTATTTCGATGACGAAATGCCACCAATTTTCTATTTTATCCCTGATAACAAGGAGCAGGAGCATCGGAGGCTCTACCGCAAGTACTGTTGACAGGACTTGCCGCTTTCAACGAAGACTCAATTTTTTTTAGCTCCTATCCTTATTATGAACCGTTCCTGTCCACCGGGAACAATTACAATTCCCACAAAACAGAAGCAAAAATCTACCTGTATTGGAATCGATTTTCCCACCCACATAGCCAGGAGCGCTCTCCGAAACTCGAATTTCGGAAAGGGGCGGGCATTTCCCTCTCCGAGTTTACGAATTGAGGTGAAAAGGGTTGCTGTGCCGCTGAGTTCTAGCGGCCGCATGCTTGTTGCACACTTCGATCGTTGCGCACTGTGATGTTTCATAACTACGCTGCGAGTTGCCCTTGCCGCCACGAATATGTACCGTTCGGAACGAAGAAGGGCGAGTATGATGATCGGACAGAAGCCCCTTGCAAGGCTGGCAATGGTCCTTCTGAAGCCTTGAGATCCGCTTCCATATCGTTTTTATATATCGTGTTGCATAATAAATTCCGCAGCCATAATTTTGGCTCGAACAACAGCGTCGCGTGTGTATTTTTAACACAGTCGAACTTGGAACTCCCTCGAAGTGTGTCTAAATCGAAAGTAAGTAGTAGACACAGGACTAAACAAATAGATGCGCGTTCTTTTTTGTTACGTTGGCATTCTGCGCACACTCCAGTACACATGGCAGAGTTTTGTGTCCGAAATTCTGCTGCCAAACCTGTTGGATGGGGTGGACCTGGACCTGAGCATCCACATTCCGCTCGGTAAGCAGTTTGGGCGGCACGCCGAGTACGAACGAAGTGACCAGAACCAGGCGGACAACAGCAAGACCGCCAAGATGCTGAACACCTCCAGTACTCCTGCGACTGGAGATAGTGATAACATTGAAACTCCTGCAGCTACTTCGAAGGAAAAGCTGAGGACTGTAAGTGAAGATTCCGCCATGGAAACGCTGGCCCCGTTTTTGAACATTTTAGAGATGGTAAACGAGTTTTTTCACCACTCTCCTCCAGCAGATGAGGAAAGCGGTCCTACTCCCCATAGTGATCGCTGGTCGCAGCAAGCAGCTGCAGCTCGGGCAGCATACTACGACAGGCGAGGCGTAAAGAGCAGACGACCAGGTCGAGTAACGATCACCAACCTCGATCTGTACGAGGAAACCCCCTACCCCCATGACGAACAAAGGATGTGCAAGAGTCGCCCGGATCGCTACTTAAGCGCAGAGAAGTGCCAGGCCATGTTCGACGAGGTTGGTTACCGCTTCCACTACCAGCAGAACTCCTGGAAGCGATGCTGGGACTTTAGCGCAGACCACATCAAGAAAAAGTTTGCGGAGCAGAGGAAGAGAACAGAAGCTCTTGTTGATGCCAGCACGACGCCCTTTGAACACAGGAGCGACCACTCGGTAGCTAGTGGAGATCCATCAACCGCCGCAACAAGACATGGACAGGAAAAAAAGATAGACGGAAATGCAGGCACGAATGGCACCTCGTCTGATGATCGCATGTATGACGCCGGAAACAGCACCAGTAGACCTCCTTCCCATCTTCGAAGCTTCGACAAGTTTTTTCACAATTTTTATCAATTTGTGATGAAGGTGCGGCCCGATACTTTTTTCTTTCCGCGCACTCGAGTTCTGCGCGAGGAGAAGCTGGAACCAAGAGTGTCGCTCAGCACCACCCCGATTGAGGCAAAAAGATGGCTGCATCTCGACAAAATTCACGACAGGGGGATCCGGGGCGGCTTCGAGAAGCAAAAGAAAGACGAGGTGGAGAAAACAAGCACAGCGTCGGCCAGCGGACGACACAGCTCGACACCACAGCTCGGAGAGGGGGATAGAACCGACGGCAATTCTGGCGATCCTCGGCGTGCCGCGGTTCTACCGCCAGATGATTTTGTCGGAGCTCACCATGGATACGCTGCGCTTTCGCATTCGCAAACGGAGATAGACTATTTGAACGAGCCAGATGCGTGGCTGTTGCAGGCCGTTCTGGACGAGGTGAGTAAGCGAGCGGACACGACTGGCACCCAAGGTCGTGAACAAGGGCCCACAGAAGCGGGATCCATAATACCAGCCCCCGTGTCGCAAGGCCACGATTCATCCTCGTTGTCCACCGACGCAGCTGGAGAAGGGGATGAAGCAGGAGTTCTTCTGCAAGCGCCGCCAAGTAAGGGCAACAGCGGTGGTCTTCTCGGCGCGTTCAGCTCCTGGTGGTCTACTACCTCCAGCACGACGGCGCGCGAAGGTCATGATGAATCCGCTTCGTCAACATCAGCAAACATGCTCTCGGCGCCGTCCTCCGCATCAAATAAAGCAGAACAAGAGGTAGAGGTCCACGCCCATCAAGTTGTGATGCAAGAAACAGAAAAGAAAGATAAAGACACAAGGACCGGTGTATTAGAAGCCAGCAGTAAAAAAGCCGCAGCTGCAGCACGTCGAGAGAGCGATCCTATGGTGGGGACGAATCAGCATCATGGGAGCAGCTCCTCCGCCGCTGCTGCTTCCGAGTTTTTTGTCGCAAAGTTTCGCGAAGACGTAGATCGAGACCGTTTTTTGTTTTTCCGCGACTTGTGGAACGACGAGCGTTACAAGGATTCGGACTTTTTGCCTCTACTCGAAGACACACTGCTGAAACATGGCGGAGACGCCGTTTTGCTGTTCAAATGGGGCACGAACGTGGCCCAGTTCATTTTGCGGGGCATGGTGAGCAAGTTCGCGAAGTGGTGGGAAACCACGCTGGGGTCGCAGCACGTGACCAGTTATTTGTCGCACCACTGTCGCCTCGGCTTTGTGATGCGTTCGGCTGCAGCTCCGGATCGGCAGGACAGCGACAGCGCTGGTGGCGAGGCTGGGACGACAGACTCGCACCAGAAGAACCTCGCCAAGCTGGCCGATGTAGCGTTTGGCTCGGATGTCATGGCCACCGACTACACTCCCGCGCCGGTGAATATGACGACGCAGCAACTTGCCTCGCCCGGCCACCTGCAGCAACACTTGCTGGACTGCCATCACAGCCACCAGGGGGCCATCTTGCCTCCCTGGTTCCGGCAATCCATTTACGAGCCGGACGTGTTCTACCCCGAAGGACGCACGATTACCAACTCGACCTTTATGTTCGACCTGTTTCAGTTTCGCACCATGTTGCGACGCGTCGGCCTGCCGCAGCGCTGGCCCGCCTTCGAGGAGGAGCGGCTGCAGCTGACCGACGAACGCAAACTGCAGCAAACCGTCGCGGAGTTGAAGCGCGTGTTTCGGGCTGCCGGGCTGGGGGTTTTGCTCCCGGACGGGAAGCTCGATACCGACCCGCTGCGCGTGTGGGACCGCGGACTGATAACGGGCACGTGGCACAAGGAGTTTCGCAAGTGGCTGCCCCTGCACGCCGCCACACTGGAGCGGCTGGAGGAGCAGCTCCAGGCCCAAGGCCCGCCGAACCCGCCCGAGTTTCTGACCTACAAATTGGGCGTCCACCTGCGGGACATTATCACAGAGGACACGGCGCTCGCTACCATGTACCAGACGGAGTCCAAGTTCGTTTACAGCAGCCGCCACTACGTGCACGTGCACTCCGTCGCGCAGTGCGACTTCTACTGTCACGCCTACTATTCCTGCATGGGGTTCGTGGTGGTGGTCACCAAAAACGCTCGACTTTCCAAGCCCGAGCAGGTTTGGGACCCGCGGAGGTACTACGCGAGCCTGAAGGGGAAGGAGGCGCGGGACCTAAACTACACGACGAGGCTGTATGACCGGATGCGCCAGATTGGAAAGATCCACAACCCCGAGCAGCTACACGGCCAGCAGTTTGACCAGAAGTGGGTGGACATCGCGGACGACAGCGCGATGGCCCAGGAAATTCTGGACCGAGACGAGGAGCTGGTCCGGAAACTTCTTCTGTACCCGCAGACGGCGACCGGCCTCCGCTGCTTTCTGAAGGCGGACACGTATTCTACAGAAAAGTGCATCTGCTTCTTTAGTAGCAGAAAAGAAGATGATTGCTCTTGCTGTTTTTTATTTTTTGGCGTCACAAGAAAAAGCTGCTCTGTAGCGCTGATCCGCTGCAAGAGAGGCAACTATCTACCATGCGAAATGGAGGACGTGAAAATTATGCGGACCACTAGCATGACAAAGTGAAAGTTCTCCCAGAAAATTTGTCATGCTGGACAGCCAGCAGCAAGTGCAAGACCAAGAGCAACGGGCTTTTTTCGGCATAAAGGACTGCATGGCAAATGTTTCTTTTTCTTGCATCGGCAACATGTGCGCGACCTTTTCTGTAGGATAAGACGCCAAAAGCGCTCGGCGCTTCGCGCATGTGGGATGTGCGGTTCGATCTGCAGTCGAAAGAGTTCGCCCCCAAGATCGTCGACTCGTGGCCACAGGAGGACCAAAGGCCATGGACGCCCGAGCTCGGACGGAAACTGGGACCAAAGATGTTCAAGAGAACAACAGGAGCGGCGGCCAGAGTGTCGACTAATGGAAAGAAGCGCTATCCATTGCAACGAAGAAGCGTAGGACACCCATACCAGACAAATGCCGTACCGTTTTCTGTGCTGTATCGCGGTCTTGTCCTACCAGACCACATACACAAATACCAGAATAAAACTTGCATTACTAAGTTGCTTGGTCTACAAACTTTGCAACGCGGAGACCACAAGGGGGGCAGTTTCCTTTCATGCAGAATGCAGTGTCCCACCTGGTTTAAGGATTAGAGAGGTTGCGAACAAATTTGCCATGCTGAACAGCAAAGAAGACCATGTCTGTGATCAACGAAAATCTACTTACGCAACACACGTTTATACGGGTATGTTTTTCTCGTATGGCTATCGGTGTGCTCCTATTTCTTCAGGATGAGCTGCAGAAGAAAGAAGCGCGGGAGGAGGACGGTGAGATAGGTCGGTGGCAAGACCTGCAGAAAGAGGTAGAAGAAAATTATAATGCGCGAAGAGCGGGAGCGGCGTCTGATTCTGAAGCATTAGAAAGGGATCATGCAGCAATAAGCACGCCCGTGTTGACCACCCGCAGGCGCTACTACTTCTCCGGACTCAAATTGGTCAACGTCGAGCCGTTCAATTACGTGTACCTGCCGATCTCCCAGGTTCATACTACTTTCATCACCAGCAAGGTGCACGCTTTCCTGCCGGGGAAACGCCTCGTCCTTTTCGATCCATGCTACCGTGCGCGGGCGCAGACTCCCTTCACTCCGAGTTACATTGGGAACGTCACCGTTCCCGTTTACGATAAGCGGGGAAAGGTAGTCAGCCAGGTGGTGCTGCAGGAGTGCTTCACCGTTTCTGCTCTGAGGCAGCGAGGCTCGCTGTGAGGAGAACAATAGTTAGTCGCGAATAAGTAACTCGTGTTTGATGTATATCAAGGTCGCCATGCATCGGAAATTGGCTGCGAGGGGCCTCGTTTAAGTAAGTTTAAGGTCGATCGAACTCCTCCTAACTCAGTTTAAGGTCGATCGAACCACAAGGAGGTCTGGGTGGGATACGCAGAACTGTACCGACTGTAGGACAGTACCAATGCCCAAGGCTCTTCGCGTCGATGTCTCTTGGACCGAGCTGACGCCTCGTCCGTTAGTATCAGTTCTAAGGACGAGCGCGCGCTGCCTCTTGCTCAACAACACGTGAAATTTACCATTGTGGCGTAGAATGATGTTTTCCTTCATACACTGTGATAAATTCCCATTAGTTTATTTTTCACTGCTGTAGTTGCTCTCGTCGATTGTTCTTCTTCTTCGATACTTGTTGCCACGTAGGACCGATTAATCTCTTTCTTCTGTCCTCCCTTTGTTCTTTGGACAAATGCATCTAAGTCAGGAAATGACGATGTGAATGTACCTTCCAGATCAAGAACTAGGTTTCCGGCTCGCGTTACACGATGGATAGAGAGATGGCCTGATGTGACGAGGTAAAGCAGCACGCCTAAGGTGCGTTTTGATTTGTCATGTTCTTTTTTTTTTTCGTAGCGAAGCGTAGCCATCTCGGCTCAACAAGGAGGGATATGGCCTCCTCAGCTGTTACGTTCTCAACTGTTACGTAGCGAGGTGCTGTTTTTTGATCATTTTAACTAGCTATACCGAGCGGTAGCTAAAATCATTAATTTTTTTAATTAAAATTGTGTTTTTTGAAATCGCGGCGGAGGGCTGGATCCACGGAGCGGCAAGGCGGAAATCCGGAACCTGCAGCTGCAATATGGATGACGCAGCCACAAACAACCAGCCTTCCGGGGGACCTTCCTTCTGCGGGTGGTTGCCAGTTATCAGCTCCAAAGTCCCGCCTCCAGCATGACAAATCTCCAGAACCCAGACACCAGGAGGAGGTCTCTGTGACTATTAGAATTCATGCATCAGACGCGGAGATTTGTCATGCTGCAGGCGGGATTTTGCAATCCATATTGCAGCTGCAGGTTCCGGATTTCCGCCTTGCCGCTCCGTGGATCCAGCCCTCCGCCGCGATTTCAAAAAACACAATTTTAATTAAAAAAATTAATGATTTTAGCTACCGCTCGGTATAGCTAGTTAAAATGATCAAAAAACAGCACCTCGCTACGTAACAGTTGAGAACGTAACAGCTGAGGAGGCCATAAGGGAGTTTTTTCGTTTCACCTTCGATATTGGATGCTTTTTATGGCGGGAATACAGACCGCAATCTACTGGACGTTTATCACGTTAATCCCATACTTTCTATTCAGAAGCACTGACTGCATGGAGCTGCTTTTTCCTTCAATATTTCGAGTTCGACGTCGCTCAGGAAAAAAATGAAGAATCGAGATAGCAGCGAGGGCGCATTATTTCTTTCCGGCTGGTGCAAATGTTTCAAAGATCCTGATGATGAGGCGGTTTTTTTTCTTGTCCGCAACAAGGACGACGTATGTCGCAAGCGCTGTGGGGAAAGGTCTGATATTGCAGCTGGGGGCGGTATGGCGTTCTCAAGCGTTACATTCTCAACTGTTACATGATTTGTCATGCAAAATGATCATCAAGATCCACACGATCAAGCTGCTTCGCATGACAAATTTGCGAATGGCTAAACAGCACCCAAATCTGTTCGGAATTTGTAATGCTACAGGTGCAACCTCCCCCCTTTCACTTTTCCCATTCTTGCATGACAAATCCATGTAACACTTGAGAATGTAACAGTTGAGAACGCCATACGCGGGCCTTCTTCTCAATTTTGTTCGACCAGTGTCGCCTGCCTCTGTCGTACTTTCTCGACAAGAAGGCAAGCAGGACGAGGAACATTTTTGCTTTCCGAGTAGTGGTGCCGCTGGAGGCATAACGTACGAGTACTGTTGCCTGGAGCTCCATGGGGCCAGACACGATGATGCGAACCCCTGCTGGGACGTCGTTTACACGTATGAGCTCTGCTGCCGACCGCATGTTCATCATGCCGAAAAAACACAAGAAAGCGCCTTAGATGATGAGCTACACGATGTTGAAGGAGCAGGAGACCTGATTAGCACTGCAAGTGCTTCTTCCTCTACTGTGCATCAAGGGAAAAACACAGGAAGCGCTGGGTTAAACAGTTTGAGCACATCGAGCAGGAGGACTCTACACCTGCCGCTAGCAGCGCAGGGAGAGGAGGACGATTCCCTTCTGGTCCTCGCCCCGGTGTCGTTCTCCGGAAAGGCGCGGAAGAATTTTGCGGGAAATCGAGACCAGGGCGACGAAGACGAACCCACCGAAGCGGAAATTCTGGCCCGCCCCTTTTCTCCTGTGCTTTCGTCCAGCAAGGCCAGGCATAGTGGAACTAGCGCTGCAGGAAAGAAGTTGGAGGACCATATCGCGGATACTAAAAAAATTGCAAGTGCGCAGCTGCAAGTTTCGACAAATAAAGGAAGCCAGGAGGAAGTTCTTCCACCGCCGGTCACCGCGTACCGAAAAACCCTCGTGCCTGGAACGTCCACCGAACAAGCGGGACATAGAAGAACGGCAGCACTTTCATCCTCCACCGCCTCGTCCCGCTCGGACGCGAAATTATCTTTGTCCGCCTCGTTTATGTCTTCAACGGGCGTTAGCATACAGAAGGGTGAATTTGCAGTGAATTTGTATTGCGTGGTGGCGTGATGCATGAATTAAGGGGCATATGAAGAACACGAGGAGGACGCCAGGCAGTCAGCGTTCCGTGTAGTTGAAAGGTTAGCACTTGCCTGGTGCCATTTGGATGGTGACGCTCACTGTCAGAGCCTAAAGTAGAGACGCACGTCTTTGCTGCCTGGTGCGTTGCCAAGAAGCAAAGGCGGCCTGTGGCGGTCTCACAATATAACACTGCCTCTGCGGAGTCCATAGTGGGTCGAGAGGGAGGGGGCCGAAGCCTCAACAGGAGAGGGGCACTGGGTCAACATCTAAGTGGGTAGCTCTCACGGGTTGTGGCTGGCTCGGCTTGGATGTCTGGAGACATGTTGCAATGGATGCTAGCATCGCCTGCGTTGCTCTGTAGCTCGTATCTTCCCAGCTGTGTTCCTGCCTCATCTTGTTCGGGTCCTCTAGTTTTCTTCGACGTGATCCCCAGGTCAGAAATTCTCCTGGTGAATTTTGAGGCTTTTTCTTTTTGTTAAACTTTTCTGGAGCTCCAAAACCCGCAGTTTCTCATGCGCTAGCGAATTTTGAACAGGGACCGCAGGCCAAAACTCACTCACGCCCTTTTCAAAATTCACCCCAAAACTCACCTGGCGCCCCTTTTCGACCGTGATAAGCAAACTGCAGCGCAGGAAAGTGCTCAAAAAAGTCCGCAGATAGGCCCTGGGAAGTGGGGCCGATGGGAAAAGTCAAGCGCCCTCTGTTGCCTTCAGCGCGTCTATATTCTGCCAAAAAGGCCTGGAGAGTTCACGCGCCTGCCGGATAGACGCGTCAAAGCTCTCGGCCTGGTCCTTTCGCCCTTGCTTTCGCGCCTTCGTCTTGCCTAATTGCATGCGCTCCGCGGCCCTTGTTTTTGACGTCTTTGCCGCCGCTGTTGCAGTGCTCTTATGCGAGCACAGGAACAAGGCGCAAGGACATGGCCAAAGAACGACGCCCAGGCCATGTCCAGTTGCCCACTGCATAGCCGGCGAGTTCTGCGGTGTGCAGAACGCTCTTCCCAGAAGGGCAAGAGGGACAATGTCCCGGCGGACTTATCTGCAATTTGTCATGCAAAATTCACTAGAGATTCGCCACGTCTCACGCTAACGCGTGTTCAAGCTCCACCGCCTCGTCCCGCTCGGACGCGAAATTATCTTTGTCCGCCTACTGTCCCCACTACCCCGGTTTTCCCCAAATCAAAAAAATTTTTTTGAACTGATGCAACAACACGGCCGCCGGCTGCGCAGCCCGACCGGATAGTGTCCGCTAGTGGATCTTCTTCAAGGATAATCTCTGATGCTGTTACATATGCAAAGGAGCAAGCGAGATGGCGGCGCTCAAAAGTCAGCGCATGAGCTGATGGGGCAGCAGGCTTTGTGGATGTGTGTGTGTATCTATTTCGGCCCGATCCGCGTGTAGACTACTGCAACGCGGCCCCGCCGCACTGCTCGCGCTTGCTTGGCTGCGGGCATGGTGCTGGAAAAGCGTGCTCTGCGATGCTAACTCGGACGGGGCGCTGTTATTCTGTTAGCGATCCAACGCCCCGCCTGCCGTGCCGAGTGTTGATTTGTGGGCGTCGGCCTGGATTCGTCAGCCGCGCTGGCCCCTTGCCCGGGCCCACGTGGCCGCCGGACTTTGAAGGCCGCGCCCAACTTTTGAGGCCCCGGCCTCGCCGCTTCCCTGGAGGTCGTGCATGCGTCCACTTTCGGGACGTTTCTGGTGCCCGTTTTGGTGGCCGCAAGTGCGTAGATAGCCGCTTAGGGCCGAAATCCCCAGCATACGTTTTTTTTCTCGCCAACGTGTCCGAGCATGCACTCAGGGAAACGCTGCCGGCCAGCCTCAAGTGGAGAACACAGGTCCACGGCAAGGGGCATCGCGTGGGAGCCTTAGGTGGCCGGGGGGCGGGTCTGGCACGGGCGCCTTGCCCCGGGCGCTGCCCCGCGGGGCTCGAGCTGCTTGCGCCCCAAAAAGCCGGGCGGGGCGTTGCGCTTTTCAGCCTGTAGGATAGAAAGAGAGGCGCACTGGGGTCGGTCATGGAGAACATCAGCAAGCTGCTCTGCCCTGAAGGAGGGGCGGCCGGCTGCGTCTGGACTCCGAGCCGCAGTGGCCTTTCTTAAATTGCGCGCATACTTCTCGAGGAGCTACCAAAGCAGTTCGTTGGCGCCACTAGCTACGCAATCTCCTGGATTCCATAAAGCAACACACCCGGGGGGGCGCGCGCCTCGGTCTGGCCATTCGCGGCGCAAGTCGGTTGCGAAGGGCCCGCCCTGCTTACAATTGGATCGAAAAAAAAAAATTGTCTTTGGGGAAAACCGGGGTAGTGGGGACAGTTTTCCCTACCGTACACCGTGGCCTCGTCCCGCTCGGACGCGAAATTATCTTTGTCCGCCTACTGCTGGGCGCCAGTGCGCGAACTCATCAGATCGGCGCCGGAGGGGGAGCACGAGTTTGTCACCTATCTGCGCTGGTTGGAGGAACACCAAAACCGCGGCGCGCCCTTGTCTGATGTGCAGCTGCAGCAGTTCTGTTGTGCTCGCCCCGACGATGACAAGGGCAGCTGTTTTCCGTACAGGGATACGCAATCATGCAAAACTGTCTGGGGTGGGAGGAGTGCAGGAGGAGTTCGTCATGCCAGAGCTAGCAGGTCTAGACAACTTCAACTTTGCAATGCCTCCTCTGGTGCATGTGGAGAACAACTCCCCTCTAGCTACTACTGGTACTGCTCCTCGGGGTAGCCAGACGTGGACAGCATTTGCTGCTCCTGCGAAGAACAGATGCTCTTGTTTGACTGGCAGAGAGCTGCAGGATGTAACATGTTTACTGCACCCAACCAGCCCTCCCAGATCGATTTTTGCATTTGATAGCCGAACAAAAAGGGGACCCGTCGTATAATTCCTCCGAGGCCTTTGAAGATGACGGCACTTTCTTCGGATGGAACTGGCCTGTACAGTTTGAAGCGGGTGTGAAGACGGCGCAGCAACTTCGCATGGGCTTGAAGCATGCGGATTGTTGTTTTCCGCAGCTGCGCAAGATGTTAGCCACTCCATTGGAACAGCGACCGCAGTGGATGCGCGATGCCGTCGAAGAGGATCTGGCGCACTGGCGAAGGTACTACAACAGGCATAAAGCTGGAAGTAGTAAACCAGTACCAGATGTTGATGTTGATCAAGATAAGACCCATTCCATGTTGTTGCCGACGAGCCCACGCGACGAGCATGAAATAAGGCAATTTATTCAGCACACCGACGCGGCTACTGAGGCAAAAGCTGGGAGGAGGTTCGTGTCCCAATACGTGGCTTCCTCGTTGGTGCAGCAAGTACTAGACCAAGCCCAACCACATCCGCTGCAGCATTACGGCGGACGCGACTACCGAGTGGCGGACCCGGATCATCCCCGACTATGCGAGTATTTCATACAGTGGTGCCCCACCCGTCTGATTGGACGGAGCTGCCCGGGAGCGCGTTCGAAAGCAGAACTCTTCTCCTGGCAAGAGGTCGAAGCTTGGCAGATTGCCAAGCAAACGCAGGCGTGGTTCCTAGTCCTCCGACATTCACCTGTCTATGACTGCGGGGAAGTTCTACGGGCGTCAAAAGGGCGAGACAGTGAAGAGACAAAGAACGTCTACAACGCCACAGCGTTTCAGTCGGAGCGGAAAAGACGCGCACTCGCGAAGGCGGGCACCCAGAAGGCCACCCTGGGGATGCGGTTCTACCAAAATTTGATCCCCGAAGTATTGGACCTCGCGACGGGGGTGGTGGCTGGACGTGGTGCAAGTGCGGCGCAAGAAGGAAAAGATGGAAAATTTCCTTCCATTGACGACCTTCCAGTGGTCTCCTGGACGCGATCCATCTTTCCCGGGACTGCGAGCGACACCGCGCTTTCACTTCCGCTCGTGTACAACCTGCATACCAGCTGGTTTCGAAAGTACGAACAGGAGATACGGCTGAACTACGTCCCCTGGGAAAAGCGGCGGCCCGAGTTCTTCTTCCGGGGAACGCCTTCGATAGCCAGCGCCCACTGGAACTGGACCGCCGTGCACGACGGAGAATTCTGTAACGGAATGCCGAGCAGTGGGCGGGACGACTGCACACACTATCCTACTGACTCCACTGTGCTGACGGAAGATGTCAACGCAATAGAGGAGGAATCGCCAGATGCGGAGGCGGGATTTTCCGACCCATTCCGTGGGGTGTATTTCCGGCGTCTCATGCGTGACGATGCAGTGCTGTGGGAGAAGGTCCGCACATCGGTTGTAGCAACGGGCGACTGGCAGGGCACCAAGAAGTTTCTGCGCGATTTAGATGAGCGAAGTAAAACAGCCACTATTGCGCAACGTCAAGAAGACGTGTCCATAATGCACGACCAGCAGCCGATGAAACAAGGAACCACGACACAGAGAGCGACCTTTAGAGCAGAAACGGCTCCTCCGCCGGCGGGAGGGCCAGAGCCGGTCGCGGCGACGGACCTCCCGTCACTTACGCGTCTGCTAGAGGCACGGTACGGGCTGAAAGAACAGGAATCCCAGAGAATGCTGCGTCGCGTACCCAATGAGATGTATCCGGCCACCAACGTCGCCCGAGCCTTGCTAGGGCGGATGGCCAACGCAGAGCCCCCAGAAGCCAGCGCTTCTGCGTCTGATAAAGTGCTCCTCGCTGCCCAAGAACTACACACGGAGCTAACCGAGAAGTATCCGTTCTTATTTGACGAGACCAAGTCCGACTTTTTCTTTGACGTAAAGTTGACCTCGTGGCCGGTACAGGTCGAGTTTGATCCGGAGACGGATTTTGCATCGTTTGCGGCCGACGGTAAGGCTGCGCAGCAGGTGTTCACGGAGCAGACGGCTGCGGTGCAGCGAGCATTGCACTCACTGGCGATGCCGGACGGCGGCGGAGGCGGACGCAGCCACGCAGGCGGGGGACAAATGTGGAACCGGGACGACAGTGCCCCCGCTGCTGCCGCTGAGAATTCCACCCCGCCGCAGTTCCCTCCGGGGAGTGGCACCGGGCCCATTGGCGCGGTGTTTCGACGCGCCGCTGAACTTGCACATTCCTCGCCAACAGCGAACACCACGGAGGCGGAGGACCGGGAAGCGGTTCGAGCGCAATTGTTGTCTCGCCTCGAACGGTTACAGACGAAATACAACGAACGTTTTGGACGAGACCGAGAGCAGACAAGGTCGGAAACTAAAAGGGACGAGGAGGATCATATTCATATCAAGGACGAAAGCGGCGCAGTCTTGCCTAGTACTTCCACCAACTTGTCTGCTGAGCAGAAAACATCGGACGCCAAACGGAATAACAGCAAGCCGAAGAGGCGCGGCAAAGTCGAAAACCAAGCTTTGAATGTTCCGCTGAAAAATCAGCTTGACTACAAGTATAATTTTATCGTATTTAATAACGTCCCCACCCCAGAGTTGTCATGCAAATCTGCATGCCAAAAAAGTTTTTCATGTGACCACTACATGATGATGATGATGTACCTGTGGCGCTGGGAGCGGGTGACCACTACATGATGATGATGATGTGACGCCCCATGGGTGCCATTTTCTAGTCGTTTTTTGGAATTTGTGATGCTAGAATCAGCATGATGCGCTAGATCTGTGATGCTTCGGAACTAGCTAAACTAACAGGATTACACTACGAGGGCAAACTTGTCATGCGAAACAGCCGGAGCTGGTTGATTTGTCTAGCAGTTTCCCCATCTTGACTCTGGTGTGGGGACGTTTTTACTCAGGATAAATTTTCACGATAACGTGTCGACGCGCGACGTGTGGTGCTTTCTCGCGGGCCAGGTCCTATTTCGTGCCATGTTTCGCTACGATTCCGCGGTGGACAAGATCTTCCACCCGTACGAGCACTACATTCCACTGCGCCGAGATTTGCGAGATTTTTATGAAAAAATGAATTTCATCGTGGAGCACGATGCGTGGGCACGGAAGATTGCCGAGCGTGGGCGGAGGCTGGCGCAGGAGGTTTTCAATTTAGAGACGAACTATTGGTACATGCACACCCTTGCGCTCTCCCTGGGCCTGCTGCAAGGAGGGTACAACTTCTAGGTAGCACGCACACGACGACCAGTTCTGCCCTGTTCTCATAGGGACAGCGACTGTATAATCACTCCACGAAGATGACGTACGACCAAAACGACTCGCAGACCTCCACAGCAAAGTTGCCCTTACCATGGAGCAGGGGACGAATTGTTGTTCTCGTTGGTGCGGGTTGGCCACTCGCACTCGCCTGCGCGAAGAAGTGCAGAACTTCATACAAGCTCACGGAGTCGGTTGCTCGTGCTGAGCGCAGACGCAGTGCCAGTTCCGAGAGAATATTGCCAGCAGCCGACGGAAGCAGTAGCGCAGGACAGCAGATGCGGAGTGACGTCGCGAGCGCGCCGAGGATGCGCCGGGGGACATCAAAAATATGGCAGCTGCACTCGGCACTGCAGGGAGCGGACCTGGTGGTTCTCGCAGCCGCGTATTGGATCCTTTTCAAGTTTAGCACTCGTGTTGCGGCGGGCGCAAAGGGCCACCTGAAACCGGCGTGGAAAAAAGATTTGAAAAATATCGTAGTGAGCAATTGTGTTGCGATCGCAAAGACGCACTGGACAGAACCAGAGAGGCAAGAAATTTCGAAAAAGGCGAAGAAATGTTGTTGATGCCCACCGAAGATGATGTCGATGTAAGTAAAACGATAGGAAGGGAGTTTTTAGCGTGTTTTCATCTTTCTACAGGCTGAGCCTAGGCTAGGGACTTCTCCGAGGAGGTTGAGACCAAGTATCGCAACGCAGCGCACAGGCACATTACCTTGTGGGATCGGTCGTTTGCTGACGCGTACAACACGACATTTTCACGATGTTTTTCCTTTCTTATATTGATGGCTGCCGCGTGAGCTGTCACGCCCCGCTGCTGCCCCATCAGTGAGCATCGGTCAAAAGTGGAGTTTGTGCTGACGACCTAGCGCCTATTGCTCAACAGCTATAGCTGGATTGATAAAGCTCCGCAAGCACGCCAAGGTACTAGACCACAACAAATCGCACGACAACTGCAGCACTTGGAACCACGGTCGCGCTCTGCCATCTATCGTGAAAGCAGTTTTCTTTTCTTCCGGAGAACACTTGCTGATTTTTCGTTTCGTACATCAACATACCTAGAAAAACTGTTTATTTCGAGTGCGATGCTCTACTTCTATTTCTAGTTTCTGCAGCAGCGAACCGCAGCGAAAGGGCATGAAGGGGGTTCTCACTTCGCGGCGTTTTCGGAAAATAAATGGCGGTGAAGAACAGAGAGAGGGAGCGCAACGACGCACCACCGGCGAAATCTACTGGACGCAGCTCCAGCGTCGCGCACTGCAACAGATTCGTTTTGTCATCTGCGCCAGTGGCGTCCTCTGCCTAGTGTTGCATTCGGATGCAAGAAACTCAGACGAGCTACTGCCGGTTCCATTGAGTCGGTTGTCTGGGTCCGAACTTGCCGAAAAGCGCGCGATTATCAACGCGGGCGCAGCGACGTTGCCATTTGCTTCTGGGGGCACGGAGGAGCAGAATGCGCTGAAGTTTTCGCTGGATCTTGTTTTCTCCATCGTAGACCGGACGGTCTCGTTGCAAAATGTTGTGGAGTCCCTCGACAGCCTGCGGAATGCGTTGCACTCCTTCCGCGCAGACGAGCAAGTCCCACGACCAAAGTCTGTCGGCGGTCGTGCGCCCTGGTCTGAGCGCCTCTCGCGTCAGGTGGTCCAGTGGAGCGATATGTTGGCACGGAACCAGACCCGGTTCGCGAAAAAAGTGCACGGGAAAGAGTTGTGCGAGAAGCTACCCAGTTTGCTGGACGAAATATGGATGAGCGTGGTCTTGTATCAGTCGGGGCGCAACGATGGGGAACTTGTTTCCGCGTCGCTGCCTGTGCACGAGTTCGCGTCGGAGCTGCTGGGGCGCAGCAAGTGCTGTCAGACGCTCGTGCAGAAGCAGCTGTACTACGCCTGGTCCTTCCTCCTGGAACCCGCCACGGAGTGGCACGTGCAGGAACGGTTTCGGTCATTGTGGCAGTGCATGGAGCGCATGTTTTGGGGCCCCGGGTACGCGAAGCCGCTGTCGAGCATTCGGGGCTTGTTGTGGGACACCACCATGGATGCCATGGACCTACGCCGCTACGCGGTCAACGAAGCACTCACGGTGCAGTTTGCTTTTCTTCCGCTGTGCGTGCACCGGACTTTGGCCACGGAGTTCGATCGCTGGGTCGACATTGGGCAGTTCAACGCACACTACATGCACTGCCAGGTGACTCACCTGGCGTTCGCACTGGACCACTTGAAGATTAGTGGCAACCACGCCCGGTTTGCGGAAGTGTATGACCACGTGCGGACCCACAAAGTCCAGACGCTCGCGGGCGCTACCTGGTGGTCTCCGCACTACACCGCGATTGGCGGCCTGCCGGGCCTCCTCGCCTGGCCTTGGTGGCAGCTGCACCCGAAAGTGAAGCCGGTAGTCGAGTTCTTGGAGAAGCACTTTGACACGCTCGCGGCCGAGGTGCGGTTCCTGGAAGACGACGAGCAGCTTTTGTCCGATGCGTACCGGGATACTGCCCGGAATCTGCGGTGGCACATGGTGAACCTTTTGGGAAAGGACGAACGCGCAAAGCGGAGCTGCCAGCGCGCGCCGGAAACGTGCCGGCTGCTGGAGGAACACTTCCCTTGGAATACCGAGGAGGACTACAGTCAGAAGCGGTGGTCTTGGTCCGTGGTTCGGCCGGGCGGGAACATGGGGGGACACATATCAAAATGAAAGATCCCCCCTCCCCATATCAAAGTGGAAATCTGTGATGCGGGATTCGTGTACACAAATCGGGTTTGTCTTGCAGTAGAGGACTGCAGGCAGATACAAAGCCGGAGCAGGGTATGGGAGCGTCAGGATCGAAATCGACAAAATCGAAAAAAAATTCCGGCAGTCCTTTGAGGGGGCCTTCAGGGCACCCCCTCCGGGACCCATTTCGATTCTGACACACTCAAGCATACCGTGGTGGCTAGCTCGAAAAGGGCCAAGTGTGTCAGAATCGAAATGCGAAATCCTAGCCCCCCTCTAGGGGGTCCCGGAATTTTTTTTCGATTTTAAGAATTTCGATCCTGACGCCTCCATACAGGGGCGTTTTGGTATAGGCGCCTAGCAAGGCAGGCGCGTCCTCCGTAGGCCGCACAGCATTACAAATGGCCTGCAAGAAAAAGCGGCGGAGTCTCTGGATTGGCCTTCCAGCAATACAGAGACGATTTGTGGCCACAAATCAGCATCATAAATTTTCAGAAGTATCCTTTTTTGGTATGGGGAGGGGGGATTTTTCCTCACAATAACACACCGGGCAGACCATGCGGCTGAACGTGCAGATCTGCGCGCAGGGGTGCGAGGCGGCGGAGCTCCACGTGAACGGGCAGGTCATCCCCTACATCCGCGGGAAAGCGCTGGCGTGGCAGGACGGATGGCGGCACGAGGTTTGGAACCATGATGCGACCCAGAGTCGTTGGGTCTTCATGATTATGCAAATAAATTGCAAACACTTCTGTTTCTCAAGGAGGGTCTAGAACAAAAGTGCAGCGCTTGTGATGCACATTTTGCACGTCCTTGAGTTGACCGCCCATGATCTCTGTGACGTACGCCGAGCACGACAAAATTTTTTGAGGGCTGCTTGATGCCGATGCCGCATGAGAAATGCCTCTCTGCGTGGCAATAATCTACGCTCCTCTTGTTGCTGGCCATGGAACAGTACAGTATAGTTTTTAGAATGAGAATCCAAAGGTAGCATCGCAAGTTGCACCCTTTTTGACCCAGACAGATTTACAACGCATAGTGCTGACTCTCCCGCACCCCGATTTGGAAGAAGCCATGGAGAGCCAGTGCGCAAGAAGAGCCCTCGCTGGGGCCCCGGTCGCGGGTACTAGTAAGAGCGCCATCTCAACACCAGTAGAAAAGGAAGACGGAGATGGGAAGGTGGCACGAGGCGAGAACTTTGTATCCACCTCTGACCGCGCCGGAGGGGGCCCGGAAGAGGAAGTCTCCGCATCATTTGTCAGCCTACCGTTGCCTGAAGCAAAGCAAAAGTCGACATCGGAATATCATTCCGGGAATTCACGGCGGAGTCTGCAGGCGCAAGACCGACTGAAGCGGGTCGTCGAAAAAAGTGACGCGCGCCTGCGCAAACGAAAAGATTGCCCGGGAGCGAGCTGGCCGGCAGCTTATGCGCAGCTTCGAGAGCCGGACCCGGTACTCGTTGCGGAAAAGTTTAGTCTGCTTGCTCGCGCCAACGATCCTTATTACCGCGAGTGAAGTTGATGTTGTTTTCTATGATGTCGAGGATTTCTCTTGATAGCTACTGCAAGAACACAGCGTGAAAACCAAAAAGAAATAAATGCGGTACGAGGAGGTGGACCTGCACGTCAAGAGCGTCGCCTTTCGTTATCGACATTCTAGATAATTGTTCAAGGTCCGGATCTACCAGGGCGTGTGTGGTCCGAAGAAAATATCCGTGGCCATAATGGTGGCACAAGAACGAGCTATGGTGGGCAGCAAAAGATCATTTTAACGCTGTGACATTCTGTGCTCTCATTTCATTTGGCTCGTTTCTTGATTTTTTGCTGTTGTTCCTCTCTGTTTGTTTCGTGGCAAGTAATGGTTGTATCTTGACCACCTTTCGGCTTGGGTTGAGCAGTGCGAAAATGAGTATCCGCTTGGACGAGACAGAGATCTGCGGTATTTGGCTTCCAGATGATAAGTCTCGCACCTCCACCGATGCGGCGAAAACATAGACTGGAGGACGCGCTGGCGCTGTGCTGTGTGTGCGCGTGTTGGTCTTGGCGAGTCTCGACTGCCGTTGCTGCATCAGGCCCAAGCAGGTGTAGCCCCCGCAGATTTGTGCGGTATGAGCCGTCGGAATGGGAAGCGTGGTGGGAGGAAAACATCCGCAGTCTCCAGCTGCAGGGGAGGTCGCAAGACCGCGATGCCTCGTACCGTCCCATTTGCGCCGCGTTAGAAAGTCAAGTCGATTACCTCTTGACTTTTTTGCATCATATCTGTCCGCTGGACAACAGCTTCTCGCAGTTTTCTGTGGTGGCAGGAAAGGAAGAAGAGAAGGGTCGTGGTCGAGCGAAAGAACGTAAACGCGCTTGCCGGCTGGATGACGGACAGGGCCGTCCCCGCATTATCGAACTGGACTGGGATGAGAAAACTGTACAGCCGCTTGGACCTGTTCGGCGCACTACAAGACGGAATTCGCTGCAAGAGGAGCCTGGCAAAAATCGAGTGGACAGAGCAGTGCGGTTCCAGCACGGTGGAAGCTATGCGCTTGCAACGCGGACGGTGCCGCTGGCGCAATTTTGGAGCGAAGGCGGCGCTGGTGACGGGAACTTTTTAGGGCAGGAGGAGGGACGAACAGAGGCGGACCTCTTACGTCAACCAGAGGACGAGAATCAGGATACGCAACATCATCGTCCGGGTCGGGCGATAGGTCAGAACAGGGCAGGAAGGGACGATCATGGGGCTACCAAGTTTTCACGAACCGAGGCGGCAACGGCCAGAGAAATAAGGGGAAAGACTATGAGGCAAGTCTTCTCGCGCCTCGTTTTCCGGGACGAGTGCCGAAACGACGAGCAATATACGGAGTGGATTGAGCCCCTCGTCGGCATCCTGCGGCACCCCCTAGCGTGTGACCTGTCTTTCGACAACGGTAAAACGCTGCACGTGTGGAAAAGCATGTGGCTCATGGATGCCAGCTACGTCCTCCCACTGCCAGCCAGTAGCGTCCGCAGGCTTCTGATGTCACACCAGATGGAGAGCAGGAGAAGTACAACTTCTTCTTCTCCAATCGATCCCCTCGTTTCTAGCGAAAGTTTACTGGTAGAGGAGCACCTCCCGCCGCGCAGACTGTTCCTGGATGCCGGTGCCACTCGTTGGGGAACGAGCCCGGCTTTTTTCACGGACTGGCTCTTCAAGCTGAGCAACCTCACCTTCACGGAATTTCACGGGTGGGAGCCTGCGACCACGGTCGAAAAATTTCTGCAAACCGTGCCCGAGCTGCGCGGCGGAAGGAAAATCACGAGAGATCAGGAGAGCGAGTGCCTTTCTTGGCACAACGCGAGCAGCTGCACGAATAAGGGAAGAACGAGAAGAGTAGTCCGAGGTCGTGGACCACTGGAAGACCTGACTGTCTTCCGCTTCGCGGCCGCCAAAGTTGGCAGTGGTCCCGACCACGATCAGGATGGGACAACGGATCTGCTTGAGTACCTCGCAGAAGCTAGGGGCGGTTTAGTTTCCGCGATCAGAACGGAATCTCAATACGCCCCCTCGATTGCCCGGCGGGAAGATGGTGGTAGGAGCGAAGGAGTCGATGCAAAAATTCCTGGGGGACCTGCACCAGCGGATTGTCAGAGTGATCATGTGCAAGAGAACAGCCGAGGAAGTGGCGAAACCTGTTCCGACGCGGCTACAGCTCCCGCTGCTGATTATAGTCCGGCTGATGTTGAAAAAATAAAAAACCTGCTGGACTCTGTATCAAAGTGAAAAAAGCCCCCATTCCATACCGATTCAAAAGAGATCTCTCCTGTTGCTGGATTTGCGTACTTACACAAATCATCTTTGTGATGTTGCAGGAGGGACGAATCACGGGTAGATTGAAAGCCTGATTAGGAACGACTCCGTATAACCGTTTCGCATAAAGGAGGGGCAGCATGGCTGTCATGAAGGTCCAACAGGATAAGAAATCAGCTGCGCGATGCGATGGGCACCACCTCTAGCTGCGTTGCCTTCTCGCAAGACAGAGGCGATAGTTTTTGGCCGCAAAAAATAAGCAACACAGGATGTTGGCCTCGTGAGTAGGGGGAGGGGGGATTTTTTATCGCAATAGTACTCTGTTGACTACGTCCTTCTGAAGCTAGACATCGACACGCCCGCGGTGGAGCAAGCAATTATTCAGAAACTGCTCAGCGTCCCTGGGAATTTCTACGGCATCACCGAGCTCGCCTGGGAGCACCACGTTCAAAACCCGTTGATGCAACCAAGCGGGTGGGGTGACGGCGTGGACCACACGAAGGACATTGCGGATTCTTTACGCCAGTTTCAACAGTTGCGGCATCGCGGTATACGCGCCCACTCTTGGATTTAACGATTTGACTGAACTGGCATCCGCACGGGAACTACGCCGTACTGCTGTGTTGTACTTAAGTACTTACATACAGAAGTACGATGAAGCAGGAGTTGCCAAGGGACCAAGATCTTCCACTGGTATTGGAGTCATGTTTGATGACCGGAAAAAGACTCTCGTCGGGCGCACGCGGCCTAATGGAAACAGCACCTGTTGCCAGCATCCGCCAAGCAAAGCTATCAAATACATTTTCCCTGACAGATAGTTCCTAGTATAAATGAAGTGCAACTACATAGAGTCTGCCAACCGTGTGTTCAAAGCGCACTTTTCGTCCAACTGTGGAGCTCCAAGTGATCATGAAAAGTTGTATGTGCATGCTGTTTTTTCAGAATCGTTTTGTCAGGACTTCTACCCCCATTATTGCTCTCTAACTCGTGGGAAGCCACGAAAGCTTTTTTTCTCGCGCCACCTGTGGCTCGTAGTAGCTAGAAGATAAAGTGTTAGTTTGATGTTCCGAGTCGCTTTTTTCGATAGTAGGGCAAGAATCAGCGGAGTTCCCGTGGTGTCGCGTCGACTGCGATTATGAGTCCGTTCATCTACTGGCTGAGCCTCAGGCTGTTGCCGGCGGTATCTATTACGCAGCCGTCGGTTGTTCGCGCAGGTACTACCGGCACTAGTACAGGTGCAGTTGCCGAAATGAACCTCGGCGAGTCGCTCCGTGACTTGCTAGGCGCAGACTTTTCCTTCGACCGGCTTTTTCTCAAGGTTGGAATAAATCGCGAAGGTTGGGAGGCGAGCGGCATCGACTTTACAGCAGCGACTAAAAATCATGATGCTACATCAACTCGCGGGAGCGGGACGAGCTCGAGTAGACTGCTGCTCTTAGAATTCGATCCTAATGACGAGCCCGGGGCACGCCAGCTTTCCGCGAATGCGACGTTGGTGCGACTGCCCATGTATCCAATTGCAAAATATGTCTGGGTCCACCTCTGGAAGAGTGCAACTTGTGATGCAGCTGTTGTTGGATATCTATGGATTCTAATAAAATCTGTATTGCTACTTGAGTAGCTTCTAGGTAGCGCAGGAGCCCAGTTGTTGCTACGTGGAAAGGGCATTTCTCGTGCGGGATAGGCATCATTGAGCACTTAGAAAATTATCTATAATGCTAGACCAACTTGCATCACCGACAACATCTTTATGGGTCATGTACAATGTGAATTGCAAATCTACTTGCAATCTTCCAGAGGACCCAGCAAACAACATATTTGCAATGCATACCGTGGTGCTTGTTCCAGATGAGGTGGTAGCTTCGAAAGGAAGTGGTGGAAGACCGGGCACCAACAGGTTTTATCAGAAAGCGGCGTACAGTAGTGTGCTTTGCCCCCGGGCCGCAGCTGTCCTCCCCGTCGGGGGTCAACTACAACAGCAAGAACACGGCGACCTGGATGACGCGCGACCGCCATTTTTTCCATATCCCGACTTGGGCGCGTGCAAGCGGGACCTTTTAGCCTCCCTCGATTCAGCGCTGGCTCCACCGGCGCTCCCTCGGAACAACAATGCCTCCGGCGTGCCGCTCGACGGCGATGAAGAACTTTTTTTTGGTAGTAGAATTTCGTCGACTTCATCTGACGAGGACGTAGTAGCTGTAGCTCCTCCAAGCAGTGAAAATTCTAGGCCGGCGGCGCACCATAAAAATTACAATGTCGGTCCCTTGGGGGAGATGAATTTGAGTTACGAGCTGGAGCGAAACGAAGGTTTCGCGGCTTACACCCGGCAGATGGCCTACTACGCCTGTCGCCGCGCGTCGCGCTGGTACGCCACCGAGTCCGAGTGCGAAGTGGAGACAGCTTTGGTGCCGTCCGCGCGCACGTTGTTTGCGCAGTACGTCGACAAGTGGGGCCTGTTTGCAGAAACCTGCGGGATTGACGCGAACCTTGTGCAGGAGGAGGACTCCGAATTCGTCGATGCGGCCACCTCCTGCCTGGGCGTGCAAGACCCCACAGGGTACGCAGGCACCGATGCGTACCGATTTCTCGGCGTTCGCGCTCTGTTTGACGCCCTTCGGGAGTTTTCTTCCGCTTCTGCTTCGGGCGCAGCGTTGGTAGCAGTGGCGAGAATCGAGATCGACGCGCAGGGTCTGGACGTGGCGCTGGTTGCCGCGATCGCGTCTTTGTTGGCCACCGAGGGAGGTGGTCAGGGAAGTAGTACCCCCACTGGCGCGCCGGGTGTGCGTGTGCAAATCGACGCGGTGGAGCTGGAGTGCCAGGATGTCATGCGATCGAGCGAAAGGTTTCAGCAGGAGGTGGGCTACCTCTATGAAACCCCGACTGTTTGGGCGGACGAACTCGGTGGAAATGAGGTTTTCTTGTCAAAAAACGATTGTCTCCTGGCGGAACAGATCTTGGAGCCGCTCGGGTACGCTCGCGCACGGTTTGTCATAAACGCATGTGCCTGCCGGGAGTACAACCTGGAGATGGTGCAGCGACAGACAATTCTCGGCTCGGCCTGATCATCTGGTAACCAAATGCGTGCCCGCGTGCCCGTAGATGAGTGCGCGCCGGCCCAATGCGTGGGTGACGATTGGTGTTCATTCTCGCCGATCATAAGTAGGAGTCCGAGTAGCAGGTAGCCGCTATTAATGCCTAGCACCTTGGTGGTACCGCTGGCAGCGGCGGTGGGCGGCACAGAACTTGAGAGGTGCGGACATAATTTAGTGCGCAGGCCCCGACTCAGTATAATGATATCGAATGGCAGCAGCTCGCGCTGACGCCCGCGCTGACGGCGCCGTACCCTTACCCTCGAGGAACCAGCATCAAACAAGACCAGTTCTGGTCCAAACGAGTGGCCCTCAGTAGTGCCGTACCGCCCGCAAACAGTACAAGACGATTTCACAGGGAAATTCCGTGCTGGCAGCTCTTACTAATACTAACAAGTTTCCCGGGGAGGGGGAACGCCAATTTGTTGGTCGACCGCACAACTCGCCGGACGGTACCATATGTACCAGACAGGGAGGGATAAAGTACTGAAAGAGAATTTGAATACAGGAGATAACGAAAACGGTCCGCAACTCGAAAATCATGGTCGTCCTCGTCACCCGACATTTCCAGCAGCCATCCGTGATGACGGAAGCTGGGATATTCCTCATCGATCCTGATCTTTTCGCAACCTTTTTCCGGGCGTGGGTAAGCGGTAGGCCCAGCATGCGCTTGTTGGTTTCCTTTAGCTGGTGCGCAAAGCGAGAAAGGTGTCGCAAAAGTCAGGAACAACAGCAGGCTGGAAAATCGCCGAGTCAAATGTCACATGATTTTCTTTTATTCCTTTGTCCTTTAAATCTAATAATACAGTATCTATGTATAGAAATAGATCATGTCATTTATTGCTTTTGCGGGGGGGATGGTGGGTGGAGGTCATAGGTGTATTTGTCATTTCAGAGGTGATTTGCATTTGTCTGAGCAACGAAGAAATAAAACAAAAACGCGTGGCCGAGAAATCCAGCGCAGAGTCGCATGTGCTCTATGCCAACTTGAACAAATCGCATGCATTCATCTGGAACCGCCAGTACCACGAAGCGCCTTGATAAAGTTACAGCTTAAGCATTTTGCCTCTGAAACCATCTGTCGCAGAGAGTTCTGTTTCACCTCGGGCACAACAAGTTCGCATGGAATGGTTTTTCCAGCTGCAAATGAACAAGGTCGAGTTTCATCTTGATCAAGTGCGTCGTCGAAAGAACGTATTTTGATTTTTCTTGTGCTAGATCGTATCCTATCGGCGGAAAATCGTTTTTTTACTGACATGAGGGTCAAGATCGACATGCCCCGGTTGGTTGCTGGGTCGTGCCTCTGTGTTTTTGCAAGATCTGTATAGTGGGCAGCAATGTTTTGCCGCTAGTGTAAGCACCTCTTGTTCGGAAGTTCGACTCCCTTGTTTTGAAAAGCAGCCTTTGGCGAAATCGAATAAATCAAAGAGGTGACACTCACACGCTTAGAAGTACTTTGGGGGAAACCCACTGTAAATAATGTAAGTGCATATTAGTATGCGCCGTCGCCCGAACCAGAATGGGAAGAAAATTGGAATTTCTTTTGAAAACAAGTATTACATGATGCTTTTCGGATCTCTAGACTGATAAATGCTTTGTTTCGTGGTCGTTAGTGTTGGTATTCTTGAGAAACAATTCTTGTCCCTTGTCGAGACATGACGCTATGGAAAGCCGGTCCAGTATCCTTTTTCCTCTTCATTTCAACCTCGATGCAAGCTTCTCTTTTTTTTTTGGGGAACATTTTTACGCGAACCAGTTCAGGGGTTCCAGCAGGCCTCGCACTGCTCAGCATCATCTTGCGCCAGCCGGTGCAGGAGGCTGTCGCTGAGCTAGAAGATACTACGCAGCGGCCGCTCCCCTTGGGGCACGCGCTCGAACAGCAGGAAACATCTGCAAAGGATCTGCGCCAGCCCTCTGGGCTGGAGCAGATCGCGTGGGCTTTCTTGGAAAAGAAAGCGGCTCAGGATTTTCATCACTATCGTGAAGGAACTCAAACGACGACCTCTGCGGGGGCACGGTCTCAAAAACAGGACATGATGAACGCGCAGGAACTACGACTGCTCTCGGACGTTTCTTACGTAGTGACGAAAGAGAGCCAGAGACGATGTTGGGACGACGTGAGAGACTCCTGGACCCGACTGTACCAAGCAGAGAAGATCAGTCGCTTGTCCGATTCAGCCCTCAAATACACGTGCTGCCACTCTCCAGCGCAGAACCACTTGGTGTATCCGCAGACGTGTTTCGGGGCGCACGACCCCGAGCTCGAGTTTGGCGGCATCCTCACCGAAGATTTTTATTTGCAAAACGACCATGATGTCGTGCACGATGGTGCGGGTGAAGATGTTGAATGGAAAGTAAATGCCGATCATCAGGCCGGCGCGCTCCCGCCACAAGGACGAATAAATCAGCAGGAGCCAAAGACGACCACCGAACCACAAGAAGGGGCTGATGATCCAAGAGGAGGTGTGTTGAACGACGAGGAAAGTCAGTTTTTACGGGGCCACGAGAAGACCACTGCCGACGTCAAGCAGCACATCAGAAGCCCACACACTAAAAATTTGCACACAACGGTGGTCGCCGGGCGTTTCCATTCGTATCGGTACCTCGAGTGTTGTCATTCCAAGCTGCTCCGGATGTTCGCAAAGAGGATGGAGCAACGCCCACGCTGGATGCAGTTTCTGGCGGAGAAGTATGTGGGCGAATACTTCAACGAGCGGACCAAGGTGGAAGCGGAGCGGCTGGAGACGAATCTGACTGCGTTGAACACACTGCTGGACCCGGTAAGTATGACTACAAGTACCACAACCACATCATCCACCACGGGCACGCCGTTCCCAGAAATCATCACTACAATGGAACGCCGTCGCTCTACTGCCGGTCGTGTTGAGGTTGATGTTTCCGTCGGAGCTGGAAAAGCAGGGTCCAGCACCAGCAGCACCCTCGTGGCTGAGGAAAGTGGAACGGAGCAAGCTGCACCGGAATCTCATCTGCAAAGGGTGTCACCGACAGGAGAAGCTCCTCGCACCGCACGTCTGGAAAATGACCGCAGGAGAAACGTGGATGAAATCATTGCTGAGGGGCCTCCGGAACCGGTTCCGGGCACAAGCTTGGTGCAATATAAAGTGCAGAATCAAACGTCGCGCGTGTTTGAGCCGATCTCGCACCTTTGCGAGTGGTGGATCGACGAAGCCAATTTTGAATTGGTGAACCGCACCTCGACCAATTATTTTCCGGCGCAATGTTTCTACTACGATGTGGCACTGCACGCAGTTCTGTTCTTCCGGAAGCTGAAACACCGCTTGCAGGAGATGGTACGCAGCATTTTTGTGCAGCTTCCCACTCGGGCCGCATTGGACGGTTCACCGGAGGAACAGGATGTTGATCTTGGTCCAACATCTACCACGGGAGGTACTACTAGTACAACAACGCCGTCGTCGCATGCGCCTGGTCCCCAGCATGGAGAAGTGACCGGTGCCAAGACTAGGAGGAGCAGGAGAAGAAGGACTTCTACGACACCTCCTAGAGGAACTCGTACCCCTCCTGCGCGGAGGACGCCGCAGCTTGTGATGCTGCAGCTCGACTGCATGGAGCCACCGAAACCAGACGGCGCGTCCTTCCGCTCCTACGTCAGCCCGGAGGACCGGCGCGATCGCACTCGCAACGCCCCCCAGGCTCCTCATTTGCAGGTCATTGGGCTCTCGCGTTCCTTTACGAAGCTAGGCCAGGACGAAATGCGCCAGCAGGGGGGGAAGAAGAAGAACGCGACAAGTGGAAGTGGCAAACAAGTAGGCACATCGTCCAGGGGGGCTGCCGTGCCGTTTTCGAGGCCGATGCTCGGGCCGCACTGGACCATGCTTAGCTTTCAGGCGCCCTTCAACAAGCACGAAGCCGAGCGCGGGCGTGCTGCTTTTCCTTGGTCTTCGCGCCGCTCGAAAGCTTTTCGCGTCTCGACGCGCGCACATCCACGTTCGCAGCTCCACCGTAGGCGAAGGAGCGGCGTGCGTGATTCTGCTAGAGGGCGGGACGTCGACGTGCCCGCGGAGCGCCCGACGGCGCTTGGCGTGCCGCGAGTAGATGTGCTGGGCGAGGACACATCAACGCCTTTGGACCGGGACCAAGAAAATCACAGAAACGGCGTTTTTGTACGTGGCGGTACTAGAGCTGCAACAAGAAGGACGCCGGAGGAGGAGGAGCTGCAGACTAGTAAATCTTCGCAAGAACAACAAGAAGTGTTTCTACACCACGGAAGTGCGCCAGCAACTGAAGCTTTTGCAAATTTCTGTGATGCGCTGCTGGGAGAAAATGAAAAACACTCGAAGAATCGCAGGACTGGCACTGCCGAAATTATAGAAGATGACGTGCACAAGAACCACGCAACTCCAACTGGCGGCAGGAGCGCTGGCGGACTTTTCTCGTCAGCTTCCGCCAGAGACCTGTGGCTTTTCGGTTGTACTACGACCAGGGAGGACGGCGGCGTCGGGGGTACTACAAACCAAGAAGTCAACAGCACCGACGAAAAAATAAAACACACCTCCGCGCCAGCTGTTGTTTCGACGGTTGTAGAAGTGTCCGCCGAAGATCCTTCACCGAACACAAGCTTGGCTCCTCCACGACAGGACCTACTAGACGAGGACTCACGCGCGGCTGTAGCACGATTGGAATCCAGGAGGAAGTCTCTTTCATGGGCCTCAACGGTGGGGAAATTTTTAGTGAACGACAATGAACAAGTAGTAGAACAGAGCAATGGCCATCGTGGTTATACTTCATCTAGGACTTCTGGGAACCACGACCAGCAGCACGACTGGTCGTCTACGAGAACAACAAGTGATCGAGCCGCGATTTTTAAGCCTGGAGGTCCTCTAGAAGTGCAGAGCGAGAGCCCCTCGTCCCAAATAAAACACTCTCTCGCTCATGAAGTGTTTCTCGAGCTTGGACAAACCCGGCCGGATCTGATTGAGGCAAAAGCGCGCACCATGAATCGCACGCTCCTGGAAGAAGAGCCGCACCTGTGGATCACGTGGCAGCCTGTGTTCAACCATATCCAGTACAAGTATCAGCTCACGGGGCGGAATGTAGGGTGCGACACACGGGAAATGTGGGTAAAATGGTCCGAGTCTCTCGAGCTGCGTCTCGTCTCAGATTTGCAGCTCTTGCCAACAAATGCCTTCGGACGAGAAGACGTTGGGCTGGAAAATTTTGAAAGCCCACACCGGCTAGCGTCGGCGGCATCACTGGGCGGAAGACCACAGGTTCAACATCCTGTAGAGGATCTTCAAGACCACGACCTTCGCAATCATGATCGTGCAGCTGCTCCTGCACGAGGACTCGGGGAGGACTCATCTACTGCGAAGGTTGATGACTACGATGACGTCGAATGTTGGTACGATCCCCTGCTACAGAACGATCGACACTACATAAAGACCGACTTGAAGCACTTCGTGCAAGCCGTGCTGTATGCGCAGCGGAACGAGGCGACTGTGCAGCAAATCGCGAATCGGAGCGCTGCAGTGGCGCGCGAGATTTTCGATTACGAGCACGGCGTTTTGTATTTGGATTCCTTGATGCAGCTAGGGAGCGACACCTGGTGGGCTTGGTCGAGACGCGAAAAATATTTAGACCCCACCACGAACGTCACTTCCCTAGCGGTAGAGCAGCGAAATGCTAGCGTTGGTGTCGTTCTTTGAGTAAGGACAGGGAATAGATACTGCTCCTTGATGACAGCATTTCCAGTTGCGCGCTTCTATTCTAGCCTTGCAAGGATCATGTGAAGAAGTGAAGTACGAACGTGCAACCGCGCACGCGCATTGATTTTAATCGAAGAACGCACGTGCGCTGATAAACGACCAAGCCTCATCGCGATGTCAGAGTACTTACATACAGTCTGGCCTGATCTGCAAGATTCTTTTTCAATTGACGCTCGGCCCAGCAGCGTTGGCAAGGTATGCCAAGCAGTATACAAAAGCAGACTTTATTTTGCGGGAGTTCTGGAGCAGCTAGGGATTTTTGCAACACTAGTTCGGAAATTCTTGTAAGCTTTACCGGTTTTATGTTCGGCAAAATTTTCTTGACGTGGAAAGAACTTCGCTTCAGCAAGTGCATTTTTAGATAGGGCGAGCCCGGGCAAGATGAAGATCTAAAATTGGGTACAACTCCTCTTTCCGCACAGCAACAAAATAAATCTAATCCCCACGACATGTTTGCGTTGTTCTTTACGGCAACGAAATCGGATCCCATTTTTCTCGTTGCTTGCGATAGTGCGTGCCGGCAAAGAATACATCAAGACGCACGAAAATAATGCACCCACTACTAGAGGCTTTTTTTTTCTGCGGCGCAATCTGATTAAAAATATTTATCAGGAGGCTAAATGAAATACTACTCTATTCGAATGATGTCTATTGAGCCATCGGATGTACATGTCTATGTCAGTCGTAAACGCGGCACTGCATCAGGAGGAGGATGTCGCCCAACTGGAAGATCCGTGGCGTAGTTTCACTGGTAACCTCGCGACCTCCATGTTTGGTTCATTACAAATATCGGGAGCCGATCGATGCAGCTTGGCTGAGCACTCACTTCCATCTTACCCGGTTTTTTTTTTGCAGTTCAGCACTTACAACTTACCGCTCAATGTTTGCTGCGTCAATGTATGAAATGAAAATGTGGATGACATTCCAGCGATTCCTTTTGGTCAACTTTTGGAGTTGTAGAGAGAAACAGAAACAGAACGACTGTGTTGCACTGAGAATTTTAGAAAAAGAGGGAGAATAACTTATTGTTATTCTAATTTTCCACTATAGAGAATAAAAGGACTTCTTCCTTGCCGCTCTCGAGCTCGAACCAGAGGTAAAGTTTGTGCTGTAGTTTGTCTCTGTTACTACAGTGATTGTCGTACGTACCCGCATTTGACAAATCTATAGTGCCTTCGCTCTACTTGCGCTATCACAGTACTTCATTTTCACTTGATCTTTGAACGAGGTAGAAGCAGAAAAATAGGGAAAAACTTTCCACCAATCTCCTGGTTGTTTCATCAATATCGAAATAAATTAATATCAGAATTTCAAACTCTGCCTTTCATCCTATCGTGATCTTTCTTCAGTCGGTCAACTTTCATATTGGTGTCCGTGGTTTTGACAGACACCTACGCAGCCGCAGAATCGGCTCATAGGATTTAAGAGACCGAAACGACTAATCGCAAAGTATTTTACAATTACTTTTTATTGTTATCATAACGCTATTGACTTGCAGCAGTTTTTTTTCTTACTTTATTACGCGCCGAGTGAGTGGCTGACCCTGACGCTGACCTGCATCTGGTAGCCGAATGTGTTCGCCCGACGCTCACAGATCTCGCGCCGGCCCCCCGGTGCGGGCTTTTATTTTCCCGACGAAGGAAGATCGCCGGAGCTGGAGGATGGACGTGTCACTTCGTGTGCACGGGCTGCGTGCGAGAACTGCTGCTACGGCCCACTCACTTGTTGCAACCTCAATAGCTACTATGGAGGCTCCTGGAGCCTGTCTTGTATCTCTATGATGACATGAGAAACAGAAACCTAGAGAGTTTTTCGTTTTCGCAGAATAAGGCGGTTTATTTCGGGGGCGTTCCAGAACTTGTAATGCGCATTTCTGTCGTGGTCGGGAACGGGAAAGGGATTGGGCAGATTAAGTATGCAACTGATCCATGACCGTGACAATTCTTTGTTTCAGTAGTAGCAGTTGAGCTTGTAAGATGTATGGGCACTATAACAGCTGCCACGGCGATCATGTATTACTTTATTTTCATCGCCACCGGTCTCGACCTCGCGTTTTCCCGATTATTTGCCGTGCCGGCCGCGACTGAAAGCGCAGTCGTGTACGCCGCTGCTGCGGGCGGGCAGGGACAGCACGCTGTGAAACGTGCCAGGGAAAAAAACGGAACCAGTACTATCGGGGGGAAAAAATCGAACGCCGGGCGTCCATCTTCGACAAGTGACATGGAAGATGAAGATGCAGCACGAACGGGCACCATGTCAGGAGACGCAAAAGCCTTCGCGGGTATGCGGACGGAGGGAGAGGAAGATTTATCGGCAGACATGGACGACGTGGACGTTTTCATACCATGGGAGAAGCAGGCCTCGGTCGCAAGCAGTTCTTGCAGCACTATGCTTCCGGGCTCGGTTGCTTGGTCTCGCCAGACCACACCGGGCGAGGCTGGTTCTTTTTGGTGTAATACCACGCGGCCGGGCGAGGAGAACGAGGCTGGGTCATCTCCATCTGGATCTGGGTCATCTGCTGCCTGTGTCGGAGGTCCGGGTCAGAGCGGAGCGGCCTCTTCGAGCGGGGGCTTCCTGAGTCCTGCTGGAACGACCGCGAACCCCGCCTGCCCGCAACGAGAATCGACAAGCAAGTTCTCGGTCGGGGACTTGGCGTCCACTGCACCCGAAGGAACTGACGACACCCCGATGTCGCCGGACCCGGACGAGCAGACACGAGACAACATGTGGTCCGGGCAGCCAGGGGACAACGTGTCGGCGGTGGAGTCGCAAGGAGTCATTGCTCCGCCCACCGTCTACTCCGATGGTCCTCGTCCTGAAGACGTTGGTCTGGTGTCCGCAAATCCGGAAGATAACTCCGTGACGCCCGCGTCTACTTTGTCCCTCGACCTGTCCCGCGAAACCGCAATCCGGCTGCTGAGCAGAGGAGGCCCTTATCATGTGCAGCTCTCCGGTCCCTCTGCTCGACAACAGGAGTTTCTCGCTTCGTCGACGCCAATGCATCCTCCCATCCGGCAACATCACCGGCGGGAGCAGGGCGAGTCCTTGCTGGCGGTGTTGCAGCGCACTGCGATCAGGAACCAGCCGATCGTCGAGGCTCCGGGCGTAGCCGATGCGCTTTTCGCGGGCGAGGCATTGTACTCACCCTGGCAGAGAACCACAGACGCAGCCGAAAATGACGTCCAGGAATCGATCGCTGCTAGCTTGGACCAGCTTTCGATTTCTGCCCTGAGTGATAATGATATCAACACGGGGCCCCCGCGAGCTCCTGCCGACAGTGATATGGCCGGGGACGGCGAGGGCGGCATTTTTCTCGGCCGGAACTCCGTGTGGATTCCGCTTCAGGCGTCCGCCACCGTTGGTGGACATTCGCGGGGTGCCGTGATGGACCCGGCCGCAAGGGACGGGCAACAGCACGGGGCGCGCGAGTTGAGTCCTACCTTCCCGGCGCAGCGAAGAAGCACAACTACCAGGAGCGCCCGCATGGTTTCATCTTGCGGTGGCGAGATGGAAGTGGAAGACGGGTTGCAAAAACTGCATCAGACGTCTCGGACTCCGGATCAGGACCGTCAGCATTCCGCCCTGCTATCCCAGGGGCTGCGAGGACGGGAGCGGCGGCGGGAGGGAAAAGGGGAACAACATATTTCATGTGTAAGAACGTCCCCACGACCGCGAGCGCGACCCCAGATTCAAAGTGTAAATGGAAACTTCGCAACAGAAAGGAGCCTGAAGTTTTGGAAGTCACGCATGACAGTTTTCTGTCTTCAGAGGTTAGATAGTCGCGCAGCCGCACAAGAACTGCTCGATATTACCTTTTTATCCTGGTGATAGCATGACAAATAATCCCAAATAAACAGCACGACAAGCCGCCTTTCATGTTGTGGCTGCGCATGAGAAGAATTTTAGGCATGCAAACTTTAACCTGCTCCAGTGGCATGACAGCTCTGGTGGGGTGGGAACTTAGTTTTTCTACAGAATAGAATCAGATCGACGGGGGTCTACGAGCCCCTCGGGCTCCTCCTGGAACGGGCACTTGACGGACTTGTCGGATCAGAGCGACTGGGAAACGGACACGCGGTGCAGTGCTGGGCAAGATGAAACGAAGAGGAACCAGTTGGATCGCAAAGAACCCTTCATGGCTGGTGTAGCTCCTCCGGGCGGTGGACCAGCTGGCCTTGCCTCTTTTTGGTCCATGCCCGGACGAGCCATTCCACTGCCAGACCAGGATCCCCCGCGTGAGGGAGACGGACAAGGGGAGGCGCAATTCGCGCCGCGTCAGCAGGAAGGAATGGGCGGCACAAGTAGCACCAGTAGCATTTTTCCAGCCGGGCTCGGGCTGTATCTGCATCTTCGGCTGGGCGGCGCGGGGGCTACGCGCAGTGGCCGTTATGGCAGTGCCGGATCTTCGTTTGGAAACCAGGAGCGGGGCTCCTCTCCCACGGGTGCCTTTTCAGCGCGGAGCTCCAGTTCGAACAGCAGCCACTCGGGTGAGCAGGAAGGTAGATTTTTGGTGAAACGACTTACAAATGTCTACATTGATTTTTAAAGAATGGAGTACTGTACAGTAGGAGTACTGCACTGGTGTCTCAAACCTCAACTAGTACAAAGAGATCAACAGGAGACGACTTTTGGTGACACCAAGATTATTATATACCCTTCCACCGAAGGTCATTTGCTGCAGGCGAGCAGTTCCGAACTCCAGGAGGGCCGTATGCGCGTGCCCACTTACGATTCTTTGCCCGACGAGTATGGCAGCGTAAGGCTCGTCGGAATCGACAGGGTTGGAATGATTTGCAACGCCTAAAGTCGACGGACAGGAAGTCAGGAATTTTTTCATGCGCCGACTGGGAACTGTTGACACCTGAAGCTGCAGATCTGGGCTGACGCTGTTTGGGGCAAAGGAGTTAGTTTCCTTCTGTCATGTTTTTCACCAGCACCCCAAGTTTATTTCTTTTAGCAGAGCTCAAATCCGCTCCCGCTGCAATAGTCCCTTTTTTTGCGTCCTCGCAGTTCCAGTTTATGCATTGGATAATTTATTTCAACTTTGTCAAAGTCAAACCCTGACACTGCTATACAACCGAGGCCCTTACTGACGTGGGCCGGGAACAGCTCAGGGTCATGGTGCAGGGAGACAGCAACAACGCGGCAAACTTTCCGGGGTTACGCGCCGGACCGGAACAAGCGGAACCTCCTGCGGCGACGCCAGCGCCCCGTCTTCCTACTCCGTGGCCGACGAACCAGATGCCCCAGCAGCAGCTCTATCGCTGGGCCGTCCCGCCAAACTTCTTCGAGTTTGGCATTGGCGGCTGACGCTTTTCGCTTTGCTAGTAGTATCCTGGTCAGAAACGTCCCTACCCTAACATAGTCAAGTTAGTCGCTCTTTTCTATATCTTACACTCTCCTCGTTCGCCCGCTCTTGGATATTTACGCATGAGAAGTTTGTCTCTGTAATGTAGTGCAGAATAGCAAGAACAGCCGTGAATCACAAAGCCGTCGGCTTACATCTATCCTGTTACAGCTTAAATACCACAAGATAGTAGAAGACTAGAAATGCGTCTCACACACTACGGATGCACAATAGAATCAAATACTCTTGCAGCAGACCATGCAAAAGCAAATCTGCATGACAGAGACGGTGCGGGGGTGGGGGCGTATTCAACCAGGATGTTTGCAAAACACTTAGCATCTCGGTCTTGAACTTGAATACTGAAGAGTAGCTTTCGTGTCAGCGTCAACTCCTGACAAATGTTTTTGCTGATCGCCTAGACTTGTCTTTGGAATAGTGCTCGGACCTGTACATCATCATTGAAAATGCACTCGTTTTTATTCTTTGAGAGATCATCAACGAGAAGTGGCCTCATTTTGATTTTCATATTTTTTCCATACGAGAATCGGGTCGTATGTAATAGAAGGCCATATTTATGTTGTCATGGAGATGTAAGACTAATATATTGATAACCTCGAGGTCGAGAACAGCTGAACCGCTTTCAATCTTCGTTATTGTTTATTTCCATTGTGGATAAAACACAACCTGGTGGAGCTTCTTAGTACGAAAGAAATGGAATAGTGATGGAATAGATTACTCACCGGTAATACTAAGTGAGCGATCCGGAAAAATAAGATAAAAAGAGGAAAATCCGTGCAGTCGTCCTGTACTGTATCTGTGAAATGTTTACTAGACATGAATACAGATTGCGAAATTGCCTTATGTGTAAAAATAGCATTTTCCAATTCCACCTTTGTTTTCTGGCGTCGCTGCGGGTGTGTTGTTCTTCCCTTGTTATTGTCGCGGATGTCTGGCTCTGGACGTTCCTTTTCGGCTCGAAAGGATGAAGATCTATTATTTTCATTTTTACTCGTGGGCTCTGGGAACCCGACTTCCTAATGCGGATGCAGGTCGACATCTGATCTATTCTTTCGCGGCACATATTTCATTTTGTTTGATTTTGTCAAACGTCAATGAAGCCGACGCCGACCCTTTCCGGATGAAGTAGCAAGAAGCGTGTAATGAAGTACGCGTAGAGAAAGTGCCCCTGGTTTGAAACAAATCTTTGCGTTTCAAAGGTTCCCACTGGAAATCCTCATGTTGCTTATGCCAGGAACATCAAGGCCCAGGTGGATCATGTGATTATATGTATTGAGGTCATAGCCTGACTCTCACACTCACTCTCGCGCCACGCCTAAGTTTTGATTACTCTGGCGCCACGCCTGAGTTTTTATGGAAAAAGCGTCTTAGTTGAGCTTGAGTCGATAAAAAGTTTTGATGTGGAAACTCCGCAACAGAAACATTTGGAACTTCTGTAGACCCGGGGGCACTTTTCCATCTCCTTGCGATGCGCGAGGGCAAGGGTATGTAATGAAAGGAAAAGATCAATATTAAAGGAGGAGAACTCTGTAGTTTTTTAGTATCATGCTTGTTTATTTGCAACTTCATGATGCATGATGCATTTTTCCTGAGATCACACGAAATACAAGTCGCCACGCAAACTGTAGAGCCTGCGTCGGAGGGGGCTGCTGTCGCGATTTTTCTTGTCGCAGATTTGTAGTCGAAATCATTTTTGCACATCTTGCCTGCCACTTACTCTGAGGTGAGGACTCAAATAGCGCGCACAACAGGAGTCACTCGCTTGCCTAAAGAAGCAAGCGAGCACGCCATCGATTTTTTCGTTTTGGCATAGGTAGGCATAAGAAAGTGCGCCGACTTTGGTGTCGCACGGAAGATAGAATATCGGGCCGATCATCATACCGAAGATACACAATGTTGATGAAGTTTTATTCACTTCTTAGCAAAAAGATTTCTCAAGCGAAAAGTTCCAGTGCTGCTTCAAATACACTCCTCATTTTGAGTTGGAGTCTCGCGCACAGCGCGAATGGATGCTGTGACTGTAGCTGCTGCTCCTGCAGGGGCATCTTCTTCAGCGCCGGATCTCCGCCGGCGCTCTGAGCAATAAATAAGTATGCAATAGACGACCACGACCACGACGCACAGAGAGCCGAGGACGACCAGGATGCTGAACAACGAGGGAGGATCGATAAGAAAAAGTGCGCAAAGCAGACGAATGTACTTCTCACAAATGCGGCCCGAACTGTGCAAAGACACACATATCCGGGCTGGACGCGGCGGCGCTGGGTGGTCTTCTCCTTCGAAGCAGTTGAAAAGGTTCCTGTTGCTTGGGCTTGCCGGACGTTCGATGATCAGGTGGCCGTACATGCAAGTGAGACTGGTTGTTGATCAATACAACCGGGTGGCAGAGAAGAACTACGGTGCAGGAGGGGAACAATGGCCGTGGAAGGGGGAGGAGAAAGCGCAACCGGTTCTTTCGACAACTGCTACGAGCGCTCCCTACGATCGTGCCAGCAGCATAATATCTGTCGCAGCCTTGCCGGTGATTCCACTGGACCTGCGAAATCTGCGGGACGAGCGCCCCCTCGTTTTGAACGTGCAGGGGCAGGAGCTAGTCGTCCGCGTGATTTTCGTATCAATTGCGAATATGTCAATGTCTGGGTCATCTGGAAGAAAGCAGAAGGTCGTCACGCAGTTTTTCCATCTGAATCAATGCACGCACAGCATGACAAATTCTGCGAAGGCTTTCGCTTTCCGATGCCCAGTCTGCATGAGAAAAAATACCCCCGGCGTCAGGAGACAAAAAGCGCGCATCGTTTGGTGACTGCGCAGGATCAGATAAAAATTTTTGCTTAATTCACAATGAATCAGCGTTACAAGAAGTTATTTGCATCCTTCGAGACTCGGACATATTTGCAATGCGTATTTTGAAGCAGGCAACACGCAGGAAGGGTTTGCTGTTCGACGGCATCCGCGGCAAGGGATCAGGCGGACGCCCACGGTCTCTAACGCGAGCGGCGAGGATATTCTGCCTAAGCACGCTCCCGCCCCAGAGTTGTTATGCAAATCGGCATACTCAAAAGAAAACGTTTTCCAATTCCATGCGCCGGATCCTTGGCCTGTAGCGCTGGAGTTATGGTGTCCACTACGAGATGATGACGCGGAGGAGTTCCATGATGTTGAAAAGCGTTTTCTAGTGGTGTGCTGGAATTTGTGATGCTCGCATCAGCGAATGATGCTAGAACTGCGATGCTGATGCACTTGCTTACGGCGCAGCTTCTTGTTTCTACCTGCCCAAACTCGTGATGCGCGACGAGGAAAGCTTGTTGATCTGGGGTGGGGAGGGCGACTTTTTTGCAGACAATAGAGGAACGGCATCTCGCTGTCTTCGGGGAGGGGGGTGAACAACAAGTTTTCTCCGAAGAGGAATTGCAGGAGAACCTCCTTTCCTTGTTCAACTTTGAGACGTGCGCCCAGGTTTTTGAGAGTATTCGGACCCAGATGCCCTACCCAAAGTTCATTTGGCACGAGGCGGCCGGCGGCTTTCCGAGCACGCTGCAGCGCCTGCAGCGGGAATGGGCGCCCAATTTCTGTGCGTCGGTTGGAAAGCCCAGCGACGAGGATACTATCGGGGGTGGTGCTGAGCAACGAACTACAACACTTGGCTCGGGTAGTACGACTCGCGAGGGTCACCAGCACAAAAACCAAGACAATTTTTTGTATCCGCCCATATCCGCTTGGTTGCCCGTGTACGAGCAGAAGCGAGCCCTCTACCGTCACGGCACCGAGGAGCCGAAGTGGTGCGGGCTACTTCCCCCCCGCAGGGTGCACTCGGACGAGAACATGAGTATCTCTTCCTATTTCACGAACGGGTTCATGGTGCGTGACCTGGTGCGCGACTTGGCGGGTTTGCACTTGCTTGCAGTTATGTCCTCTGCCACATCTTCCACCGCAAGGGCCACGACGCGCCCCGTGATTTCGGCCATCATATCAAAATGAAAAATCCCCCTCCCCGTCCCCACATCAAAATGGAACCAACTCTGTGAGGCAGGATTTTTGTAAGCTCTGTGTTGCAGCTGGGGAATGCAGGCCGGTACAAAGCTTTGGGAGGTTCTGAGGTCGCCGCTTAGCATGCCAAACGTCAGTCTGCCCTGTAGGTCTACCAGCATCACAATAAACCGCCCGCGTAATGCGGCTGACATTCTAGACTTGACCCTTTGCAAGACAGTCGACATGATATGTGACAACAAAGCAGCGGTGCGACCTTTTCGATATGGGGAGGGGGTATTTTTCCGTACGATGGAGCAACATTGGCATTGCCGACGTGATGGATGACCCGCTAGGGAAAAACGTGGACGACACCTGCGGACTGCTCTTCGAGCCCATGGAAATGTATCACGAGCAGATTCGCCGGGATATTGGGCACAATCCCTGTCTCACCCTGATCCCGTTGGGTATTCTGCCCGATCGGGTAGACGAGTTGTTTTTGTCCCCTGCGGCAAAATCGTTTTTCGAGGACCCCTTCGATGCGGTGCTAGGAAGCAGAACAGCGAAGCACCGCCCGTCGCCCGCGAGCGGGGCCATCGCAGACGAGGACGACGAGAACGTCGAGGAGAGGGCGCCATGGGCTCGTGAAATGGAAGCGGCGGATAAGACTGAAGAGTATCGTAAGGACAAATCCCCCCTCCCCATATCGAGACGAAGTTTCTGATGCTGGATCTCCGTACACAAATGCGCGCTGTCTTGCAGTAAGGCTAAGGCATCGCAGCCAGATCCTCAGCCTAGGTAGTGGCGTTTGGGTCTAGTTGTCTTCTCGCATTACAAACGGCTGTCCCCTCGGCCCAACAGCGTGCCAAATCGCTTCCATAATGGCGCGGAAGCCTCTGCACTTATCTTCTTGCAAGGCAGACGCGACTTGTGGTTTCAAATCAGCAATGCAAATTTTCGGAATCTTCTTTATGCCGTTTCGATATGGGGAGGGGGGATTTTTCTTTTTGATAAAGGAGCGGCTCTTGCTGCTGCAGGTCTTTCAGGTCCGAGTTCTGTGGTAGCAGAGGACCGCCGCGGGGGCGCGCTGGGGCCGGGAAATCATAAAACCTCCTCGCAGGAGAAGGGGAACAAAGCGGCTGTAACGGCCGCGTCTCCGCCGTCGCCCCAAATACCCCGGGCTAGAAGAGGTACGACAACACATCGTCGGTCATTCGAGTTGGACGTTTTAAAGATTGACATTGGCAGTTTTGACTGTGACCTGTTCGAGAGCATCTGGAAAGTTTTGAAAAGATACGGTGCCGCCGAGAAGCGCGACTGGAGACCGACGGTAATCGTCTTGCAGACGAACCTGATCCCCCCGCCGATTCGGCACGCCCTGCACTACGTGAAGGACCTGGAACGGAAGTTGCTGCAGGACTTTTACGGTAGCAACTTGGTGATGACGGTATGCAGCTTGAGCTACCAGGTCACTATGTTGGCAGGAAGGGGCTACGACTTAGTGAGCAACGTGGGTGGTGACAACGTCTTTGTGCTCCGAGCTCGGGTTTTGCCAGCGGTACTGCGAGTGCAGGCCGCGTCGCGGGAAATAACCGATAAGAATGTTGCGGAACAACAAGAACATCAGCAAGGGGGGCCTGCCGCCGCGGGCGAGCAGCAATTACGCCGCCACGACCCGCCGGCGCTGACCAGTGTGCTGCGCGACTACACGGGGCCAATAGACGAATTTGAGTGTTTTCGCAAACTACCATGGCAGGTTCGTCCGAACCTGTATGGCGATGCGGCGGAGTGGGGATACAGGGAGGAAGACTACAGCATCCCTCACTACGGCGACTCCTGGTGGCGACCAACCATTCACGATGTCCGCGAGTGGGTTTTGTTCGAAAAGGCTGAAACCGTGCTGCCACGCGTGTGCAACAATGTGACCAAAGGGCTTGCCGGGCTTGGGTTTTTTGTACCAACTACCTGCAACATTGCGTACTGAAGGCACGACTCCAAAGAAATTTAGGGAGATTAAACTACAATTATAAACCAAAGTATAGGTGGTGACCAAAACGATGCGAAGACAAAGGAGTACATCAATCTTCCCCAACAAATCGCCCTTGCGCTCTCGCAAAGATTGACGCGGTGCATGTTAGCAGGAGTGGGACATCGATTGAGAAGTGGCTAGGATCGCTACTGAGAATCACAGTAGCAATAAGTTCTCTGCTGTAAACATCTCTCTCTGCTACACCTCCTCGCGAGGGCATCGATGATAGATTCTAACATATAAGAATCGCAGCATAATTCGCTCGTCAATTGTTGGTGCTACTCCAACCACCAGCGCCGCGCGGGCATGACTAGTCGGACGATCTGAAAAATGCGACGCGGACACAGAACAGGACGATCATGCGAATGCTGATGAGCGCTGTGTAAAATAGAAAAAAAGTTGAAGGTGGATGAAATCACAGTTCAACGCGGCAAAATGTGATCCCTGTTGATCACGTTTTCTCTAAAACGAAATCGGATTGATATGTAATTTACAATACCAAACAAGGCAAAGACCTAAGTACGGGATCTGATAAGAAAAATGTCTTAAATGCAGTACGGGATCAACATCGGACTCGGAGTCCAGCTGATCAGAAAAATATTGTAAGCCTGTTGTCAATCTTGATCTTCAAAATAGACGGAAAACCCAATTGATCACAGAAATTGAAAGGGTGTACGACGCATGTAGACCAAATGGTGTAACACGCATGTAGACCTCCTCGTGAAGATCTGTGCGACACAGCATGTACACAGAGATCCTAAAAATTAGTGCCAAGAACGTCCCCTGCAGCGAGCTTCGAAACCCCGATGCACGACAAAGATGTTTGTCAACTTCGCTGGATTTTTTGATCAAAATGACTGTCATGCATTCTCTCGCTGTGCGTGTGGTGTGCTGCAGTGATCCAATTTCTTGGATTCTCGTGCCAATTCTGAAAACCTAACTAACAGGATTCGGATTTCCTTTCCCCGTTCACGACAATTCTTGTTCTTCAATATTTACTGGTGTTTTTGATTTATTTATCTATTGCAGATAACATAAACTCCTATGTTATAAGGATGGGTTTCTTTTTTTGATTGAACACATTATTGCCTCCTGCTCTCGGCACAGGCATTCGTAAGCTAGCACATATTGAAGTTGTGAAGAAGATTTCGCCTTCGCACACAGCTGTAAAGTAATCTGGATGTTGAGCAGGTGTCGCCGGCCAGCATTAACACTATTCATTCTATTAGGAATACACTCCACCCCAGCCAGCACAGAGCAGCTGCGCAAGACGATCGATTATGTATTATTGTCAGGTTTTACTTTTTTAGACCAGAGTCAGGGTAACCGCGGTTATGTGGAATAGCAGTTGTAATGTAGGCTATTAAGCGAATAGGCTATCAATACTCTACAATAGAAGTACGTACTATGTACAACAAGCGCGAACAACGAAAATAAAGTTTCATTTTTGGTAGCGTCTTTCGGGACCTGCTTCTCGTCCTTCTGTCTTCAGCTATTCTATTTCCAGTATCTCGGATGTCCATTTTATAGCGTTCAGCCATCACCATCTACTCTAGATTCTCAGCAGTCCGTTCGTTTTCGACAAAAAATCGCAGTAGCAACCATAAGGACTGCAGCTTTTTTCTCTGCTTTTCTTTTTTTGGAGGCCTCGCTAGCATGGAGAAACTATATATATATACATCAAACCAAATTATAGTTCCCTGTTGTAGGATATTTAGCAGCATCAAAAGGAGATAAGCACTAGCCTTGGGCTGCGAAATAGGCTCGCTCCCCCCAGCGCGAGTGCCAATTTTCGTGCCTAGACGGACCAAGCAGTGCCTTGCAGTACTACGGTCGCCTTTGTAGGTATTTCTATCAGATGAGCAGCTACTTCGACATCTACACAGACAGACAAATTACGCTTTCTTCGATTTTTCGTCGTCTTTGAACCACTCATAGCCACAGTATTCAACCTGCGTTGGCTGCTCTTTAGCTCCGATCCACCGAACATTTTTACGCTTATCAATCTCTATTTCTTTATCCGAGGACCTCCACAAAACCGGAAAACTAAGTGTTTTGATTTTCTGAGAGTTCTTGTGGGGAATAATTGCTCGTTTTTTCTTTCGTTTCACCCGTTTTACTGAAGGTTGTTTTTGCTTTTCGCAATACTACAAAGAAAAGGTCTTCATATTGAATATTTTTTACTCTTTTTCGAAAATGGAGGAATTTCCTGACTACCAATATCCGCCCGAGGTTGTGTCCGGAGGTGGCTATGGGGTGTCAGGAGACGGTGATGGTTCCGTTCTGGTTTATCAGTACGATCACAGTCAGCCCGTACCGCAGATGATGCCGGCGCAACAGGCGGCTGCCATGCGGGCGCATCTGTATAACAACCGCTACGCGGCCACGCACTTTTCGGCTTCTGATCCCTCGACAACGTCGTCTCCCGAGAAGGCCCAGCCGCCATTATCGTATTGAAAAGCGCCCCTACTCCAGAACTTGGAATAATTTGCATCGTACATCGCCAAGCATTTCTGCACTTTCAAAACCCCGCGCCCCTTACTTTGCATCTTCGCAAAAAAAAGCGAAGGGCTCGACGGACATTCCGCCCGAGAGAAAAAGAGCGAGCGCGAAAAATGCAAAGGCCAGCAGTGCGACCCGCCGCATGTTGCGGATCCAACAAGGGGCCCGGGGAGGTGGTCCCGTTGCTTCAATAATCCGACTTAAAAACTTGTCCATGGAAGCATCTCCCATCTGGCATATATCAGCTGCGCAAATTTTCCATGCCGAATAGTAAAATCCCACTGCTTGTTTCTTGCAAAAGAGCCCGCGAGCAGCCGCCCCTGCTAGTGTTGTCTCAGAGATCAACATGTCTCGCGTCCGCGTGCCTAGATTTATGTGCGTGAGAAAGACCACTTTTAGTCCTTCGAGGCATGACAAAAAGTTTTGTGATCACATGGGTTGTTGAGGTGTGGTGAAAGGGTTACTCATGCTTTCGCATTTGAAAACCTCATATATTCATATTGTCATGCGCATTGCCGGAAACATCAACATGCATTCCAACTTTCGGGGTCGGGGCACTTTTCATTGTAATAGGGGCCCGTGAAGCCTCCCTATCTGAAGAAAAAATCCGGTAGCTCCTCCTCCGTGATTAACGTTGGGCAGGCGGACGCTGGAACAACTGTTGCGGCCTACAATGCCGGCGTTGTGGCCGCGGCCGCGTATAATCATGTTGCGACTACCTCCTCTAGTGCAGCTGGGGCCAGCAGTGCTAGCGGTCCGGCAGGGGGCGCAGATGCCGGTGCTGCCGGTGCAGCGACATCAACCAGTATTAATGCCACTTCGTGTGAAGACCAAGACGAAGCAGCTCGCCTTCATCGTGCGGCTGTTATTCAACAACAACATGCAGCTAGCATGGCACACCACTTCGCGGCGCAGCAGCAGCAGCAGCAGAATCTGTACGCACAGTTTGCGCAACAGACCGCCGCAGCGGCGTCGTACGCGACCGCCGCGAATGCTTACAACGCACGGTGCGCTGCACAAGCGGCGGCTTACATCCAGCATGAAGTAAACATGCAGGCTCGGGCGGCGGCAGCGCTGGCGGGGCCGCAGCCGCCGCCGGCAGCAGCAGGTGCTGCAGGACAACTGTTTGCGCCGGCGCTGCCCCTGCCACACAAGAAACCGAAAGGTCAGCACTACACAATTGCCCCCGGAAGTTGTCTACAACTTCAGGGTAGTGCAGTTCGTCCGACAGCATCATCTTCGAAGGTGAGTGGAGCACAACGTACGGCGAAGGTGGACCCTGGTAGTGCAACGGCAGTTCTGACCACAACGACTGAAAATAAAGAACACGTGAAGAATGGTGCTGCTTCTCGTGGACTTATGAGTTGTAACAAGGGGCCCAGTATTGTAAAATCTAGTACAGAAACAAGCACTAACGCCGCGACGAGTCGTGCGCGTACTTCCCTAGGGGGCCCAGAAGCATCTGCTACGCAGCAGGAAGTACTAGGTCCTTCTCTGCACTACAAGAACAGCAGCGTGAGTCCCACGATGAGTTGTAAGACTGTTGAAGTGCAGGAGCAACAGCAGATGCATGCGAAAAATGCGGCTGCTGTCGGCACGACCACTGCACCCCCCGCGAAGATGATGAGTTCTTCGCTCTTGCCGACTTTCTCGAACAGGCTCACCACGAAGGCAGGAGTACTAGGACAACCTCCGAGCGGTCTCGGTCGCCTGTTGCCAACCCTATCGCAGGTTAGTGAGGAGCCGAGCATGGCGAAACACAAGGCTGTTCGCGAAACTACTTACGATGCGGAGATCGCCCGTGTTATTTGTAGTTCCAAGGCCGCGCTGCAAAAAGAGCACGACCCGCTGGGGGAGGACGAGAGGAAAGAACCGCTAGCGTTACTGCAGAAGACAGCGTCGGTCAAGACAGAGTCGGGCTGCGAACACGTGCAGAAAAAGACACCGGAGCAGGGAGAGCCTCTCCTCCAACGAGACGAGGTGGAGGAAGCCAGTGGCTTTCCTGTGTTACCGCTCCAACAAATAGACGCCGTACACGAAGTACACCAGCCTCAGCAAGCAAGGCAACAAGTAGTGCCAGACACAGACGGGTTGCACGAGCGCGAGGACCACGGGAACTACAAGCCGTGTCGTGGCCGGTATCCAACAGATAAAGAGTTGTACGCCAATACCAGAAAAAAATAAGAGTGCTACCAGAATAAAATATAAATATACCAGTCTTCACCAGATCTCATGTTCACCTTTTAAGTTTAGTTTTATATTTATCGAGAGAGTTGTGCTGGTCGCAATGCGTACGGCCTTTTCATCACCAAACGACGCCTGCACCAGAGCACGCAAAAGTAAATTTGTGTCGCTGATTGAATTCCTGTCACTGTGTCTAGAAAAAAAAAATCCAATAGAAATTCTCCAACGCCCCAATAGAGATTCTCCGTATAGAGAATCTCCCGCGTCGAATCTATCGGCTCCCGCTTTGTCTTCGGTTGCGTCTGCTCTTCGCCTTCGCCTGGCGCAAAGAAAAGCTGTTGACCTTCCTCTGGCGCAAAAGCCCACTCTCGCTTGACTTTTTCAAAATGCTCTTTTTGTTCCGTGCCCATGGACGGGGAAAAAAGTTCCTGTGCATGTTTCGGCCTCTGGGGGTTCAGCTTTTTCATTCTTTTTTTGCCCGCCGTCAGTTGCGGGGAAAGAAAGAATAATTCCGCACCGACCTGGCGGCCGGCGTAGGGGAAATAGAGAATATTGCGCACACTGTGCGCGCGCGGGCTTCTTTTTGAGCGGCCAAACGCTCTTGCTCGCCGATGCGCGGCATCTGGCGGCGTGGCGGCAATGAAAAAAATTTCTGCGCGCTGCGACGCGGGGGCTTTTTCTTGTGAGCAGCCGGGCGCACCTTTTCGCCGGCCCGCGCACCACATCAATCTTGCGGCGTGCTGGTATCGAAAAATAAATATGCGCGCCGTCGCCAGCGCGCCGCGCTTTGTAGCGATGCGGGATCGAATTCAAAAAATTTTCGTGCGCTGCGCGCGCGCGAGTTTGTTTCTCGGAGCGGCCGCGCGCTCCCGTTGCATGCCCGCGCGCCGCGCTTGGTGGCCATGCGGAATCGAATTCAAAAAATTTTTGCGCGCTGCGCGCGCGCGATTTTGTTTCTCTTAGCGGCCGCGAACTCCCGTTGCCCGCGCGTCGCGCTTGGTGGCCATGCGGAATCGAATTCAAAAAATTTTCGCGCGCTGCGCGCGCGCGAGTTTTTTTTTCTTTGAACGGCCGGGCACTCCCACCGCCCGCGCGCCGCGTTTGGTAGCGGTGTGGGATCGAATTCCAAAAAATTTCGTGCGCTGCGCGCGCGCAAATCCTTTTCTTTGAGCGGCCGCGCGCTTCCGTTGCCCGTGCGCCGCGCTTGGTGGCCATGCGGAGTAGAATTCAAGAAATTTTCGCGCGCTGTGCGCGCGCGAGTTTTTTTTTTGAGCGGCCGCGCACCCCCGTCGCCCCCCCGCGCGCCGCGCTTGGTTGCGATGCGTGTGGAAGTGAATTCAAAAAATTTTCGCGCTCTGTGTGCGCGCGAGTTTTTTTCTTTGAGCGGCCGGGCACTCCCACCGCCCGCGCGCCTCGTTTGGTGGCGGTGTTGGATCGAATTCCAAAAAATTTCGCGCGCAGCGCGCGCGCAAATTTTTTTCTCTGAGCGGCCGCGCGCTTCCGTCGCCCGTGCGCCGCGCTTGGTGGCCATGGCATGAGGAATCGAATTCCAAAAATTTTCGCGCGCTGCGCGCGCGCGCGTTTTTTTTCTTTGAGCGGCCGCGCACCCCCGTCGCCGGCCCCCCCCGCGCGCCGCGCTTGGTGGTGGTGCATGTGGAAGTGAATTCAAAAAAATTTCCCTCGCTGCGCGCGCGCGAGTTTTTTCCTCTGAGCGGCCGGGCACTCCGATCGCCCGCGCGCCGCGTGTTGTGGCGGTGTGGGATCGACTTCCAAAAAATTTCGCGCCCTGAGCGCGCGCGAGTTTTTTTCTCAGAGCGGCCGCGCACCCCGGCCGCCCGAGCGCCGCGCGGGCGCCCCTGGTGGCGATGGGTATGGGGCCGAATTCAAAAAAATTTCGCGCGCTGCACGCGCGCGAGTTTTTCTCTCTGAGCGGCCGCGCACCCCCGTCGCCCGCGCGGCGCGCCTGGTGGCGCTGGATGCGGAATCGAATGCAAAAAGTTTTTGCGCGTCTTTTTCCTTGGCCGGTCGCGTATTTTCGTCGCCCGCGCTTCGCGCTTGGTGGCGATGTGGGGTCGAACTACAAATTTTTTGCGCGCTGCGCGCGCGCTTTTTCTTCTACTGGGCGGCCGCGCACTTCTTTGCGCGCGCCACACATGGTGGCGCGTTTGCTGGGATTGAAAAAAAGTTCTCGCGCATTGTGGTCGCGCGCGCGGAGTGCGGGGGGGATGGGTTAAATTCTCTCGCGCGGGCTGCAGCCGTGCATCGTGGTTGGATCGATGGAATGGGATAAATTCTCCTGCGTTCTTGCGCGTCTGGTGTCCGTTTTTTCGAGCAGGCGGCGCGCGCCCCTTTTCGTGCGCCGCGACCCCCCGGCGTTGTTTGCGGGAATGAAAAAAAAAACTCGTCGCGCTCCGCCCGCCTGGGCTTTTTCTTTCGTGCTGGCTGCCGTTTTCTGCGCGCCGCACCTAGGCGGCGGCGGACCGACGTTGTGGGGGCCAAAAAAAAATTCGCGCGCTGTGCGCGCGGGCCACCTCTCGGGCAGGCGCGTGGGTGCTCTCGCGTGCCGTGTCTGGCGCCGTGGGTGGGAGGCCGCTAAGTGGGTCCATCAAAGATTTTCGAGGAGCGCCGCGCGCTCCTATGTTATCGCGCGCCACACCTAGCTGGTGTGGGCGTGCGTCGCGAAGATAATCGTGCGGGCTGCCGCTAGACGGCCGGGCTGCGCCCAGGCTTTGCAGGCTAGCGAAGCCTTGGTTGAGAGGCTGGCAGACTAGCACCCAGGCTTTGCAGGCTAGCAAAGCCGGGGTGCCAGGCTGGCAGGCTAGCAAAGCCGGGGTGCCAGGCTGGCAGGCTAGCAAAGCCTGGGTGCCAGCAGGCTGGCAGGCTAGCAAAGCCTGGGTTGCCAGCAGGCTGGCAGGCTAGCAAAGCCTGGGTGCCAGCAGGCTGGCAGGCTAGCAAAGCCGGGGTTGCCAGCAGGCTGGCAGGCTAGCAAAGCCTGGGTTGCCAGCAGGCTGGCAGGCTAGCAAAGCCTGGGTTGCCAGGCTGGTAGCCAGGCTTCCTGGGTTGCTGGCTGGCAACCTAGCATCTCAGATAGAGAATCTCTATCCCAGATAGAGATTCTCTATCCCAGATGGAGAATCTCTATTTGGGATGGAGAGTCTCTATTTCGGCTTCGCCACTGGTGGAGGAGCTGCTGAAATATAGTAAAAAACATGTGGGAAAACAGTAAGAAACAGAAAAAGAAGAAAAAAGAAAGAAAAAGAAAGAAAGAAGAAGAAAAAAGCGATACTCTTTATCGAGAATTTCTATTTTCCTCAGAGAGTCTCTATTTCAAATAGAGACTCTCTGAGATTTTCTATTTCGAGAGCCGCGTTAATATTTCTGTTGGATACCCGGGACCACGCGACTTTGGAGCCCCACGTGTGGCGTAACTGCCGGCTGGGGCCCTGTATGGAAAGATGGAAATCGAAAAAGTACTTGCTCGAGAAGATTGGCCATTTGCAGACGTCTTTTCACGAGAACCCCACTCCGGCGTTTGACTACAGGTAAAAAATATTATAACTGTTCGAAAATTGCTTCGAACCGCCCTGAGTGCCTCATCTTTTCTCAAAATGAAAAAAGCAGAAGCGCAAGGACTGAATTCTACTTATTTCCCGTCTACTCCTGTCCGTTTCGCTTTTTCATTTGCTTAGCACTCGATAGGATTGATATTGTTAAGGTCTTTTTGCATTGAGAAGTCGTAACCTTTCAAAGGAAAAAACTTTTACAGGCAGAAGTCCTTTCAATATGTGACGAAGAAATTTTCGGAGATTCTGCTTCACCAGCAAGAGTGTGATGATCGAGCTCCAGAAAAAGATATGCTTGTGCACAATTTTCCCTCGTCCAGCCCGTTTGTTTTGCAGAACTCTAAACGACCGCGCCCCACACCTGTAATATTTAATTTTACCTTTTTTCTACTTCTGTACCGCTCCTATTCTGCAATAAGTCATTTCGGGGCCCAAACCTGCACTTCGCTTCGCGTGTTGTTGCTTCTGTAAATGCCATGCAAAGTAGTATGTCGCTGCCGATGGGAGTTGTGCACTTGGATAAAGTAACAATTGTCTGGTCAAGCTTGCCTCCCTGTCGACCAAGGCCTCGGGGAAGAAAATGACGATAAAATGAACGCCGCGCCTCGAACTTCATCTGGAGACGGAGTAACAAATTATCGGGGTGGCAAGAAATTTTACTACTACTACCCCCGGAAAAAAAAAGACCATCACCGTCCTTGTATAGGTACTTGCATCTGGTGCATGTTTGCAGCACTTCATTATTCTGGCAGTAAGAGATGTTGAGCACAAAAAACACAACGTGAAGAATACCCATTGTGCGTGGAGCAATGTCAACTGCACGGCACCACCACCAGCTAACTTTTTTTAATATTCGCGATGATTCTCATTAAATTTCATTTTGATTTTGAGCTTTTATGTTGGCTCTGCAAGTTGTCGCTCCAGACACAATGAGTACTTCCATCCTACGACATAAATGAAACTGCTACCGACGAGTGCTGGTGGCGGCCCTTTTTGTAACATTCCATAAGCGCCGTGCTGTGAGTAACACGACTCGGGGCCCTGCGCAACTCGAAAACACGGTGCCGCCGCTGGTGGAGGATTTTGAAGCACCGGAGTTTCTTCTCAAGATATCAATTGCAAATATCGATCTGGATGGTCGGGAAGATTGCAAGGTTTGCAATGCACGATTTGCATGACCAGCACCATCCAGGAAGTTTTAGTTTGGAGTGCTGTTCTCTTGGCATCACAAGGTATGACAGGCTCCTGGACGGAGGTGCCTTTTTTCCTGTCTGAGAAGTACTATTGTTTTCGGATGACCAGAGAGAGTGGGCATTTTTGCTATTTCTTGGCATCATGGAGTACTACAAGTTTTTGTCTTGATTGATTTGGTCGAGCGCCACAAACTCAGACTCATCTTCCAAGCCCAGACATATTTGCACCGGATACATGGGGCGCTCGACCGATGTCCACTCCACTGTTCTGCGGATGTGCTCTCAGAAGTCCCAGGTAATAACCCGATTTTCGCTGAACTCACATGTGGTGTGAAGTACTTATTCTATAGTGAGTATCTAAGTTATAGTTAAGTCAATGGAGGTACGCTCGCGGGCGTGTAACTTGAAAAGATCCTCGCATTTATGCATGTGCGAAGATGATCCTTCGTTTTTTTTGTATCCATCAGACGCTTTGCCTTCGTCTGTGTAGAAAGATATGCTCCTGCGACCAAGATGCTATATTTGACGCAGCTCGAAAATGAATCCGCAGATTCGTACGACAGCACGACGCACAAATTAGAAACGTTAAATGAATCTCCCCTAATATCACTCGCCGGGTGGCTAGCTGAAAAGTTTTTGTATCACTACACACTCACACAACAGATTTGGCTGCACTATGACGTGTGTGACAACCTGCTTTGCCAAGTGCATGGGAGAAAGCGGGTGGTTCTTTTCCATCCCTGCTACATAGAGGATCTCTGCTTCGATATGCTGAGTACTAACGCCCCCCACCCATGCAAATTTGGAAGCTTAGAATGTTTCTCATGCGCAGTATGCTCCAATCAACGTTAATATCACTCTGGAAGCCTCTCATGCTAGAATCAGGATGAGGTCTGCTCAATTTCTGACGTGGCTGCATTTGCTAAACATACTCTATACATGATAGATCATTACTTACACTGCGAAGCCAGCTACATGTTAGTTGGCCTCGCAGTGTAATGATCTTGTTATAACAAGCCTGTTGCGCGCAAGACACGAAAGTCGCTGGCTCGTGTACCAAAATTCCCATCTTGAATTTGGAGTTTCTTGTGTACAACCGGAAAAGACCAATCTGAACCTCCGTCTTGACTTAGGGGCGGGGACGTTTGTGCTTAGGATATTGGACGCAACCAGTTCGAGTTCGGCATTGGGTTCGCGCTTGCTGACTGCGTTATCAAAAAAGGATTGGGAAGCTCTACAGAAGCAGTTTCCAAAACACGACGTCAAAAAGGCCTGGGAGGATCGGTACTTGTACCCCTTAGTGACAACTTTGCAGCTTCGAAGTCCTGCATACATTTTGTTTTAATGTTGTAGTACGAAAGTACTTGTACTCACAATACAGTACGTAGTACGACGCTGAAGGTTCTTAGTCAGTGGCAGTGGAGTCATAGAGGTGACCAAACTCGATGATGAATGAAAATGTATTCGTATCTTGCAAATAGGACATGTTCTACTTCATCACATCGCAGGCGTGAAGTAATTCTGGAGGCGGGGGACACGCTTCTGATTCCTGCATTCTGGTTGCACTGCACGGAGGACTTGACTCCGGCGAAAAAGGAAACCGACCATCCCGGTTTAGGTTCCCTGAAAAAGCGCCGCGCGCATTCCAGTTGCGGAGCGTTGACGACCACGTCGCCGGGGGACAGTTTCTCTATGATGCAGAAATACGACCAATACAGAAGCTGCACCGGCTCCTCGGCCGGGTTTTTCACGCCAAAGTTTCGCGACCATCCTGGGCCTTCCATGAACCCTTTTGGCATCGAGCGCAGGACCCGTATTATGAGCTTGCCCACACGGGAACCGCCAGGCTTGGAAAGGTTCACGGCGACCGGCGCGGGTACTAGGGGCGCAACATCTGCCGCTTGCAACATTCCAGATTTCTTGAAGCCGAGCACGCTGAAGCTGAGACCTGCTGCACGGGGGGACAACATCTCCGAGGTGGAATCCGGGACCACGAACAAGAAGGTCCGAACCCTATCTCTCGCAGACTGCTTGGCAGAGACGCCTTCCTCCACAGCCGCCACTCCGCTTGGTGCGTTCAGCAGCAGCGGCAAGTTCTTTCACAGCAACGATGTGAGTCAGGGCCGCACGACACCGGTCGTAAACGGCGGCAGCGTCGTCCGCAAAAACTCGCTGAGCCGGCACCTGGACCTGGGGAGTTCCTCGGCGTACCACGGCGCACCGACGACCCCTTCCGCGGACCATGTCGCGCGCAGCTGGCTGCTGCCGTCCCTGCCCTCGGGGGCAGGCTTGCGAAAGACCAGTACGCTGGAGGGCGAACTCGTCGTTCCCGTGCCCGTGTCTAGCGCGTCCTCGTCCGGTTGTACGGATACGCCGATCGATATGGAAGCGTCAGGATCGAAATCGACAAAGTCGATCTGGAATGCATAATAAAATGCGACCTCCCAGAAACGAAAGCGACTCTATTGCGGAGGATGCAAGGAAGGCGGATTATGGTCCCGGTAAGGGTCAAGAGTTGGGCTGTAGTTGACTAGCGTGGCAGAAGGGAGCTCTTTTTCCCTAAACCGCGCGACTACAGATTCGCTTCCAGGACAGGTATGATTTGTCATGCGCCGCCTACAGACTGTGGGCCTAACTCTAACTCTAAGTGGTTGTATCGATTTCATGCATTTCAAATTTTTCGGCTTTGATGTCGATTTCTATCCTGACGCTTCCATAATCGACTCCGGAATCTACACCTTTCACGACCCGGAGGAAAGCGACGGATATAATGACGTAAGCAAGAATTTGCGCCTTTTTCATCTCCAACAAGGTGGAGTAGACCACTCCTCGACCTCCACTACCACACAGCTGTTCTTACAGCAGCAACAATTCGCCAAGTACGGAACCCCCCGGAGCCGGCTCAACAGCGCGGACTCTTGGAAGAGCGCGGGCGGGGGGTTGCCCTTGCCGCGGCACAAGAAGAATTCCATCGAGTTGTTTTTGGAGGAAAATAGTAAACTCAGCTCTTTGCTGGAAGGGAAGGAAGAAGGGGCTGCTGCTCCTTGTCAAGAACAACACCAGGGGAAGCTGCAGCCTCGTGACGAAGGGGAACAACCGCCGTCGTGTGGAACCGCTGTAGCTGGAAGGACGACCCAAAAAGTTGGGACTCTTGCGGCCGGCGCGGAACAAGGCGAGGAGGGTGGAGCAGCTGCAGCACCAGCACCTCCTCCTTCGAACGACGCCTCCACCTCCACCTCCGCAGACATTAAAACAGATGTTTGTGCGCCGCATGATCATGTTGCGCAGCACGAGCAGCTTCTGGAGAAGGACGAGGGTACTAGTACACCAGACGAAAAAGAAGAGGGGAAAGGCATGGAGTTCACCGCGAACGAGCATAGCAAGGAGCTGTCGCTGGATCTCCCCACGATCGCCGAGGTGGTCGAAGCGGACTGTCCGGACAATAAAGCGCAGGTATGATCTATTGCAGCAATGTTGTCCACTATTTTCGGGTGTCTGTCGCACGGGGAAGAAGTTAAGTATACGTAAAAAAGTTGCGAATCTTGCGAAAGTGATTTCTTAAATTCGACGTACAGAGGTAGTTCTCTCGGCTTGTATTTCGAACTTCGATCGGTGCTCAGTTGTCCTCGGGCTGCTGGAGGGAGTAGCACGCAGCAGCCCGCTAAAGGGCACATGGCCAGCATCAGCATCAGGCCTCGTATTTTTACAAACATCGATTCTCAGTAGCTCACCGGATGAGAAGTGTGGTTGAGGCTCTGAGGCTCTTCGTTCCAGACCACTCTTTTGTATTATCCTGTTGGATTCCGTTATTAGTAAGTCGCATCTTCTCAACTACAGGTTTCAACCAAGAATCGGAGTGCTGGAGCGAGCCAGTCCATATCAACTGCAAACATGTCTGGGTTTGCAAGTAGCGCGTAGCTATGCCAGTCCGCATGACAACCGATAAATTTTTTTCGGGCGCACTGCAACTGTAATAAGCAGCATCTCAGCATGTTGTTGACAAGTTCTATTTGTGTTGCTTATACTTCCGCATGTTGGCAAGCTGCGTTTTTGCAAGACAGGCAGAAGGCTCTTTTTGTGCCCGTGCGCTGTCAACACAGAATACATCTAGCGTCATGGACCAGACAAGCATGTCAAGAAGCTTTGCAAGCTTCCAGAGCCAGATCGCAATTTGTAATGCATACTCCAGCATCCAGTCCGAAAATGGCAAGAAGAAGGGAGATGAGATGCTGGATAGCGAGGAGAGCCGCCACTTTCATATTCTGAGTAAAAGCGTCTGTCATGCCCCATTTTATCTGCATGCCCGGAACACCTGTGGCTCATCATGTTCGTGAGTGGCGTTAGTTGAAGTACCTTTTTCATCTTGTAGTCCTGTTTGGAAACCGGCTCTGCTATCATTGGGATCGCGCAACTGATTTATTTGTCTTGTGCGCGGCTGTACTTATTAGCCCAACATCGACACCTCGTAGGCTGCATACAAGTACCCAAACTTGTGGTCTTGTCACGCTTGACTGGCGCGAAAAGCTCAGGACTTGTGTAGCGAAGCTTCCATCTTGATCTTGACTGTGGGGTATATGGGGACGGCTTTACACAGGATATGTCAAGGCCCTGCTCACGAAAACGAGTCTAGTCCGTTGCCATCTGATGCAGAGAATCTTGTTCGGGTGGGAACTACAAAAGGCGAAATCGAAAATAATGAGGAAGCGATGAAAGACAAAGAACAAAATGAGCATGAGCATTCGTTCGGCGCGAAGGATCGTGCGAACATCAAGCTCCCCTTGGGCCTCGTTGTCGACGGCGAGAACAAGCAGCACCAAGAAATGTCGGCTGACACAAAGACAAAGCGGGACGCGGAGATGGGTATTTTTACTGCGCGAAAGAGCAGCAACAGTGAGGGCCCTCCCGGAAGCGGAAAAAACGGAGGACAGGAGGAAAACGAAAATGAAGAAGAGCCTCTGGTGGCATCTTCCGACGAGCTTGAGATGGGCATCAGCGTTAACATTTTTTTCCGTTCTCCAGATTTCGAGGGGCATTATAAAGCAAAGGACGCATGGGCCAACCACGACTTTCCGGTATCATCATGATGAATAACTAGTGTGGTATTGCTGTGTCTGCTTCAATGATTGTGCATCAGGCTGTCTTCAATGACGTATCACAAAAACTAGGTGGATGTAAGTCGAATACTATACGGAAGAAAATACAGCGCGCCATGGACTACTTCATGTCAAAGGGAAAAATAAGTCAAGAAAAATCGTCGCATGGTTGGAAGGAGGCTCCAGGAGCATTTGTAGCTGGGGCATCTTTTGCGGGACATAATATTAATTAATATGATTCACTTGTCAAAAAAGTAAGCTTGCAAGCACATTGTTGTGTGTGAAAGTGAATATGGATGATTGAAGACGACAACTAGAACTACTTCCACCTTCTAAATCAAAAGAATTATACGGAACTGCAGGTTTTTGTGCAAGCAACCAAAGCGTTGGAGAAAGCAGTGCACTGCTTGGACAATTTGCCGACGCGGGCCGCGGAGTTTTATTCCCGAAAGCTTTTGATGCGATGTGCCGAACTGCTGGCTATGAGCAAGTCGGGACCCATCGATGCTGCGTCGAGCAACCCTGCCGCGAAAATTTCAGCAGGAAGAGCAGAGCCCTCTCTAGGGCGAGAGAAGTCTGACAACGCTTACGGACAGAGACAATCCACGAAGCCTTTTGCTGTGGAGAGAACTAAGCATGCAAGTCCCGCTTTGGCGGGTGCATAAGGGAAAAAGGGCAGCGGCTTGTTGAATGAGAGGCATTATATCCAATGCCACCAAACGCTCACGCTGTGTTTCAAAGGCGTAAGGTTTTTTTTTCTTTGTAGTAGCGCACGTCGCGTCATTTTTTTGCTTTCTAGGAATACAGAAAATGAATAGGTAAGAAGTACATAGAATAGATGCATGTGGTCTATGTATATGATTTCCTTTGCTTTCGTGGTTTCGAAATCGTGAACAATCACAGCATACAACGATAGGTATAAGCGGTGAAAAATAAAAGCAAGTAAGTATGCGTGGATCCATTTGAGAGTAGTTGCTCAAAGCAGAAGGGGTGTGTGTGACCATGGCCGCTGGCTCTTCCTTGTCCTGTCATTCCTCACCCAGACCAGCGGTTGTCGCAGCTTCACATTATCCTGACGCTTCAGTGATTAAGCATATCGCGATGTTGTGAGTACTAAAATAATAGAAGTACCACGACCGAGGACGCGCTAGTGAGATAAAAGAATGCAGAGACGCAAGAATAGAGAGTTCTTGCACAGAAGATATGAATCAATGATCCGCTTCCGCTGAGTCAGTACTTACAACAATTGTTTAGGTGCTGCGAAACCGTAAACAGTGGCATTTTTTGCATCGCTGCATAGAAGATGGCACAGTCATTCGAAAGTGCCGTTACCATTTTCAACAACAGTGCGCCCAGTTGCGCAAAAGTCTTTCAGCCGGTTCAAACAGTGACAGCACGCTAGAAGCCTTTTTCTCACAGCACTCATTTTTCCCCCATTTTACCGTATTTACATTGCTTTAGGAGCGCAACTACACTCACGCGAATACAAGAGCGTCAACATGCAGGTTTCTTTTACCAGAAGCGTGGTCACCGTTACGTACCAGCTCATACATCACGGTTTTGATGATGTAGCATCTGTGCGGGTGGCGGCTACCAGCTCTAGTTGTAGAAATGTACGCTACGACACTGCTGATGCTGCCCATGATGATTAGCACAGCGTTATTACTGCGTAGCCTTCAGGTTCACATGCAGCACAATATGTAAGGTGGTACGAAAATAATCGGTATGATACATCATATCAAATACAACTTGTGGCTGCAGTTTTTTTCTTCATCTGAGTTTGTTAGTATCTACTTCTGACTTTTCCCTGTCGCACCTTTTAACCTACCAACATATGTATCTTACGATAGTCAGGCCTGTTGGAAATGTACGCACGAAGGATCGCGTCTATCGAACCGGAAGCGAAGTCTATGTGGACCAAGAAATTTGCCCGCGGCCAGAAACGAAGTTGGTCGACTTGTCGTGCTCTGACATTGCGCCAACGGCCTTTCAAAAAAAGGCTGGACGTATTTACTGTAAATTTTTTACTTTTAGAGGTTTTCAGATTTCACAAGGGACGACTTCTATGAAGCATCCTGGAGTGAATAAAGCGCGGCACTCTTTTGCGGGGACGATTCATGGGGATTGTTTGTTTTTCTTGTGTACATGATCTTCAAGCAAGAGGGTCGATTTGAACGCCGGACGGATTTACTCATTTTTGTTGTGTGGTCCCATGCCGCTACCTGTAGATAGAAGTGATGCAAGCTAAACCTCTACCGATAGAGGCTGCAGCAGCGTCCCATGGCAGACAGGAGCTTAATGTTGAGAGCTTTGATCTACCAGAGTACTGCCCTAGGGAAGATGAACTATCGCACGACATCATACAAGCGACGCACTGGAGGCCCTTGATTCGCAAAATCTTGGATGTCATCTAGACGGCGTTGCGGCTCATATTTTTATGCTTACCACAACATTTATGGGTGCGCTTCCTCAGAGCTCAGATGCAAAAGGTACGTTGATGCGGGATGGACACAAGCAACCTCTGGTTGTTTCCGGTTGTTTCTTGGAGGAACAACCCAGAAGAAGAAGTTTGGGACGAATGGAGGAGTAACAAATCTGTAGCTCTTCTATCTCATTCTCAGCATCTATATACATAAAATAGAATATTATGACCTTCATCTTCGTGTTGCTCTGGCAGCACCACAGTCCCCACTTTTTCGCACCTAATCATGGCTGCCAAAACTCCGAGTCAGATTCTTGGTCCATGTACCGAAGTGTTACAACGGGCACCACGACAACAAGTGTGGACTTTTGTGTTCTTGCCACTCTATCTCATGCCGAATGCCGAAGGCTTCGCTGCGGAGTTCATCCAGTTCGTTGCTGGATAAATATTTTGGCGGTTTTTATAGCGAGTTCGTTGCTTCTGGTCCGGCTGCTGCCTGCGCTGCCACTTGTGACGAGTCCCTACGAATGCAGAATATGTGACAGTGAGTTGAGGATTCCTCATGCTTCAGCAGATTGTCATCTACACGGCGATATCAATCTGTTACTCCTACCTCCAAATGCATAGTTGAAACGCATGGGAACGCTTTCGCGGCACCTCGAAGTAAAGATTTCGGACACTAAAAAAGATGCTAGCTCTCGGTGCGCAGCGGGCGCGCTCAGTTACTATGTTGGCGCTACAGGTTGGAAGCGTGCCTATGCCAGAATTGATTTACCTAAATGCATTTGCATTTCCATTTTCCAACGACCACGAGTATATAAAGTTGCCATGAGACTTAACTCGTCTTCTAGCGAGCACGATGCTAATGAAACTTGGTCAAGGCTTTAGTAGCTTTCCTTGGGCCAATCAAGAACGAGTGCGCGTTTTGTTATTAAGAGCGGGGTAACAAAATAAAAAAAGAGGGCCGCGGGGAACCTCTTGTCCACCCGGCCGGGTGGACAAGAGGTTCCCCCCTTTCGCTGCCGGAGCGGCCGGCTCGCAGAGGTCCCCCCCCAGCGTCGCCATGTCGGATCTCCCCCCTCGTCGTCGCCCGCCGCTCGCCGGGTGCGGAGATCCGACGTGGCAACGCGGAGGGGGACCTCGGCGAGCCGGCTGCTCCGGCAGCGAAAGGGGGGAATCTCTTGTCCACCCGGCCGGGTGGACAAGAGGTTCCCCGCGGCCCTCTTTTTTTATTTTGTTACCCCGCTCTAAGTAACTTTCTGTCGCCGGTTCCGATATGATTATGAAGATGTTTTTGTCTTCTTTGTTGCCGCTTTTGGCACAGCTGAGCCTGTTTCTGTTTGCAGGAGCGGACGCCCGCCTAACCGACCAACATCTGAGGGATGCGGCCAGCCTTGAAAGGCCGGAGGGCCCTCCCGTCGCCAGCCGTGCATCTGGTCTACCCCGGTCAACAGACGAAGAAAAACCAAAAACTCCATCATCGACCCATGAGGATGGGGCCGGGGATCATTTTGCAGCAACGGGGGGGTGACGAAACAGACGAGGTGGTCACACAGGAGCGACCACGTTTAGGACAAGACGGCACGACTGAACTTCTAGCGGAAGACGCAAGGGGGCGCCGTCTACTCGCAGCTAGTGACCAGAACGACCCTCCACTTGGCGGCATGGGTAGTTCTTCTAGGCCATCGTCTTTTGCTAGGTCGGACTCATTTGCCACGGCGGTAGAAGTGAGGCCGCTGGGCGTGGAAACGGACAGTGCCGAGGAAGGAGTCCAGCCGCCGGTGATGTCCACCTCCTTCGAGGAAGAAGCACGACGCGAAGAACTTGCGCAGAATCCTAAAGAAGAGCCGCCGAGTTATGCCAAAGAGGAAGTCGAAGTGGCGGACCCACTTACGGCGCGCCGCGGCAGTGGCAGCTCCAGCACTTCGGGAGGCCCGTCATTGACCTCTACTTCCACCCCGAACTCTTCCGGCGCATCGGATGACCCAGCTTCCTCGGGTTCGGCTGGTGCATCACAGTCGTGGTGGAAGTGGTTGGGACGGATGTTCTACGACAAGTCCTCCGGCGCATCGGCGGACTCCGCTGCGACCGCGTCACCGTCTTGGCGGGAGACGTTGCGACGGATGTTCTACAACCACCGGTCCGGGAAGTTTGACAAGACCCGGCCTCTGCGCCACTTTCACATTTTAGACGACGACGTCCTGCGGGTGTATCCAAGTACCGACGACCTCCTCGCGTGTCAGTGTGTCTTGCTGAATGTTACGACGGAAGATGCTGTCGGGAACACTAGCGCTAGCGGTGCCCCTCCTACATCATCAGATGTCCTACCATCGCCGTTACTTGAAGAGGTGGAGCAGATGAACCAGATGGAGCACAACCTTACTGGTGCTGCATCAAGGAGCAGTACGACGAAGGTCCTGTCGGGAGCATCACATGAAGACGCCGAGCACAATCTGCCACAGCGCAACCAAACAAGAACGGAACCTGAACGATCGAACGAGTTGGAGAAAATCCGGCGGCTTTTGGCTTTTTCCGAGAACCGCGTACGGTATAACGGTGAGCGCTATTACGTACCATGGACATCCATTGACTGGCTTCGATGGACTATGAAGAAGAGTCCGGAGCTTCGGGCCTTCATGCTAAAGGATATGTTGCACAATGCAGAAAAGAGGCGCTCGTGGTGGGATCGCGTCCATGAATGGTTTCACGAATGGTTTCCCCTCCCCGGGTACCAAAACGATTTTGACAGGGCGCTCAGTGACTATGAGGCACTGGGATTTTTCAGCCTCAATTCTGCACAGTATGATACGGTGCACGACGACTTGACGCCGCTCGATGCGCACCAAGACCTACACGACTATGATCCCTTCGTGCGGTACGAGCACAGCTCCGATCCCGATCACTCCTTCGTAGATCCCTACCTGGCGCCGGTCAGCGACCGCGTCGGACTGCGGTGGTACGACCCCATGCCGAAGAGCAATCAGCACGACTTTGTCGACGTTTTGGTCCAGAAGCCGCTCTCCGAGCGACTGCAGCAGGACGTGTGGCGCAGCGAGGTGGAGCCCTCGGCCCCCGCGGACCAGTGGGCGTACTATACTGTGCCGAGGTTTTACAGGGTAAGCTGCCAACTCAGCTGTGAGGCACAATTTGCACAGGACCGGGCTCGGCTTCTCAGCGATAGCGATTTGCGACAACACCTGTGGTGGTTTTCCGACAGGTTTCTAATTAAGTCAAACAAGAGTGACAACTTTTCATATCGCACCCTCGCAATTGTTCCAGCGACCGCGTTTTTGATTGACTCAACACTGGTTCGCTACATGAAGACAGGGCTGCACTCGGTTGCCAAAGTAGATTTTCGAGAAAATCTATCGGCGTAAGTAAGAACACACCTGCAAGGCCTACGCGCCCAAAAATTGGACCCGGGCCATGCTACCAAGAAGGAAGAACGGCGCGTAAAGATGAAAGTCATAGATGTCTACCTGAACGGAACCGAAATCAGAAGGATGAAAAACATCAAGGCGAAAAACCTGAAGGCGAAAAAGATAAGAGCGACAAAAAGGATTGCAGGAGAAAGAAAATGAATCCAGGGGCCATGCCTTCGCTGGACCCTCCCAGCTGGAACGGTATCAAATAGAAAATTTTGAAAACTAGTAGAGTTGCAGCGGCTGACTATATTCGTGGGAACTTCGTGTTCGTTTTTTGAATTATTGGATATTCGAATTCCCCACGCTCCAGCGCTGCCGCTAAGTGGAAGAATCTCAAATCAAACAAAGAAGCTAAAACTCGTGTCTTGACTTCGTAGACGCGGATTTTGTAGAACAAGACGAAGGTCCGGCCAGAGCCACCCGAGAGAAGGTGGTAGCAAGAAAAATACGCTACCGCCCTGCAGAGCCTGATCGTGAAGAAAGCGGAGAGGTGAGCTCTGCCGCAAGCTGCTCCCGGGCGGAGGCAGCGAATTGTCTACAGAGTTAAGGGACAAGCGCCTAGCATATAAATATGGTGCCCAATATGACCCTAAACTCGCCCAAGCTCCGGACCGTCCCAGCGTAGACAGCCGCACCACAGAGGGTAAGCTTGTGAGCAGATGGAGCGCACCCGGCCGCGGCTCGAAGAGAAGAAGCTGCAAAAGTGTACCTCAGTGCCCGCGACTCGAAGAGATGTAGTTGCATTATGGCGCGATTGGTACAAGGAACGGGAGATAATGCTGGTCGATTAGGTGTGTCTTCTGAGAGCGGTGCCTCCCTGCTCGTTTCCTCCGGGTGATCTGCGAAGTCATGTTCCACATAATAGCTTAAACAGGTGTGAAGGATCCTCCTCCTCCCTTGTTTTGTTCCGAAAAGTCGGGTCCGCACACTGGTCGCGCGTTCCGTCGTGAGAGTCAGCGCAATCATCTTCTCTTCGCGATAGACAAAGGCTAGTGTATTATCAGCAGATTGCTTTGTTGATCTACTTTTCCTTTTTGTATTTCTTGGACCGCAGAGCAGATCTTGATCAATTTTGCTGTGAATGATGGCGTCATCCCTCGCCCGTGTGGATCTGCGTCTGAAACAACTCATACTCAGGTATCGATTCCGGAGAATCGGTGAGTATTTCATTTTATTCTTTACTTTAGATCAGTCGCAAGTGGGTGGTTGCCAATTTTGAGAAGCAAGACGAGTAGAATAAATTCGGAGAAAATGTCATTGCAGCATTAGTTATTCCCACAAGTATCATACATGAACAGCGACTTGTTAGTAGAAAAAAAAGGAAGTGCGAAAGACGAGGGCAGCCCGAGCCGCCATCTATAGACAAGAGCCGTAGATAGATTACCAATCGAGGTGGCAATGACACACAAGAAGATTATGACGCGAAGACACCGGCTAGTATGCTAATTCAAAAAGAAAAAGATGATGGTGGAGAGAACTTCTGGAAAGTCATCAAATGAAGAAAGAGCTCCGGTGCACGTTTGTGTGTATTTTCTGTGTTTTCGCGTCACATTCTCAGTTATCTTTTTTGCGAACCATACCGGAGCGAGTCGGTATCTTTTGTTTTAAGTCATGTCTCTTGAGCGGAAGGCACTCCGTGTGGAGGTGCCGGATTTGTCGCCGCGGCTCGGATGATATTTTTTGCAAAAGCATCGCACTTCTTGTTCTTGTACAAAATGCAAATATGCGTGAAGACTACGGATTTGGATTTACGGCTACAGATTTGCTTAGCTGCCGGCTCCTGCATTAAGCTGCGTGAGAACTGTTGAAGAAACAAAGTTTTTTGTCATGTAATGTGCACTATTTCTATTGCAATCGCGATACTTTTGTAACGCATAGATCGGGGGATACATTGCGGCTCGTGCTGGAGTATTATCTGAATATATCCTGTTTGAATAACCATCGCCAGCGCCGCCAATCATTTGTCAGGCTTAGGCGTAAAAATCCCTCCGCAGGATAAATATGCATTTCGCTTATTGTTGCCCTTCATTTCGATATTGCCACGCCACAAAAAATGTCACTTCGACAATATAAGCCGAAATTGATGTTGTTATATCAACACTAGGACCAGCCATTTCGTGCGGTACGGCATGAGGCCCTATCGGGAGGAAGCTCGTCGTCAGGTCCTCACAGTGCCATCGTGCAGCTACTTCCAGTAGGATTGAATTGACGGGAAGAGACTCAGACGAGTGCAGCTGCAGGATCATGACGCAATTTTTGCAGGAGTAATTTTGATTTGAAGTACATGTCTACTATATTACCTCCGGGAGGTCACTCACCTAGATTATCATGTTCAGAGTCACCAGCAGCAGGATGGAAATTATGTGTGGATATTAGCATACCTGTAGCACGATAGGCGACTTCTAACCAGTTCGCAGCCATGTTCTGGGCACTCGAGGCGTTGCGGAATAGTTTTCGTTCTGCAGTGAGCGCATTTTTTCGTTCTGCAGCGATGAGCCGGTGCCCACGGGTGCGCTTCGAGCGCCCACACGCTAACAACTAGGAGAGCCGCAGCACCCGCCACATGGTGCGCAGGCTCTTCCAGCCCTGCTCCGTACTAGCATCACTTCTGCCTTCTATGGGATTTTACATTTCTCTGCGAAAATCCAAACTCCCCATCTGGGATTTTACATTTCAAAATAGAACAAGTATCCGCAACTCGCGCGCCCCGTTTCTCGCAGGATGTGCAAATCAGAAAGCCTCAACATGGTTCTCCTCGCTGCAATTATGCAAAAATTCAAGAATCCCCCTGGGATTTTGCAACGCAGTATAGCTTCATCCTACGGTTGTATGTATTTTGCGATCTACGAATAATCGAGGGTGAAGATGGTGATGATTTCTTCCAGGATCGAACGAGAGCAATCTTCAGCGAAACATCTTCGGTGTCCGTTCGGCCTTCGAAAAGAGATCCAAATCCGCGACAGATGGTGCGAAACGTGTGCGCTGCAACCACGACGAAGATGCCAAAAATGCAGCAAGCTTCCCGGCGCCGCCTGCCCCAACGACCCACGTGGAGAAGCTTCGGCAGGCTGCAAACGCATCCGGCAAGGCGGCAAAGCAAAGCCAAAGCCAAAGGCCCGCAGACAAACCAGAGATAAAAAGTGTTGGCGCGGCAGCAACGGAGACGAGAGAGACGGATCCGGATGCGAGTGCTTTGGTGCCGGTACGCAGTCCTGGGACCGGCGTTGGAGGACCCCGGAGGACGAACGAGGGGGAAGATGATCATGATGGACGATATGCGGTGGAAGGCAAGGCGGGCATCAGCGGGGAGGAGAGCGTTGTCTTGGGCAGCGGAAGCCAAAGCCAAAGGCAAAGCCATGACGTGCAACATACGGAAAAAATGCTGGGTGCGAAAATCACTTTCGACTACAATAGTAACGCATGAACTGAACAAGTGTGCTGCAGGAAAGAACCTACCAGGGCACAGCACAAGTCGCTCGTGCCTAGTGGGTACCGTGCGGTCGGCTGACTAGCATGACAAACTACATTTTTCCATTTCTATATACAAATTTCCCACCTCCATCTGGCATTCCCATACAACGCGAGAGCTTGGCGTCGTCGAAGAGAAGGCGTGTTAGGCCTGCAGACGTTGCAACTTCGCTTCTACTCGAAAACGCTGAGAAAGATGCGGACCACGACATCGGGCCAATATTGAAGTTTCGCGCCGAGTCGAGAGCGGGTGCGGTTTTGCTTGCCGGTGCGACAATTTCTCCTGAACCGGAGCCAGTGGCTGAAGACGGAAGCAATTCGGCTTCAAAAATTGCCATCAGCGGAGGAGATGGCACTTCTTCGTCTTCCGTATTGAAACTGGCTTCGACATTGACTTCGAGCAACGCTCCGCCCGGAGAGGTCGAGACTACCAGAAGTAAAGAGGAGAGTAGGTCCTCGTGTTCTCTAAAGCCAGGACCTAAAGTCGAGGGAGGAGCTGCAGCTGGAGCGTCTCTTCATCTTGACAAGGAAACGGCCGCGACTAGTACCGTGAGTAAACACGCTGGAGGCAAAGCAGGGGATCACAACGAGGAGCTGCACATCTATCGAAGTGAAAAGATGAGCCCGCACCCCATATTCAAAAGACAAATTGTGTTGCTGGATTGGTGTGCACAGATGAGCTTTGTATTGCAGCAAGAGCTTGTCGGCATGATCTAAGCTCATCCTCATTGAAGATTTGCGTGCGCATCCGGCTAGCAGCTGAGAATGAGAGACAAGTCTGACATAGGCGAAAACGCATGACAGACTCGCTGCACAATGCGCCACAGGGGTACCGTTTGCCTTGTACACAAGACAGAGCTGATTTGTCTTTGTGGCCACAAAGCAGCATTACAAATTTTCTTTTGGATATGGGGAGGAGGAGGCATTTTTCCTTACGATAAGATCCGGAGGAGTACGAGAAAGCGTGCCCGAAGATGCCGGAACCACAATGGCAAACGACGCCGAAAGTTGTTTGATGTGGGCAGTGAAAACGGAGACGAGGCGGGGGCCAGTGAGGGGGCCCCGGACCTTTTAAATCCCGCGTTCGGTTTTTCCATTTATTCACAGCATAAGGTCGGCCAGCTACAACTGACCGGCGCAGCTGGTACTACACGAGAAGGCAAAGATCGGGCGACGACGATACAACCAGAACCTCCAGTAGCAGCGAATTATAGAACCTCAACCAACGCGGGCGCCCGCCGAACCACGAACAACAGACGGGGCGCCGTTACGACGTCAGGGCTAAACATGGCAAAAATATCCTCTCTCGGCGGAGAAGAAGTTGGGGACGTCGAGTCGCGCTCCCGGAACGAACCACAACGACCCTTGTCCAGCAGGGTTGTCGTCGCAGAAGCGATCATGGAAACGCAAGATGGGTTGGACCTAATAGCAGTGTTGCAGCTCGAGCCCGTCCGAAGATTGGGCGTGTATCTTCCACAGCAAGTTGCGCAGGCCCTTTCATAAGTCCAGACATTTGACGCCCCATCGCTCGGAATAATTTTAGCGAGCGCGAGTCGCTGACGACTAGGAATGGAAAACAAAAAAGCGTCGGAACCTTTGTGCGCTGCGTCTGGTGCTCGTCCTTGTGCGGCAGGCGTGCGCCCTTTATTTCCGTAGAACAAACAGCGCAAGTTGCTTCCGTGTAACAAGATGCAAAGATGCATACGCTTAATCACTGGCGTAGCGCGTCTGCGGCAACTGCACAGCCCAGGCACAAGAACTGAACAGAAAAAACGAGGAATGCAACTGAAAACCGGAAAATAAACCTACTCCTCGCCCGCCGCAATCCCATGCTGCGTGCGCGACGAGTGGCGCTACTGATTGCTCTCCTTTCCGGACAATAAAAAACGCAAGCAGGTTTTTGCGTTTGCGATGCGTATCGTTTGCTTTTCCTTGTGATAGTGCATCTGCCGCAACTTGCACAGCCTGGCTGCTAGAAAAGAACCACTTAAATTTTCACAAGCTCAATACTTTTTCAGGTAATGGGCAGCCACGGCTTGGGCACGAGAAGAGAACGAGATTTGAAAAAGGGAGGGTAGGAAAAATGAACTGGCGCCTTTTTCGTAGCCGCCCTTTTCAAAATGAAAAGGACGGCTAGGAAAAAAAAATGTGCCGTTTTTCCAGGCTGAGCCTGGGAAAGCGGCCAGATTTTTTTTTTCTAGCCGCCTTTTTCATTTTGAAAAGGGCGGTTAGCAAAAGGAAAAGTGCGCGAATTCATTTTTCCTAACCTTCCTTTTTGAAATGCAAACAGAGGTTAGCACATTGAAATTTTTGCCCAGGCGCTAAATCCCGAAGAAAGAAGGTTACGACTCGGGCGCGCGCAGCGCGCGAAAATTTTTTTTACTCCCACCACGCCGGCATCATGTGCGCGCACAGTGTGTGAAAGGGAGTGCGTGGCCGCGCGCTTTTTTTTCCTAACCGCCCTTTTCATGTTGAACAGGGCGGCTAGCAAAAGCCCGCCAATTCATTTTTCCTAGCCGCCCTTTTAAAAATGAAAAGGGCGGTTAGCCCTTCGAAATTTTTGCTCAAGGGCTAACTCCCCTTTTTGAAATGCAATGCAAAGGAAGGCTAGCTACCCGAAATTTTTGCCCAGGGACCGGGCTAACCTCCCTTTTTGAAATGCAAAGGGAGGTTAGCCACTCGAAATTTTTGCCCAGGGACCGAGCTAGCCTCCCTCTTTGAAATGCAAAGGGAGGTTAGCTACCCGAAATTTTTGCCCCAGGACCGGGCACGGGCTAGATCTCCTTTACAAAATGCAAAGGGCGGCTAGCCCCTCGGAATTTTTGCAAAAGAACCGCGCTAGCTCCCTTTTTAGAAACGCAGAGGGCAGATAGCCCCCCGATGCTTTTGTGTCGCCGGCATTGGGGTTAGCATGCAAGGGTCTTTACAGTGCGGACAGAGGCTAGTCTGCCTGCCAAATTCTTTTTGCTCCGCGCGGCATGGTTTCGGTTCAGTTAGTGCTTAGCCCATACGACGTCACGCGCGTCAGGCTCTGTCGTCAAGCGTCCGGGCGTCAAATGTTGCCTCGTGACCTCTGACCTTATTTGAGGGCCGCTTATTACGCGACGTAGAGTATCTTCCACAGCAAGTTGCGCAGGCACTAAGACGGAGCGAATCGCTTTTCGTCCACCAGGGCAAGCTATTCCGTTTCCATCCGGTGGAGCCCGAGCCAGCGCGCGGAGCCAAGACTTCCACCACTACAACTACCTCCTCTACTGGGAAGAGAACACTTTACGTGGAAAACGCCCCGGTGTTCCTGTCGCTTTCCGCGCTCCTGGTGGGTTTCGCTTACCTCGTGCGGCAGGAGCGCCAGCGGACGGAGGGGAAAGACTTCTCCAGAGGCTCGTTGGGGGGCGAAGAAGATGGTTCTTGTGTTGACAATGACGATGTTGACCTGGTGCTTGCAGCAGAAACGGCGGCGCGCCGCGCACAACAAGCAAATAGTACTAGAACTTCTGAAACCCCAGAAGTTCATCTTGCGCAGCAGATCGTGGACGACGACCACCGGCGGAACAATTGTTCTACAGGCCCCACGCGGGGCAGCTCGCGCGATCATTTGCCTAAGAAGTTTTTCGCTCGAAAAATGCAGGGCGAAAGTGGTCGTATTTCGGGGGACAGCTATCCTGCGGCGCGTGATCTGCCACAGCACATTCGGATGTCGCCGCATCCGCTATCCACAGAAAAAAACCCATCCACATCCATTGTTTGCATAAAAAACACATGATTTTTTGATACTAGGCGTTTTCCATGACAAAATGGATGTGGATGGGTTACTTTTTTTTCTGTGGATATCCGCGCACCAACAGGCCAGCAGCGCACGTTTTTCTCGAATTCGAATCGCTGGAGACAGCGTTGCTTGCTCGAGCCGCCCTCCACAACCGCTGGCCCGCGAGCTGGCCCGAACGACGCGACGGGAAGGTGTTGCGCGTGTTGCACCAGGAGGAACTGAATGAGCAGCGGAAAGAGTACAAGCGACTTGGAGCAATAAATCATGCCACCTCATCCACCTCATCCAGGAGCAGGGGAACTACAACGACCGGCGGCTCCGGTCTTCGGGTATCAAATGTAAAAGTGTCTGGGTCTGGAAGATTCATGCTGTTTCTGCATGACACAGAAGGTCTGGCATGGAAGCTCTAGCATCACAGGTTTCGAGAAGCTTCCGCAATGCCGAATCCGCATGACAAATCCCCCACTTTGGTGACAAAAAGCGAGCAGCTTTTGCTGCCTATGCATCAGAGATTTTTGTGTGTTCTGAAATGCGCATCACAAGTTACATCCTTCCAGACCCAGACATTTTTACATTTGATATCGGGGGCCGACGTCTCAAATGCCGGACTCCGCCGCTTCGGAGATCGTGCTGGTCCGATTAACGCTGCGCTGCTCTCCGACACACGGGGATGAAGATGAAGATCAGGCGTTGACTCCCTTTGCGGTTCGGCAATACTGCGAGCATGCGGTCCCGGTGCAGCATGTGCATATGCAAGGAGTTGGAAAAAAAGTAAAGCAGCGCACCGAGCTCCTGGACCCGAGCAAGAGCAAAACTAGTATCATTTCGTCCACATCACGACCGCTTTTCTCCATGGCTTCTACACGACCAGCTGCGGATATTCATTTTTACCAGGACGCGGTCGTGCGCCTTTCTTCTGCAGCCGACGTCTCACTCCTCGTGCGCGACATCGAGCGCAGCCAACGCTTTTTAGGCAGTGCAGTTCCCCAGGTTGGTATCAAACAAAAAAAGTTCGTCACGATCACTCATGCGCATTTTTGCAATACAAAATTGGCCGCCATGCGTAAAAATGCATGACAGCCAAGCTTCATAGGGAATTTCCCTAGTGTTTCTGCAATACAAAGAAAGCTTGTGATGCTAAAAAAAATTTGTAATGCAAAACCTGCAAGTTAGTGACATGACTGTGATAAAGTTTTTTCTTTCCACAGTTGGGCGCTTCACCGCCATGGAGCAGCTGAACTACTTTAACGACGTGCGCGTGAAACTGTCTGAAACGCGCAAGACGCAGGCACGCATGGTGCTACCGAACCTGCTGAAGCGGGCCGGGGCCAAAGGCGGGGCACCATCGGGTTTTAGTTCCTCACTTGGTTTACAGTTATCGTCCCCTGCAAGCGGAACTCTTTATCAACAGCCACTGCTGATGAGCAAGACTGGTACTGGAGGGGAGGCCCCGCCTCCAGAGGAAAAGAAACTGGAACAAGAGGTGGACGTATTAGTATCCTCGCGGGCAGAAGGAGAAGCCGACGGCGACGAAGATTTTTTCGCTATCAAAAAATGCAAGTATGTCCGGGTCTGGAAGATTGATCAAACTTGTGATGCGCATTTTGGATCAGACCGAAATCAGTCATGCGTGGAAGCCAGAAGCAGCCTATTTCGTGTGATCAAAGTCTCCTGATGTTTTTCATGCGGGATAGGTATTGGGCAAGCTTCTCCTCAAAACCACTGATGCGATTACGTGCATGCCAGAGCTTCTGGGTCATGCAAAAACAGCACGAAAGAGTCCGCCATTTTCCAGACCCAGACATATTTGCAATGCATATTTGCTGAGGTCGTGCAAAAGAAGGAGCGAGACGGCGGATTGCGGCGCAAGCACAAGCAAGACCGGTTGCGCGTCCCGCTCTTCTGCGGTATTGTGAGGAAAAATCCCCGCTCCACGTATGGAAAAGGAAATTTGTGATGCTGGACTTGCGTACACAGGTCGTCGACTTGCATTGCTAGAAGACCACGTGACGGAGTGGTCGCGACCGCGTTTGAAGGCAATTTGCGATGCCGTTTCCTGCTTCCAGGCGCTTCTGCTTCCTGTCATGCTGAAAGCGCAGTGCTTTCGTACGCCAGCCAGCACTGCGGTCCACATCTCTTCCCTCCTAGCACGACGACGCGCTAATTTGTGATCACAAATTATGCTGCACCACAAGTCTCTGCTTGAGTACGTGGACAGGTGGGTTTTTCATCATGATATACGGCGGTGCCAACCCTCAGCGGATAGTGCGCGGGGGGCCTGTCAGGGCTGTCATGCACACCGCGCTCGTAGCCCCCGCGCAAGCTGGTGTGGGCGCCTTTCGCTGGCAGCGCGATCCCCGGTCTGCAGGTTTTACGGACATTGGACCTCCACCCAAGTGCCACGACTTTTAGAAATGTGCGAGCTGCCCCCTTCCGATGAAATCGGTGAGGGCGCATCGGGATCGTTTTTTTTAATCGATGACTCGCACTACTTACGCAGGGGAGCTGCAGGCACTGACGACAAAAAAATCGCAGAGTCAACAGCATAGCGCATAAAAAAATCCTTGAGTCGTGCTTCTGGGAATCAATTATAAACTTGTTCGATTTAATATTTGTTTTTGGCGGGAAGATTCCAATAATTATAATTATGCACTGGTCGGTGGTAAACATGTTTGCAATGTGGTACTATAGAGAATAATTGTGGGTAATTTGCATCCTTAGACGGAAGTTCGGTAGTGGTGGCGCCCTGCTCCAACTGCAATATCGCTCTGTCGAAAAAGTACTTCGTTGAATACTAGGGTCGTTGGTTTAATATTGGGGGCATGGTTTTGATAGAGCCAGCGAGACAGGTCGGTAGCTAGTCTATTGCCTTCGGTAGCTAGTCTATTGTACGTCGACGTGGGGAAATCCAGTGGTTTCAGATTTCATTCGGTTCTTGACCTCGCGGCTTGAGATTGCTGCAATCTCAACTGATAAAGTAATACTTGTGCTCGCGCACGCAGCACCGAAGCTCCAGGAGTCGGTCCTTGATTTAGTATTCCGTCGATTACGATAAGGCTAATCCTAATCCAAGCGTTGCACTACCTGCAGGGCGCCTCGAATTATGTACACCCGCCGGACCACGACCACCAGGACGATAACGATTTAGGAAAAAAATGGGTATGTTGGCGGCTGGGGCCGTGTCATGTTGAATCATGTAGACATCGTGGCATCTATCGTAGTTTCCAAGACTCGTTTTTGTTCTTATTGCTACCTTTACGTAAAGATATATTGATATTGCCCAAGAGCGCCACCAATGCGTGGGCGCTGCATGGAAATAAACATCAGAAGAAAAAAATACATAGATGTAAGCGACACAAGGTCGTCCTAGTTCGTCATCTGTTTTTGCCATCCTTTGCGTGCAGAAAGAAAATAGAAGAACTACTCAGCAGGAAATCGATCGTGCGCGAACAAAAAAATGGGCGATCAACAGGACGAGTTCGTCATTTCCGACCGCGTGTTGAATAACATGCGATCGATTCTAGACGGGGACAATATGCTTCCGGGCATGGATGTGGAGGGCGACGCGCTGCGGTGTGCCGCCGATGGGCGCCTCTTCACGTACACGCAATTTCAGCGGTTCTTTGGGCCGAACAAGTTTGACATTCTTGATGCATGGAAGGAGGCCGAGCCCCGCACAGCCGTGCACCGCGCCAAGCAGGACGATTTACTGGCAAAGCTGTGCAGCGATAAGCAGCAGCTGCCGCGGCGGGGGTCGGAACTGCAGTCCCCCCGCCGAGACATTGGGCGGGTTCGAGACCGCGCGGTGCAGTATTTTTTCGAGTTGATCAAGGTGAACGACGTCGAAGGAGTCAGGAAGCTGCTCGACTCCGGCATCTTCGGCGATCAGCCGCACCACATGACGCCCGGATGGCAGACGGACCTCCCTCGAGAGGAGTTGAAATGGACGACCTTGTTGCTGGCCCAGGACACCGAGGGATGGGCGGCGCTGCACCTCACGGCCTTACACGCTTCCGCTGAGGTAGCGACGCTGCTGTGCGACCGCTTTCCCTGGCTGATCGATGCGCGCCCCGACGCGAGGTTACGGGCAACGCCGCTGCACTTGGCCGCGGAAAGAGACCACCGCGACGTGGCGAGGGTGCTGCTGAAGAAGAAGGCCAAACTGCATGCGCTGAATGCCATCGGCGAAACACCCATCGAGAAGGCAAAGCAGTGCGGGCATTTACGCATGGAGCAGCTCCTGGTGGGGTTTGCGATTGCCAGGTGGCACGGCAGAGAAACGTGAGGTCTTCGCTTCTATTAGGAAAGACGGCGAAAGAAGTTCTGAGATTCAGGAGCGACTGACAATAAAAAACAGAAAAAACCAGATAACTTCTGCTTGTCAGCATCAGATCCTGATCTTTTTTTTTTCTCTTCGGAGACTAGCCGCGATTAGCCCGAGCTCCTCGGAGACTAGTTCTAATAGATCCCTCGTAGATCTGAGATCACAAAACAACTTGTTTACAATTCTCCTCGGAGTATATCGGTTTAAGCTTCTTAGGAAGCTAGACATTAATATACACCTCGTTTAGAATTAGATAGCTCGAGTCTTCGGACTCTAGACAGTATCGGGCCCTCGGGCATCAGTCGGCCGGTCTCAACTGGACGATATCGATACCCCGTGGCGCGCTACTAGCACAGCTTGTAAATATAGGGAAACAAGAAGCAATAAACTCAACACGTGTGGTGCCCTTCCGACGTTAACGTTTGGAGGCGTTTATCTAAGTCAGTACTTACTTCGACTGAGCAACGGGAAGAGCAGCGTTCTTAATTGTAGCGCTTCTGTTTCGTGCCCGGGCAAGGTGTTTTGGTCCTGTTCAAATACATAGGAGGGTGGTACCAAAAAAGTTTTAAGAGCTGCTTTTGCTTCTCGCACAGGCTCGATGCGGTAGCGGAGGGCCTAGTCGCTCGGTCGCAGGTTAAGTAAACTTGTTGTGGTACTCCTCGCGCCACCTCGTCCACACTGGCATTTGGTATTCGTGAGCCTGGGGTAATTAGGCGGAGCTCTGCCCCTGTCGATCGAGTCATATGTGAAGAGGCCACCGCTGACCACGGCCCACCGAAGTGAGGCATAAGCTCAGTGCGAATCTTTGCAGATCTGAGTCCGAGAAGATCAGATGTCGGCCATTCTTTTTATTATGAAAAATTCTCTGAGCAACATACAACAACCATGCAGAGAGTTTATATGACGCTGCACATACTAGCTGCCGAGTTACATAATCGCCCCAGAGGGTTAAGGTGAGGGTTAGCTTGGTCCACTAGTCGTAGGAAACTAAATACTTACAAATAGGTACATTAGTCGTGGGGGGCATGTGCTCCTGCCCGGATCGGCGTCCATACTGTCATCGGGTAGTCGCGTGCCCGTGGTGCAAAGCGTTGCGTCGTTCCCTGCCCCATTCTAGCCAGCCACATGTGAAGAGGCCACCGCCGACCACCACAAAGCCCAGTCCATTGAAGCGGGCCTACTCTAAAGTGGCCCAGGCTGCCCAGGACCTACTCTCAAGGGGCCCAGTGCAGTGGGCCCCAGTTCCGACACGGTATCTAATGTTGTACTTCTCTTAATGGATATGAGCCCTTGAGCCAAAATGGCTACGGCACAGGAGCACGGATGTGGCTGGTGCTGGTCGGTGTCGGTCAGTCGTATGATATAATAAAGTAATAGCTCACAACTTGTTGCTTGGACTTTTCGCCGCACGGTCTGTGATACAGAGAGGAAACAAATAACGATAACAAGCCGTGTAGATCATATTCCGCAAGCATTCGCCTGTCGGGGTGCTGGGGAAACAAAAGCGATCGAAGCACAATACTTGTTGCAATCCCTTGGGTGAATGTGGACCATCTCTTAAATAGCGCAAGTGGCAGTTTGAGAGGAGTAGTCTCAAGAATGTCGACAAGTTCTAATCTACGCTGGTCAGGAAGATGTTGGTCCTTTCTTCTATATAAGTTGTTCGATGAGATCCCATTTTTGCCAGTGAAAGCATTTGAAAGCAACATTGGACATTTTTTCGCTTCACTCTTGTTTTGAAGCAATGTGCTGAAAAGCAACTATAATTCTCCGAAGGACGTACTTGGTAGAGCACGCCAATGCAATAATCTTCCAGCGTCCTCGTGGATGAAGATATCCGTTGTGTAAGTACTACTTCCGTCGAATGCGCTTTCTCTTGGTCAGATTTTCGAATTCGTTGCTTCTCCTTCAAGGACCTTGTCGTGATTGGAGTTCATACTTTCTTTGGCGTGACGAGATCACGTAGATCAACATGTCGCCCCGTAAGACAGCTCGGACTGTGCCGCTTCACGCGGCTTTGTTCCGGCGGCTGCACTATTTCAACGACATAAGCTTTTTCATTCGCAATGGTTTTTTTCTGATCTATCTGAGCCTGTTGATCGCCTTCCTGCTTGCGGGATTTAGCCGCGTCGGCTGGGCACGGGTGGTTCGCGACTTCCGGATCTCGACCAATTTTCATGTAGACCCGAGGCTTTCGTATACGGGTGTCAAATGGAACAAGGACATGCAGTGTTTCGGGCCCTGCTACGATATGCTCTCCTTGATCTCCCGGGTGGTGTTTCAGGTTGGAGTGCATCTGGGCCTCATCTTGGTTGCGCTGTATGTGTGGATGTGGATTAGAATTGTAGAGCGCAAGGCGACGTGGCGCCAGGAGGTTCAATTGCCTCTCAAGCATCTGAGGTGGTTGTTCTTCCTGGCCTTTTTTCTTCTTTTTCTCGGCACTACACGAAGGCTCGACAACGAGGAGTACGCTGCTTTTCGCACTTATGGGTATGAAAACAACTACGACGCGCCGTCAGCGGGACCTGCTGCAGCGTACGGGACCACCGACAGCGAAGGCAAAATGCAAAAACTTGCAGCCACCCCTGGAGGAGGTAATAAAGTTGCGAAACTAGAAGAGGACACCAGCAGCGACGTCGCACTAGATCCTGGGGAGGCCGCAGGAGCTCCACCCCGAGCGCTGAACGCGTCACAATTGTCACCTCCCGACGACGAGGACGACGTTGGACACATGGACCACAACGCGAGGACTGCTGACGAAAATGAATCTGCTGCTACTAGTACAGCACTGTATGCCTTTCGAGAACTGCTGCTGCAACCGGACGTGCTCTACTTTCAGGAAAAGCCGCCTGAAGAGGGGGGGCACGGATACCGGCAGTTGCGGTTCACGGCGCCAATTACGATTCAGCGGCAACGGGATCCGGCGACGGGCCGCGTGCTCTTCGAGTACATCATTGGGCGCGACGTTTGGACAAATGTAGCGCACGATCTCCGGGTTGAGCCCGAGTGGCGGAACTGGCGGCAAAGGGAAATGTGGGGCATGTGGCAGTTTCCTGGCACAAAACGCACCAGCCAGCATCTCGCCCGTGTTTTCTTTTTTGCGCAGGTTGTTTTTTTTCTTCTCATCCAGGTACTGAGCGATGCTCTCATTGTTCATGAAGTCTCGTCAGCAGAGAAGCCAGGCGATGAAGGTGGGATCATCAATCTCACAGCTGCGCCGGCGCCGCCTATGGAGGTCGACCTAATGCAGCCTTCAAGTACAACGACGCGGCCCTCAAGCACAACGACAAACGACACGGCGAAGCATGAGGTTGAGCAAGAAGTCCAGGAATCAGAGTGTAGAAACAATATGAAAGAGAAAGATGTAGATGATATTGGACGTGGAAGAAGTTGGTCAAGGACCACAACATCAGTCACTTCTGCCACGACCGCCGCATCGTCTGCTCCTCCTGCACCAGGCCGATCGTGCTTGTTCGTGAAGCGATTGCTGCCCTCTGTCGAAGCGAGGGAGACGCTCCGCCGGGTTCTGCTGGGCGATCCGCGTCGCTCAAGCCGCTGCACAACTACACTAGTGTGGATGCTTATGGAAGCGTCAGGCTTGAAATCGTCAAAGTTGAAATAATCTGTAATGCATGAAATGCATGACCCGAGGCACGTGCGTTGCAGAGCAGGCAAGTGAGGCCGATTGTAAGCTTGTTTGGGGTTACAGCTCGAGCTGCTAAAGTAGCATAAGAAAATCACTCTTCTTTGCCTAAACAGCATGACAAACTGCATTTCGGGACCGCCGAAATTTGTCATGCGCCACTTAGAAACTCGGTTCCAACTGGCATCCATTTTATGCATGGCAAATTCTTTCAACTTTGTCGATTTCAACTCTGACACATCCATAATGCTCCTGCTGGCGCAGTTGGTCGGCAGTGCGTTTGTCGGCGAGTGGCACGGCCGGGTCGTGGTCGAGGAGGTGGCAGAAGCCGCAGAAGATCCAGGTTCCGGACAGCCTCACACACCGCAAATAAGAACCCACATGACCCAAACCGTGGCGACGATCTTGCTGTCCCTTTGCGAGTGGTCAGTTCTCCTCCTCTTCACGGGGAAAATTACTGCCTGGACACGCGGCGGCCACGCCTCCGAAAAATCTTCAGAGACCGCCACAAGGACCAGAAATTGTGCCCAACCGCCGGAGGCACTGACAAAGAGTTTCGCAAACAACTACGGCCTTGCGGTTTTTTACGAACCGCCTCAACACCTCGAACGCGACGAGTCCTTCTCGTGGACGCAGCGGTATTTCCGTCGCACTAACGCTCAGGAAACGCAGTGGCATTCCTTTCTCGTGCGCAACTTCACGCTCCTCGGCAGAGCTTTGAGTTCGTCTTCGCCGGAGAATAATTTCGAGTTCATTTTTAACGGCGAAAGTAGAGATGTCGATGTCCGCGCAGCAGGTTCGGAGGAAGCTTCTGCATCTGTGGACGAGCAGGTCAAACATCGAGTTTCTACCGTGGAGCATGCGAAACATACAAGTCAACGCACTGATGTGTTCAAAGATATCAAATGCGGCCCCGAGAATATTAATGGGCAGAGCAGATGCACGCCGCGCACTAGCACACACAGAGCAGCAAGACAACATCAAGTGGGGCCCGTGCCCAATAAAATCGAAAATAAAGAAGAACACGATCGCGAACAACCTTCTGACAATGCCTGCTCGCTTTTGCGAGGCAGGTCAATGACAATGTCGTTGTCGTCATCTTTCATAGACGTACAGCAAACTACTGAACAACAAGAGTCAATACTGCAGCCTGTGCCACCTGGTGCCGGAAGTTCTAGTAAGGCCGCCCTGCGAGGTAGAGCATGCGACTTTATGCCCATGCGGTTCCTGCTTCCAGTTGGATCAACGCCTAAGTTTTTCGACCCTCTGCGAGTTCCGCTTGAAACCCTGAGTATGGGACTCTCGTCTACTCGAGGCTTCGCACGGCCTGCGGAGTTGTCCGAGCTAAGAGTTGTCAACGACGCCAAGGTTTTTGGAATTGAGAACGAGGAGCAGGTGGAGTGCAAGAACTCTCTTACTGCAGCACCTTTTCACGACCAATATGCGAGTACAAGCCTGGGGGAGATGGTGATGGATAAACCTTTGCCTACCTCCTCCACATCATCACCCACGGATCTTTTGGTGGAGGTCGACGGTCGTCGAGCCTGTATCTTACCGATCTTTGGCTCTGCGGATTTGTTCGAGATTCTGGCCACCACCGGTTGTTTTCTGATTTTTTTCTACTGCGTCCAGACCGCGATTTTCTACTATCAGCGCGACAACACCTACAAGACCTACCCCTACAGTATCGTGTTCCTCACTCGCACTGGCACGTTTTATCCCAACGACATGCTGTTTCAGCTGAACACACATGTCTTCTGCGTGATCAGCAGCTTGATTATGGTGCTGTTTGTCTTCGAGCTGATGCCACTCGGCAGCTTGCAGGGGCTGGCTGGTGACAACGAGGACGCCGCCAACAACTGTCCTCAGCACGACGAAGGCCAGGGGGCGGGAATCCTAATCCATCATGAAGCACAACCAGAAAAAATAAAGACGCACCACTACCAGACCGACGAGGAGATGAAGGCGGTTGAGCATGATCAGTATCAAACGAACGAAGGCAGCGAGGTACTGACCTCATCACCCAGCTGTCCTGGTCTACTTGGCGAAGTAGACTTAATTGCTGCACAAAAAGATGAAAGCCGACACGAGGACGGCCATGGACATCACGACCAAGCGAAGAGAAGGACAGCGACGATATCAAAATGAAAAATCCCCCTCCGTATCAAAGAAAGCGGAAGTCTGAGATGCGGGCTTTGTGTACACGAATCAGCTCTGTCCCGTTGATGTAGAGGACTGGACTGCAGGCACATGGAAAGCCTGGACAGGAGGGAAGGCGATGCCCTGCTTAGCGTGGCGGACGTCTGCCCTGTAGTTGTAACAGCACCAACATAAACCGACTGCATAATGCGGGGGGCTTTCTGGATTTGCCTACTTGCAAGACGAATGCGACTAGTGGCCACAAATCAGCGCCGGAAATCTTCAGAAACATGGAGCCGGTTCAATATGGGGAGGGGATTCTTTTCCTCGCGATAGACTACGGCTGCAGGACGCCCCTTGCTGACCACGTGTTCCAGCCCCACGCACGAGAGTGAGGCGAAGATCGAGGAGGGTGCCCTCGGGCCTGGTGTTCCATCAGAAGATACAAAGAAAAATGATCACCCTGGTTATCATTGCGATTCTACTACTGCGAGCATGGCGCATATAGAACCTCTTCAGGGACGATCTCTCGCCAGTTTTTTCCGCTACCCCGTGCAATACCTCGGGCACGAGCAGCAAAGATCTCGCCGCGCCACACTTTTATGCCCGGACACAGAACTATTCCGGGAAAACAAGGATGATAACCGTTGGTCTCGGTATATCCTGATTGAAAGCGTCCCCATCCCAGAGTCAAGATGGAGACTTTGCTGCAGAAGCCAGCAAGTTTTGGCTGTTTCGCCAGACAGGTTTGGGCTCCTACTGTAATCCTGTTTGGCTGGTGCAGCCGCATAAAAAAGCGATACGCTGGTCTTGATTCTCGCATGACAAACACCTCCCAGCAGATAGTAGAATTAGAAAATGCGCTTCATGGCGCTGCGCATGAGAAGCATTTCGTAGCGGCATGAAAATAAATTTGCATGACAAGAAGTTTGGGGTGGAGAGGTCGTTTTTCTACAGGATACGGCACCGCTTTAAGGCGCACCTTTACGGCGCCCGATTCTGGATGGCCGCGGGACTTTTTTTATGCTGTGTAAAATCGTCCCCAGCCCAGACGAGTTGTCATACAGATTTGCATATTACGCTTACGCAATTGCTTGCAAAAATGCGCATCGCCAAGGGTGGCGTTTCCGGGCGTGTTTTGACATTTGTAACGCTGCAAACAGGATAAGCGGACGGCTTTGTGAGGCGGCTATCCTTGCTACCCTGCACTACAGTACAGCGAGAAACTTGTGGTCATGCCTGACTTCCGATTCTTCCGGCTTTTTGTCGCAGAGATCCCACCTCGCAGAGTAATTTGTATGAACACTTCCAGGTGCGATAATTTCTGGTAACATTCTAGCGGCAAGAATAGTACCAGTCTGGGCCTCCGCAGGGAGGAAGGAAGACATACTCGAGGCAGGGCGCCAACCTCTTTGCGTGCTAGGGCCGAGGCCCCTTTTCCTTTTCTCCAAATTTTTTTTGCATGCGGGTTCTCACCGTCACACAATTCCAGAAAGAAAGAAAGAAAGAAAGAAAGAAAGCGACACACCGGTTACATGTTAGGCAACGTCCACCGGCCTCCTAGCTTAGAGATGAATCTAGTTTTAGTGATGAATTTATATGCGTCAACAGAAACTGAAACTGAAGCACAAGCCTCCTAGCTTAGTGATGAATTTTTTAAAAAATGATGACAAAAATTTATATGCGCAGCGGCTTACTGCGCAGCGTCGGTTCGTGCTCGTGTGTCGCCCTTCGTTCGTTGCCTTCAGGAGCTTGATCGTAAATTCGTACGCTCCTTCTGCTTTGAAAAAAAATCCGATCTTCCCATCTGCCCCCATCTTCCCATGTAGATTTAGGTCTCTGCCCTTTTATTTCTTCTTTTGCGTAGTGTTGTTGTTTTACCTGACTCGCCTTCGTAGCGCTAGCCCGCGTAACCCGCGTCCTTGCAGGGGCTGCTGTTTTTTTTTCCCGCCTTGCCAGCGGGTTTTGTCTTGGGGAAGAAAGCTATCTGGGTTCAACGGTCCCCGCCCCCCCCATCATCGTGGGTTCGACGGCCCCCGCCCCAAAGGAGACCACTTAGAAATAATTTTTTGTAGATTGCAAATTTTTATCGCGATCAGCCGTTCACCATCGGCTGAAGCTGCACATGCATCCGGTGTAACTTTGAAAAAAGTAGTTTTATTGCCCGCGGCTTACGGGTTTTCCATAAAGGTTCGTCGTTAGAAGGATGCGCGGTTTCTATTATTGGCGTCTGGTCTGATCGCACCCTATGGCTAGTATCTGAGATCAGAAAACCCTTTACTTCGGGGGACAGTAGCGCGCGAAAAAAGTTCGTCGCGGGGGCACCCCGCGTGGTTCGTTTTTGTATGTTCTCCGCACCACGCATCTCTGGCTTCGGTCGTGTTTCCCGCTGGGTTTTTCAAACGCGGGCTTGCAAAACCTGTTTGCATAGGGCGTTCCCAGTATCCGCGTTTACACAGATCCCGATTAGCGCGCACTAGGCGCAACTATCTCCATAGACAGTGGCTCCTCCCTATCTTTACTACCGTCAGGTGCAGCGGCTTTCTGCACATCGCGCTTAGTCTCGACCCATATCAAACCCCCTTGCTATTCGTCCCACAGCATAGCAACGTCCGCCGCGGCTTACGGCTATAGACGTTAACTATATCGTGGGGATTTTCCATGCGTGTGTCCGGTCCGAGTTCGAAAAAGGGTTCAGGGGTGACCCCCCTGTATGCATGCGCGGATTTATGTTTCCGAAGGGTTTAGGGTTTTGATTTGTATGGACCAATGCGGCGCGCACATCGAGTTTCCTGGCAGTGTCGACCTGCTGTGCCCGGCGTAACCCCCGCCGAATCACGAGCGGAAAGCGCGTCTGAGTCTGAATCTGAAAGCGAATCGCGGTCTTCCGATCCTCGCCGAAGATTTTCGCACTATCTCCTTTTGTGGCCGGTGCCTCCGATTCGAGCTTGATCTCGATCTCTTGTCGACCACCGATGTCGACCTTTTGCAGTATGCACGCACAAACGGGATTTTCGAAAACGGAGGGGGGGGGAAGGGACCCCCATTTGGTTGTCGCGGCGCGAAGCCGCAAATCTCGTGCTCACGTCCACCACCAGAAGTGTTCCAGCACGGGGCCGCTCCATGAAAATGAAACTGAATCCCCTCCCGCAGGCAAAAAAGAAAAAAAAAGATCCCACCTTGACTATGGGGCGCGGGCGGCGTTTTTACTTAGAATATTTTTTTTGCCCGACAGGGTGCTCCTTGTCCGGCTTTCTGCTGGTGCACAACCTCACCTGCGCTACCGCGTTGCTCCTCGGTGTGGCATTCGTCGTGCTGTGCACCATGTTCTACCAGATCTACCTTCTCGGCCCTAAGACCCGGATTTGGCGCCTTCTATCCTGAGTAAGAGCTTCTACGGCCCCAAAAGCTCCACCTTATGGATTAATGTAGTCCAGTAGATTATGAAAATTTGTATTCGTTCCAGAAGCCAAGATGTAGTTTTGGCTCTTGCGCTGGCAGCTTTGGGTCTCTGGTGTAGTCGTGGTTGCGTGGGTAGTGATGTCGTCGCGTCATTATAAACCGATTGTGTGACTCTGGTGGGAGAGGACGAAAATTGTAGATATTATAGTTGTAGAAAATACTGTTTATCATGGAGCTGCACATGAAACACCCTTCGGGCATACAGATTTGCATCACATCTGTAGGGTATGGGACAGCCAGAGCCATCTGTGCCCTGCAAATAGAGGCGCAAAGAGTGCCGCATTTTGTTTAGCGTGAAGAATGATTATATTTATGTGGCGGAGCAGACGTCTTTACTCAGGAAACCTTCGCCGCCGCATTCTGCAGAGCCCGGAGCGGGAAATCGTTCGCTTGTCAGAGTGGTGTTTGCGTCCGACCTTAGCCCGGGATGAGAGCCGGGGGCGGAAGACCGTGCGTGACCTGTTCCAGCAACCAGAACAGGACAAGGTCTCAGCTACTGAGGCAGCCGGAGGCCTTGTGCGCCGAACATTGCCCCCTCTGCCAATTAATTACAATGCAGCTGGCCGCTCAAAAAGCCCTGGCCCTGAGGAAGAGGAAGATCGAAACCACGTAGCACACGACAAGCGCGACAAGGCAGCCCGTTCAGATGATGTTTCTTCTGCATCTGTCGCGTCAGCAGGAGCTGCATGGTTCTTGACACCGTTGCAGAACCGCTCCAGGTCCTTGCTTGGGAACGAGATGACGCAAGGCTTGAAGACAGAGACGACAATAGAAGTATGTAGTGAGGTCACGAGCGTTTCAATCTAGAAGCGGTTTTTTTGAAAAGTGGTCTTGTGCAACACAGTCGGCAGTTGTGAAGCAGAAGCGGCCGGATGTGTTTTTGCACATTGAAAAGCCCCGCTTCCTCCAAGGTCGCCGGAGCTTTGCCATCAAACACGCCGGCGCGAACTCTCTCGATTACCGCTAGGAAAAACGACGTGGCACCATTGTGAGGCGCCCGCTGCCTGCGGTTCGGCCGATTTTGGGCGCCCAAAAAGCGGCGCCAAGGACATAATAGCGGGAAAAAACCAGCGGATTCGCACAGTGCGGGTCTTGTTTTGGCACACATTTGAAGGCACAAAAACCGACCAGAAAAGTCGGCCGCTTGTAATTATGCTGGAGGCATGGCTTTGATTGCCAAAAGGTGCGCCTTTGTGCAAAACGTAATATATATGCCGCCAAAAACTGAAAGCTAAGCCGCATGCTAATGGCCTGATTGTTGATGCCTGCGTAGGGGCCGCGGCCCTGGTGGAGGCCCGGGTGTGGCCGCGGAGTGTGGCGATAGCTTTCTGCTCACTTTGAATGCCACCAGCTTCCCGCCTTCCGCCTTCCACCACAAACTGAGAGTCAAGCCGCGTGGTGCCGGGCGCCCAAGAGTCAAGTCGCGACTTTTGTGTTGCGCCTCGCCATGCAGAGTATTGTGATGCTCGAGGCCACCTTGCTAGCCCTTCCAGGTACAAAGAAAATAAAGGACCTGGCTGTTGCCCAGTCAAAAAAACGCGCCCGACCTCGCTACCTGCGCCTCAGCGGCTATGGTTAATAGATCATCTTCGAAACAAGAATCAGGAGGAGCGTAGTATCCCGGGGGCCGGAGCACCTGTCGTCCTGTATAACACCTTGACCGCGCACGTAAATACGAAGGCAAGCCTATTCCACAGAAATAGGCTAGCATATAATTATATGCAAATAAGTAATAAAAAAGGGCGCTTGGGATTTTTTTCTTGGTTATGTTGGGCATACATATTCACAATTTGAATTTTGGCACTCGCACTATCATTACGCTAGCGTTTTTCTGTGTGATAAAGCCCAACTCTGGGTCAAGTGGGCAGATGCATAGGCAGTGTCGTGTGTGTCTTCAGTGTTGTTGCCTTTGCTGTACTGGCGCGCCGGTCAGGGCAGATGGCTTTCGAAAGGAGCTGGCAACGGGATTTGTTTAGCGTGATCGAGTATATTATTATCTTCGGGACCAATCTGTTCCTGCTCGTATGTACTTCTGAGTTCCTGACTCATCTCAGGCTGGGAATTTTGATGGATTGAGCCACGTTTTTACAGTACCACTTTTATAAATACTTATATATAATGATACCGGTAGTTCCGCCATGAAAAAGCGGAAGACGATGAAGAACCTAAGTAGCTGATCAAGTAGACGCGTTCTGGTTGTTCTCGCGCTTAACTCTTTCCCCCCGCGATACCACTTTCTAAATTGTCTCGATTCCCGACATGTAGCAGCATGGCGGCGGCGGAATTAGCTGGCAATAGCCCCGAACTGGATAGGATTTCAATCCAGCGCCCCCCGGTTGAAATTTTTCTAATGCTGCTATCTCCTTCGTGATTCATCATCATCTGAGAAATCTCACGAGGCCATGCCACACCATGCGGACCCAATAAATCGTTGAAACTCATGAAGGAAATATGTTGGGCATTGATTGTCCGCGTGTGATGAAACAAAGAAACTGACTACAGGACGCAACGCGCCAGGAGACTCGCGCCGCCTGCTTGCATGATTGGATTGACAGGGCTAACTGCTGACAGCGAGCCCAGTGAGACACGCGCGCCCTTGCGTGAGGAGTTCTCCTCAAGTCCGCTATATTTCTGCGTTTACCTGATGTTTGCTTGCTGTGTTTTTATACGATATCCTGGCGCAGTGATACCCGAACGAAGCAACAAAGAATATAGAAGAATAGCACACTGTCGCTGTTCGGATCCGAAAGGTTTTCGGGGGTCCTCGCTCTTGCCGGGGACTCCGCCCTGTCCCCGGGGGATCCGCCTTGCCAATGGGGATCCGCCCCGTCCCCCGGTGATCCGCCTTGGCCGGGAGGATCCGCCTCTTCCCCCGGTGGACCCATCGTCCGCAATCCTCTTAGGAATCTTCTGCCCCCAAGCGACCGCGCGGCCACGGCCAGGGAGAGTGGCCGCCCCAAACAGCCCAAGTGGGGCAATGGGATCCCTGAGATAATTTTGGAATCCCCTCACTCAAGTAGAATCCCCCGCCGAGATGGGCGGCGTCCGTGCCCACGGGGAACGGCCAACGCGAGCGGACCAATTTGGATCAGAGGGCTCCTGAGGGAGTTTTAGAATCCTCCCGGGAAAAATCCTCGTCAAAAATGATGCGGGTAAAATTACGCGGCAGCTCGCGATCGCAGTAGGTGGCCGCCTCGTTGTTGTAGCTGGTCGCGCAATTTTTAGCAGAGGGCGAGGCGCGCAAGTGCCTTACATTGGGCGCGCTTTTCCGGTATGCTGCTTAGGAAGCGTCAGTCACGGTCGGCCATGATGTACTTGGGAGCCGTTAGCCGTGCGGCCCTCGCAGCCGAAGGCATTGGCAAAGGCGAACCGCCCCCAATGCTGGCGCTGGGCGAAGAAACAAATCAGGACGGTGCGCGGCGCTGAGAAGCTGGCTGTTGCGTTTGTGGAGTCGTTACTTACGTAGTGTGTGAGGAGAGGTTCTAGCTCAGAGCGGATCCACCCTATTGAAGAAGGATGTCCTTTGCGCAACGCTAGCGGCTCCCGTAGAACTGAGAGTAGCTTCCGTTGATTCTGACCTTTTCTCAGCATGCGGAAACGAACAGAAGTAACGTCTACTCGTGCAGTAAGCGTGGTCAAGGTAGAGCTCATGAAAGCTCGTCCAGCCGCACTCTCAAAGCGCTGGAACGCCACCACTCACGCCACGCCACAGAAGAGGTTGAAGAGAATTAGAAACCACAGAATCCAATCCAGAACCTGATGAGACTACAGGGCCGAAAAAGAACAGGATCGATCTTAGGCTCAACGCGAGACTGAGCTTCGAGAAGATTGAAATCGTCAGATACTTAAAACAAAAAAAAATCATGACCTCGTCCCGCTCGAGAAGACGAAGACCGCATGGCGGTACCGCCGCCCTCGTCCGAGGGACCTGTGCGCTGTTCGTATGGCGCAACCACATGCACGTATCGGGGCTTCTGCAAAGAGATGGCGTCGTATGGGAAAGAGAAGAAGAAGAACTGTTTCACTGTATAATCAACCTGTGAAGAAGATGCACCATGGGACGCAGCACACAAGTCTCTGGCCCACTAAACTTGCAAGACAGTGAATATACCTCAGGCGTGCTCTACTAGTGCTTGAGGAAACACTAGCACGCATGGCAAATTTTCTTTGTCGTGTAGAGCACCAGCGTCTTCTTGTTTTGACGCAGATCTTGCAATATCAATATCTTCATCGTTGCTGCATGCACTGAAACACTTTTTCCGTATGATTCATCGACCAGCTTCGTCCGGGGGAGGACCAGGAGGAATTCTCTGACACTGCCGCGGCTCATGAAGTATCCAACATAGAACTGTAAATATGTCTCTGTCTGGATGAAACAGAAACTTGTGATGCTTGGCAGAGAATCACGGCGATTCGATTTCCGGCGAAGCGTGTCGGCTGGTTTCTGATTTGCTAGGTGTTGTCTGCCTTTGCCTTTGCCGAAGTGCTTTTGTTGGGCGCTTTATCGACTGACGGACCATCTACATTCCCACCGAAATCAGAGCGATCGGGCTGACGAGATGCGTCTTGTGGCTTTCATTCATTTTCTCTGCCACATGGAGAAGTGGCGCTTGTTTTGGCTAACGTGTGTGACAGATCGATGAGGATCATGCTAGCTGAGCCTGACAAACCTTGCATTCTGTCAGAAAGACCCAGACTGACACGCACTTTTCCTCTGCTTCTTGCAAACGTATTTGTATCGACAAGCATGACACAGAAGTTGGCACTCTCTTGTTTTCATGCATCACAGATCTTCCAGCTGTTCTTCAAATCTGGTGTCGCGATAAGTAAGAAATCCAGTCCCAGATGACATTCCTATTTGCAGTGCATAAGTCACCCAACAGGATTCCACACGAATTGGAGAAGATGCCTACCCACTGCAAATATGTCCTGGTCGGGAACAAGGATGCAAACTTGTGTTACAGACTCTGGATTATGATCACATAGAGATTCTCTGTTGCATTATTGCATATGCAACAAGAGACGAGTACTACATTGGAAGAATCTTTCCTTACTTGCTTTAAGAGAACCCAGCTACTTACTTTAGTGCTTATGCCATAACAGTAAGTAGCTGTGTTTCCATCTCTTGCTACGCAAATGGCAAATTTTTCATGCGTGGCAGGCATCTCTACGGAGGCCTGATTGGTGGAAGGCTTGCAAAAGAGTCCTTCCTGCGTGCTGCATTGCATTCCAGAAAAACAATTAGTATGTCATGATTCAAAAGACGCGTGACAAATAGCACCAGAACTGCGGCTAGTACTCAGCGACCAACTAAACCAAAACAGCTACAATATTCCAGACCCCGGACCCATATTCATATTTCATAGTGGTTCCTTTTTTGCGGGCAACGAAACAGATGTGGAGCGTGCATCTTTTGACGGAAGCGAGCCGACGTCGGCTGCGGAAGTTATACTGTGTAAAAAGGTCCCGATCCCCACCAGCAGTTTCACTGCGATTTATTTTAGTCGTTTTCTAGTACATACAGTGCCGCAGATTAGATTTGTCACTCAGATGTGCCTGCCCCGGATAAGATGTTTCTTATGCGCAGCCCCATGAGATGACGATGATGATGAAGATGATGATGATGCGCAACCCTCTCTGCGGTGCGTTTTCCAGTGGTTTTTGGAATTTGTCATATGTAGTGAGGTCACCGAGCGGTTCTAATCCGGGAACTTTTTTAACACCTACTGTGAAAAACTACCGGCAGCGGTCAATCGGCCGAAGAGGTTTGGCACATGAAAAGCTTTCATATTTTTCATTCGGTTCCGGGTGTGGTGGTACCGAATCGCCGGCGGAAGTTACCGCTGGCCGATCTTGAAAACGCCGTAGAGGAGCCGACACGAGGCGCCCGGTGCATCGGTTTCCGCCGATCGGAGGTGCCCAAAAAGGGGCGCAAAAAAATTAGCGGCGGGAAAAGAAAGCGCGACGCCGCGCGGTATGGGGCTCATTTGGCCCGCATTTGAAGAGTGCAAAGCCGGCCACCAATGCCGGGCATTTGCAATGCGGGGAGCAGGCCAAAAGGTGGCGCGGCCCTGTAGCAAAAGAAAAAAAGCACACCCGCAAAGTGCCCCAAAAGCGGAGGGGTGCTCCCCATGCTACGGGCCCGATTTGGGGCGCCCAAGGAGCCGGGCGGCCGTGGTGCGGGCCATGGCATTTGGCGAAGGCCTTCGAGCTCCGAAGACAGGAAGGCGGTAGCCTGTCGCGGTTGTGATTTCTAGCATCGGCTCCACTGTGCGGAGTAGCATTATCCGCGACCACGGAATGCCCAGGACAAAAAACCGGGCGCATTTTTCTCATGGGGATGCATTGGGGAAGACGGAGCCGGGCAGTCAAAAGAACCGCCGCGACCCCACTGCCCCCGCCGGCTCGGCCCTTGTAGACACCATCATGACCAGCGCAACGCGCTGCCTGTGCAGCACGATCGCAGCACGAGGGTGCTGCTGCCCAGACACCTCGTCAAAGACCGAAAGAAGAAAAGCGCGCGCGCCTCTCCTCGTCTTTGCGGCTTATTTACTTGGAGCAAGATAAGGGAGAAGTCGCCGCAGGCGTTAGAAAGTTGGCGCCTGTATGTTCAATTTTTTTGGATGGGTTTTTCATCAATTGGGGCGCCAAGTGGTCTTCCCCTGCTGGAGGAGGGAGTAGGAAGCGCGCAGCAGTCTGCCAAAGGGCACGCTGGTCCTCGCCAGCGTCGTCATCTATCTATCAATGTGGGCGGCGCCGACATAGCCGAAAAACACGGAAAAACCAAGGCTGGGCGCTTAGATTGTGAAAATGGGCCACCTAACTAGGTCAAGGCTGGTAGCGAGCCAGTCAGTGGCGTCGCGGACGTGCGAAGGCCTGACAGGCGGGGCCTCTGACGTTGTGCGTGCGTGGAATTGGCAAAAATTTGTATTGCGTGGGAACCAAAAACAAAATAAACTCTCCAGCTCTTGCTACGGAAGCAGGGGCTTTCTCATGCGTGCTAGGCAACAGGAGGCCAGCAACAGCATCAGACCTGCAATGCTTTTGCGTGCATAGGGATAGGAGACCATTTGTGTCGTGATCGAGAAGATGCATGACAAACATCGATCCGCACTGATCCAGACCCAGACACATTTGCAGTCGGTGTGTTTTTTAGGTCTCTTATGTTGTTCAGGTCTCTAATTATACTATATGCTGTTCAGCGCCATCACTTCATCGACCATCAGCATCATCATCATAGCGCTAGCGCGGCGGGTTTAAATTTATTTTGCGACCACCACGACCATGCTGGCGCTAGTTGAAAGCAACTGGCCCGCGAAGCTTCGTTAAGAGCCTTGGATAGATCTCGCCAGCAATTCGCTACAGAGGCAAGAGAGGGGGACGGGCGACCATGCGATCTGGTGCATCTGCGCCGGCGCTTCCGACGGCAACGCCCGGGGGTTGTGTTCGATGTTTCTTTCTCACAAGCATGTCGCGGCGCTACTAGTAGTGGCCAGCGCAGAGAGGAGTTCTGCCGAGGCTCTGCCTTTTCCTAACTGGTTTCCTTTCTTTTCCTTTCTTTTCCTTTCTTTCCCTTTCTTTTCCTCTTCTTTTCCTCTCCTTTTCTTTTCCCTTTCTTTTCCCTTTCTTTCCCCTTTCTTTTCCCTTTCTTTTCCCTTTCTTTTCCCTTTCTTTTCCCTTTCTTTTCCCTTTCTTTTCCCTTTCTTTTCCCTTTCTTTTCCCTTTCTTTTCCCTTTCTTTTCCCTTTCTTTTCCCTTTCTTTTCCCTTTCTTTTCCCTTTCTTTTCCCTTTCTTTTCCCTTTTTTTTCCCTTTTTTTTCCCTTTCTTTTCCTTTCTTTTCCTTTCTTTTCCGGTGGCAGCGCCGCTTTGCGCTTCCATCTAGCGAGGCCGTATATTTATTTTTATCTCGGGCAGCCCGCCGTGCCTATGCTGCTGGCCACTGCACTGACGGCCCAGTGTCAATGTGCTGACGTCAGCGAGCTCGATTCTTCGTGCGCAGCGTCTCTCGCTTTTGGGTAGCTAGTGGCGAGTGCGAATCAGTAGCCGCTCCATGGCGTTAGCGTTCACATGCTGTCAGCGCAGCTCTTTCACTCCCACTTTGCGGACTACGAGAGCAAGGCCAAGGCGCGCGCGCGTTGTTTGCGCAGCTATTTACTGCGCCGCCGACCATTCAACGTGGAGGCGCAGTCCGTGACGTCGCTTCTTCCGATCGCCTGACGAGTACCCTTCTCGCGGCAAATTGGCTCTCTCGGGCGCCACACGGCGGCGGGTGTCGCTTGCAGCAAGCGTGTTTCCAGTGTGCCCGCGTCGCTCAGCCCTCTATTTCACACCACCAAATTCAAACATCGTGAGCATTTTGGCACCCAAAGTCGCGATTCGCAGAGTCTCGAGCATGGGGCGTGAGGCCCGCTTTTACTCAGGATGGATCTCCGCACGCTGACATTTAGGGCGGACACGGTCTCTACCATCGTCGAAGAGGGAGATGCACTTGCAGAGGTAGGGCCACTACCCGATCACTCATTCATGCAAATGACGAGCAAACAAACCGAATGCGACAAGGGGCTGCAGGACAAGCTTCTCGGCCTCTTTAAAAAGAAGCATTGGGGTAAAATGTCTTCTGCAGCAAAAGACGCCCAGACTGTGACAGCCGTTTTTCATAACGGCTGCTCGGAAAATGAGCCGCAATATGATGGGCAAGACTTGTTAAAGGAAATAGTCCGCGAGGAGCTTGAAAATCCAAGTCAGGAGGCTCTCTCGGAAGTGAGTCCGAGTTCCAGCGACGAGGCGGGGACGAGTTCCAGCGACGAGGCGAGGAGCTTACGCAAATTGACCGTGCACTTACGAGGAGGTCTTCTTCCACTGATCCAGAGCGTTACGCTGTTTTCCAAGGCAAAGCATATGACCGGAAGCGCGCTTCACAAGGCGGTAGAAAAGATAACTGCAGCGAAGAATCGTGCTGCCAAAATGGCAGCAGACCTCAAAGACATGACTCGGAGGGTGTGGGCCAAGATTCGCGCTACGCTGAGCATGGTGCTTCCCCAGGACGACACTGCTAGCAATACGGAGACAGCTGCCGCCGGAACGAGCTCCATGGTGCAAAAGCAAAAGTTTACGATCAGGGAGCTCGGCACGGCGATGATGCAGAAGATTGTCAAGTTGGTGTCTGCCGGCGATCTTATGCAAAAGTTCGGGGAGAGATTGGCCAACTGCTTCCTCGGAGATCTCGTAAAAGCATTTCCGGTCGAGGTTAATCTCCAGGAACTCGTGAAACAGTTCTCGGGTGGTCTGCAAACGAGCCTGACGGATGCTGCTTACGAGTTCTTTACCAACGTTGTCGCTCCCGCTCTGTGGGACAATTTTAGTGCGTGGTGGAAAAAGCTGACTGGTGGAGAGAAGGCTGAGGAGAGTGCAGCTGAAGAAGCGCAAGAGCAGCACTTTGACAAAGTTCTGAATGGCAAAGGCAATAAGATTTCGGCGCAGCGTAAAAAGGCAGCGAAAGTCAAAGGGGGACGGATGGCGCGATTTACGCGTCAAGCGAAACGCCTCGTAAGTAGAAACAGCAAGCAGAACGACGAGATGCCGGCAGATGTAGCCGCCATGATACCTCCAAAGCGTCGTTCCGCCACGGGGACGAAGACTACCTTTGCCTTTGGCGAGTTCGAGTCGAGTATCGCAAGCGAGGCCGAGAAGGCGAGCAAGGCCGTTGCGGTTCCGGAAGGAACGTCTGATGTAGCTAAAGCAGAATGTGAAAAAGCGGCCAAGCATTTTGTGAAGTATGCGATAGACTCTCTTGTGAAAAACCTTGTTGGCAACGTGAAGGATGTATTTCAGAAGTCCATTTGGGCGGGAGTTTCTGCTGCGATCGCGAATTTTTTTGAGGACCTCGGGAACGGCGCTTTTGAAGCGGTTGAACAACTCACTGTTGAGATCCCCGGACAGGCCACCTTCGTGCGAAGGCTAATCGTCGAGCCAATCGAGGACAATATTCTTGATCCGCTTCCCGACAAACTGGCAGACGTGTCCGTGGCATACATCCGCAAATCAACGGAGATGCAAGAAAAGGTGGCGGCAGTGCTCGCACACCTGATTCCGCTAATCAGGAACCTGTTGCTGAAAAGTAAGCCACTGGACGAAAATGGTGTACCGGTGTTGGCGAGTACACTCATCAAGTACGCGGATAGAGGGGAGAAAATTGCGGATATGTTGCACAGTCTCAGTCGTGAGTTCCTGAACAGCTTGGCCTCCAACACACACGTAGCACACATAGCAGAGGAACACCAACACGAGGGGGAAGCACACGAACCAGAACACAAACACAAGGTCAAAGCGCACGACACAACAAACCAACACGGTGGAGGGAGTAAAAGTAAAGCACACAGACTTAAACACGATCACGAACACAAGGGTGAGGGAAAAGATTTGCAGTCAAAACCAGAGGAAAAAGAACATCTGGTGGAGACCTTCAAGGGGGCCCTGACGATCCATCTCCCAGGTTTCTGCGCCACCGTACTCGATGTCTTCAACGATGTGATTTCGGATAAATTGTTTGCGATCGTGAAAACAATCACCGATGGGTTGAAACGTATTCCTTTTGTCGGTGCCCTGTTTACTTTAGCGCAGCCGCTATTGCATTATTTCAGTGGGAAGGTCGCGGTGGGCCTGATTGGTAAAGCTTTCGACGGAGCGAAGAACCTAGCCAAGGCCGTGCTAGGAGAGGCGAACCATGACGCGGCGGCCGCTGCAGTCGTCAGCAATCAGGATACGGTGATGCCCTATGTGCAAGATTTCGTCTTCGGAAAGATTTCGGAGCTGCTACTAAAAAAAGTGCCTTGGTCGGTCGAATTGCTCGGAAAGTTGATGAAGCTGCTGCTGGGGCAGGACAAGGAGAATCAGGAGGAAGCGGCACAACAGCACTCTTCCTTTTCCGTAATTACCGAATCGAACCTAACGCGAAAGGACGACAGCGGACAGCCGAGCAGCTTCGCGATGGTAACTGAGCGGCGACATGCTCCGAGCGGCGAAATCTCCACAGGCGTTGACAGACATGCTGTCAGCATCGCGCCCCTGGGCGACGTCACAGGAGCTACGTCAGCTACAGATACACCCGGCGAACTCAATTCCGTTGGGGATGGTCAAGAGGAGCGGGGCCTTTCGCTTTCTTCGCCGACCGGTCTTCTGGAGCTACGCGCAGATACAGCTCCGGAACCGGGGGACCAAACAAATCCAACAGATAAATCCCTTGTGCGCGGCGGTGACGTGAACCCAGGGGCTGTGAGCAAGGTGATCCGTCAAATCAATGCTGTGATGGGACACTTGGGCGACTTCTTCAAAGACGTCGCGAAAAGAGTGAAGAATGTGCTTTGGGACCAGCTAGAAGTGGTTCAGAACAATTTCCTGGGCGGCAGCTTCATTACCGACATTGCGCACTCCATGTTTCAAATGGCTCGCAGCACTTTAATCGACGCCACCACGACTGCTTTTCTGAACTGGTACAAAGACAAGCATGAGACCGCTCTAAACCCTATCGCCGCCGCCGAGGTCGCGAAAATGGTAGAGGACGCGGCTGATTCGCGGGGCCCTGAGCTGCTCAAAGATCTGATTGACGAGATGCGGAGCAAAGTGCTGCACGTGGCAAAAGACATTCTCACGGGGATCGCGACCAAGTTGAAAAAATTCATGAACAAAGCGAAAGACTTCGTGATGCAAATCGCTGGGATGTGCGAGATGGGATTTGAGGCGATTACCGAGAGGATCAAAAAATTCATCACAGGCGCAGAGCCATCGATTGAAAAGTGCCTCAAGCCCCCGAATCTAGAGGCGTTTGCTTTGTGGAGCCTTCAAAATATCTGAGCGCTTCTGCTAGCTTGAGCTTTCGCCTTACGAACGAAGACCCTATGTAGAATAATCCAATAATTCACAATGTTGAATTATAGCTGCAGTGGCAAAGCTTCAAACAATTGCTGCCGATTCTTCTGAAGGTTTTCCTTCTGAAGACCTTCTGAATGTCCAAAGTCATCTCTGAAACCTTCAGAAGAAAAAGAATTGAAAAAAGCCACACTGTGCACGTTTTTGCTTTAGCGGGAATATAAGCGGTTGCCACCGTGGGCGTTTTGACCTTCTGAAGGTCGCACCTCCTGAGTGTTTTTTTTTTACCTTCAGAAGAAAAAAAATGAAAGAAATTATGCAAAGAAAGCTTCTGCAGGTGAAAAGCGACCGCTTTGCGAATCTTCTGAAGGTTGAAAACCTTCAGAAGTTCGTGGCACTTTTTTGCCCTTCAGAAGATTTTCCGACTTTTTCGACAAAAAAAGACCGCGAAGTGTCGCAATTTTGGCCAACCTTCACAAGGTTGAAAACCTTCGCAAGGTTTGTCAATTGTTCCTCCAAGCCTGATGCGATAGCTTTGCGATGTGCTTCTGTAAACTAATTACAAACAAGCACAACTCGGAACAGCTTACATTTCACAAGTTGCAAAAGCGCGCTCTGTGCACTATGATGCGCCGGCTGTGAGTTCTAGGTCTTCGCGAAAAAAGCTTCGCTCTTGCTTCCTCGCCTTGGGCGCTAGCCTAAGCCCAATTTTGTCACGCTGAGCCCATATATGTGCGGCGACTCTGAAGCCTGTAAGTAGTGCGAAGCAAAGAAGTCGCGCGCTTTGCTTCTTCTTTCGAAATGAATTTCGCACCACGTAGAACTTTTATCACCGCCTGGGCCTGACTTTCCTGCTTTATCTAAAAAAGTGCTATTTTTTGTTGCTGATTCCGTTTTCTCATGCATTTTCCACAAGAGTAAAAAATTTTGCTGATTACAGATCCGGAGCGTGGATAAGGATATGTTGCATTTCGACCATTTGATAGATGTTTTCGAAAAAACACTACAAACACGGCCGGGAGCCAGGCAGGAGGAATCTTGGTCGGTGAGTATCCGAGTGGGGCACTCGTTTGCATTGTCAGGACGGAGATGGTTCAGGATATGCATAGGCTTCGGCTAGCCCTAGCCAGGCTTCACGAGGCTAGTACTAGCACTAGGCTAGGCAACATGTCGCGCGAGGCTAATGGCTAAAGTTCGAGCGCTTATTTGGCTTTGAGTGTTTTGCACGTTGCCGAAGGGGTGACGCGATCGCTTGGTCGAAAGTCATCAGGTTGGCCGACCCGAGTCACTACTATGCGCACCGAGTCCACAAAAACAACAAACATGCCCACAGGCGCTGGCGCGCGCTGTGTTCTTGGGCGCCTAGAAAACGCTGCGCGTGTCGCCTGTTTCAGGACTGGGTCGGCGCTTGCGCCTATTTGCAAAAAACTGCCTCTGTTGTTGAAGATGCTCGGCCTTATGATTCCGTTGTTGAAAATGCTCCGCCTTTTTTTTCTCATTGTTGAACTTAAGGTGTACACGTTAAGTATTAGATTTGTGGTTAGTGAGAGACACATCCTGCTGCAGGTTAAGACCCGCTATGCCTTGCACTTGCTAACTTGCCTGGATTTGGAAAAATGCAAGTGGTGCTATCCTTGGCTCTCAAATCTATCATGCGCGCTAGGGGCGTCCTCATGTCATGAGTGCTCGCCGATTGGGGCCATCCCCATGTCATGCGACTGAGAGATAGCCGGACGGGACGCAAAGCTCGTGCACGACGAAGAGAAATCAATCTGGAACGTGGAGCATGTGATGGATCCGATCTTCACACGAGCGACTCCGCGAGTTTTCCAGCATCCAGACGCCAGCGGCAACCACTATGCTTTATCCAGCCTCACTAACCAAGCACTAAATACTTAACGTCGAAAAGGTTTAGAAGGGTTGAAAAGGTCTATTCATTTTAGGGTTCTAGTTTGATTTTACTCAACTGCACGTAATAGCTTTCGACCTGACACTACAGCCATTTCGATAAGCCTTGCCCCACGACGCAGACGTGGGAAGTGGTTCTTTCTTACCACCACCATGCAGCCAATTGCTATCCACCCGTCTTGGAAATTTACATTGCGCGTTCAGGCATGGCGACGAGTCTCTCTATTCGGAAACCGCACATGCAAACGTCTTCATGTCAAGGGGCCGGCACGCTTCTCATCTCGATACAAGACTCCGACTGCAAAAGAGGAGGCAGAAGAAAAACAGCAACTTGAGTTCATGAAAGGAAACATGACCCAGGCGCAAAACAGGCGCTCTCAAGGGCTGCTGATGAAGGTTGGTCATGGTCTTGCGCGCCTTGCTGGAGGAAAAAAGAAAGTACTTATTAACTTAAACTTACTATTTCCGTATGCAAATTATAGACGTGGGTCGCACTCGCACGCCCACAACCTACAGGGTGATCCATTGCTCTCCTATCCTAGGCCCTAATCTGGTAACCAAAGATTGCGCAAGCACTCGCGTCATCCATCGCAAGCGGGGCACGAAGGCTTCGCCGTTGCCATATGGGAGGAGCCCGGGGGTATGCAACCACTCGCAAAGTCGGGCGCTTGCTTTCAGGTGCGTTTGGCCTCCAGGAGGCGGATTCCGCTAAACTTTGCGGACTTTTTGCGAAAACAGCAAAAGCAGCGATATCCAAGCGGGGGAAGTGGGAGGGCAAAATCAAAAAGAAGTACTGCGGCAGCTCCATCTAGTCTGATTCTGAAAAAGAGCTTGTGCTTGGCCGACGGTATGAGGCTTCTTTTGGCGGATATCTTGCCACCCGTCGGCCGCCCTGGAAAGAAGCGCTATCTTTCGCAGCATGTAACCCCAATCGGCGCAAAAAAAGTCGCGACTTTGCGCGCGGCCCTCAGACGCCTTGAAAACCGAAAGAAATTGCGCAAAGAAGGCAACTACTCGTAGCATGTAAGCGGCCTGCAGAAGGCGCGGACTTCGTCCGCGGCCCGTGGGCACCTGCTTGAAGTTTGCAAGTGAGTGATGATATTTGCTGAAAAAGAAAAGACAAGGCAACACCGCCTGAAAGTGTGCACTGAAAAAAGGCGTCCAAAATTTTTCGGGGGCTCCTTCCTCTGAGATTAAAAAACAAAACGGCGATCGGGCCTGTCGAGGTATGCCCGCCCTCCACGGTTTTCAGCCCCCGGCGCGACCAAAATTGAAAACCCTCCTTCATCCCGGAAATGCCCAGCCTCGGGGGCCCGAGTGTATGTATGGGCAGCCCGAAATGGCGAAAATTGTTCAAATTTTTAGCCTGGAGAAAAAGCGCGCGAGTGGGCCCTCCGCGTAGGCTACAAAGATGGCCGCGTGGCGAATCGTGGTGGAGGCAAGGAGACACCTCGCGGGCAGGGGGCACGTTTCTACTGTTCGGGCTGGAAAGGACGCCCCTCTACGCAGGAGGGGGAGGTATCCGCGGGGGCATACCATCCGGGCCAGCAGGGGTCAATTTGTCACCCGCGTGCTACAAGGGATACCCCGTTGCGAAGGGGCCGGATTTCGCATTTCGCCGCCGAATGTGTTTCGCCGCGGGCCGCGACCCAAGAAGAGAGGCCCCGAGACAGATGGGGTGTCTTCTCGGTTTGCCGGCTGCTTCGAGGCGATGTTACATAAAGAGACCGGCACGCTCTGAGACCTAAAACGTGAAACACGGCGGCAGCACGAGGGACGCTTTTTATTTTGTGGGGAAGTAAATACCGGGGAGCAGCACGTATGTCGCCCGGGACAAGGATTGTCCGGCGTCCGGGGGATCCGCCCTCGCCCCCGGGGGATCCGCCCTCGCCCCGGGGGATACGCCCTCGCCCCCCGGGGGATCCGCCCTCGGTTCGGGGGATCCCGATCCGCCCTCGCCCCAAGGGGTCCGCCCGCACGCTGGCTTCCCGGGGGATCCGCCCATCCCCGGGGGTCAACCCGCTTCCGGGGGATCCGCCCCGCCCCGGGGGTCCGCCCGCCCACCAGGGGATCCGCCCTCGCGCCCGGGGGGTCCGCCCGCTCTCCCGGGGGTCTGTCCTCGCTTCTGGGGGATCCGCCCTCGCCCGGGTGGGGCCACCCTTTCGCTCGGGGGACCCGCCCCGCCCCGAGGGGTCCGCCCGCTCTCCGGGGGATCCGCCCGGCCGCCGGGGGATCCGCCCCCCGCAGCCCGGGTGGCCCGCCCTCGCTTCGGAGGATCCGCCCGTGCCCCGGGGATCCGCCCTTGTTGTGGGGGATCCGCCCTAACCCCGGCCGGGGGATCCGCCCTCGCCCCGGGGAAGTCCGCCAAGCCGAGGTAGCTAGAAGATAGTGCTTCCTTGCCAACGGGGAAAGGGCACGCACGAAATACGGCGCACATTGGGCCAGGGGATTCCGGCGAGGATCTTGAAGACCCCTCAGGAATCCTCTCCGGAACCCCCTCCCAAAATCGAGGCAGTGCCGCCGGGGGACGACCGCAGAGTCTGCCTGTCTGTGCCGCCGCCGCTCCTGCGAAGCCCGTGCCTGTTTGTAGAGTTCAACTACCTCCATACAGGCAAAGGCCTGGCACTAGTAAGCAGCGCGCTCCTTTTCCTGTGGTTTACGTAAGTGCTAGCTTATGCGCTTTTGGTTTTTGCAGGCCTCGAAAAGGGAAAGGAACGGACCGCCCTCAGATCTCCGAGGCTATGCCAGACTCCCTAAATTCCATCCTGACTTGACGCTAGACCGCCCGCGGCGAATAGAGTTCTGGGCTATATTTTTGAAGCATTTTTGAAGTAAGGACGTTCTGAAAAAGTGGGCAGCTATGCCCGCTGCAGGTCGTGCGCGAGGTGCGCCGGGTGCCGCGTTGCAGTCGTAGCTGCGACGTCAGTCTGCGCGCAGCCTCGTGCGGGTTTGTGATGAATCGCGCGGGCAGGCTTGCGCGTCGTCGGCGACAGTTCTGCGATGCAACACTACGCCGCCTCGCTTTGTGCTTGAGGCAGCTTCTGAACGTAGGCCACTCTGGTGGCAGACGGTTCTGAGGCCCTCGCTAATGGTGGCGAACGTTCAGCGAGAATGCCTCCGCGCAATTCGGCGGCACGTGCAGCCGGTCGGCAGTTGTTGAGTAACATCGACAGCTGTTCAAGGCAGCCAGCTACCTTCGAGCACTTGCAAAATATTTTGACGGGAGCCGAGATATTTTGACAGCCATCAGGCGCGACCTGTGACGGCAGTCAAGCGATTTGCGAAGGCAGTCAAGCAATCTGCGAAGGCAGCTAGGCAGTTTGCGAAGGTAGTCAAGCAATTTGCGAAGGCAGTCAGGGAATTCTTGAAGAGAGTCAAAAAAGAGCCAAGCTTTGCGCCCCCTACTGTGGTGGTCAGTTTTGCCGTGCATCTGACTGGTTTTTGACTCTCTTCAAAAATGTCCTGACTTTTTTTTGACGTGTCGGCATTTCCCTTCCCGTTCCGGCGTTCTCGAGAATCATCTACAACCAAATCTTCGACGCTGCTTTACCATTGTCCTGTCGGCTCGCTTCGGGCGACTAACTCGCGGGAAGGGTCCGGGGCACGCGGCCCCTCGGGCCGGTAGGTGTGCTACTGTCTGTAGCTGCGCCCATAGGAGTGAGTCCCCATCTCTTTCGGTAAGAGCAAGAGGTGTGGCGACGCGTTGGTGGTTATTTACCACTGGGAGCCGTCGCTTCCGTTAGCGGGCTGCCCATCCAAGGCTTGTTTGCATGCTGCAGCCTCTTTGCCGTTGGCAGCTTCGTCTTCGCCACTTGTCGCGTTTTTGTCGCATGAAACCACCCCAACAAACCGCGACTCGGGAAAGGAAGAAACAAATATCGCGCACGCAGGGAAACGGCATGCGCTTTCTGCGCCGCCGCGCCCCTGTTTTGGTTGTCGAGAGGCATGTGGAAAAAGCTCGGAAGTGTGCTGCTTGTAGGGGATCCATTTGGAAAATGGCTCTCCTTCACAAATTCGTCGAAAATGCTTCACAGTCACAAATTAAATTACACCCCGGCACAGTTGGCGTTGATTCTGATCTTGATTTGCTAGATTAAGATTTGTAATCACTAGCCGCTGGAAATATTGGCGAACTCCCGATGCCGATCCCCGCGCCCATTTGATAGCTCTGGAGCGGAGAAAGTTTTGAAAGAACATGACATCGCGCATCTCACACAAAATCAGGATGCGCATCAGCATGAGCACCATGCGCATAAGAACGAGAAGAAGAAGCACCATGTCCATGAGAAGCATGGGGAGGAGCACCGTGCTCATCCTCATGATGTGCATCACTTTGACAAAGGCAATGGGCCTGCGAGCACCAGTTTCGCCCAGGAAGACAGCGAGGGCCAGGGCTGGATGGAGTTGCAGCAGCAGCGGGCGTATGTGTGCAAAAGTTGTATCGCGCTCGAAGTGATTCTGATTGCAACCATGCACGCAGTTCCAGTTGGTCGGTGATTGCGCCCCCACATGGGCTGAGCATTTCTTTTCTTTCAAGTTTGCGAAAGTCCTAGGGCACTGAAATAGATGAAATACGAGCAAAACACTTTGGGGGACCTTTCAGCTTTGGGCCCCGTCAGTCTTCGTGGTTTCGGTTTGTGTTGGCGTAGGTCTGACCGCCGGCCTCGGGGATAGAGCACCGCTTCGGCTATGACCCCGCCAAGTAGTATTCAGCGGGGCTAAAGATATAGCCTGCGGGCTGTGCAAAGTGAGCACAATTTTACCAAAGCCATGAGAAACGCTTCCGGTTTGCCTTTCTCCCTTCGGCTTGCTCTTGGTGTTTTTCACGATGAAGAAAGATCCTTGCGCCCTTCGCTATGAACGGACGCAGAGCATTCGGCAGCTACGTTCTTGAGTAGTTACACGCGTTCGCTGGCGCCCCTCGGTATAAGCGTAGAGAAGTCGGCCATGTCCTTGAGTGTTTCTTTTCGCCGTGCAAAACGCCAAGAAGCAGAGGAAGGGAGAAAGAGAACGAACCGGGAGCGTCCCGCGTGCCTTTGGTAAAACTAAAAGCGTGCGCATTTCGAACAGCCTGTAGGATGTGTTCTGCGCCCCGCTAAATATTATCCGAGCCACGGCATTCCCGGGCTGGCGTTTTTTCCCTGAGGCCGCTCGTGTTCCCGTTTTGCCCTGTCCTACGCCGACAGCCCTGCAAGTGCGTGCAAAAAGAGCGCAGAAAACTGGCCGCCGGCTTTCGGAAAAAAGGCCGGCCTTCGGCAGTAAGTCAGGCAGCGCCAGCCGTAGAAAACCCCCGCACGCCGGCGCAAAGCATTCTTGCGGGAAAACGCAGCAGGGGGCCGCTGGATATCAGCGCTGTGCCTGTTGTAGTTTGGCCCCATAGGGAAAAGCCCGGCCTTTGCTTCATTTGCGTCCGTCCGTGGGTGCGTGACTGACAGAATTCGCACGCATGTGGCGGAGGGCACTGGGTGATGCAAAAGACGAGAAAAGTCGCGCGTGGGAGCGCATTACTAAGCTCAGCGGGCGGGTGCCGTTCTCACCGTAACACAAGCCTACAAGAAAAAGAACACGAATCCTCCGGGCCCCCGCCCCCCAAAAAAGCAATCTCCTCGCAGAGGCTCGGCCCGGCGCAAAACGTGGCTAAGCTGGAGCCACGGTCTGGCGAAGTGCCGGCAGCCGCGCCTGGCGGCCTTTCGCGATGTCAATCGGCTGCCACACTTCCAGCATGAAACGGGCCCGGCCGCCTATTATTATGGGTGTGCGACGACCGGGCGGCCCCCCGGAGCCCAGGAGTTCAGTGGTTTTCGCTGGAAGTTTTCACTTTCCGAATGGGCACGGCGAAGAAGCACGGGGGGACTTCAACGTGGCAAGCGCCGCGCGCCGAAGTCGTGGCGGCACAGCAGGCGCGCTCAAACGGGGCGGCCAAAAGGCCCGAGTGCGCTCGTGAAGGATGCCACTACTACGCGGAGGCTCCACCCTGGGCCGACTCTGCCGGCGGCCACCCAGATCTCCGCGAGTATGTGTCTATTTCAATGGAGGCCGCGAACCAACTTTGTTGCCCAAATCAGTGGCCGGAAATCCTGGGAAAAGCGCGCCAGTTTGGGGCGTAGCCAAATAGTTCTCCATACCTACCATCGAGCGAATCCGCCAGCTTACGCGCACCCGCCCCGCGCCCGTTTCAAAGTTTTTCCAAGTCTTCCCAAAGTTTTGCCGCCTTGCTGCGCTTTGAGGATTTGGCGAGGCCCGCAAGCCTCCCGGACTTTGCAGATTTTGGCACGGGAACCCGGCCCGTGCGGCTGGGGTTCTTTCGGCCGGGCGGGAGGGTCCCCGCTGCGGGCGGCGGCTCGGCCCGGGGGGCCGGGAGCACTTTCAGGTGGCGCTACGAGCGGGGAAGCACGCGCGGGCGGGAAAGTCTTCAAGGAAACGGGGACTAGCTATGATCTTCGGGCCCACTACCGTCCCACACAATCAACCGATGGGCAAGAGCCCCGAGCAACGCACTCCTCGCGAGTCATCTTCGTCGCAAAGTCGCAGCCGCGCGGGGACACTGTTCCCACCAGACAGGATTGCTTGTCATGGGTAAATAGCTCCGTAGTGAATCCTGCATGCGGTATCCCAAGTGATAGCGTTTCAACTATCGAGACCCAGATACACTTGCAACGCATAGGAAGGAGGGAAGAGGAATTGGTGGTGGGGACCCTGCGCATGCGCACCTAAATATCCTGTCTGAAAACGTGCCCGCCGTAGATTTGTCCGGTATAATCGCATTCCTAGCATGTCTCTCATGCGGTCTACGCATGGGACAGGGACGCGTTTTGTTTTTGTAATTCCGTTTCGCAATCGCCGCGCCCCAATCGGGATGATGCAGTAGGACGACTCCGCTGATGTGCGTTCAGATTTGTCGCACGGAGTTCATATTAAGCCGAAGGCTCCTAGTTTTGTTCTCATGTTGTGGCAGCAGACTCTATAGCACTTGTCTATTACGTGTGTGCGGAGGCGGAGGCGGACGTCTTCTGTCAGGATAATGAGCATGATGATCGACGCACTGGCTGAGAGCACCACTGTGGAACAAACCAACGCACAAATTTCGACGCACCAAAAAGACGATGGCGAGGACCCGACAATTGGCACGGTTGCGATGGATGACGAGTTTTCGCCGCCGGCGCACGGCTAGCTGGAAGTTCTGGAGTGAGCGAGTTTCGCTCGGGAAAAAAAGCCGGAAGCAGAAGGCTTGGGTCTTCTTCGTCACGGATAAGTCTTTGCATTCCACCACTGACTTCGCACCTTCATCATCATCTTTAAACGAGCTCGACGACCCGGCTTCACGCATAGAATAGGCACCACTTCCACGAAGGATTTGGCAGCGGCAAAAAAAGGGCAAAAGGTATTCTGAAGCTTTCAACTGTTAGATGTACATATTGTGCGTTCTCTGCGTTCTCTTTCAATCTGATGCCGTTTTCCCCGCAGCCACGACCGCCGTTTCTTCTTCCGCTCCGCCCCTGCTTCCGTCCCGGTTCCGCCACCGGCGCCGAAAGGGTTTCCAGGGTTTAGGGAGTTAGGGTTCCTTTTTTGATTTTTGTGGCGCGCTTTCACGCGATTTCCTTTCGAACAGCAGTTCCATTCTCACCTGCCCATGCTTTTTCTTTCACCTTAACAAAGGGCAAACGGGCTGCGTCGGTCCTTACTTTTTTCGTCAAGTGCCCACTGTGAAGGTTGCAGAAGACGGTCCGTCGCGCATTATTTTGGTCTGCGCCACTGCCACATCCACATGTCCGCTGACTCACATCGGTGCGGTTGCATCAGTATGCCCTCTGTCACTTCGAGGCGCGAGGCCCGATATAATTCGCCGTCTTCTGTCAGAGGCGTATCAAAATGGATGCCACCCCTCCGCCTGCGCCAGTCCTGCCGAAGCGTATCTGTTTTCCGTTTTCAGGGGGCGGCAGTGTGGTCCATCACTCCCTGCGCGCTCATTTGGTGTGCTATCATTCTTCAGCATGCCCAGCTTTGCACCAGATCCCGTTGATATAGAAGATCGAAGCACCTCCGAGAAATTTCAAAGCCGCCGCCTTCCTGGGCACTGGGCGTTCTCGCATTAAGTGCCAATTTCAAAAAAAGGAGCAGAGGACCGAAGCGAGGCGCGACCGTACACTCACACGTCGCATTTCGTGGATTCATGTGGCTGCGGGACCTGGGCTGTCGTGAATTGTTGCACCACTTGCGGACGGTATATGAGAAAGAAAATCCAAAATGAAAAAGTTTTATTAACGCTTTGAGATTTCAGTTTCAGGATTTGTCGCTTGATGTTGAATAATGAAAAAAAGTAAGGCGAAGTCCAGCATATGTTGCCTCAAGGGCATTGGATCAGATGACGTTTCGCGAAGAGTAGATAGATTGGCACTGCGCACAGCACAAATGTGGTTACTGCGCGCGAAGGCCTTCCTCGAGAGGACAAGTTTGCGACTATTCATTTTTGAAAACTTTTTGCTCTCGATGAATACGAATGAATCCACGAGTTAACTGTCGTAAAGTGAGAGGCTGGCGACAGTGAGGACGGTTGCTGTGCACTTGTTCCCAAATTGTGTCCATGGGAAAAGGAGGGGAAATCAGCCTCAGAATCGTGCAGTTTTCGGATCCGACGAGAGAGTTGACAAACCCGCGCGCTTTGGCTGAGGATGCAGGAAAGTTGACAGACCTCAGGTTCCCGGCGTCCGGGTTTCTTTTTCAGAGAAGTAAAAAGCGACTGAGTTTGAGAATTTTCCAGCAGTTTGTGTTTGTCTTGACTGCACGACAGTGAGCCGCTGCCACAAACCTCCACTCCGAAGCGGAAAGCTGTTGAGAGAGGTCCCTGAGTGAGTGGAATGCCTCGACTTTTGTTCAAGAACACTCGTCTTGGCGCTACGATTACGGGCGTCAGAAACAGTAGCAAAATGAAAGTTGCCTAGTATTGTATGTGTTTGCTTTCTCTTATCGGTACAAATCGTCCAGCCAAGGCCAAAGGCCCTTGCGCCGACAGATGCGTACCCAAACGGACGACAAGCATATGAAGAGCACGGGATGAAAGATCCGCCTCGCCTTCGCAGCACAACCAAGACGAGAGAACGAGAAGACCAAGATTTGTGCTCGGGTAAAAAAATAACGGAGGACGACTCTGAAAGTATGGTGAAGCGCCCGGTCGGAAACTACATTTGCGAGCCGTGTTGTTATAGAGGGGCAAAGAAATATGCTCGTAACAGACAAAGTGGATACGCATACTGTCAGCGAGTGAATGAATACAAATTCGCGAGGACCACGAAAGGGTCGGCTTTGATGTCGCCCATGGCCGTCCGGTATTTGTATTTTTGCTTTTGCTACCACTACCTGCGCGCGAACACTGGTGTGGTCGTCGGGAAGAACATACATACTGCAGAGCATGAACAAGAACCACCAGAGCCACGCAAGCACTACGACGACAAGGTTGCTGGTCTTTATCGCAAGCGCACGTCGGCACAAGCCGAAGCCTCACCGCTGACAACGACCACTGCTGCAGGACATATCAAATACGAAGAGCAGGAAGCGCAGGAGCTTGATCATGATGATCTGCCGCAAGCAGCACACGACGGCGGCTCAAGCCTTCTCGCTAGGCAGGCGTCAGAAGTCGCCGCCCGTGGACCAGGAGGACGGCAGGAGCAGGATCTTCCTTCGACGCCCGGCGTTAGCCTGGTGGAGCACACTTTTGCAATGAGACAGCACGAGCTCGAGAACGCGGCTTTATTGCAGCGGTCGGGAGAAAATAGTAACGAAACAATGACGGTAGGGCCTGGACCTGCTCTCTCGAACACGGGCACCATACCAGCAACAAGCGCGCTGGAGAAGACAGCAACCGGGAAGATCTCGACTTCGAAAAAGGTCGGTCACCACTCTATAACTCGCTTCGGTGTGCCAAACAATCTCAGCTGTGAAAATGAATTCAGGAACTTTGTCTTGCATTTTTAAATGCACGAGCAAGTAGATAACCGAGCCTGTAAGACTAAGACTCATGCAGAGCCTGAGCCACGCTTGATCATGTTTTGCTTTTGTTTATCCAAGACATCAAATCACAAGAGATTCTAGCGCAAGAATAGATTTTTGGGGGGCTCCGGAAGATGCCACCACGCGCAATGCCTTTAAGGGGGTGCAGACATCACTGCCTCCACCTTTTGTGTCGCAAATCTCTGGCTGCGGCTTCATTTTTACACTTGGAATTGTAGTCAGTTATTCTGAGTAAAGACGCTCCGACCCATGGGAACTCTGTTCGCGCATGACAAATCTGGGCTTGCGGTGTAGTCGTGTTTAGCTAGTGACGCAGCCGCGTCGCAAATCCAGCAAATTCTCACTCTGGCTTGACAAGCTGCGAAATACCATTACTTTACAAAATGCATCTCATAGGGCTGCGCATGAGAAACTTTTTAGGTCGGTAGATTTGCATTTGCAGGACAATACTGGGGAGGGCACGTTTTTACTCAGGACAGCAGCCCTTTGCGAGTTATACAGTTGATGATCGAGGAGGAGCGCCTCGCTTTATTTGGGATTGATTTTGCGGAAGTGATATCCAAGAAAAACAAAAAGACGCAAAAGATACTGTCACTCTGGACAAGCAAGGCATAAGTACCTACGCATGGGCAGTTCGTTGTTTTCCGCTTGTCATGCTGGGGCCCATGATTCGAGTGCAGCTGCGCTTTCGCAGTCGCACGCTATCAATCTGCGCATGACAAGTCTTTGCTGTCATGCGAGACACTACATTTCTAGGGCGGAGTCGCGCAGTCCTTTTTGAATACCAATACGCCCGACAGATTTATCGAGTTTGAGTCCTATCTTCAATTCAATGGCTCATTGTCATTCCGTTCCCCGAAAAACAAAAAGGGTCCCTAGAAATAAGTGAGTATTTATCTGAGTACTTATCTACTTATCCTTATATTTGCATCAACATATATTAAGTGTATAGTATACACAGTTCTTTTTTTTCGTGGATAAGCGATGAAAACGATCCAGGACCTGCAAGGCGTCATCTCCAGGATGTGCGAAAACGTTATGTCTCACTTACTGGCGTTATCTATTGAAATTTGTCTGGGTCTCGGGGGCCTGGAAGACTGCAGGTTTTTGCCATGCTATTTATTTTGCATGACGCAATTAAGTTAATGTTAAAGCGTGCTTTAGTATAATACGGCGTAAAGCTTTCACAGGTTCTAAGAAGGTCTCTCAATGCCTAATCGTAATGAGCAGGGCAACCCCGCCTTTCGCTAGCAAGAAGCGAGGAAATTTTGCTGTGCATGCATAACGGAGCTGGATGCTAACCGAAAAATCTTTTGGAGATCTTGCCCTGTCAAGGCATTGATCGTAAAGTGGATGACAAAAATGGTCGAGATGTAAAATGGTTCACGCTGCATGACAGATTTTTGCGTGATCTGAGTAGATGCGCGTTGCGAGTTTTAACTCTTCTTGATGCAGACATATTTCCAATGCATGGGCGTCCCTGGCGGACTACTTCATACCGGACGAACGCTATCGCAAGAACAAACTGCTTCACTGTAAAATCGTGCTGCACAGATGAATCATGGAAAGCGGAAGTGTTTGTCTTACTTCTACACATGCAAGAAAGTGGCCGTGATACATATCCCTTAGGAAGAACGCGTGGCAACTTTTCTTCTTCATCATGTATGCAGTCCCTAGGTGGGTGGGTCATGGACTAGAGTGGGGCAAAATATATTAGCGTCAAAAATCTGCATTGTAGTCGTATCCTAGCGTGTCCAGCGCGAGTATTCTGCGTTTCCTTGCGTTGAATATCTAGTATGTTTTACAAGCTCCAGAGAAAATGAAACAAACCTAGGCCTGGCAACTGTGGAGAATATATCTGCAGGACCTACCGTAGGCATTGATCTACACGTAAGTCCACCCGAGGCCTCACACAGCAGAAGAAAAAAACAAGCGCAGAAAAGAGCAGCGAAAAAGAACAAGCGTCGCAGTGAATGTGTGTCCCTGATGGAGTTTGTGTGTGGCGAGTGACTTCCCAGGGGCGCAGCGTGGTTTTTGTAAAGCGACGCGCTATGTGCGTAAAAGAGGCGGCAGGATTGCATTGAGTGAAACAGAGACGCGAAGCGCATGCCCTGCATGCGAGGGAGCCCGTTTCTCTTACACGCTACTTTTTGCCAGATATTTTAGTGCGGAGCCGGCGCTCTCTGCGCATGGGCGCGCGCGAAACAGAAGCGCGGCAGCGGAGCTGCGCGGTAAGCTTGCAAAAAAGTAAGGGCGCGCGCTTTTACTCGAGATCCAAAAGGAGCGCCACACGGCTTAAGCGAGAAGCCGAAGCATGGGAAGCAGAAAAAAACGGGCACCGTGCTGGCTCTCACACAAGCGCAGAATTAAGCGGGGCAGCAAAGGTGGGGGCCCCTTTCGGACACAGGGGAAACAAACGGCGGGCACTCACGCGGGCGCTTACAGGACTAACTACAGCGAGTGAAAGTAAACAACTGGCCCCGGTGCGGGCCCGCGCACTCACACAACCAGAACCACCAACGTGGCGCCCGCCTGTGCTGGTGGATGCTGGTGCGGAGAGTGGGAGCGGGCAACCACACCAGACAGCGCGCAACGCAGCCAGAACAGCGCGGCGCCACCCTGCTCTAGCGGCCGGCACGGGGGGGAGGAGCTTGGGGGGGCGCCCACAGGCAGCGGCCGCGGTTTCGGGGTGCGCTGACGGCGCTGCCGCGATGGCCCCGGTCGGAGACGCGGGCGCCTGCCAATGCGGGGGCCTGCCTGCCAAATAATAGGTAGCAACACGCGGCCGGAGCAGGCTCGCACCCGCTGGGGAACCCGGCCGCCCCAGCGATGCCGCGCGCGCGCCCAGGGACCCCCACAGGCAAGACGGCGCGGGGCTGTTAGAGGCTTCCCTCTGTGTCTTTCGTGCCTCCGCCGGCACACATCAAGAGCAAGCATGCCGCGCGCCGCTCCGCCATGGGGCGTCCGTTGGCTCGTTTGCGCGGTCATGCCGCTAACCGCCAACAAAGCAAAGCCGATGACCGGCATTCCTGCCGAAAATGTCCCGAGATAGAACGAAGAAGGCGCGCGAAAAGCTGGCAAAGCAGAGGCAGGGAAGCAGTATTGCTCGGCGCCCTACGCTCGGCGGCCTGCGGTCATTGTCCCCACCTAGGGCACCCCGTAGCGCCGCAGTGAGTGTCCTAGCGTGTCAAAACGCTAATTATAATTAGTGTCGCAAAGTCCCGCCAGGCCCGGACTAGAGCGGGCCATGAGGAAAACACACACACAGGGGCGCGCTGTCCAAATTTTGCGGCCCACGCTAGGCCGTGCCGAAAATCCAGGGAGGGCACCCACTGCAACGCGTCCTAGCCTGGCGCATCAGCATCGGACCAGCCTCGGTCTAGACCGGCCGCGGCCAGGCTAGGATAGATTTCGCGTGTGTGCAGAATCCTCATAGTGAGGATCCGCATGTATGCAATGTTTGCCAGTCTTGCAGAACCCTCACAGTGAGACACTTTTTTCGTAGGATCAAAGCGTGCAGGAGTACGGAGGAAAAAACGTGTGCAGTGAGGTGATAGACATGCTCTGGTGGAAATGTTCCTGGATGTCTGGATGATTGCAAGAGTTGCTATGCTCGACTCGCATGACTCTCAAGTCTGGCATGCACGTTACCCAAAACCTAAACCGCTACCCTACGTTGCCGTCGTGCAGAAACAAAGAAACGCAGCTCGTCTCGCAGGACGTACACAACGCCTCCACTTACTAGTACCTCAGAAACTTGTAATGCTGGGCCAGCCATTGTTTGCGGCGCCCTCCTGATTTCCCAAGCAGCATCAGAAGTTTCCAGACCCAGATATCTTTCTTGCATGTGATCAGAACAGAATAGTTTTGTAGTGTACTTATATTGTTTTTGATGCTATGCGTTGCAAATTAATACGGATGTCTGGAACGATCCAGCTCGTCACACGCAATCTCATCCACAAAGAGATCCTGTCGTCCATACCTGGCATCACGAGCTCGGAGACCCAGATACATTTTCAATGCATATTTTTTGCAGTGCCACAAATTGAAATTTCATTTGTTTGCTCTCGGCAGGTGAAAAAATGTGTCATGCGCGGCCGCTACAAGCTCTCACGAAATAGAGTAAAGGCTCTACTGATGGACATTCGGCATGATAAGCTTAAGCACAAGGGTTCAAACAGTGCTGCCTGGTTCGTCGGCAGCTTGCTCAAAGTCAGAGGTACGTGGTGAATCCGTGCACCTGCACTTACTTAAAAATCTTCCAACAATGCATCTTGAGTTTTTTCCTTCGATACGGAGTATTCAAGAGAAAAAAGGAGTATGCTTAAGTGTATCTTGGTTGGAGGAATTTACTTTACAAATTTGCAAGAACCGTGGCGTGACCACAGCAAACTGCACGTGTGAAGCGCAGATAGTAAATACTTACCTTACGTAAATATGTGCTTGTTGAATTATAGACGCTATAATTTACCACATGACCAGCGTAACAGACGCAACCGTCTTGCATGTCGCGTGTCGACATGACAAGGTTACACTATGCAATCCTTTTTTTTTTTGATAAGGAGGCCAAGAAATCTATTGCGGAGTTCTTGAACCTATGCATTGCAAATATGTCAAGCGGTTAGGATTTGTCATGAAGGGCAACAAGATCTGTAATGCATTAATAGGATTGGGCAGTTTTTCTTTTTTTTGTCATAATGAGTGTCAATTTGTCTCGCGTTTGATGAATGATAATGAATGCGCGACAACAGCATCATTGCGCAGGAACAGCAAGAACTTTTTCGTGACTTAATGAATACGTGATGAAGATAAACTTCTGACGCTATTATGCCGTACTAGGGGATGCTCTGCGCTGCGAGTATTACCAAAAAAAGTTTCCAAACCCAAACATACACAGATTTGCCATGCATAGAGCCGGAACCTGTCGACCTTGCTGGCGAGTGGCGCCGAAATATGAAAGCGCCAGGTCGGATATGCAAATCAACGTGCGACTCGTCACGCTTTCCCTTTACTATATTCTAATTCTTATGGACAACGGCAAAATTCATTAAAATTCTTATGGACAACTCACGCTAAGTAGCCGCCCCCTTACAAAACTCCTTAAAAAGTAGGAGGGGGCGCAAATCGATAGGGCCCTTTGGATTCGTTTTTGCGCCGATGATGTGTTGCATTTTTCTGAGTGTGTTGGCGCAAATTTTTGGCAAAGAGAAAACCGCGCCCATAGCCTGGAGCTCTATGGCGAAAAGTTTTAGGGCGATCTTTTGAAGAGGCGAAAGCTTTGTGGGGCGTCGGCATTCTTAAGGGCGTTGCTAAGTCGATCCCAAGGGAATTTCTAAAAAGGGGCCGATAGGCCTCCTCGCGCGATTTTGCCAGGAGACAGGGCGGGGGAGCTACTTTCTTATGTTTTTACAAAAATGCCCGCACTTGGTCCCCTCCCGGACGAAGAAAGCGCGACCCCGGCATAACAATAAACAAAAGTGGCCAGCTTTGGCCTCTTCTGGGAAGGCCAGCCCAGGCCCGGAAAAAACTCTCCGGACAGCACGCCCGTGCGTCGTGCTTTGTCGTTTCCCGGAAGTCCGAGACGCGGAAGAAGACACGGGCGCGCTTTTCGCTAGTAGAAAAGTGGCCCACTTTGGTCTGCTCTGGAGGGCCCAGTAGAGCCCAGAAAGGCGAAAAAGCCCGCGGCATCGAAAGTGGCCACAACTTTTCGCCCCCCACCCTCCGTGGGCCCGACCCGTTAGAAGTGGCGGGCGCGGCCCGATTCTTTGTTCAAAGAAAGCGCGTGGAAAACTTTGGCCTTTTCTGGAGGGGCTTGCTTCCGAAGGCGCCAAAAAGTAGCTCGGCTGTGCACTATAATGTTGCCCTTGTTCGTTTCTTGCGGACGGGCCAACGCGGGAAGAACAAGAAGCCAGACGTCGGACCTGCTCCTTTTCTTGTTAGCCCTTCAGCGTGGAAAGTCCGCGAAAAAAGCAACTTTCTTCGTTTTCGTGTGGGGAGGCGCTTTCCAATGGCACAGCCACGTTGGTGTGCGCCGACCCCTCCCGGGGGAGGGAGGGTCTCGCCAGCCGGCGGCGGCGCTTCGCGATCTCTTCCGCCCGCGTCGCCCATGGTCCCCTCGCTTTTTTTCGCGTCCCGCCGGGGGACGCGGAGCCGCCGCCCAATCTAGAAAAGCGCCGCGACTGTTGGCCCGAAAAGCGGGACGCGCAGAGCAAGGGTGAAACCAATGGCTTGGGTCCGCGTGACTACTCCTCGAATCGGTGGCCTGACCATCTGCGGAGAAACGCACCCACATCAGGTTGCGTAGAAGTCGTGGCTGCTGTCGATTTAGCGTCACAAGAGAGATGAGTTTCAACTTTCTCGATTTGCAACCTGGCGCTTCCATAAGAAATCGTCATTCAGTTTGTGCCAGGGCTCACCATGGTTTTCTCGAAATTGTTTTACTTCGGTTTCTATTCCTTGCAAACTACATGTCTGGGTCTGGATTTATAATGCGAGAGCTATAGGACAAGAAGATCTGTATGGCATGCATACAATTCACCGTTTTTTTGTAGTGTTGGAAGCCAATTTGTCATGCGTTTTACGAATGAGGTTGCGTCTGCGATAAGCCTCGCGGATACTTTCTATTCCTGATATGCCGCGCAAGTGGCTACTCTGCGTTGCGAGTATCAGCAACACAAGTTTTCAAACGTCCAGGCATACTTGCAGTCGATAGTTTCGGTAAAGTGATCCAGAGAATGATCGACCCGATTCTCGATGTGATCATTGCAGTTATCAGGTACGTATCAAATGTAAAAAGGTCTGGGTCTGGAAGATTCTGAGACTTGTCATGCATGTTTTGCATTGGCCATGATGTCTGTGATGCATGCCCTAGCATCACAGATTTTTTGAGGGCTTCGCGATGCCTACTCCGCATGACAAATGCCCTATCCGCATAGCAAAAATTGCATTCCCTTTGCTGCTCATGCAATACAGATTTTTTTGGAATCCAAATTCAGCATCACAAGTTGCATTCTTCCAGACCCAGACACTTTTACACTCGATAGTACGTATCCATTGCAAGTACAGTATGTCTGGGTCTGGAAGAGGAAGGATGCAGCTTGTCGCAAGAAGTCTCCATCGCAAGAGCGTCTGCGTTGCATGAACCTCAAAAGTTGTCCACCTCTTACTAGGACAAAGGCGGAATAATTCTCATGCGGGATACATACGCATCAAGAAGGTCCCGCAAAATTTGTGCTGCTTTTGCGTGCATCCCAGACCATACGCTTGGTCCGAGCGCGAGATGCGTGACAAATCTTGATCTTCGTCTTCCATTCTTATTCCGGACCCAGGCATGTTTGCAGTTTATAGCACGATGCTCTGCCGACGCTTTTCCGCATGGGGCTCAAGCTTTTTTGCGGTTATATTTGGAAGTTCGTCAAAGAAAAAGTCGACCAGCTTAGAGAGATGATTCCCGATTGGGACGACGTGACAGAAATGGCAAGCGACGCCGCTGAGGCCGTCGCAGAGAAGTTGGGGGACGCCGCCAAGTTCGCAAAAGATGCGATTAACGATTTTTTTTTTGGTGGCGAAAATGGAAAAAGTAGCACGTCTTTCTTGTCCGGTGCTGAAGATCAAGATCGGGATGAATATGAATGGCCGGGGTCACCTTCGTTACATGTCGTCTCCCAGTCACCTGGCGAGGACGATGTAAGTATGTTTCGTCGGCCAAATAAGAACCCGCCTGCGACGCCGACGCACAACTTTTTACAAGTCTCGATGCGCCTTGCCGTCATGCGTGCGAAAACTGATCCGCACCTGCGGGATCGTATCCTACAGAAAGGCACATGTATACAAAAACCAGGAGAAAATACAAATTCAAATTTTCTTTAAGAAAATCAAACTTTGCTCTGGGTTCTGACTGTTTTTTGCTGCTCAGCATGACAAAGCTTTTTGCTAGCGTGCTAATCGCGAAAACGCCTTCTCTCAGGTTTTCCGCATTACGGAGTTCTCCGCTTGCGCCATCAAGTTAGCAGCGCTAAATCTAGGAATGAGATGCATCTTGTGAAGTGTAGTAGCCAACCATGCGCACGACGCGCAGGTAAATTTGATATAATATGAGCCCGAGCGGGGGCCCACTGGGCTCGTTATTGTCGGGCCCGTCTCCGTGATCGGTTCCGCTTTCAAACTCGAAAAAGCTGCGGGCCCTGCTGGGGCCCGCGCCAGCCCGCCGGCTGCGCTTTTAAATGCGAAAAAGCCGCGGCCGCTGGCCTTTCGGAGGCCCGCGCTAGGACGCTTGGCTGCGTTTCTTTTTCGGGCGTCGCCTTGCGTTCGAAGCCCGGAGCGGTTGGTCTCTTGGCTGGTGGTGAAGGGTTCGGCCTTGGTCGCCGAATAATTCGCGTCCCTCTCCTTGTGTGTCATGTGCAAAACTACCAAAAAAAGCACAGGGTGGCCCGAGGCAAAGAGAACCGCTCTCGTCACCCTGCCAGACGCAACGCCAGGAAGCCGCAGCCTAGAGGTTGTCCGTGTGGGCGTTTTGGCTTGCGTGAGCAGACTAGAAAAATCATGGGCCGGAAACGAATAACGCGCGCGGATGGAGTGCAGTTACTTATCTCAACCACGCCGGAAAGTGTAGTCAGCGCGGGGACGCCAGCCCCCAGCGCTGAGAGTTAGGAATGTGCCTGTCTGCGTTGGCCCTCTCAGGGCAGTGGGCTTGGTGTTTGGGGTTTAGGGTCGTCGAGCAGGGCAGCCGCCGGCCGGCGGCGGCAGGCTGCCTTGCCCCCGGTGATTCTCTGGCCGACGCCCCCCTCCCCATGCGCGCCCTCTGTTCCGTTTGTTTTGTGGCCATGCGCCGACTCGCCCGCCCCCGGGCTTGCCTGGCGTTTTTTCTCACCGGCCCAAGCGCCACCCCCCACCCTATGGGCATCGCCCAACCATGCTGGTGGTCCGCATGATGTTGGTTGTTGAGATGGGTGGCCTTTGAGATTTTTTCGGTCGGACGGAGCTGCTGGGACTTTTCGGGCCGCTGGCCCCGTCGAGGTGTTATGTTTAGATTAGGGAACTGAAACGAGTCCTCTGCGCCATCCGAATAAAACCGCTACCGCCCGCCATGCTTCCTTGTGCCCGCACGCGGGCGACTCGGGGGCGCACTGGACTCGCTTTCGCTGGTTTCGGGCCCTTCGTCCCGGCGCATTGGACTCGTTGAACCGAAGAGCCCCGGACAATCTCCTGAGGAAGCTGCGAAGCAGACCAGCAGGCTCCTCAGGAAGCTGCTAAAGAGGTCTCAGCGAGCTTCCGAGGAGGCGCTCCTAAGCTAAGGAGCCCGTAGCAAGCTCCTTAAGAGCCTTCTTCCTGAGAGCCTCTCAGCGCGCCGCTGTATGTTACAAAGTGGCAGCTTAGTGAAAAATCTTCATCAGGCGGCCGACCATAAAGCAACTTTCTCGTAATGGCAGCACTTAGGCAGCTTCTTAAGCGCCAACTCCTTAAGATGCCACTCGGCAGCAAATCGATTGTCTTAGGACATTCCTGCGCCGTCGCTATTGTGCTGCCTTATGTAGAAAAAGAACCAGCAGCACAGAGCTACTTTTCTTCCACACATGCCCTATGGCGAGTATGTATATATTTCTGCAGGATAGACCGGCTGGCGCGGATCAAAGCCCCCGATCTGGACGTGCGAGAGGCGTATACCCACCGGCATGCCGAAGCCCGCGCTGCACTGTATAACCTGCTCAGGTGTTACAATCTCAAGCGTTACAGTATGCAGCGAATTCTGGGTGTGTCCTGCGTGAACAGCATGAGGAACACACAGCGCCCGGCGCTTTTTGCAATACTATCTAATGTTTTTTACAAATGCCGGCCCCAGGTCCTACTTCCAACTCCTAGTCGGGTTTGGAGCTCGACAAGTTGTAATGCGTATATCCGTTAGACTTAGAGCAAGAGCCGGCCAGATCGTGAATCTTTTGATTTGCGTCACAAATCTCCGGAGGAGCGGTCCTGTTAACATCACAACCCTCCACTTTTGCCTATACAACGTTTGAGATCGTAACACTAACACCTGAGCGGGTTATAAACTTGCGACTGTTGGTCTCAATGTAGAGTTCTTCCATGAAGATGAAGCTGCAGAGGACCAAGAGCAAGCTGGCGAAGACGGCCAGAACCCAAATCAGTATCATACCAGCAAGACGAGAGGAAGCAAAGGACGCGACAGCGACCTGCGACGTCAGAAGCGCAGAATGTGGTCTAGCCGCACTTCCTCCTTCTCATTTCTGCAACAGGAAGAACGTCGCAACTCCGACAGGCACAGCAACCTACAAGACCTAAATGATTTGGACAAGCAACTCGATAGAGAAGGCAAGATGCCAACGCTCAAGTCCATCGAATCCATGGGGCAACCCACCGAACAGGAACTGCAGCACTTCCGGAATATGGCAGAGGAACGGATGGAAGAGGAAATAAAAAAATTAGAGGACCAATTAAAGCACGAGACCAACGAAAGCAACAAAAAAGAGATTAGCGAACGCATTACACAGAAGAAAAGTGATAACACGGCTCGCCTCAAAAAACTTGAGCCCGAACATTTTCAGAAAACGCGAAAGCATAACGCAAAGCTCGCCAATGAAGACATGGAAAAGAGCACAGCGCTGTACGGTGAAAAAGAAGCTTTGGGGACAAGAAAAGCTTTTCGTTTTGGCGCGCCAAGTATCAAAATGGCTGCAGCCCGCGCGGCAATCGGAAAGATGAAGAAAAATTTGGCGCATTTCTCGGAGAAGGCTGTGAAACACGTGCCAGCACCGGTGCGGGCGGCAGGCAGAAGACTGAGCCAGGTTGTCGGGATGGCCAAGAAAGGACTCAAGAAGCTACTCGATGTTGCCGGGCGTTATGGCAAAAAATTGATGAACAAAGTGAGAAAGTGGTGGAACGAGGTGAAGCAGAGACTATTCAAAGGAATCTTCTTGAAAAAAGCCATTGAGATTTTCCTCCTCTTCACGTTCGATAACTTGATAAATCTGATGGTGGCGCGGCTGGGCGACGTACTTTACCTCGTGCTGGATCCGCTGCTCAAATTTTCGCCTTCGGGTCTCTCTCCACAAGCTTTCATCGATGGCCTTCTGGCCCACGCGCCCGCAGTTCTGAGGTTTCAACTGCACCTCCTCGCGAAGACACTTCTACAGAAAGTACTTGGACGGTTTTTTGGTCTTGGGCCCGAAGGACAAAATCAGGCAGATGAAGGATCTGCCGACCAAGAAAAGAATCGTCCGGCAGGAGGTGGTGGGGAGGACACAAGTAGCGACGACGGAATCGATATTGTGAGTAAAATCTTCGTCCCCACCTCAGTCAAGACGAGAACTTTACAGCAGAGATCGTAAAGTTTTGGGAGTCACGCATGAAAAGTTTGCCTCTGCAGTGGAGTCGTGTATAGCATGCCAAGGAGGTGCACTTGCACCTGCCTGCGTCACAAAACCGCTTCCTGAATCTCCTAAATAGCACATAACATGCTCGCACACACGACCAGAAAAACGGGGCCCATGCGGAGACGTTGCTGGCGTGCCGATTTGCATGACAACGCTGGAGAGGTGGAGACGTCTTTACACACACAGGATAGCCGAAGAATTGAAAGCGCAGAAGAAAGCGCACCGAGACCGAGAGCGAGAGGACGAGAAAGCAAACATAAACAAGGAGCCGGCGTCGAGCAAAATGACATTGTCCTTTGCGGAAGTCATCAACTCGACGCAGCCTCTCGCTGTGTTTCTGCAGCATCTTGAGGCGGAGTGGACCTCCAGGCCTGCGCAACAGGTGGAGACGCAGGAAGTAGAAGAGATGGAACACTACCAGCAGCAAGCGAGGCCCCCGCCCAGCACGAGTTACATCTTCAGGGCGGACGATGCAAACGCTTTCGCTTTTGGCAACGCCACAGCCGCGACTCCGGGTCCTTTCACCGCGTCGCGGTTCTTCAAAACTTTCGACGGGAAGAGAAGGAGTAGGACGGCCGCCATCGGCTCGCTTCTACAGGCATCAGAGGCCGATCCAGCTGCGCCTAAAACTACGCAGCATGAGGACCCGAGAATCAAAAAAGCTCTGGAGGTTTTTGAACTCGACGGAGGAGCGATTGGCGTCCTCGAGAAGTTGCTTTCCTACGTTACAAGTGGAAAGTTGTCTGGCATGGTGGTTAAGGCCGTGAAGATATCCAGTGTGAAAACGTACCCACTTGATACCCGCCCCAGACGGGTTGCCATGTTGCAAATACTTGCTAAGATAGCATATGCGGAAAGCTTGAGCGTCTCATGCGGCGCAAACCAGTACTTTTTGCATTTGCTGTCCCCGTGCCCGCCTTTTCTTCTTGTGTGCTTGCTTTATTGATACGCTACTGATTCGGGGGGGGGCGGTCGGCTGAGACAGGAATGGCGCTGCCTCGACAAAAAGAAAAACAAAAGACCGCGCGCTTTTTTGGCCCTCCGCGCCGCCCTTATGGTTTGGCCCAGCCTGCTCCTAGACAGGGGGGAAGGGGGAGAAAGTGCAAAAAATCAACCTCCGCGGCATCTGGCTAGAGCCAAAAAAGTATTCGGCTTTGGGTTTTCGGGATAGGGTCTGGGGTGTAGTGCGTGGCGAAACGCCAGCAGCGGGAGGCTGGCTAAAGCCATCCGGATCGACCCCGGAGCCCCAGACCGACTCCGGAGTCGCCCCAGGAGAATTCAGAGGCTGCTGCTGGCTTTTAGCCAGTCCGTCGGGCGAAGCCCCGCGCCCTGTCGTGCTCGGAATCCGAAAAATGGCGCAAATGACAAAAAAAAACATAACACGGGGCGGTTGAATTTTGCCCGTTGGCACCCCGGGGGCGGACTATGCCCGTTTTGTGCGATGGTGCAGAGCTGTGGCCCCCTTGCGAAGAGTCTTGCCTATCGCCTGAGGGGCCCGCCGGCGAAGTGGGGCCACTGTGTTTGTGGATCGTTCTCTATTGGCCGTCACTTATCGCGCTAGCGACAGGCTGGCTGTGGGCAGCTCGCGACGCACTGATTGATGCGTGCGAGGCCAAAAGCTCGACTGCCAACCATTCCCGCACTGCTTGGGCGCCTACCCATCCCCCGGCAGGTCCGAGCGCGCCGCGCGGAGGTGGGCCGCCCCTCAAGAATGACGCTGGTGCGGCGGCCCTTGGGCGACAAGCCTCGCGACGTTTGGGAAGTGCCCGGGACCGAGTCCTGTGATGCGGCCGTGCTGCCTAGTTATGATGCCTAAGCTCTATGTTGCCATGCCTGACTGCCACCAGAGTTGCTGGATTTGTGTACTAGCGCATGCGTTGTCCTCTTGATGACTTTAGTACAACGAGGAGGCTTTTACACGGGATAGAGGAATGTGTTCAATAGTTTATGGAGAATTTTCATGCGCGCGGGAAAAGGTGCCGGCGCAGCGGTGGAAGGCGTCTCGCAGTCCCTGTCCAAAGACACCAACGCGGCACGAATTGCTGCGAGCGCGGATCTGACCAAGGACGAGAAAGACCTCGACAGCTCCATGCAGACGCCGCAGCCGGGAAAAAAAGACTCGGAGTTGAACGTGGTATCCAGCTTTGCGACAGACCTTGACGCGCCTCCCGTGGACGAAAATGCTGCCAAGAAAGAAACGGCGCACCTGCAGCATGGCCATGGGCCCTCCCACGACACGAGTGAAGGCCAGCAAGAGCATATAGAAGTTACTCTCCTGGAAAGACCTACCGCTTCGAACACGCTGGCACATGGGTCATCTGATGCTGACGCTGAAGCCGCCTGGTGGCGCAGAAGTCGGTCGGAGATGCCGATCCTAGTACGCAACCCGGAGAATGGTCCAGAGGACTCAAGTGGAAACGAAACACAGCCGATGAATGTTCCCGATCTTCATCAAGCAGTGAATTATGACCTTCCCGTGGATAACGACTACTACTTGGAGCACGAGGAGGAGCAAACGTTCATTAGCAAATCACTCCCGACTGATCGTGGCCGCGAAGAGGATGCTATCGAGTACGATGCGGCTGGTGCAGGAAGGGAGTTTGAAGCCGTGGGATTCGGCGGGGAGCAGGAACTGCGCCTGCTGCTGGCGAGCTACCTGCACACCTACGACCGGCAGCACTATCTTCAAGAGCGCGGCGAGCAAGAGCATGAAAACGAAGACTTTCATACGCAGCATTCGTCTTTCCTCAGCATGGCAGCTCCCGACGAGGTGGCCGCGAATACCACAGGCGCTGCGCTTGACGCGGGGGCCAACATGAACAAGAAGCGCGATTTTCTCGCGTTCCCATGGTACCGCCGCATTGTCCCGTCGCGACCCCCAACGCTGTTGAGCGTGGAGGAAATGTATTTCGAAATGTTCGAAGCGGGCCGCTATGAGCGTAACGGGGCTCCTGCTCCTGCTGCGTCCTCCACTTTCGCGGAGCGAGTCGGGGGGCCGCCGACTGAGCGCGCTCGTCTCCTCGCTGAAATTGCAGACGAGCAGCGGAATCAGCTGGGGGGCCACGGCATGGACACGGAGAACGAAAGACAAAAGCAAAACTTGATCTACAACAGCAGCATTTCGCACACTTACCGTTCCAGAAGAACTTCTGCGCACACTTACCCTTCGTCCAGCACGACAGTCCTCGCAGCCCGGTCCTCGTTTTTGCAGAAGCACAGGCTCGGGCTTAGCGTGGAGCAACGAAGCGCAGTGCTGGACAAGCTCGGAGACCTGTTCCGCAACGCCATCAGTTTAGCGGGGAATACGCTGGAAAAGATGAAGGACACAGTGAAAAGCATGGTGCTTAAAGCGGGCGCCGGGGCGCTTTTCACTCTCGCGCGGAACAACCTGAGAAGCATGATCGGTGGCCTCGCGGACAACCTCGCTACTCCGCTCTCAACGGTGATCGTCTCCATTCCAATTCCGGTTCTGCAGTCGCTCCCACTTGCCGCTCTCCGGGTCGCGGCTTCCTTCATCATCAAGGGGGTCCTGGAGGGTTTCGTCTATGATGCTATGTTCGCGGGACTGAAAATCATGGTGAACAACCTGTCCAGTGCGGTGCTTGGACTTCTGCACCTGGGTGAGACGATGGCGCATCTGGGCGGCAGCCTGCTGCAGTGGTTTAAGGACAGACTGATCGGGCAGTCTAGCTGGTGGAAGAAGCGGACGGAGAAGAAGGCGGACAAGGACCTCGGTTCGGACACAGACAGCGACGACGACGACGAAGCGGACACCTTCCAGGAATTGATTCACCAGGAGAAGACGGAGTGCGATGAATTTAAGGCGCGCATTAAAAAACTTCGACAATATTTCGCCCACGGCAAGTACGAGCACACAGGAGTAGTGGACCGCGCTCACTCTGCTATCAGTAGCGCCGAAAAGAAGGTGAAAAAGCACGCAATGCAAGCGAGACAGAAGAAAAAGCAACTGCACGACCTCGAAGCAAAGTTTGACCAGGACCTGAAGAGCTACGATCAAACTCTGTCGACCTTGGTCAAAAACATCACCGAAGACGTCACAAAACTGACACCCGGCGAAATGAAGAAGCTGCACGGAGAAGATATGCTAAAGGGCAAGGAAGCATGGGGCCTTACGCTGTGGCGACCGGGGACCAACATCAACTGCCCTCGGGATAATTTCCCGAATATAACATCTGACACCAGCGCCATCATGGGCCACAGTCAAGGCCGGCCATACGGAAACGAGGAGCATCTGCAATGCCACCTCGTCCACCGGAAAGATCTCCTGGAGGAAAAAAGCCAAGCGCTTAAAGAGCGGCGCCGAGTGAACCACGAGCGGACTCAACTGCTGCAAGAAATTGTTCATGAACTGAAGCAGGAAAGAAAGTGGAGCTCTGCAAAAGCTAGCGAAATCGATGCCAGCATAGAAAAAGCCAACGCAAAACTAGGGAACGTGGGTGCCCGTCTTGCGGGTGGATACAAGAACCCAGACACAGGAGAAACGGAAGAAGTGGGCATTGAAAAGCAGATACTGAACACAGAAGACGACTTAAAAGCGTACCCTCCGGAACCGGAGGCGAAGACTGCAGCGCGCAACTGGAGGAACAAGGTAGCGGCGATGTCTCGAAAACTCCCACACAGGAGTGGCAAACACCCAACCCATGGCGGCGGCTCGTCGTTTGCACAGGAGAGGCGGGACATTAAAAAACAAGAAAATGAAGAAGGCAGGAGCTGGCGGACTGGTGGGTATGCCAGCAAGGAGAACGCACACGCGACCACTGATACGGAAAGCGCCAAAACTGAATTTGCAGAGCAACAGCATCGGCTTCTCGCGCAGGAGTCCTTGGCAGCTGACGCCGCGGCTGAGTTTTCAGACGAGGAGGCAACCGAACGAGGAGAGGCTGTGGTTGGACCTTCCGGAGATGTTACGTTTTCACAACTTCGGAGCGTGGCAGATAAACCGTCCGCGGCGTCGTGGTCTCCTTCTCCTGTAGCCAGCCTCAACGGCCGCACACAGTCCTCACTGAATGAAACTACAGCTCCGGCTGCTCTCATGCAGTTGCGGCGCGGCCACGGCCAGGACCAGGAGGCGACTTCCCCTGATAAGGACAAGGGGGCGCTGGGATTTGTTTTTTCGGCGATCGGTAAAATCAAGGCGAAGATCGGAGAAATGTTTCGAACCGTTATGAAGCACATTACCCAGGGACCGAGCGCGCTGAAAAAGCTAGTTTATCACATTTGGACCTCGATGAAGCATTCTTTCCTGGAGTCGATCATCGGAGGGCTGTTGCTCATGTTGGCGAATGCCATCGGGCGGGTGCTCAGCCAAGTGATTGCCCTCATCCCTTACGTGCGCCAAACTCCTCTTCCGGTCCTTTTCAGCCAGGCCATTCCCACCTTGTTGATGATGCTGTTTACGCTGAGAGTGATACCTAATCCGAAACTTGCGGAGGCATCGGCCCACGCCAACCATGATCATGGTATAGAGGGCGCCGTCGACGACGGACACGGCCACCACAAGGCGGACGGCCACAAACATCCGAAGACGTCATTCGTGGAGAAGACCGCCACGAACGGAGGAGGCGGCTCCCACTCCCAGAACACCCATGGTCATGAACACCACGGGCACAAATGGCATGCTGAAAAAGAAAAAGGCTCTGCACATCACGGCCACAACGATAAAAAGGCGGAGCCTAGTGCAGTGGCTTCAGTACCTGATGCAGCACACGTCAGCCTAGTGCAGTGGCTTCAGGACCAAGCCGAGAGATTGATCGACGACTACGCGAAGCCTGCGTTTGACATGATTAAAAAGGCAATGACGAAAGTTGCAAGCGAAGGCGTGAAGAAGGTGGTCCAGACCATCAAATACGCATTGGCAGGGGGCAAGCGACTACTGGGGCTAGAACTCAACGAGGAAGACAAGGAATTGCTGGGCCTAGTACTTCCCCAGAAGAGGAGTGTTGCTGGAAAAGCGAAAGGCGTTGTCAGGAATACTAGAAGCGTTTCAAAGCGAAAGCAGCCTTAGCCAGCCATGTGCAGCCATGCGCAGCCACGCGCAGCCACGCGCAGCCGCATCTAAGTCCTTCGCTCGAGTTTCTTAATATTGTAGAGTTATTATTTGCCGCGATCTTCGCGAAACGCCAGCACATATTCATTGCAAATATGTCTGTCGTCCGACGACAAGACCTGTATGCATGAATGCGATTGGGCAACTTTATGTCGTGCTGGGAGCCAGTTTGTCATGCGTTTTACGAATGAATCTGCAATACGCCTCGCAAAATTTCTGATGCTGTTATGCCGTGCAAGTGGCTACTCTGCAATGCAAGCTAAAGCTTCAGTAACGCAGGTTTCCACGCCCAGACATATTTGCATTTGATAACACACGGCACTGGCGGCAGCAGCACTGGCAAGCTCTGCAGGTATATCATTAGTCACCCTCATCTTTAGACTAAAAGATCACTCATAGTCAGCTTCGCGCTTAAAAATAATTATAGAATAAAAAGCGCAAGTAAGCCAAAGCCTAAAATAAATATTCCTACCCTGGAGTAACTTTGGCGCAGTTTTTTTTACTTTTATTGAAATGAGTTTGGGCATATTTGTATTTCTTACTTTTAAATTTATCGGACACGGAAGCAGGGCATTGGAAAAAAACAGTGTCTGAACGGCAACGAGCCTGGTGCGGAAATGGAAAAGCAGTTTTATTTTTATTTATAATTATCTCTTTATAAATGTGGGGACAAAAGAGGGGCGACGAGGATGAAGCGAGGCCAGCTTTTTTCTGCGGCTTAGATGGATGCAATGGGTAAAGTAATTTGGCAGGTTGCCTTTCTCGGTGAGCGTGCTCCTCAGGCATGTTGCTCTGTGTCTGGTTTTATTTTTGCGCAGTAGCGATGCGCATGCGCCATGACGCCACAGCCCCTGCATGAGCTTCGCTCTTGCAGCGCTTCCATGTCTTCGAAAAACGAGCGTCGCCAGCGGTAGCGACCGCTTTTATATGAAAACATAAACGCCCGAGCTTAACGCGTCGGCCTAGAGGCTGAGGATCCTGGTTGGCTATCGAATATATACCCGCGCCGTGCCGCCGTGGATATAACTATAAGCACAGGGGCCGCATATTTGCTAAAATGACTCCCCCCGATTTGGTTTCCGAAACGAAGTGGCTCCGTTGGACACTAAAAGTGCGCACGCCGCGGGCGCGCTGGCGAACAAGAAAAACCAAGCGGCCACCAATTCTGCGACAGAGCTCGCTGCCTCTTACTGCGTTTGTTCCAGTCTACACACAGCAGGCTGGGGGTTGGCTCTATTGTTTGCTTGTTTGCGTTTGGGTGAAACCGACGCGACTCAGTGGACAAAGAACGGACGCAAATCTTCAGGAGACAAAAATGGAAGCCCTGCAAGTTCTTCCGATCGCATTGATTTCTAAAGAGCTTCGCGCTCGGGCCTAGTGGAGAACTATGCGCCAAAGTTGGCGCGTCTGATGCCGAAAAGAACAAAAGTCGAAAGCAAGCCGGCGAGGCTTTCTAGAGTTTCGGGGGGCCTTCTGCTACTCAGTCCATTGTAGGTTTTGCGAGAAATAAGTGGCAAAAACTGCAGCTCTGCGAGTCGGGGCTCCTTCATCCTGTAGAAGATAAGTCTTCAGACGGTTTGGACCGCGTCAATTGAATAGCAGCGGCTCTGTGTTGGTCATGAAAATGAACCCCGCCCACAGGCATGCAACGCGATCGCCGGAGATGACGGCCGCGGGCGCCGTTCTAAAATGGCACAAGACGGCGACGCGCGCAACAATGTCAAAGTGGCGCGCAGGCGCCGCCCATTTGTTAGGTCCCCCATGGCACTCCCTGAGGTGATTCACATCCCCGGGCTTATGCGCACGGCGGCCGGTCTTAAGAAAAAGGATGCCATCCAGTAGCCGCCGGCTGGACAGGGTTCGCGCCGAGTGTCTCCGGTTGGCAGTAAGCAATTGGCGCAAAGCTCCCAAAATTGAAGCCAACGGCACCGGAGTGCTCAGAAATGACAGGGCGCAGATCCGAGCAGGGCCCTGCTAGGGTATTCCCTGTGCGGGTAGTCGAACCGTACCCCTGGGGGGGCATTGCGTTGGCGGTGCCAGTTTGTCGGGGCCACGCGAACGCGCGTGGTGGAGGAAGTGCCAGCGGTCAACGGTCCAGCATTGGATAGGATTGAATCGCATTCGACCCACCGGGGCCGCAGCCTAATGGAGACGCCACTGCCGTGATTCACCTGAGAAGAACGCCCCACGAATAGGAAACTCGCGCCATCGACGTGGGGTCGTAAGCGAATTCAGGTTGATGGGATTCATGAAGGAGGTGCCCTGATTGCTGGGCATCTCAGGCTTGGGGCACATGCCTGCCTGCATTGAGGGCAGATTCCCAGCAAGGTGCCCACTGGGGCGCGGCGTGTTTTGCGTGTGCGAGTGCTCCCGAGGGCGCGCGGAATGAGTGCTCTGATGTTGCAAATAAATAGACGAAGCCGAAACGTTGCCACACTTCACAAACGACCAAAGACACCACCAGAACAGGCGAGCGCAATAAATTCAAACCCAAGCAGGGCGGAGCCGCCGTGTGATCTATCGCGAAGTGAAGACATTGCAACTTCAAGGCTGTAGATACTCTCTACCAAGCCAAAAACTTGGCAAAGACAGAGACTATTTTGGATTTCCGCCCCACATGCACTTTTCAAGAAATTCTTTACTTAAAGACTTTTCAAGAAATTCTTTACTTAAAGCGATCTACCACCCCAAATTCTTTACTTAAAGACAGAGCTATCTACCGCCCCACATGCACTTTTCAAGAAATTCTTTACTTAAAGCGATAGGCTGTGCACTAACGTCCAATAGCAAACACATTGTAACGCGAGGCTATAGAACTCAACTCATAAAGATCTGCGACGAATGAGACATACGATGAAAGAGAGATGATAGAAATGGAATTGGAAAGATGAAATGACAGACAGACTGACATGAGGGAGGTACTTGCAATAAACCCCATGGCCATGTGATGAATGAAATTAATATATAATTGAAAAAATTAGATAAACGAGAAAAAAAGCCAATATCAAAGACGTTTCTAAATCCAAGAACACCCAAATTCTATCTCATCCTTTTCCGATAATCCAAAATTCGGGAAAATAATTCATCCTGAAATTCTCAAATCCATCACTCAATCATATTTTGTTGATGTTCTTTTTTTCATGTCTGGAATGTTTGTAATATTCATAGCGTAACACCATAATCCTAGAAAGGATGGAAAAATAAATAGATTATTGATGAAATAATAACAAATATTCAAAATCTGTTTCTTTCTTTCTTGTCATGTCTGGGTATGACTCAAATTGTCGTTTCGGGTCGGGGCGAGATTGTCTTTCATCATTCTCATCAATATAATATCCTCAAAAGATGAAGATAAGGATAAAGATAAGGATAAAATAAGGTTGAATAAATAGAGAAATATTATTTGAAGACTAAAGATCTTCAGGTTCTAGTTCGAAATTTTTTTCGATATTGGATTTGTCAATCGATATCTTGAAGATGAATTTCATAGTCTTATTTATAATAAATCCATTTTGAGATTTCTATTTTCATTTCAAAATCTGTTTTCTCCTATCATTCTCTCAAAAATAGATTGATGAAGAAATAATAATAAATATTCTTTCTTTCTTTCTTTCTATTATTATTATCGAAGCCACAGGTGAATTATTATTATTATTATTATCGAAGCCACATCGCACATACAAGAGGCCCATTGGATCTCAATGCATCATAGGACCTGTCGCGGCAGGATCTCTCGCGCCCGGAGTAGGTGTTCTTTCGGTCCCTCTCTCCTATCCCTAGGAATGTCCTCACAGCTCGGAGGCGTGTCGGACATAATGCCTCGCGAACACCAACACCTCCCCACGACTGCCATTGATTTTCATCCGCTTTGGAATTGCACTGCGTAGCCACAATAAGCATTTGCATGTCTGGGGGCGCTCAGCTCGTGGGCGGTTGTGCGCCGCCACTGTGTTGTTGTGTGGCCGTTTCAGTGGTGCCACAGGGCTCGCCTGTCGTGGCGCGTTCTTCATAGTACCGACCAGCCGGATGGCCGCGCACTATCAACGGTCGGCGCTATAATTCTCGGTATGGGTTTGGCCGAGCTCGGATAAGGGGCGGCATCCGGGAGGGTGGGGTGGCCAGCCATCTGGGTGGCTGCGCTCCCTTAACGGTAGCGCAGCTGCGTTCGTCGGCTTGCTGCCAGGTCGCGTCCCGCGGACGCGCGAGGTGCAGCCGCGGCACCCGAGTGGCAGGCAACAAACAGCACAGCGGTGGCGTGCCTTTTTGTTGTGAACCTGCGCAGCAGCGCAAGCGCATGGGCCAGGGAGCTGCTTGCTGCTAGCTCTCCACAGAACAACAAGGCCAACGCATATATATGGTCTACCAGGTGACATCATGAGAGGTGGCGGCCCTCATTCACTGGGGCCACTCTTTCAACCTACCAGATCTACTAACCACTTGCCCTGATAAGCATGCGGCCTGCTTCTCCCCACATTACGACCGTCGACCAGATCGAGGCCCAGTGGGCCCCGAAATAAAAAAACTATGGCTTTGCTGAAAAATTTTTTTTCGGAAAAAGAAAAAAACCCCGCCCCCGCCCAATACATGGCGAAACGAAAACAAACAGGAGGCCCAAGGGGCGCGCCACCTGCCGGAGAAATTGCAAGGCAACGCTCAGGCAGCCGGCCCGTGGCAAGCTATTTCGTTAATTCCTGGCTGAAGTTTGGCTAATCCCCAAAGCGAAGGAGGGCAGGCGCAAGAGGGGCCCGACTAGAAAGCGCGCCGGGGGTGCCGCCATACTTCCGGGGGCGCAAAGCCATCGCGGGCGCCGCCCTCCGGGCACCCCCCCCCGTGCCCCCCTGCAGGGGAGGCGGGCGCTCAGGCAGACAGGCCCGGGCGACCTAATAACTTTAATCGGACTCTAAAAAGTTGCTAATTTGCAAATCCCCCGAAGCCAGAAACCATGCCCGGAGGCACAACAACAAGAAGCCTGCCAACAAGGACGAAGGAGGACGCGACGACCTGCCCTCTAACGCAATTCAGATAACAAAGCCAGAC